ATTGTACATTCACATGAACCTAAACTTAAATATTCATCCAAGAATCAAAAGAAGTCTGAAGAGAGGAATGTATCTACAGAGGATGATGAAGAGGAGATAGATCCAGATGCTAAAAATGTAAATAAAAATGAAGTCATAAACAGAAATGAAAATGCAGATGAAAAAAGTGAAGCAAATGCAGATATGAGCACAGATTGTAGTTTAAACTCTGCAGACACAACTGACACTACTTCACATGGTGGAAAGAAGAGGCGAAATATATTGAGAAAACGCTTTGAATGTGCTACTTGTGGGATGAAGGCTACTCATAAGACAGATCTTGTAGTTCACATCAGGGAGAAGCACCCAAATGCTCTTATTGAATCATTGGATAATGGTGATTGGTCCAAAAGCCAACTTAGTGTAACTGGCTCAAAGAAAAGTAATGTAAACCGACAGACAACCTGCTCTTATTGCTCTAAAGTCTTCAATGACAACTGGAAATATAAAGTGCACATGCGAGTACATACAGGCATTAAACCCTTTGGGTGCAGTGTGTGTTCATTTTACGCTACTTGTAAGATGACTGTTCGTGACCACATTCATCGCAAGCACAAAGATTATGTGAATCCCAAGATTATTTTGCGTACTGTAAATATTGATGGAACAGTCGGTCACTCCGAGCTTGGCATGCCACACCAGGAGTTCAAATGTGACTACTGTGAAAAAGTGTTTGAAGATAATTATGATTATAAAGAACACAAGAAGAGTAATCATAAAGATGCTTTACCATATGCCTGTACTAAATGTGGTCATAGAGAAAGTGCTCGAGCAAAAATGATCATGCATTGTATGCAAAACCACAGTGATGAAGAGCTTGAGGGACTAATATTACACAACAATAAGCCCTTTAATGTTGGGCTTCTCAAGCTTCCTAAGTGTCAGCAGTGTGACAAAATTTTTCCATACCAGTCACAACTAAATATACATCAAAAGAAGCACAGCGGTGAATGTAGGTACTTTTGTGATATCTGCAGTTATGGTACCAATATTAAGGCTGCACTGGAGAAGCACATACTGAAACATCATGATGCTAAGTCTTCCAAGAAATCTAGAGTGAGAAAATCTGCAAGGAATAAGGACACAGAAAGTGACCAACTGATCATCTTTGTTGACGTTGATAAGGTAAACAAAGATATTAACATAAAAGTAGAAGAGGAGGATGCTAAGTGATCATCTAAGACCAAAACTCCATTGACTAAGTGCCTTCTCTTTCATAATATTTTTACCTTCAAAGGAACATACAGATTTTATTAAAATAATAATAATATATTGATATAAAAAGTACATACATTTGATACATGAAACTTGAAAGAATTTGTAAGAAATGCACTTAAAGCCGCTAATACATGGCATTTTGGGCATAAGAATAACTAAGAGATTTATTTATAAGTATAATGGGGTAGTACTTAAAACTAAATGAAAAACTTAACATTCTTGAATTATTAAAGATTTACCAAAGGATTGGCAGTTTTTAATGATCTTTAGAAATGGCAGTTTTAGCAGTACAGTACTGTAACGTGTCTTCCTTAAGGATTTCCAGACTTTGGTTATAGACTCAGTATATAGTGGTCAAACATAGACTGTGATGCTTATATATTATAATTAGTGTGTGCTGTATTTGTTATACAAATATGCAATATAAAGTCTTGTTTGTCAAAAATACTACAGTATATTGTTAGATGTAGGGTTTGTTGCAAGGTCCTTATTAGATAATTATATACAGTATATAGAATAATTGTTCATCATTATGCAACCAGTTATATTCAGAATGAAAAGCTCCAGCTCCCATCGAAAGAAAAGTTACTATACTTAAGAATATTAATGCTAATTCTAGTACTTTCTTCCTGTTGATACGTTTTGTAGTACAGTAGGTGCCCAGAAAGTAGAAAAAGTATTTTTACCCGTTTGTGGTAAAGTGTTTTTTAAAAGACAAGTAATCCAAGATTATTATTGAATATATTTTCACTTTGGCATACAGAATGTGTGCAGTTGATTAGTGAATGTTTGGAGCTATGACACTAGATAGTGTAACACACATTCTGTACAGTGCAACACATTAAGTTAGCATATTATAAATTGTAGCCAAACCGAGTATAATGTTGCATTAAAGTTGATGCTTCAACCTGCTTAACGCTTAAACTGCATTATAAATCGTATTTTCATAATTCATATGGATTATAATTAATAATAATAATACATAATGCATAATAATAATTATGCAAACCTTGTAGAATTTAGTTTGGGCTTGGGTTCAAATGCTAACTTGTACTTGGTGCTCAAGTACAAGTAATTTTCAAGTACTTGTACTTGCAATTTCATAGTACTTAGCACTTAAATTTGTACCTTATAAAATTAGTTGAAAATATTCAAGTACTGTACCATTAAGCATCTACATGATACAGTTAACATGTTACAACTTGAAGAAAGCTGTTGCGAGCCACTCACAATTTAGCATTTCTGATTCAGTTTGCTTCCTGCACTCTAGGATACATTCCTTCCTTGCCAGTTGCAACTTTGTCCTATGGTAAATATTTTATTTATTCTAATGTGTTTTCTTAACCCTTGGATTGTTCAGCCTATTCAAAAGTACTACACTGAGATGTGCATTTCAAAAAATATTTATAAAATTAAATCAGAAAAAATTGCATATAGTGATTTGTGCAAAGAAATCCCAGCTAGCGATTGGAGTAGCTTAAGGGTTAAAACATCTCTGAGATAAATTCATGCATCAAACCATATTTTGGTTGTATGTGTCAGTGTAAGAGGCAAATTAGTTTGTTTTGATGAATTCTTTTAACTCTATTCTGTTATTTATTCTTGATCTGTGCTATCAAACTGCTTAATAAATTAGTACTGAACTTTAGGCAAAATTGAAGTACCATGCTCATCAAGTGTAGTCTCTCTTACTCTTGATATCTTATCAATCAGGATCCCTCGAGAGAGAACTTAAAAGAAATCAAATAAATCGGTGAAAACTGAAAAAGAAGAGGCAAATAAAACATCATTGAATAATGTAAAAGCAGAAAATAATCAACTTAATATTGTACCAGATGAAGATGGTGAGCTTGTTGTTCCTTACAATAATGAGGAAATAATAGCCCCTGAAGAGCCTGGAAAAGTAACTACCTGAAGCAGTACCAAAATATTGATGTCATGAAGATGAACAGAGTTTTGTGTCATGTGATGTTAGCTTTATTGCTGAAGTAGGTGATAAGAATTTTTTTGCTTACCACAATAAGAATTTTATTGACTATGATAAGGTAATAAAGTATCTTAGAAAGGAATGACCCCAAAACTCCTGATAAGAGTCATTTATCACCGCCGTTTCAGGTCACGGTATTACAATCTAATTCAGCGCATAAGATGAGATCTTGTTACTTTGTATCCTCATTTTTCTTTTGAATTAGAGATTGACACAGGCTTTACAGTACATTATTACATATTGTCATGTGCATACAGCCCATTTTTTTTTTTTTTTTTTTAGAAAAATGTATTTAGCCTTTATCACGTTTAAAAGTGCACATTTCTGTGGTAAAATGTGCCCTTTTTGTAAATGTTAAATGGGAGTTTTTGGTGGATGGATGGCACTGTTCCATAGTTTATGATTTTGGCATTGATGCAGGCAAATTGTTGCAGTTTATATTAGGTCATTATAAAGTATTTGTCAAATCAAATCAAGTAACTTCATTCATAAATGGTCATGCATTTATATACACTGTTGTTCCTTCATAACTTAAATATCCAGCTAGGGGTCTCCTTGCTTTCTCTGCTAACTACAGTAGTTATATTATTCTATACTGTAAACCTACTACACCACTATATCACTTACTCTTTAGTTGTATTTACTAACAACTAAGTTTTAGTTCTGGAAAAGTAGGAGAGGCCAGTAGTAAGTAAGAGCCTGAAAAAAAAAATGAGTTGACTGGATGGGCAATTTCCTTCAGACAAAATTATTCTATTCATTTGTAAATTATTTCTTCAAGTGTGGATGTGGACATCAGGCCTGGTAGGAGATTACATGGAGTGCAAGGATGGACAGCCAAGATACATCTAAAACATTTCCTCCATTCGCATTTAAGCTTACCAAGGTCAGCATTTTGTAGGTCACATAGTATTTAAAAAGTTTTTGAGCATAAGTTCATACATGTCTACTGAACATAAGGGAAAAAAATTGAAATGTAGAAAATATGTTTATGTAATTCCCATTGTTGGGGGATTGGAAACCTCTACTTAGGCTTATTGACATCCCCCCCTTAGGCAACAACTGACTATCTCCAAGATGCAACCCACAACAGCTCCCTAACTACTGGGTACCTATTTACTTGAGGTGAAAACAGAGTCATCATGTGAAAGGAAAATTGCCGTACTGTTTCTGTCCTGCCCAGGGATTGCACCCCAGTACTTCGGTTGTGAGCCAAGGTATTAGCAAAAGACGTGTGAAAGATGCCGAAGAATGTTGTGCGGACGGGTTATGGAGTGTTGGATAAACTTAATGTTAGTGGGAAGTGGGTACTCTTAACTAGAGAAAGTAGTGTCTGAATGTAAGGAAGTTGGCGACAGTGTAAGAATATCTATAATGTCAAGAAAGGTTAAACACAAAATATTGGACAATTTAGGGGAATATGGCTGAGAATGTGAAGTCAAAATGGTAATATATTAGAGATAAAACAACGTGTGTAGATAGAAGTTGGTAAAAATGGAAGGGAGGAAAGGTACTTAGACATATTGTTAATACAAGTTATATAATTGACATTATTGCCCCTGATAACTCGTTAGCTTATTAGTTATCATGAGTTATTATGATAACTTTTGAAAGATAGTAATAATTTTATCTACCCAACATCTGTCAAGCAGTCAACGGTTGTTTATTTAATTTCATATGAAGTATGTGTGTATTGGTGTAAATGATTTATAATTTAATTTATATATTGTATATACATACACATATTTTTTTTCAGGAACATATGCTGATGGAACATGAAACCAAGCTTTATGAATGCCACGTGTGTTCCTTCAATTCTGTGAACCCGGAGACACTGGAGAACCATATATTCAAGCAGCATGTCTTAAAAGTGGGGCGTGTTGAGCCAGTATCACTGGATGAAGTTAAGAATGACTTAGATGATCGCTTGTCAAAGCAAGCTCCTCAGAAAGTTATACTGGAAGATGGGGTATCTCTTGGACATGATGTCGGCTACAAGGCGGGTTTCACTTGTGCAGTGTGCAATCGTGTATTTACCTCAAAGTATTCACTCATGAAGCATATCCAAATTCACACAGAAGAAAGACCTTATTCATGTGATATTTGCAGCTTCACAACCAGGTTTCGAGATTACATGCAGCGCCACATGACCACTTCTCACCTTATTGTACATTCAGATGAGCCTAAACTTAAATATTCATCCAAGGCTCGAAAGAAGTCTGAAGAAAGAAATATATCTACAGAGGATAGCAAAGAGGAGAAAGATCCAGATACTGAGAATGTAAACAAAGATGAAAACAAAAAAGGAAATAAAAATGAACACAAAGATAGAAATGAAAATGAAGATGGAAAAAACGAAGCAAATGAGGAAATGAGCACAGATTGTAGCTTAAACTCTGCAGACACAACTGACACTACTTCACATGGTGGAAAGAAGAGGCGAAATATATTGAGAAAACGCTTTGAATGTGCTACTTGTGGGATGAAGGCTACTCATAAGACAGATCTTGTAGTTCACATCAGGGAGAAGCACCCAAATGCTCTTATTGAATCATTGGATAATGGTGATTGGTCCAAGGGCCAACTTAGTGTAACTGGCTCAAAGAAGAGTAATGTAAATCGACAGACAACCTGCTCTTATTGCTCTAAAGTCTTCCATGACAACTGGAAATATAAAGTGCACATGCGAGTACATACAGGCATTAAACCCTTTGGGTGCAGTGTGTGCTCATTTTATGCTACTAGTAAGATGACTGTTCGTGACCATATTCATCGTAAGCACAAAAATTGTGTGAATCCCAAGATTATTTTGCGTACTGTAAATATTGATGGAACAGTCGGTCACACTGAGCTTGGCATGCCACACCAGGAGTTCAAATGTGACTACTGTGAAAAAGTGTTTGAAGATAATTATCATTATAAACAACACAAGAGGAGTAATCATAAAGATGCTTTACCATACTCATGTACTAAATGTAATCATAAAGAAAGTGTTCGAGCAAAAATGATCATGCATTGTATGCAAAACCACAGTGATGAAGAGCTTGAGGGACTAATATTACACAACAATAAGCCCTTTAATGTTGGGCTTCTCAAGCTTCCTAAGTGTCAGCAGTGTGACAAAATTTTTCCATACCAGTCACTACTAAATATACATCAGAAGCAACACACTGGTGAACGCAGCCTCTTTTGTGATATCTGCAGTTATCGCACCAATATTAAGGCTGCACTGGAGAAGCACATACTGAAGCATCTTGATGATGAGCCTTCCAAGAAATCTGGAGTCAGAAGATCTACAAGGAATAAGGTTACAGAAAGTGACGAACCAATTATCTTTGTTGACATTGATAAGGTAAATAATGATGTTAACATAGGAAAAGTAAAAGAAGAGGATACTAAGTGAACATTTGAAACAAAAGCTCCATTGAATAAGTGCCTTCTTTTACATAATATTTTTGCCTTCAGAGGGACCATACTGGTTTTGTTTTATTTATATTAAAGTATACACATTTCATACATAAAACAGTGGAGTATTTGTAGACAAGAAATGTATGTTACTTATAGCCACTAACAAGCAGAGCATTTCAGTCATAATATAAATATTATTAAAAAATTTATTTACAAGTTTAATGTGGTAATATATGAAACTAAATGAGAAGTATGTTAACATTTAGAACTGTTAGAGATGTTCTGAATTAAAAATTTTCAGTGATTTATAAACTATAGTTTATTGTAACAGTACAAACATGGTACTAGTATTTAATTAATTGTAAAATGATTGACAATTTTTAATGATAATTTGTATCATTACAAATTATTTTACAATTTGTAGTAGTAACGTGTCTTCCTTAAGGATTTCCAGACTTTGGTTATAGATTTAATAGAGCAGTTAAACATAGACTGTGGTGCTTATATATTATACTGTAATTAGTGTGTGCTGTATTTGTTATACAAATATGCAATATAAAATTGTGTCTGTTAAAAATACTGTATTGTTAGATATAGAGTTTGTTGCAAGGACCTTAATAGATAATTTTTAGATTAAATAATTGTTCCACATTATGCAACCAATTATATTCAGAATGAAAAGCTCCGGTACCCATCCAAAGAAAAGTTACTATACTTCAGAATTTTAAAGCTAATTATAGTATGTACTGTACTTGCTTCCGCTAGATACTTTTAGTAGTAGTTTCCCAGAAAGTAGAGAAAGTATTTTTACCTGTATGTTGTAAATTGTTTTAGAAAAGGCAAGTAATGCAAGATTATTATTGAATATATTTTCACTGTGTCATATGAAATGTGTGCAGTTCATTAGTGAAAGTTTAGTTATGATATTAATTAGTGTAACATAATGTACATTACAGCACGTTAAGTTAGCACATTATAAATTGTAGCCAAATTGATTATAATATTGCATTAAAGTTGATGCTTCAACCTGATTAATGCCTAAACTGCATATAAATTATATTTATGTAACTGATATTTTATTTACCTGGATTTACCTGAGGGCCACTATCTAGAGGCCTCAATGAGGGCAGGAAGTTGGTGCTTGTCAAAAGCCTTCCCATATGTTCTCATGATTTCATCAAGCTAGATTTTGAATTGCAGCAGAGTTTTAACATTTACTACTTGGGTGGGGGTAGGAAGTTTTATAGGTTTATATCCCTATGGGTGAAAAAGCATCTGTTTTCTGTCTTGCTCAATATCTTTCAAATTGTTCAGTCTTTTAAAAGTTTTGATGAGTGAGCCCTGTCATGTCTGGTTTGCAGTGCTGTTAACCCTGTGGCTCTCAAGCATTCAGGTATGAGAGTTGACTAACTTTATTTAGTGTCACTATCTGGACAAAGATCCTGATGCTGAGAATGTAAATACTGTATAACAATAAAACTAAAGCAAAACTGAAAATTAAAAAAATGAGAATGAAAAAATAAAAAAATATATATAGTAAGTAATAATAATAATGTTTATTCAGGTAAAGTTACATATAAAACGAGTTACTAACAATGTTAGACTACTAGATATAGCTAATATATACTATGACTAAAGCCAATAATACACACAGCGTATTATTGATGTACTGGAGACATACTGGAGTATGTCCCAGCTCTTGTTCACATAGTTTACAATTGGAATGTTTGACATTGGAGGGATTCATTACCTGCAGCCACCTGCCAGTCATCTAAATAACAATATAGGCCCTGGGCAAGGCAATGCACTGGGGCCCCTTCCTGGCTCATGGGCACTGTGGCCCCCTTACCCAGATAATGGGCACTACCATCAGATATGTTGTTATTTTAGATTCATCTACAGTACTCTTGAACAAAAAGTTCCATGCAGCACGGGCTATGGTGAGCCTGTCGTACTTACCTGGCACAGGAGATGTGTGCTGTCAGTTTGTTATATAAGAATGTTATAAATATCATTTGAAATGGGACCTTAATCCCAAGCCTTTCTTGCAGGCAGTCGAGTAATTATCCACTTGATAATAAAAGATCTCGCATGAACATGGCAACATATGGAGCCCCCTAGGCAACTGCCCATGTGTTACAATTTTATCTTATTACTTTACCTGATACTATTAATTAATGTAATTAGGCTAGTTCATAGCAATAGCTAATTACTGTACTGTTATTTACCTTCATTATACACATTATATTATTATGCAGTTTACAGTTAATTTATTTATAATACTTTATATATTTTACGGTTTACAATTCACTTATTAATTAATTTCTTATATTAATTATAAGTTAAAAAATGTATTCCCCAGCATGAGTATCAGTCACCCTAGCTACAAATGGGGCCCAAACAAGATGGGTATGGGTTGCATAATAAATGAACTAAAACTAAACCTTAATTGCACTAAATAGGTACCCCGGAAGTTATATAACTAGTGTGGGTTGTATCCTGGGGAAAGGTTAGTGGTTGGCCTATAACTAAGGAGACCTCGAAAAACCAGCCATTCCTGTCCCTAATAACGGGAACCTATGTTATTTGAACAATGAGAAGGGAGGGCTTCTGTGGTGCCGATACATGAGCTAAGCGTCATGTATAGGCACCACAGCATGAGCTAAGCGTCATGTATAGGCACCACAGCTTCTTGCGGGTCGGCGTTCGATCCCCGATGGTCCAACGGGGATGGTCGTTGTTCCGTCCATACTGGCTTAGTGCTTTCTCATCATAATTAACTTAACGAGGCAGCTCCTATTCTATAACCACCCAATCCCACTCATATACTTGTCCAACCCGTGCTTGAAACAATCGAGGGACCCCACCTCCACAATGTTACGCGGCAATTGGTTCCACAAATCAACAACCCTGTTACTGAACCAGTATTTACCCAAGTCTTTCCTAAATCTAAACTTATCCAATTTATATCCATTGTTTCGTGTTCTGTCCTGTGTTGATACTTTTAATACCCTATTAATATCCCCCCGGTTATTGTCCATTCATCCACTTGTAAACCTCTATCATGTCACCCCTAACTCTTCGCCTTCCCAGTGAATGCAACTTAAGCTTTGTTAATCTTTCTTCATATGAAAGATTTCTAATTTGGGGAATTAACTTAGTCATCCTACGCTGGACACGTTCAAGTGAATTTATATCCATTCTATAATATGGCGACCAAAACTGAACTGCATAATCTAAATGGGGCCTAACTAGAGCAAGATATAGCTTGAGAACCACACCAGGTGTCTTGTTACTAACGCTGCGATTAATAAATCCAAGTGTCCGATTTGCCTTATTACGAACATTTATGCATTGATCCTTTTGTTTTAAATTCTTACTAATCATAACTCCCAGATCCCTTTCGCAATCCGACTTCGCAATCACAACACCATCTAGCTCGTATCTTGTAACTCTATCATCATTACCTAACCTCAGAACTTTACATTTATCAGCATTAAACTGCATCTGCCAATCCTTTGACCATTTCAAAACCCTATCTAGATCAACTTGAAGTGATAGTGAGTCCTCCTCCGAATTAATTTCCCTACCGATTTTCGTATCATCGGCAAATTTGCAAATGTTGCTACTCAAACCTGAATCTAAATCATTTATATATATTATAAACAACAGAGGTCCCAGGACAGAGCCTTGAGGCACTCCACTTACAACATTTTCCCACTCTGACTTGATTCCATTTATACTAACTCTGTTTCCTTTGGTATAGCCATGCCCTAATCCAGCTTAATATAGCACCCCCAATACCATGAGACTCTATTTTTTTAATCAGTCTTTCATGTGGCACTGTATCAAAAGCTTTGCTAAAGTCAAGGTATACAACATCGCAATCCTTACCACTATCAACTGCCTCAACAATGCTAGAATAAAAAGATAACAAATTTGTTAAACATGAACGGCCATTTATAAAACCATGTTGCGACTCAATTATTAATTTATGTTTTTCAAGATGAAGACGAATTTTATTTGCTATTATAGATTCGAGTAACTTTCCCACAATAGACGTTAGGCTAATTGGTCGATAGTTAGACGCAAGTGATCTATCTCCTTTCTTAAAAACTGGTATCACATTAGCAACTTTCCAAAACTCTGGCACTCTGCCTGACTATTGATTTATTAAATATGGTTGACAGTGGGTCACAAAGCTCCTCTTTGCATTCTTTAAGCACCCTAGCAAACACTTCATCCGGCCCTGGGGATTTGTTTGGTATGAGTTTTACTATTTGTTTAAGAACATCCTCCCTGGTAACTGCTAAACTCGTCAACCTGTCCTCGTCCCCACCCACATAACCTTACCTTCTTTCGTTATTGATATGGGCATCACCTGCGTCTATAATTAAATGTCTTATTTTGTTTTAAATACTATTCCGAGGAAAGTTATGTTTATTCACTTTATACACTCAGTAAGACCATTATAGTTAGAAATTTTATATTTTTGTTTCAACATTTACGTAATTCTATAGGAAGTGTTGGGTAATTTCACGGGCCATTCCTTTGAACTTTGAATAACTATTTAATTCACTCCAAAATATTGAATATATTAATATACGTCTGTAACCCTTTCCACCACCGCCCACGGAATGGGTATAGGGTGCATAACAAAGAAAGAATCTGAACTGAATACTGGAATACACATTTTTTTTTATTTTGTACGCAAAGTTTGCTAGTATAGAATAGACTTACATCCTCATGTTCCTCTTTATTACCATATACGACTATATAACCATCATGTGGCAGCACATATATAATTGCCGTGCTAATTATTCAGATTGTTTATTCAGGTAAAGGTACATCCATTGAGTTACATACATAATGATAGATTTAAAGATAGAGAGAGAGAGTACATACAATACCTAAAGCCACTAGTACGCATAACATTTCGGGCAAATTATTAAATTAAAAAAAATTATTAAAAAAAAAGAAGAAAAGTTTTGAAATGGCTGTATCAAATCGAGATTGTGAAAAGAACATCAAATTACACCTCTCCTCCTCCCCTATATACCAATCAAATGCTATAATTAATTACAATAACTTTAGAATAAATATAAACCACTATATATATATACCGTAGTCTGTTTTTTGTTTAGTAGAGTTAGGTTTACTCTACGTGAAATTCACGGCCATTTTAGTTTACTTGTGTTTACGGGGCTGCTTGGGTGGTGGCGGTAGTATTTCTGGCTTTGTGGGTGTTACGGAGGCGTGTCTGTGGTTTATATGGGTGGTGTCTGCTGGCTTGTGTGGTGCTTGTTACCTGGTGATGGATAAAAGGGTTTACGGGGGCGAGATTTAGTGGGAATGTTTGAATATAATGGTGAGGGACTCCTTAGGTGAGGGGCGACCAGCCATGTTATGAATCTCTGAAAGCCGACCCGTGGACTTATGTCTGGTGTTATTCTTGCTCTCACTATCCTCAGTTACACTCATACTGCCCTTATCCTCATGCAGTTACACTCATACTGCCCTTATTTACTCTCATACAGTTACCCTCATACAGTTACACTCATACTGCCCTTATTTACCCTCATACTGCCCTCAGGTACACTCGTACTGCCCCTATTTACCCTCATACTACCGCTATTTACCCTCATACTGCCCTCAGATACACTCGTACTGGCCTTATTTACCCTCATACAGTTACTCATACTGCCCTTATTTACCCTCATACAGTTACTCATACTGCCCTTATTTACCCTCATAGTTACTCATACTGCCCTTATTTACCCTCATAGTGCCCTCAGATACACTCGTACTGGCCTTGTTTACCCTCATACTGCCCTCAGTTACACTCGTACTACCCTCAGTAATTCATACTATCCTCAGCTATCCTCGTACTGCCCTCATACATACTCGCACTGCCCTCATGTGCACTCGTACTAGGCAAAGTTACACTCATAGTGGCCTAATTTAGTCTGGGTTAAGTTATCATCCTAATACATTTAACTCTAAACTCTGACACGTTGAGTATGAGTAAGTGTGGAGGTTACAAGCTCCTCCAGGACACAGGAATTCAGCCATATTTATTGGATTACTCACATTGGCCTCCTTTATTTTCCAAATACTGCTAGAGGTAGCCACATACGCTGTGTGTTCTGTACTTGTATGTTAGGTCCTAAAATCTGTCAAAACTGGAATTCAAGAAAATTAATATCATACTAAAATGTTATTGATCATATTGGTTTACAGTGAAAGGTATACTTTTAACTCAATTGGCCAAACGTAGTACCGTACTTCATTTTGAATTGATGCCATCAGATGATTGGATTGTATAAATTTTGTTAGGTCTACATCATATTCTACACTATATCTATTTTGTATTGCTCAAATAATGCTTGAAGTATTTGTAAAATAATCACCATGTACCAGATTTAGTATCAAAGTCTTCAAAGAACAGATGGCCACAATATTCAAATCATACACAGGCGTTTCATGCAGTTTCTTTTTTTATATTGTTTAAACTTTATAACTTCTTAGGTTTTAAAATTCATTAGTGAACTGACTTGTTTATGAATTGACCTGTATCCCCACATTACGTACCTTAACAGATTTTATTTGCCACATAACGTGGTGGAGGTGGGGTCCCTCGATTGTTTCAAGTGTGGGTTGGACATGTGTATGAGTGGGATTGGGTGGTTATAAATAGGAGCTGCCTCAAATGAGGCAATAGGCCTTCTGCAGTTGCCTTTGTTCTTATGTCAAAATTTAGCTTCAAGCCCTTGCTTCATTGCCGGAATATTTATAGTAAAAGTTAAAATGTGTGTTATAGGAGTTTTGTATGGGTTAGGGTAAAAAATAATGCAATTTGACATTGCCATGTCAGCAACGTATCTCAATGGGTGATGTGTATGTCGCTTGGTCCTGCAGTTTAGCCAAGTACAAAAGGACTGTCCAAGTGAGGCCATGCTACATCATGGCTATAATTTAAACAACCCAACCATGAATATCAGAGAAACTTTTGTGTCATGTATATTATGGAAAGGTGCAATTTTTTTGTATATACTACAGTACTTGGTTAGCCAAAGAACCAGTGGTTTTGGCTTGTAACTAGATGGGTGACTGCATGAGCACAAGGGCGAGGCTTAAAGATGAATGAATGAGTGGTAGGTGCAGTGTAATGCTGACAAATTACTTAGCATTCTGAAACAAGATGATTAAAGGATTTGTTTGACTTAGGCTTTCAGCTTAACTGTGCCTCCACAAGCTGAATTAGTTATGTAAGCCTTATTTGGCCACTTACCCAAGGCTTGTGAGCTAGTTAGCCATCATAAAGTGACACTTCGATTGTCATCTTTTTTTATTATTATTATTATTATTATATAAAGGTTATGGTCTTGTCACTATATTAATTTATAAATTTTAGTCGACACAAGTTTATTGTCCGTATGTCACTACTGTAGTACAAATAGCTGGGGCTTATTGCTAGGAATTGCATATCTAACGAGTGGTTATTTAGAAGGTAGCGTGTGTGTTTACTTTTAGCCATTTTCTTATTGTAGGGAAATGTTATGAATAAATAATTATAACTTTTACCTTGCATTATTAATTACTGTGATGAGTAATGTGGAGGTAGAGTACGTATATATTACCCTGGAGAGGCAGTGTTAGGGTAGGTCGCAGCCATGTCAAGCATCATTACCTTGCCTCAGTTGAGGCACGGTAATGTTGCTTCGGTGCCTTGGTTAATGATGCCTTGGTGCCTCGGGTTTTACTGCATGTTAATAACAATTTTGAATCAATTATTTTAAGTAATTAACAACCCTTTCTATACTTTAATTTTATACATACTGTATAACAGTATACAGTATTACTCTGTATATACAGAGTAATATTACATGTTTTCAGTTGTCACTTGTATCTTAATGCTAAAGTTGTTAAAAAAATTATATTTTTTTTTTTCAGAGAGGAGGATAAAAACAGGAAAATGTCGCCAAAAAACAAAAAAAAGGAATCGCCTAGAAAACAGCTGGACATCACATTATTCCTCTCTTCACAACCCAAGTCAGCAAAGAGAGCAAGAGAAGAGGAATCTAGTGGCCAGAGTCGGGACCAGAATGAAGTGCACTCTCCCAATAAAAGGATAAAGCAAGTAGCTAAAAGCATTAAACAGGAAGCGACTAAAAGCATTAAACAGGAAGCAGCAAACATTAACAAAACTAAAAAGAAATCTGCCAACAATAATAATAACAACAACAATAATAATAACAATAACAGTGCTGAAGCAGAGGGTCTTAAGACACAAGCAAGTCCCAACAAGTCCAAGAAATTGGTAAAAACTGAAAAGATAGACAAGTCAAAGTTGGTAAAAAAGGAGGCAAATAAGACTTCATTGAACAATGTAAAAGCAGAAAATAGTCGCCTTATTATTGTACCTGATGAAGAGGGTGAGGTCATTGGTCCTTACAACGTTGAGGAAATAATAGTGCCTGAAGTGCTTGACAGAGTAACTGCACCAGAAGTAGAACCAAACACTCCAGCTCATGATGGAGCGAGTATCGTGTCGCACGATGCTAGCAGTATCACTGAAACAGGCAGTGATAGGGATAATATTAACCTGGATAAGGATGGTAATGATTTGGACATTGATAGCCCAGACAGTCCTGACGAGGATCCTTCAACTCTTCCATCTCAGAAGGTTACAGTATTGCGATCCAATTCAGCAAATAAGGTGAGACTTGCTTCTTACTTACACGATTACATACTGCCACATTTATACATCTTTTTGTAGGAAAATGCATTTGGCCTTTTTTCCACACTTATAAATGTGCATTTCTGTGGTAAAAGTTGCCATTTAATAGCTTAGCATGTGTAAATGGTAATTGGGAGTTGGTGGATATGTGGGTGGATTCATCCAGCTTTGACACTGGTGGATGAGTAGTGCTGTTCCCTTGTAGATGTGTAGCGCTTTTCCTTGGTGGATGGGTAGTGCTGTTCCCTGGTGGATGGGTAGCACGGTTCCCTGGCAGATGGATTCTGATAGATGGATAGTGGCATTTCCAAGTAGATAGGAAGCAGTGTTTATTTCCTAGGGGATGGGTAGCACTGTTCATTGGTGGATGGGCAGGGTTGTTCCTTGGCACATGATTGTGAAATTGATGTGGGAAAATGGTTGTAATGTTTGTCACTACGTATAAGATTTTTGTTTGTCATAAATATTTTTTTACCATAGTTCTTCTGTTGACCATATGTTTATACATAAGCATAATAATGTACATAAAGACAAAAAGGATAGCGTTGGAATAGAGGAAATTTGATTTTATTAATTATGTCCTGCATGGGAATGAACCTGAGAAGCAGGTATTTTGCTTCATTTTTGGCATAGATTAATTTTGTATACAATACTGTATATCATAGCTTAGTAGCAAATAGAATCATTGTAACGTACAGTAAATACTGCCAGTATACAGTATACTGTGCATCATCAATTTATATTTAACCCCAGGGCTGCTCTTGTGATTATAGTCTGCAAAACGCCAGACGCAAGAAAAAAAGTGGGTTAATATGTGTTCCCTGATCATGGGGGGAAAAATAATAATTAAAAATTATTTTGCGCGCAATAGGGCGAGGAAGTCTGGCAAAATTGAGGCACTGACACACTAAGCGTCCCGGGCTGATCTCCACCCGCACTCTCAGGCGGGAGTTGCCACAAAAATATTATTACTCGATTATTTCAATGTCTGATTTTTTCAGTTTTTTTTTTCAGTAATATTATTCAATAGTGTGTAGTGTGATATATTTATATAATAAAATGTGTGAACCAACTGTACAACTAAGCTGGTATGGCGAGTCAAGACAATAATTGAGGTCGCCACACAGTCAGCTGACGCTCCCTTCCCTCCCTCCCTCACTCGCCAACATTCCTCCTCCCATTATACTGTTTGTGCTGTTTTTACACTATATACACACATTACATAGAAGTATCTACATGTTTTATTCACTATAGCTGAACAACTAAGCTGGTATTGTGTCCAAACAACATAGTGGCCACAAAAACTGTTTGACAAGTGAAACAACAGCTACCAAACGACACCACTATCCTCAACAAAATGGTTCCTGCTAACATACTCCTTTTGCTGTTATTACACTCTATACACATATTATATATAAGTATCTACATTTGTGTTCACCATAGCAAACCACTAAGTTGGTATGGTGAGTTCAACCAACAAAAGTGAGCTGCCACACCCAGCCACCCCTCCCTCCCTCCCACCTTTAACACCTTATGTGCCAACATTCCTCCTCCCACAATACTGTTTGTGGTTTTATTACACTATATACATATGTTATAAGTATCTACACATTTTATTCACCATAACTGTACAACTTAAGCTGGTATGGTGTCCAAAAATAGGGGCCACAAAAAAATGCATGACAAGTCACACAGCAGACGACAGCCCCACTCCCTCCCTCGCCAACACCTCCCTCAACAAAATGGCTTCTCTCAACATACTCCTTTTGCTGTTATTATACTATACATACATTATATATAAGTATCTACATTTGTGTTCACCATAGCGAACCAATAAGCTGGTATTGTAAGTCTAGACAATAACAGGTTGCCACACAGTCGGCAAACGACGCCACCTCTCCCTCCCTCCTCACCAAGATTATCACCAAGATTACTCCTCCCACCATATTATGCACATTGCAAATTCTCGCCACAATTCTATAATTGTCAGAATCCTGGTCACTAAATTCTGTAAATGAATAATTTCCACAAGTTTATTTTGTACAGGAACATGAGGTTGTTTGAAGATTCTTAGATGAACAAAGCAATGGCAGTGTGCTGTGGCTAGCACACGGTCATTGTACAGTCTTTTATCAAAGTCAGGCTCTTCGGAAATACTATCATCATGGCTAAATAATACCAGTTGCATATATATTTTGGCATTTTTAGGCGATGCTGTGGTCACAAGCTGAACAGCAGTGCTGTTAGCTCATGTTGCATATGCCAGTCTTGGTTGCTCACTCAGTACTGAGGCTCACACCTGGGAATGTTGCCCATTTTTTTTTTTCTGGCATCTGTTTGCAAGAGCCCTGAGGAAATTGGTGAACCCTGTATAGCCACGGGACTTTTAAATCTTACGTGGTACTCCCTACCATACATAGCTGTGGTGCGGCATCCTACAATAGTTACTCACCTCGGCTATATATGTGGGTGAGTAACTATTGTACCCTGCTTTTAACCCCTTTAGGAGATAAAAGCGGGGACAGTTAGTTTCCTAAGGGAGAGGTAAGTGAAGCCTATAAAATGATTGTGTATTACTAGTATGTATCCTCAAATGTATGTTTTTCATAGTATTTGAAGGAAAGTACAGTAACAATTTATCCAGTACATTGGCCAAAAGCTAATTTGCCTTCAGTTGGCAAACAGTGAAGTGCATGTTAATTTAATTCCCTCTGATATTTGTGTGTAAATGCTTATTAATGTGTTTATATTATATTACATTATATAATATATAATATACTGTATGTATATATTATAATAATAATATATAATATTTATATTTTTTTCCCCAGGAGGGTAAAAAGAAAAGCTTTAAATGCAAAGGCTGTGATCAGGTGTTTCCAAATCGGTACTTCCTGCAGAAACACATGCTGATGGAACATGAAAACCAGCTTTATGAATGTCGCGTGTGTTCCTTCATTTCTGTGAACCCAGAGAAGTTAAAGAGCCATATAATCAAGCAGCATGTTATAAAAAAGGAGCGTGCTGAGCCAGTATCACTGGATGAAATTCAGGTCACCTTAAATGAGCTCATGTCGAAACAAACACCTCGGAAAGTCATGATGGAGGATGGGGTAGCTCTTGGACGTGATGGTAGCAACAAGATGCAGTTCATTTGTGCAATGTGTGATCGTGTATATACCAGTAAATATTCACTTGAGCGACATGTTCGATGCCACACAGGAGAGAAACCATACTCGTGTGATGTTTGCACCTTTGCTACTAGTTACCGAGAGCACATGCAGCGCCACATGACTAGTGTTCACCTTATCGTACATTCAGATGAGCCTAAACTTAAATATGCAGCCAAGAATCGAAGGAAAACTGAAGAAAAAAATGTGTCAACAGAGGATGATAAAGAGAAAGACCCAAATACTGAGAATGTAAATAAAAATGGGAATGAAAATGAAAACAAAAATGAAAGCAAAATTGAAAATATTGGAAAGGGAAATGAAAAGGAAATTGGAAATGGAAAGGGAAATGGAAAGGAAAATGAAAAAGAAAATGGAAAGGAAAATGGAAAGGAAAATGGAAAGGAAAATGAAAATGGAAACGAAAATGGAAATGAAAACGACGAGACAGATGACAATGTGAGCCCAAATTGTAGCTTAAACTCTGTAGACACAAATGACAGTACTTCATCTGCTGGAAAGAAGAGGAGAAATATATTGCGAAAACGCTTTGAATGTGCTGCTTGTGGAATGAAGGCTACTCATAAGACAGACCTTGTAGATCACATCAGAGAGAAGCATCCAAATGCTCATATTGAATCACTGGATAATGGTGATGGGTCCAAGGTTCATCTTATTGTTACAGTTTCAAAGAAGAGTATTGTAACACGACGGATGGTTATAACCTGCCCTTATTGCTCTAAAGTCTTCCATGACACTTGGAAATATAAAGTGCACATGCGATCACATACAGGTGTTAAGCCCTTCGGGTGCAGTTTGTGCTCATTTTTTGCTACTAGTAAAATGACTGTTCGTGACCACATTCATCGCAAACACAAGAATTGTGAGAATCCCAAAATTCTTTTGCGTACTGTATGTATTGATGGATCGGTAAGTCATGTTGAGCTTAGCATGCCACACAAGGAGTTCAAATGTGAATTTTGTGAAAAGGTGTTTGAAGATAACTATCATTATAAACAACACAAGAAGACTGGTCATCAAGATTCTCTACCATTTTCCTGTACTGAATGTGGTCATAGAGAATGGGCTCGAGCAAGCATCATTATCCATTGTATGCAAAAGCATAGTGATAAAGATCTTGAAGGACTTATCTTGCGCAACAATAAGCCCTTTGCTGTTGGGCCTCTCAAGCTTCCTAAGTGTCAGCAGTGTGACAAAGTTTTTCAGTACCAGTCACAGTTATATATACACCAGAAGCAACACACTGGTGAACGCAGCTTCTTTTGCGATATCTGCAGTTATCGCACCAATATTAAGGCTGCACTCGAGAGGCACATAATGAAGCATCTTGATGGTGAGCCTCCAAAGAAATCTGCAGGCAAAAAATCTACAAGGAATAAGGTTAAAGAAAGTGGCCAACCGATCGTCTTTGTTGACGTTGATAAGATAAACAATGACGTTAGCGTGGGAAAAGTAAAAAAAGAGAAAAAAGAGGGTGCTAAGAGGTCCAAACCGAAAGCTTCTGCTAAATAAGTGCCTTCCAATATATAATAATTTGTGCCTTCAGAGGGACCATACCTATTGTATTAAAATAACATGTCTTCCTTAAGAATTTCCAGACTTAGGTTATAGATTTTATGTAGAGCAAGTAAATTTAGACTGGTGCTTATATATTTTAAATAAATTGTGCTGTATTTATTATACAAATAGGCAATATAAAGTTTTGGCTGTTAAAAATACTGTATTGTTAGATGTAGGGTTTGTTGCACGATCTTTAAACAAGAGATCATTTTTATATTAAGTAAATAATTGTTCAACATTATGCAACTAGTTATATTCAGAATGAAAAGCTCCAGTACCCATCCAAAGAGAAGTGACTACAAAATGATAAAGCTACCGGTAATTATAGTACTTGCTTCCTCTTGATATTTTCTGTACTAGATATGCAGAAAGTAGATAAAAGTATTTTTCCTGTATGTTGTGAATTGTTTTAGAAGAGGCAAGTAATTTTAGTTTATTAGTGAATATATTTTCACTAGCTGTGGTGTATGACATATATATAATGTATGAGTAAAATATATTGAGCTAGCATATTATAAGTTGTAGCTAAAATGAGTATAATGTTGCATTTAAGTTGAAGCTTCAACCTGCTTAATGCTTAAACTGTATTATAGATTATATTTAAATAATCCATTTGCTAAACCTTGTTGAATTTAGTTTGTTGTTTCATAACCTTTTACCATACAGTATACTATTTTAGCAAATTTAAGTAGGTAGCCTATATCCATTTGTTTTTTAATGTTATATCAATATGTAAGTTAACTGAGGTTATGTGCATGTATTGTCTCCATTTTGTTATACTCGCACATGACCTGTTTAGCAAGTGACGTTAGGCGGATCACGTCTTCCCTTTCAAGGAAACTTGTGCCTTCCCGTATGTGCCTTACTGAAGCAACTCTCATGTAGGTGATGATGTGCCTTTAACATACCATTGTAGATGCTCTACATATGATAATACATAAGAGCTAGATGATCAAATCGTGCTCCTAATCCAGACATTTGTATAAACAATTTAGCATGACAAAAACAAAATTTGTTAAGCTAAATTAAGCCTTGGTAATAATAACTGTTAACAGACTTGAGTTATTAATTATGGTAGTACTATACAGTAGTAGTGAATATTTTGATGTGCTTGTAAACCTTCTTGTAATATTTTAAGGTACTCCTGATAGTTATTGACCAGAAATATAATTTTTGTTAATCTGTAACAGCTTATGTTTAGTGATACAGTGATATAGTCTCCCAGGTTTGGCACCTTTTTTGATCATTACTTATTGATTATTACGTATTATTGATAATTACTTATAATTGATATTTACTACTGATAATTATTCACTATAACATCTATTTGTTTAATCATCATACTGATGCCTTTAAAAGTGTAAAAGTTTTATAAATTTTAATATAAATACAGCTTTTTTTTGTTATTTTATTTTGTTTAAAAATTCCACTTTTAAAATATCAGTACATTTTATGCAAATCTGAATAAATACATTTTGACAAGTTGTGTGTATTCAATGTACCCTGTTAGCAGATGTTCTACTTTTATGTGCATGACTATTAGTGGAAGAATGTAGTTTTGATAGTGCAGGTCTCTGTTCCGTTAAGTGCCCTGCCCACAAGTTACAGTACTTGTGTGTGGCCAATACAGTAAATGACCTAGCTAGATGTTTCTTCCTGTTTCGGTAGCAAGAGGAAGGCATGGACGGAAGTTACAGAACGTAATTTATTCTTCTTAATAGGCAATTATATTTCTCTCTGGGTAAGTTAATTATCAGGAGACGGCACTAAGCCATTACGCCATCAGTAATTATTGAATCTGTATCACCGTATCTGGGAGTCGTCGTCAGCCCCCCGAGGACTGGCTCCATGCGGTTGTTCTCCCTATTCGGAAATCAGAATCTCTAGGTACATCCCCTAAGGACTTCCACCCCATTGCCCTCACGAGTTGCGTCTGCAAACTCTTTGAACATATGGTCAATGTCTGTCTGATGTTCTTATACTACCACCACCTCTTCCCTTCTCAATTCGGTTTTCGCAAGTGCCGCAGTATGACTGATGTCTTGATGAACTTGGTCTATATTCGTACTGTTTTGCTGCGAAAATCTCCGTTGTTGCTGTCCTTTTTGATCTGAAAAAGGCATACGACACTACCTGGAGATACCATATTCTGTCCTAACTTCGTTCTTTTGGCTTTCATGGTACTCTCCCTCTTCTCCTCCCACTCTTTGCCGTCTTGACGCTCTGCACCATACTGGGTTACGCCTCGGCTCTGGTGTCTTAAGTTCGATTCCTACTCTAAGCCTGTATGTTGAAACTGGCGTCCTGTCTACAGTATTGCCATGATTGCTAATGTGTTTGCTATCTTGCACAGTCCTTACAACACCCCTCACTCTTGCTTATGCTGTGCCTTGACCTTTACCCCCTCCTGTGGTACCTGTTCCCCTTCACCACTTTTTTCTGTGCAATTCTCTTACAAAATGCTCCTTTGATTTGTGTTAACAATATTCCCCTCGTGTCATTCTGTCTGCCCCAGTGGAGGGTTCCCCTTCCTGAATTTTGTAAAATCTTTACCCACTCCTACAGTTCTGAAACCTTTTCTTCACACTTTCACTTCATTTCTATCTTTACCGATGGGTCTAAATCTGCAGGTGGTATAGGCTACTCTTGTTTTTCCTGACCACACCTGTGTGTGTTGCCTGCCTCTGGAGACTAGCATTAAGTTTTGCCATGAAGATGCCATTCTATATGCTCTTCGTCAACTACTTTCTCGCTGTCAATTCTTTTATTGTAGTTTATTCTTGCAGTGTTCTTCTGGCTCTGGAGTCCCTTAATCTAGTCCATCCTGTGGTAGTCGAAATTCAACATTGTCTGTTTCTTATCTTCAGTAGATTTAAAACAGTGGAGTTTTGCTGGGTTCCCAGCCATATTTGGTGTCCTTAAGTTCAAGTATGTTTATTGAGACAAGAAAGAAATACATCTCAAAGGAATAGAATAGCTTAGGCTATTTCTATCCCACTAGTGTGTCCTTAAATGTGTGCGGACGCTGCTTAGGAAGCTATCTGCACCTGTCCCCATCTCCTGTAAAAGTATTCCTTATTCTGACTTTTACCCAGTTATTCATTCCTCCTTCCTTGCCCATTGGCAGGGTTGTTGGTCTTTTGCCACTGATAAACTGCATGCTTTTCAGAGTAGTGTGTCCCCATGGCCTTCCTCTTACCACTGTAACCGACTGTGGGAAATGGCTCTGGCAAGGTTACGTATATGCCATACACGCTCAACTCACGGACACTTAATGGAGCGCCGCTCTGCTCCTTATTGTTCAAAATGCATTGTCCTCCTTACAGTCGTGCTCATCTTTGTTGAATTTCCTGACTTCCAAGACGAGCATGTCTTGCTTTCCGGCTGTCCCTTGTCCCTTAAAAGAATCGGATTCACCAAGAATTCTATCGATATTTTTCACCTTATGTGTTTCTGTTCTCATATTGGCATCCTTTAGTGATATTTAGCGCCCTCTGATTGATTATTCCACATGTTACTTGCAAGAAAATATATCACACATTTGTTATAACTACTGCATTTTACATATATATTCTGGAAGAGCATACAAATACATTTAAGACAATTAAACAGAAGAGAGTAGTTCAATTTATTAAATAATTGTACAGTTGCTGTACATATGTATTAATTACTATCGCACTATACAAGGTGTATTTTGCTGAAAAACATTAAGTTGTCATTACAGAATACTGTAAATACATGAGATACAAATAAAGTAGCTGCCTCCACTGTGACCAAAATATTACACATCTTTTTGATTGTCCACAAACTTTGGCTTCATAATCAGAAATATAAAAATTGCTGATGAATTTAAACATTTTTCTAAATAACTTACAAGTACTAGTACTGTAATGAGGCATTGCATTTAGAAATTATAAATAATGTGGTTTCCCAAACAATGCAGTTACATTTGATCGACTGGTTTTTAATTTGTTCTATTTCGATATAAAATTGTATTATATTTAACATTATACATTAGTAAAGCTTCAAAACTATCCCAGTAAATATGGTATATTTTTGTATTAAATATAATTATACATTCTTAAATAACAAGTACAGCATTATATAAAATAAAATTACACTAAAAACTGAAAGCACCTTTAGAGCTAATTATATACAAAGATTTCATATCAAACATTTTTCCATTGCAAACTTGGATACATTCACACTCATTTTCCAATGCATTTTCATAAAAAAAAAATTACAGATAGTTATACATACATTTTCATCAAATTTGCAACAAGACAACTTAAAGCCTTATGAAACACATTAACGTACTCTTTCCCATCCCAACTCACAAGTTAGCTGTTTTTAATCCAATCTTGTTACTTTTACATCCATAGGATATAAAGGATATAGCACAATATATAAGTAGAGAGCTTTACTTAATAATTTGATAATTTTATTACATTTTAGCATCAATGGTCTTTTCTGTACTTATACTGTGATCATTAGAAAATTTCAAACTACAAAAGTGCTTTGTAGTAAGTTTTGTCAGTTTTTTGTGCAAATATGGAGCAGTATTATATATCACTGTTTAATATTGGTATAAATCACTAAGTTATACTGTATATTATTAACTAAGTATAAATACAACAAAGATACATCTGAAAATGCCAGTCTATAACATGAGAAAAAATAGGTTTAGTACTAAACTTGATAAAACTTCCACTACAATTGGCACATATCACACTGGATCGTCCAGCAAACCTGATATACCATTAACTACATTACATACACATACAATTATATGAATATATGAGACTAGCCTAATATTATCAAGAGGTTCAAGGCATAAGCTAATGTTACATGTGAGTTTCTATGAACACGGAATTCACGTTTATTATAAACTACAGTACTAGCAACCAGTTCCAGCACTTTTAAGGCTAACATATCAAATATGTTTTCAGATCCTAGAATGAGATCAAAGAAAATGGCAATTTACTTGCCACCATACATGGGGTTCTTAAATGTTGATGTTGCCTGCTTGTAGATGGGATTCTCACCCTGTAAACAAGTGAATAAAACAATTAATATACCGAGAGCTACAGATGTGGTAACTTAATACAACATCCCGCAAGTCTACATGGTCTCTGTTATAAGAGACCGTGACTTGTACACCAACTTTTAGCAAGTGTTAGTTACTACGTAATGTAAAATTACAATTTGTTAAAGTTTTGTAGATTAATAGGATATTTAGCCTAGAGCTACAAAAGTTGGAATATTTTGCTATAGCATTATAAAATAAAACTAAACATTATTTGCATAAATAATGACATTTGTACAGTAATTTCATATTCTAAGCAGGGTATTATGAAAACTGTGTCTATAATAGTTTATCAGTTTTCTACCTTCCCTGACACTACCTTACTTCTCCTCTCCCATATCAGTTCCACAATACAGTAATACAATCTGAAAGGGTGATCAAAATCCACTACGTACTAAAGTTTCTTGCCTTCCAAACACTATTGACTAAATACAGTATTATCATGAGCAGGCAAATTTTTTCTTCAGTGTAGAATTAATTCACCACTTCATTATATATGTCTGTGTGTGTGTTTTTAATACTATTATTGTATTCTGTTTTTCTATTTCCCTACAGCATGGCCCATACAATGTCCACTCTTGCTTCTAATTTTCTCATTAACGTAAATCTCAAAAAATTTATTTGGATATTACACAACTTTTACTCCCACAAATGCATTATACTGGTAAGTCATGTGGCCATTCCTGTTAGGTCTGAAATCATCCCAATTAATACAACCAACAATACGTTTAGAAGACTTACTGTATCCCATCTAGCCATCATGCGTTCCTTTTCAAAACGTGCAAATTCCCGTTTGTCATGGATGGTAGTGAGAACCTTCCACATCAGCAGGAGCGCCAGTCCCACCGCAACAATTGCACCGATCACACCAAGAACAATTCCTTCAAGAAAAATACAGATGTAAGATAGTAAATACTGTACAAAAATGTAGACCAGATTTTCTTAAGTTTAAAAGCATATGCACATCAATCTGAATTAATTTGGGTCAGACCCTATTACTACAAAAAAAAAAAAAAAAAAAAACACACTGTAATCAGCATTACAATAAAAAAGAGCAAAGTTCTATGCACTGCCACTCAATGGTCAAAAAATCCTCCTGTATTACCGTTTCTTATAGGAATTAAAAATATGTTGTACAGCTAAAGTAAAGACATTTGATCCAAGCACTGCAAAAATAATGGCTGAAGCACAGTAATTAAACAATTTTCCAAGGCATTACAGATATCCAAATTAATTCAGTATTTTATGCCTTATCAATACTGTACATTGTATGTATACACAAAACCTAAAGCAGTGTGTATTAAGCATGAGTAAGTTATCAGCAACAAATATCCCTAACAATGCAGTTCAAAATTTAACAACTTTAAACTGAAGCAAAGGGAGATAAAAGGGAAATTAGCCAGTGACCCTGTTGCAAATACTTACCAAATGACCTACTTAGTCATGCATGATACAGCTTGGAATTTTTACAGTAAAATGATGTAAAATTCAATTATCTTGGGATATTTTGCAACAATATATCAAAGTCAATGCAAAATAGCTAATTTCTTGATGAAATATGGCCAAGGCACAAAGATAAACCTCAACAAATTTAGTCAAATTTAGTCCAAAAGCGGACATGAAAAGACACATTACCTCCAAGTGTAAAAAATTATGATAATCAGATAAAAAGCAATTGTAACATTAGCTACAGTATTACTGTACACATGTTCTTGGGTCAGCCACCGTCATGTCAACCACAAACTATGTTTGTCAAAAGAATTTACAAGTCCCAAGATCTCCAGTTCCCCAGTGCCCTAATTTTGTAGAAAAGAGCTTACAAATAAAAAATTACAATAGAATCACATAGTCAGTGTATGCTATCATGGAACTCATGCAAAACATTTGCCGTAATAGGACATCAACAAAAATACTAACCAAGAATATCAAGTTTTGGTGGACATTCAAGGGTCTGCTGAACACGTACTATGGGTTCCTTATTCTCATCGTAGCCGTATACAAACTTGAAACGGCAATCATTTTCATCAAAGAAGCTGCACAGTCGTTCACCTTCTTCCTCAACTATAAGAAATAAAAAATACACAGAATTAGACTGTACTCAAAGTTAAAACACAAAATTCTGAACATTATGGATAAAGATTATTGCAGTTCCTAAAGCAATGTATAATACAGTACAGTAATTACCTTTTAATTATTCTACATTAGTAAAACAGACTAGACAATTAATTCTGAAAGTTTACCTATACAGTACTGAACATATATCTACTACAATACAAACACTAAGGCCCTGCAGACGACGCATCACAAAGTGGCCGATATGAATCCCCAAACCACACACTAGATGAAGAAACTACAGTACCACGTTTCAGTCCATCCTGGACCATTATCAAGTTGTATGCCACTTTATAATGGTCCACAATGGATTGAAGCGTTGCTGTTTCTTCATCTTCGGGTGTGTGTAGTGTGGTCATCAATTAGGCCTTGAAAAATAAATCAGGAATGAGTATGAATCAATATACACACACACAAACAGTAATGCCAATAATAACAGAAAACATTACTCAATCACCAGTCCTACATTCAGATTAATTTCAAACTGAGGCGAGTCATGAAGACCTTTTAATGATCTACCATCTCTCAAACTTAAGAGCATAAGAAGAGATGAACTTAAGAATTATTTTCTTTTAGTACAGGTACTGGTTTATATCTAATGCCGAGATCACCCATGCAAATCTTATTTCAGGCATTGTGCACACACAATATCCACACTCCATAACTTGAATATACATACTCAACTAATTTAAATTAGAGATCCAGTGAAAAATTAGCAAATCAACACTAGAATCCGTGGTATAATTTAAGGAGCTATTGTAAAAGCTCATTAGTTTTAATATGAAATATTTTGCTCATTAGAGAAGCAAATTGTTTGATTTTAAATCAATATGCTTCATATGCTTTACCCACTTTTCTCTACTAAATTTCTCCTTTGATTTGAATTCTATATTCTTAGTAAAAATAAGAAAGCTATGTGTAAGTGATTACAGGATGGAGACGATTACCTACAAGGACAACTAGACTTACATAAAACTAGTAAGAAACAGGAAAGAGAAATAGTTACAGGTAACAGGAGAAGGAAAGTAAAATCCCAAAGGTTCTTGGAAGATGTATTGAAACAAGATTAGAGGAAGAACACAGTCGGGTCAACTAACACAAGGTCAGGTCATCTACCATACATGCAAAAGAAACGGCGTGGCATAATAATTAAGATTTTTATCTCAATCTTTACTAGAACAGTACTTGACAATTTGCTCAAGGTTTGCCAAATTTATAGAGTGAAGACAAAATGGAAATGACAGTAATAATTGCTCGAGAAGAAGCTAGTAAAATATTAATGACTAGAAAATCTAAAACTAGAAAAGTCCCAAGCCCCACCAAATTATTTGTGGAGTCTTAAAAGAAGGCAAGAGCTTGCTACACAAAGAAGCAAGTTACTCGTCTCATATATCATAACTGTGATAAATAATGAAGTTTCAAGGTCTACTGTTTCAGTTTTCTTTAGTCAGTAAATTATGAAACCTACAATACTTCTGAAGTAATGACACACAGACAATGATGAACAGTTGAAAGCACTTATCACACATACACATGCTTCCCATATTTACAAAAATGCTTAACAGACCTCTATGGTTTCTACGGTTTCCGTCACACAAATGCGCAGCAAGAAAATGGATGCTTTCGTGCCAAAAAATCAAAACCCTCTTGTTTTGTCATATACCTTTAACCCAATCAGTGACATTAATTGTATAGTTGGCAAAGACTCGGCCAGTGATGCTGCTGTAGAGAAGGGAGCAGCGACTACACAAGTCAGGCTCTTCAACTAAAGGTCCCGTCTCGTACACACGACACTGTACACAGTCCTTAAAGTCCAGACACTTTAAGTCTGTGCCACACAGCTACAAGGAAATAGTCATGCTATCAATATTAACTACGAATAAGGACACAATCTTTCAATCTAAACATTCATAAGCCTGCACGGTGAGAAATTCTCAGAACCTGCAAGTGGGCTCGTGAACCAGTCTTCAGACCAAGAGATTATAACTAAATTATCCATGATATATGTACAGCAAGGATCACCTCATAAATTAGTTTTTTTTTTTAATATACAGTGCAAATCCTTTGCTGTAATCACATGTCATGGATAAAAATTACTTCCACTACATGTACTCACCGGCTTCAGGAACACGTGTTGCATTGAAGAGCGTGCAGTTGGCGATACACTCCTCAGGGGTGAACTCACCAGTCTCGAACACCTGGCACTGTACGCAGGCCTTGTATGGTACGCACTTGCCCTTGCATGTCTATGGTAGGGACATAGATCCACCCACACAATGAAAGCAAGTAGTGGACATATCAGTGTGATATGCGGCAACCACAATGTGTAATTAAGTAAAGGTAACACATGGCGTTCAAAGCCATTGTAAAGGAGAAGGGAACAACGACACACCAGGCAGGCAGGCAGGCAGAGGCAAGTACGGGGAGAGGGAAACATCACATTAGTTTTAATACATAATACTGTATATATATATATACTGTATATTGAAGTTGCATACACTATTCTACAAATTTTCTATAATAGATGCTTAAAGTAAAAATTAATACAAGCAAAACCAGTGTGCCAAGATATAAAAAGTTTTTTCCATCTCCTAAATTGTAATTGTAGAATATTAATTCATAACTGGTAGCTATCATACACTAGGAAAATAATGAATTCAAATAATATCAGCTAGTTAAACTACTGTCTTGTTTTCTTTCCAATAAAATACTTACAAGTATTGACCTTAACATAGATACCAGTAAAATATAGAGGAATGTGTTATCATAAACCAATTTGCTACAATACTTTGGAAACTATATACCAGGTAGCTAGTTATTTTAAAGCACTTTCCACCTCAATTTCCATTTGATTCAAGACTTTCTAGAATGAACATGACTGAACCTGCTTAGCTTATGATTAAGTGGTAAAATAACATTCATTAAAGAATCTTGTAAATATATAAGTTATTATACAATTACACAGTCAGATGACACCAATTAAGTCTTATGAACTCTACAAAACTTTGTATGAGTAGCAGCAATAGCCACATAAAATCAAACTTGCTCATCCGTGTAACAATACGCGCTACCCAGAAATGAAGCGGGTGTACCTGTATCTCAGCAGTGCCTTAAAAACACCACGCTATGTGAAAACCAAACTACAGTACAGTATTCTATCATTCCAAGACATGTGCAGTAAAATACCCAATACCAGTAACAAAACAGTGAGAGTGGCAGGCAATTGGGAAATGTCAAACATCTAGTGCAGCGTTTTCCAACCCGGGCTCTGCAGAACCCCAAGTTAACTAGGGGTTCCACAAGAGACAGCGCTAAGTAGGTCGATTCTAATCATATGCAATGTACTTTTGAGTTCTTTTGGGCTTAATTTTTCTCATTTATCCAGCATCAAGAGCAAACACAGAAGTTGTCTCCTTTCAATTGACAATGAAATCCGTGTCTATTTATCTAAAGTACGACCTGGAATTATTTCAAGACTACAAAGGTTGAGAAACGCTGATCTAGTACAAGGATGGTAACACTTATATACCTCAAGACACCTCTATACCTGCTTCATCCTGGCTGCTGCATGGTACATGCAGAAATTAGAGTTATAAATAAATACATTTATAACTAAATAGCTGAATAAGGTAGTTATCACTAACTTTAATGAAGACTGCACAATAAAAGTACTGTAATAGAAACCTATAAAACCAAGTTTAGAACAGAATTTCTTCTGTTAGCTACAGTATGTTTACCTCCTGCTAACATACTATACCTCTTGTTAGCTACAAATATGTATATCTATTACTTGATGAGGGAGACTGAACAAAGCATCCTCATCCCACTTCTCAAGACATCTAGCCCAATACACAAGCCATCTCAAGAAATGTTTTCTATATGGAATTAAAACTAAGGTTCAATACTAGTCAATACAAAGTGAAGGCTGATCTTCAAATAGAATTGAGTGCTGTCCTACAACGTGTGTGTAAATATAACCCACACTTTTCATTGGCTATGAATAAAAGGCAAAAGTAGGGGTACAATTTACAAATGAATGCACAGCTCGTGAAAAAATCATTACAGACTATCTCACCATCCTTGACCAGTCACCTCAATCACCAGACATCGCTGTCACCAAGACCACCACCAGTATATACCGCTACAATACAAGGTTGTGATGAAAGGTATTGCTGTTCTAAATACAGTACAGTATTCATATTGTCCCCATGGTGCAGTTGTAACACACTCGCCCATTGCTTCATGAGCTATTTGGCCTGGGTTCATATCCTGGTTGGGGAGGATTAACTGTGAGTCAACCTTTAACTATAAACCTCTGTTCACCCAGCAGTGAATGGGTACCAGGTTGTTAAACAATTTGGCGGGTTATATTCCAGGGAAAATTAACATTAAGAACTTGCCCGAAAAGCTATGTGTGTTAGTGGCTTTACAAGAAATGTAAGAACTCTTGTATATATAAATAAATAAAAATATTGAAAGAGAGAAGTATATTCCTCATTTATTTCAATACCTGTACAAGACTCCACCCCACTATTTACAAAAAGCATTTCATTTTTACATGCATAATCTGTTTTCCTCCTCTATGTGTGTCTTCATTTTGATGAGAAAAAAAATGGAACAAGAAATAAAAAGTAACCAAATGGCTACTATCGTGAGTTAGGGCACATATTGTGCCAATACATGCATTTCAAATCGGGTTACTGTCCTGACCAGAAACAGAGTGGAAAGGCAAAAATCCGAGTTATGTTTAGGGAACAAATACTGTACTGATAATTGTGGGACACCTGCAACATAGGAGCTCAATTATGTACTGTATTTAAAATTCCTACTGGAATTTCTATATTAATACCTAAAATACCGATTCATAGCCTAAATGAATAAACTACGAAGGTTGATAATGCAGCCCATTCTCCCGAGTTGCTACAATGGACAGAAAATGGTGTACCCAAATGCTCAAACCTAATCTATCAACCATGCATACAAAAGATAACTATTTGTAAGTCACTGAGTTATAGTACCCTTTTATTTGTCTGTTGCGGATTTTGATGTAAAAATGTAGAGTAACATTCGAGAGGACAGGTGGGATAACGACACACTTCAGACACTGGATCCATTTATCTAGTAATGGAACTAAGTTACCACATCAACTTCAACAAATATGAAGCCTCAAACCAACCAAACCTAACCCAACCGAGCCTAACTCAAGATAATATATCCTAATAATATATACTGTACATGGTTTTAACAAATGGAAAACAAGCTTTAATGAACTGTCTTTTGTAAGACTTGATCATACCTCGAAAGTTGATACAGAAAAAGATTCATCTTAAATACTAAAAGGCTGACGACTAGCAGAAGTTAAACCATATAAATTTTACAAAAGAGTAACAAATATGGTACGTACCGGGCAGTCCTCGCACCACTTGCCAGAGTAGCGGCCGTCAGCATTTTCAAAACACTTGCACTGATTACACTCACATTCTCCCTGATTAGAGCATATTTCACCATTGGCTGAAAAAATGCAAAGATTTCTCTGCAGTTAGGAATGTTTTAAGTCAAATTTTATTTTAAATTTACCAAGCTAAAAATTCTTGAAATACAAGTTTTCAAACTACACACACTATAATTGCCAAGAAAATATATCACTGCTGAAACTGATGAAAGAATACATCAATGTTTCTGCCGTGACTATCCATCACATCACCTATACCGATTACTTCATTAGGCTGCCTTAATGTAGTTATTTGATCAATTAATGAAACTCATCCCCCTCATTCTAAAATCAAAGGTATGTAGAAAAATAGATGCTTTCATTAAATGGAGCACTCAAGAAAGGCATTCCTAGGTGGATATATCTTGGGATATAAACATGGTGAGAGAGTGCATCATTACAGTACTAAAGTATATATATTCAGGGTATGCTAGTTGAATGCATTCTGTGTAAATATCGACTTTATAAAAACTACAAAAACTTTGATATGATAGAACAGATTTTCTCCCAATTAGACTTAAATCAAGGTTTCAGCATATATTAAATATAGACACTTGGAATTCTCACCAGGGTTGATGCAGTTTTCTATACTATCTTCACAGTTGCAGGCTTCCCCTGTCCAGCCTGGCTTGCACTTGCAATCATTACACACACACTCACCATGGTCTGGGCCAGAGCACAACAAGCCATTGAAACGATTACACAGGAAGTTTGTACACTCACAGAACTTGCCATCTACAACCTGTCAAAAATGAGAAGTTTTAAGATTAAAATAATTCAATGAAGTCACATAAAACATGACATCAAATAATGTAATATAACACCACTGATCCTATTTTCTAGGTTGCCTTTATGCTTTGCAATTACAGTCATATTAATTTTACGCATTTCAATACAGCAAGAGGTCAGGTAGGTTACTCAATCTTGTTTTTCTTAAGTATTGAAATGTAATACTAGTATTGGTACGTTACATGCTTAAATCAACAAATGATTGATGAAGATTAAGCCACCCAAGAGGTGGCACGGGCATGAATAGCCCGTAATGACCAATAAATATGGCTGTATGTTAGCTCACTTACTGTTGCACCTCACTTCATGTTTTGATCCTAAAGAAGGCTTAATATTTCTGTATAAATTTATTTTCTTTATCTGTTTTATTACATTGAGAAAATAATTACATTACAATTCTGAACAGTTTCCACTTTCCATTTTTTTTTAATTATTCTAATCATAGCCTGTGTGTTTTCCCGGTACGAAGAATATCATAAATACGACCAACTTGCCAAGAAATTTTATATATTTTAGATACACAATACAACCAAAAATTAATTCTGCCAAAAATTCTAATTCCCCCCCTCCCTACACCAATTTGTGTCATTCCTTATTTTTAAATTTCCAAAACGGATTTTTTTGTATATAATTAACCATTAAAGCACTCGATAATGATCAAATCTTTAAGAACAAAACATTTCCACACCCAAATTGACAATAAAAATTGCAAGTCGACTTCAATATACTAAATAATATAATACATAGGTCTGTAGACTGTATTAATTTTACACAATACGGTTAGTTACGGTATGAAAAATCTTATAAATAGGCGGGAGGTCCGTGTTGGGCACTCTTATATCAAACCTATTTCCACACTGTGTGGTTTGGATACTATTGCTTGGGGTGTCATTTCATTATGCTGACAACAGATAGCAAAATGTGATGGATTCAGGTGTGAACTTTGAAGGCTGGAGGACCTGATCAAACATTACAGGATATGGGGAACAATTTTCCCAGTATCAGGAGGAAGAGGGATGGGAGGTTGAACACTATCCACACTGTACTCGTTTCCTTCAGGCAACCACCACCACTTTTCATAGAAAGAGATTAAAAATCTTGGATGAAAATTTTAATATTTAGATTTCTAACTTACCTCATCTGGCTCATCCCTCTCATTACACTTGCACTCTCCACACGTGCAAGTGCCACGGCCACTACAGATAGCAGAAGAATTTGTTTCCCGACAACTCGAGTCGTCAAGGCTGCCTGTTCCCCGAGGAGTGTTGGTACCACATTCACAGTTGCTGCCCAAGAACCCTTGGTCACACTTACACACTCCACACTGGTATGTGCCATGCAAGTTACACTCTTCAGCTCCAGAAATGTAGCCCTGAAACATACACAAGTGTTAAATTGATCATATCAGAACAATCCAATGAGACATCTATAGCCCTGTATAATGATGGGTTTGAGCCTGCAGTCCCACAGCTCATGGTTCAGTTGGTAGTGTGTACCTCTGGAGTCACCATACATTCTCAATCATTTCTCATCTATTTCCTAAAACACAATATATACTGAGGTAGAGGATATACTTTAGAAAATTTTATTAAATTATATTAATTACACTTGTTACACTTTCAATAGTAATTTTACCAGAAGTATTTTACACACACACACACACACACACACACACACACACACACACACACACACACAAAAAAAAAAAATGACTAAACCTAACGTATATACAACAACCACAGAAAAGTTTAAATATCACCTAAACATAGACACCGACAAAAATAGTACTGTATTTAAATCTAATGACAATCATTCTAGGGTTGTATTCTTGACAAGACTCTCCTACACAACCTGATGCCAAAGCTTATTATATTTGATTAGCTTAAACATTTGACTATAAGCCAAAAAAAATACAAAATAAATCCAATTTTGTATTGTGAAAAATTGGGAACTAATTTTAAAAAACAGTAAAAACTAGATAGAAGTACAGCAGCAGACACAACAGAAAAATCACTCGAGATTCCCACCTCATTTCCTGGCCGCTCACACAGGCAGTCGCAGAGCATATCCAGTTCAATTGTCAGGTTCTCACGCAGGCCAACCGGATAGATGCCAATCACTTGGTGCCAGTCTTTCCTATCCGCAGGGCATTTTTCAACCTATTTCGTTTGAAATTTGTTAACATGAAAGACACACACACATTGGTATTAAATTATTCTAATAAATGCAAGCACAGCAGCAATTCAATGACTTTCATATTTAGAGTTTCATATTCTTTGTTCATTATTATAATTGAATCAATTAAATGTTTTACATAGCTATTGAAGCACAAGACACTATAAACAAGACATACGGTAATTTCGGCGCGGAATTCCACTTGATCACCCACACGCAGACCTTGACAAACTGAAGTTTCCTTCTCTGTGCTACCTTTGCACTTGGAGAAGTAGCGAATAAATACTGGCGCTGTGGCATTGTCCTTCAACTCCACTTTACTGGTAATTTTCTGCAGGAAATGATCAATCTTTTATTAAAAGAATACAGTACTGTATATAGTACAGCAAAATAAATAATGATTTACCAGATGTTGTAAATATTCAGAATAAAATTAAATTTCAAATATCTATATTGCTATAAGAGAATGTATGCACATTTGCTATCCAACACTGGGGGCTAGATGCGTGGGGGGAAGGGGGGAGCCTCGTCCAACTTCGCATCGTAAATGGTGAAAGGGAGGCATCAGCACGGGTGGGTTGGGACGTTGCCCTCACCGCTTCCCCAAATAAGGTGGCTGGCAAAGTTCTTAGAATGTATTTCCTGGGTCGGCCTCATTGACGCAACCCTTTGTTGCCCAGGTCAACCCAAGAACTGAGTTGTGACCCCAAGTGTTGGGTAGTGCTCCAGGCTCTCGACACTTATATTGTGCAACATTTCAGGGTTGACCTGGGCCCCGGCAGCTGCCTCCAGTAATTTACAGTAACGGCTAATGGTTGGGAGAACATGCCAGTTAAAGCAATGCTCACCTCAGCAAACATGATCAGAGCTAAGTAGTGAAAACATGAATGTACAGTAGTGCACTGTCTGTACTTTAAAGCATTCATTACACAATGACTGCATAAAAATCTTACCTTAAACCCAGCTTTCATAATGATTTTGAAAAAATAACATATCATTGAATAATACAGTGTTTAAAGTATTCATACCTTCTTAAGACTTCATGACAGTGTAAAATCTTGCCAAAGCAAACCACACATGAAGAATATGTATGTGCTTATCTTCCCTGTCTATTCTCTCGAGTATTTCGTATGAAGTAATTATGCCTACCATTTCTTCCCTATAGTACTAGTCTGGTGAGATACCTCTGAACTTTTTCCAGCCTTATTTTGTACTTAATGAGATATGGGCTCCATGTGGGAAGATGAACCAAGATAATTGGAGATACATTAACAGTACAAGTAGCAGCTATCTTCCAAACACTTATGTGCGCTCAAATCAGAGCCCGAGGTTACTGATATATGCACTAGAAACAGAGCCAAAAACAACAGCAGATCGTAGTAATAATGAGCTCGAAACACACTGAAGTCCTCCAAGGAATTGAACCTTAGAAAGACTGACTGACTATTGTTTACACAGGAGGGACTGCAGATTTTTTTTTAATACAGTACTTGTTACTAAAACTGACTATTTGACTTGTTCGGGCTAGTGAGATATTTACAAAATAATCATTAGTGTGCGTTTGTTTTTAATAAAAAATTATATTAAAGTTAGGCTTTACTATAGTTAGCAAAATTAATAATTTGTTTATACCGAACAATTATTACTACAGTACACCTACCTTTATTATTTGCTTGCTGTCAAATTCTAATAATGACTCATTCTGATAAACTGAATTAAAGGAATATTCTCAATAGCTAGACAATACAGCTACAACTGGGATGTTGGGATGTAAAGATAAGGTGACCTATTTGACAGGTAGGCATACACAAAGGAGCATAATTCACCTATTACACCATGAATACCAAAAATCTTGTATCTATGTACACTGTACAGACGGTGTATCCTATCTTCGGATCAACATTACCCCTGGATCAACAATGTGCATCAGCTGTTAACAACAACAACTTACATTGTATTCCCGCTTGACAAGTTCAACGACATTGGAAGAATTTGCTGTCAATTCACCCTGACTAGATCCTTCAATCATTTGTGACAAACGAGAGTATACTGATGACTGCTCTTCAGTGACGGCAAAAATCAAGTTCATCTTGTGTTCCTTAGTAACTTGGTTTATCTGTAACATAAAAAGGCATACATTTTAATAAACAATGAAATACTCAAGAAAGTCACTTCAGAAATGTTGTCAACAGTTATTGCTCAATAACTACAAAACTAACTTAACTGATAAGGAAACAAAGCCCATGACACAAAAACGGGGAACTTGACTGATTGCAAAATAATAGGCAAAGTTTTATGCACCAAGACATTTTTCAATTGAATTGGAAGGAATTTTGAAACTTAATGATACATTTTAAGACCATACCTGTATTATGTGTGTTATATACCGATATCTAATGAGAAACAAACCAACTATATTAAACATGTGATGGTTTTAAAAAGTTGATCAGGCATCACATCATGAAAAATTCAATGTTAAGAGCAGCAGAATCTGGAGAAACGTGTGGTATTGAAAGGACAGATAGAATAAAGAATGAAAATACAGTATCATGGAAACAAAGAACAAAATCCTGCAAAATGTTAAATTTAGGAGAGCATACCAAGAAAAACACTGTCTACTCTTAAATTACAATTTCTCATACAATAAGAACTCGGTAATCAAAATTATGGTAATCCTAATGAACTCACATTCCTCATTTTCAAGTAAACAGTGGGAATAAGAGGGTAAACAGCAGGATTACTGGGGTAAACAGCAGAAGTAAAAGGTTGACGATGGGAGCAAGAGGGTTAACGACGGGAGCAAGAGTAAACTACATGAGTAACCAGGCTGGGGTACAAAAATATGCAAATTTGTTAATTTTTTAACATTATTGAAAAGATATTAGCTAACTTGAATGGAGGTAGCAATTAGTTACAATTATACAATTATAATTGTAACTTGGTTAGTTACAATTATAAAAACAATAAATGGAGAATTACATGGCCTTTGCAAACAATACAATATTTCAAGCAATTTACATACAACTTAGATTAGCGAGCACTGACAGGACATATTTTGCCCAAGATCTGACAATATCTAGAATAGCAACAATTTGAACATAAATCTGTGCCACAAAGATATTTCTATTACCTGTAAACTATATTATGAAAGTCATGACATTTTCTTATGGCCCACCAATACTTTATTTTGAAGCATTGAAAGATGTATTCTAATATACAACATCCAGCAACTAAAACTAAATACAAATTTATTGGTCCTCTTGTTGCAGGATTTAAATATGACGGCAGCATTCTCTGAATATAAATTGTGAAAATTAGATTACTTTATTTTCTGGAATATGAGATGAACAGAACTTACAAGGATATTTTGTGGTAAAACCATTTTGGTAGGCACCGTCATTTATCGAGTGACTCAAATACTGGTAGTTTGGTAAAGGAGACATGATTTTGTGCATGTTAATACAATATGTATTGGGTTGGTGGTGGACGAAACATGAGTCCTATCAACCAACAAAAAAGTTTAGTAAAAATGAATCATGGAATAGCATGCAACAAAGATTACCTGTGACACTGAAGGATAATCCTGGAGTGTGGAGTGTGTATAGTACTCCCCTTTGAGATCCATGTGACATTCACCATCATTGGGCTTAACAATACCACCAAGCTGAAAGCATTAACAATTAATGTAACAAGGCTCCACTTCAATACAAATCTCACAAATTTGGATGAAAAATAACTATACCTGCAGATCTTTTTAAATGCCTGTATTGGGGGACTAATTGGACACCTAATCAGTGGCAAAAGTTTCTCCTATAGTAATGCATTTGTCCCATTGGCTCCAGAAGTGCCTTCATGCTGTATTTGTACACACTGCAAACTAATTACAATTATAAAAACAATTAAATGGAGAATTACATGGCCTTTGCAAACAATACAATATTTCAAGCAATTTACATAAGCATTAGCCAAGATAGTTATGGTACTTCAAATCCACCATAAAAATTAAATACAGTACTTTAATTAATGTAGTTTTAATTGCTGTAGCAAACAGCAATGGCAAAACAGGGAGTTGATAAGCCTGGGAAATTGAAGTTGCTAAATTTTGCATCTTGTCTACCCAATATCTTAAATTTCTTACTAACTCTGTTCCATATCAGAAATATAAGGTAAATTATACCTTATACATAATTATAATCCACTATATTATGTGTGTCCCAATTCTAAAAACTGTATTAGCATAATTTAAAACTATTTTTTTCAATATATTGCACAGTACAGGAAAGGACATTTTACCCCAAAACTATGCCATTACCTTGCCATCACCAGCATAATGGAAGCCCGCATCAGTGGAGAACACCAGAAGTCTGCGAGCCTCCTGTCGCCAATTGATGTGCTTTTGACATACAATGGCCTGCATAATAGCATCAAAACCTCCCTCAGGTGCATCCAAATTACCAGATACAGGTGCATCTTGAACCTCTCGCTACGAACATGAAACAGTAATGAAACCATTATTAATAAGCGCATGATCTACAAGAGATATCAGTGAAAGAACCGCGAGAAACCTCTTTGGTTATTCTTGCTACACAGAAGAAAAATTGTATATTTTATATAAAATTGTATATGTATATGAAAAACTAATTCTAAATATTATAAACTTCTCACCTGGTTTACAAACAAATTACTAGTATAGCTATATTATACCTCACAATCAGCATAATCAATTACATACAAATTTAAATTTTGTGTATAATAGTTTCCGAACTGAAGATCACATACAGAATAATATACTGTATTGCAACTGTACTGCATTTCAAAATACTCAAGAGAGTTGCATCAGTATAACTTCAAATTTTCAGAATGCAACCAAATTATTAATCTAGGTCACAATAACATTAGGCAGTTGACTTACAGCAAAAGCTTCAGCATTGGTAGTAAGTGGCAACGCATTTCGGAATCCATAAGGAGATGCACAATTCGTACAAGGAGCCTGAAGCCTGGAAATAATAGCACGTCAACATACTATGAACTACAATAAAAATACGTTACATAAAACAACGTTCAAATATAATGTAAACTTCTGCTTTACTTATCAGTTGCTCCATAATACAAAGTTTGCTATTCCAATAGCAACCTTGTAATTTATGACCTATCAGTACCATAAACCTCATTGGTTATGCAACTGCACAGCACCTACAGTGTTTGGGCGAGGTGGACACATCTCCTTCCTGTGCACCAACCCATGTGCCTTTTAATCTCGAGCTACACTACAAGACAATGTTCCATAACCTGAAGGATTTCCATATATATTTAATTTCCCTAATTCTGATTAGTAAAGATGTCAAGCAGACCATTTGTCATGCTGAAGGAGTCAAGATGCTAACAATTTATGAAAGTAAAATTGAGTGCAAGACTAGAGGGGGGGGGGGAGTAAGGTAATTATGAGGAGAAAGCACTCGGAAGGGATATGAGGATGGAGAAAGAATAGTAACCAATCACAACAACCATCGAGAATGAACAATGACCCTAAACAAAGAGACCCCATCTATTAACCAGAGCAAATTGAAATGTTTATCAGCAGAACCCACCATACAATTTAATGTGTAATATTTTCAGCAAAACATTACAAGGATTATTAACATAAGACAATTATGAAATACAATTTATTAAGAAAAAATGTAAATTTCCATTGTATGTTATGAGTGAAGTTAAATTTCTGCTAATACAGCATGTTTTATAAGTAAACTATGCATGTAAGCAAAATATTTGAGAATCACTGTCTAGAAAAATATCATAAAATACCTTTAAGATGCAAGGTAATAATGTATTTGATGTGAACATTTTATAGTTAAAATGAATCAAATATAATACACCTTACCTTTCTGGAACAGTGCTGACATAGGGCATGACAACTTTGTCAACAAAAGACCCAAAACCAAGCTTAAAGTTCTTGGTGATTTTCTGCATCTCTTCAGCCAGTTGTGCACCAAGCTTGGAGAGAGACTCTTTATCATCCTCCATAGACTTAGATAAGTCCATAAGGTAGTAGAGATCCACTGGATAATCTTCAGCCTGTCTGAAGGTCACCTGCATACTGTATGCCTCTTCTGCTCAGAAAAAGCAAAATAAAAAATGAGAAAATACCCATGGGATTTTGAGTAACACGCAGCGTGCAACGTTATGAAACAATTACCTTTTCAATGTCTTGATTACAAATAATGATTTGCATCTTTGTGTACTCCACAATTTAAATGATCAGAGCTATTTGGAGTATTTCTGACACCAACTTTCATTGAAACTCAGCACATTACAAAATTAATGACAAAATTAAGCATTGTTAATGTATCATAATGTGACAATAATGCCACATTTGAAAGATATTTTTCTCATTTAGGAATAGAGCAATAATATACATGCAACAAGATGAAACTGCAATAGGTTGCTCACACAAGGTTGCAAAATTTATGATAACTGAAGAAAAATATTGTACCGGTATATTTATTATTTTTGTGATAAAGTATTTTGTAAAGCACAGTATAATTTCAGTATACAGAGATCTGGAGCAGCCAAAGATTTTATTAACCTTCAATTGCTATTTTTTTACTTCTATTTTCAGAGCAAACTAAAGAAATCATATTTGTGAACATTTGAAAACTAAGTGATGACCAAACCACAACTCAGAAGATGGAGACGCAACGACATTTCTGTCCGTCCTGGACCGAAAGTGATAGAAAAACATGCCCAACCATTTCTGTCCCGCCAGGGATTTGAACCCGGAACTCCCGATTGAGAGATCCTTACAAACCCAACTGAGACCCTTCATATTTACTGAAATATAGTTAAATTTTATATTTCTATCGATTAAGAATTAAAGACCAAAATGTGGAAAAGCACTGGGTTTAAAATAAGTGTAGTTGCACCATCAACAAGTGCTGGGTGATACAGCACACAGTATTTATGGTACATCGCAACACTAGTTTATGGATTAAACTAACAAAATACAGTAAATTATATGGCAGCACACAACTTACGGACTCTGAGCTTCATGGTGACCCGTTGTGGTTTTATTTGCACCACGGCTTCTCCACTCTCACTGCCACCAATTCCAATGCCACTGCCGCTACCGCTACCAGCCAGTACACCAGCTTGCGTCAGTTCAAAATCATCAACCATCTCAAAGTAGTTCCCAGGTTCATTAATGCTATCTGCACCACAGGCAGCACGCCATCTGGAAGCCACCTCGTCTGTTCGTTTGATGCATCTTGACAAATATTTTTCATCAGCATCAGTAAAATTCTGTAAAAAAATTACAACATATGATATCTATACATTTGAATAATAGTTCTACATATTCATATTTAGTTAGTGTTTATTGGATAAACTGTACTGTCCTTTATTTACCAGCAAGAAAGTGGGACAGGGAAGGTAATTACTGTATCAGAAGTGTTAAGCCAGTACAAAATGATTATATAGCTCTTGGAAAGGATACAAGGACAAGAATCTTGGATAAAATGGAGGGAAGGAAATTCAACCAACTGAATTATCGGGAATCGAACGCCAACCTGCAAGAAGCGAAACCGTCCCTATACCAGCAAGTCCAAGTGGGTAGGATCAAAAAGAGACTGAGGAACTGATATCTTCTAATACCATAACTGTCAGGTCTATACAACTAAAAATACATGATTAAATACTGTATGGAGGGTTTAGGATTAAATACATGTAAATTAAGAAACCAATAAGGACATTAAATATTCAATGCAATTAACTTTTTAACTTACCCCTGATTTTCCACACCACATACAATTTGGTGTTTGAATACAATCCGAGCATGATATCTTGTTTTTACAATCCTGTGAAGCCCAAGCCAGTGTACCGAAGATCACAAACAGCACCACACGTAGGCACTGCATCATGAATCGATGCTGTTATTTAGACCTGAAAATAATGAACAATTACTGTATTAACATTAGTATTCATGAGCGATGCATAATCAAACTAGGACAAAACTTACCTAAATTCTAAAACACTATGTGGCCCATACTATATATATATATATATAGTGTATATAAAAAGCATCTTCTAAAGTAAGATGCTTAAGATATTGAATGCCAAATGAAAATGTTGATCACAGATATAAAACTCAATTGCAAAACTTCATAGGTTATCACTGCAATATAACCAAGACTTCAGAGATGATTTCTTAGCACCAGGGCATGTGTGCAGAGATTTTGGGATAGCTACACTTATTGGTTTTCAAAATCTTCATCAAGGTCACCCAAAATCCCCAACCCATCCTTAATTTTTTTAAATGTTTCTTAGAATCTGCTACCAGGAGGTCTACATGGCTAAATAACAAAAGGGCTCTTCTCGGCAGACTTTTACAAATAAATCTTGAAAGGGTAATGAAAGCAAACAGGCATTCTCCAGTTATCGTACAGACATTGAATAATCTGTTAGTTTTATACTCAAACTTATGCAAGAAGCTTTGTACCTCTTTGGATACCATTGGTTTTTGTCACAAAAATTAACTTGTAGGAGGATTCCATCAACGGCAGGAATAACATTGAATTTCATTCGACGAGGGTAGTTTGAATAGGCACCGAGTGCCTCAGGGATATTAAGAAGGAATAAATCTAGTAAATGTAAAGCCATAGAATTATGTAAGTAATAATGCAGGTTGAACAGCTGAATGGCTCAACAGCCCATCCTCCTGTTTAGGAAGCCTTTCTCAATAAACAGTACAGTAAAGTACAGTTATCTTAAATACCAATTTGTTTTAAGAACAAAATATATTGAATGAAAACAGTAATAAGGATGACAGAAGACATGATAGAAGAACAAGCCCCAAAATCATCTTTTATCATGAAGATTTTCTCAACAATGGTAAAAATCCACCCACTTAAAATCCATGAATTTGAAATGTTAAAGGCTTTGTATTACAGCATTTTCGCCAATTTCCATAACTATTTTCCAAGACACTTCCAGGATTTTGAATAATCATTTGGAACCAGCAAATAAGTCAAAGAGAAATAACATAAGAAAAATTAAACAAGTTTACCAGCTTCCTAAATATAGTAAAGCAATACAAATCATATTCTCTAAATTTAATATTTACAAAACAAATATTTAATACAGAATTAAAACAACAAAATGTCCAACCACATCCCAATTCTATAAATGGTCATAACCAGAAATAGAATATACAAGATACAAGTCAGGAAATGCGTTGTTGCACCACGAATACGCGTCATCAACTACTGACTAACCATAACGATGAGAGATAAGACAGTACCACACTGTGTGCAATTTTTCCACAAATTGCAAAAAAATGTAACATGATGAGTGTGCCCCTTAATTCCACAGTGCACATACAATTAACAAGTGCATAATTTCCAGTCTTCTATGCTAATACTGTACAGTATATCTAATGATACAAACTACATATATGAAAAATAGTACATGACTGTGCTCTTAATTATACAAACTATATAAAGCTACATATTTTTGGATCCTATGAGAACAAGTGATAAGATATTCTCAGACCTGCACATCTTAGAAAAGCTGGCTGATGCAATGTGAACAGAGCGTTACAAAGGAAACAGATCGGCACAGCATGAACAGACTGGTGCAATGTGCGTGAAGCAGCACAACTGCCCTTAACCCCCCCCCCCCCCCCAACTACACTGTTTCAATCATTATTTGCTCCAATTGCTATATGCACTTTTTTACATTTGATTTACACCATTATGTACTTTTCAATAGCTGTGCCATGTAAGGGGCAAGGAAAGTCACTTGTTCCTACGTCTTCAATACAGTACAATACTGTACTGTATAGTCATTCATATGATCATAGCTTTCACTTTCAGCAGCTCTTTGTATAAATAAATGCAAGCAACCAAATAGAAAAACTGATTTGGCACTTCCTTATTTCTCAACACCTCATCATGGGCTATCTATATCTAGCCTCTGTAAACCCAGAGGAAAATGTAAACCCAGTATGTACTCATATACAGTAATATGTTCACACACTGTACAGTATATACAAACCACACTGGTTTAAACTGTGAAGTGAATCCAAGTTAGGCACTTCAATAATTAAGGATTATCCCGTAATGCAAACCTACCTGTAAATCAATACCAGAAAGAGCACGAGGAAAGGTCACTCACATAACAGCCACAAGATACTACTAACCAGATCAACTGTACATTGGTGAGAATCAAAACAGGTGAGAACCCAAACTAATGTAATCAAAGCTTAAATGTTAAGCTGGCACTTAAGCCAGGAAGTTGGCTTCAGTGCCAACATCCTGGTGACTTATCATTAGAACATTAGATAAGATATTTATACATGATCAAAGTACCGCCACTTCCTGTCTTATATTTAATGCGTCGATTAATGTTTTGATAGAGCATAAGATATTTAAACCTACCAGTACAGATATGTATTGGCTTAATTTCAATGATTTATACAAATGGCAGAAGGATGCTAGTTAAACCTAGACTACAATTAATTACACTCGTTACTTGTTAGAGCTGGCACAAAAAACTAGCTCATCATCATTCATAATTGTTAATTGGAGACGACTTAAGCTCCATATAAAGTAGTTTTCGCAATTTAAAAATCAAACCCTCAAATAAACCAACTGATGCTCATTCACAACTGGAACAAACTGTGATATCCAGGGACAAAAATTTTCCTTTTAAGCTCATTGTTCCACAAGTCTTAACCCCAGCTGCCTTTTTACTCTTAAATTCCACCTCATAATCTTGCATGGAAACCCTTCCTGCCACACAGCACAGTATCTCACCATACTATGATGAGAATAAGGCAATGAGTGAAAAATATATGCTGGTCCAATATCTAATGAGTTGCATACACTGTAGAACAGCACTTGATTCCCAAGGATTATGATTCTAGATCAAGTTATCACAAGACAAGCTACCTTGGGCTTGGTGAAAGAAAAATGAACACCCATAACCAACTACAGGTACACTCCAGGTAAACCCATTGTGAGATTGTATATGGCTCAACAGCACCTTGTCCAGATCCTTGAGATGCTTTCATTACACCACTATGCTTACCAGCCTTCTTTGAAGTGTTTCAGTCTTTTCTCACCTCTGACAGCACATTCTCAGGGCCTGTTGTAAACATTTCCTGGAATTACTTGCCGAGGTCTTTGCAGATCTCCTTGGCCTGTCTATTAGAGGATGCAGTAGATGAGTAATGTGGCTCACTGGTGTGACCCCATGGTAAGATGAAGATGAGTAATGTGACTCACTGGTGGTGTGACCTTGAGAGGAGCCTTTGAACAATCCCAGGTGATAGAGTACAGTACAGTATATCTTTCTTAAATTTCAGAGGCATCACACCATTAATAATACACGGTTCAGAAATTAAATATTGAACAGAATTGTGGGCAGACAAGTGGGTGGAGACAGGCAGGATATAAAACCAGTGTTGTGGTTGCAAGCCCATGGATGTGACCAATCAGCGAGCTAAACAAACCTTGACTCCCATACTGTGCTATTGTTGTGTAAGGGTAACATGCACCTGCAACATCAATAAAGCTCTGACTAATGTAAACTTCCAATATACGAGATACTGTGGTGTGTAAAATAAATATACTGTAGATAATATCTATATCACACACTCCTGCGATCGACACCCTATACTCCCAGTTATCTACAACCCACATACCTCTGAAAGTGACACCTATTACAAGGTGGAAGAGCACCAGGCACCGACAGCCACAGGGAATGCCCGACAACTGGTAAAAGCCCCAGAGTAAATGAACAAATTGACCAGTGAGTTAAGCACAGGGCAAGTCAGCAGGCAGGTGGTGAGTGTGGTGAATTAACTGAGAGTAAGTGGGTCGTGAAATAACATGATAGGAGTGGTCACATCCGGAGGAGGGAGGCCACCCCACTACTACCTCTCCCACCCAACCATTATCTCTCCCACTACTAGTTCATGCCAGTCATCTAGCACAGTCACACCCTTACCTCATCACTATTACACTTCCCCTCGTACTTATTTCTCTCCCTCACTAAATACTCCCTCATTCATTCCTTCACTACCTCATTCTCACTCCCTCCCACTCCCACTCGTTACCCTCCCTCCCTCCCGCTCGTTACCCACCCTCCCTCCCTCCCTCCCGCTCGTTACCCTCCCTCCCTCCCTCCCGCTCGTTATCCTCCCTCCCTCCCTCCCGCTCGTTACCCTCCCTCCCTCCCTCCCGCTCGTTATCCTCCCTCCCGCTCGTTATCCTCCCTCCCTCCCTCCCGCTCGTTACCCTCCCTCCCGCTCGTTACCCTCCCTCCCTCCCTCCCGCTCATTACCCTCCCTCCCGCTCGTTACCCTCCCTCCCTCCCTCCCGCTCGTTACCCTCCCTCCCTCCCTCCCTCCCTCCCTCCCTCCCTCCCGCTCGTTACCCTCCCTCCCTCCCGCTCGTTACCCTCCCTCCCTCCCTCCCTCCCTCCCTCCCTCCCTCTCGTTACCCTCCCTCCCTCCCTCCCTCCCCGCTCGTTACCCTCCCTCCCTCCCTCCCTCCCGCTCGTTACCCTCCCTCCCTCCCTCCCTCCCTCCCGCTCGTTACCCTCCCTCCCTCCCTCCCTCCCGCTCGTTACCCTCCCTCCCTCCCTCCCTCCCGCTCGTTACCCTCCCTCCCTCCCTCCCTCCCGCTCGTTACCCTCCCTCCCTCCTGCTCGTTACCCTCCCTCACACTCACTCACTATCCTCCCTCACACTCACTCACTATCCTCCCTCACACTCACTCACTATCCTCCCTCAAACTCACTCACTATCCTCCCTCACACTCACTCACTATCCTCCCTCACACTCACTCACTATCCTCCCTCACACTCACTCACTATCCTCCCTCACACTCACTCACTATCCTCCCTCACACTCACTCACTATCCTCCCTCACACTCACTATCCTTCCCCCTCCCTCCCTACACTAATCTCTTCACCCTCTCCCTTACTCCCATATTCACCTCCCCCCCCCCACTCACTCATTCTCCCTCCTCTCACTGGCTCTGTCAACTTCCCCCATTTCACTCCCTTAAAAAATAACACATTCAGAATTGTTTAGAATAGGTCTAAATAAATATACTGTATGTGGGTCAAAGCTCCTACATAGGCTGAAGTAAGCGTTTTACCTGAAAATTTTTTATTGTGCTCAATATATTTTTTACATAGAAAATTTAACAAGGATTTTTGTGTAAATTTTTGTCATGAGTTTGAGCATCATTATGTACATCCTATCTCACACTGATTTAAAAGCATGATATCAGCTGTGTAATAATACATGCTCTACTAGACAATGTTTTGTTGCAATTGATAACCGGGCTAAGCATGGAGGCGGGTCAAGGTATGGACCTTCCAGCAAGCCTGTCACCGACTATAACACACTTCCATTTTAGTTTAGTAGTCTGACTTGGGGGTGTTAACGATGAAATGGCGCCAATCACTATGTTGAATTATTTAATGTGAATTGTTACATGCAATTTTTTGGACATTAGTTTTATAATTGTGTTGTTTGTTTGTACAGCACTTTACAATGTAGGACTTAATTAACCAAGCCATTTAAGGATTGAGGTCAAGAATCAATGTGTGTTCAGATATGAAAGCGAAGTGGGGGGGGCCATAGTGTTAAGAAATTGGCAAGCGATACTAATGTTCCATGAGAACAGATGAGGAGATTGACTTAGTGTGTTCCAAGGAATATACTGTACACTGAAGTGGTAATTTTAGGTTAAATGGTTTGTCAACCACTTATTTATACACTCAAAACTTCATATATTTGTTGTGAAAGAAAGGTGGTGGTGCAAAGGAAGCCACCTGAAGTATGCTAAAATCTAAAACCCAGAAGCAAAACCAAGATGTTCATTTAATAAATTTCACAGAAGAATGACCATCTACTACACTTGCATTTTTTTTCTATATTTAAACAATATTATGCAAGTCGTACATCGGTGGTCAAGATATTCTCCATATTATTAAGCATTTTTTATTGTACTATAAAAGTAAAAATATGTATACACTCGATTTAACGACCTATGGGGGGCTGTACCCCAGGTCATTAAATCCGGGGCTCCGCTGAATCCACAGGTTTTAAAATGTTGGTAACTTTTTAGTGATTACAAAACCTGTATTCAATAGAGCAACAGAATGCATGGTGGGTGGGCTGGCTGGTTAGTTAACTTTTTGGTAAGTGGGTGGGTGGGTGGGTGGGCAGGCAGGCAAGTGGGCTGGCTAGATAGATGGATGAATAGGGTAACTGGCAGGTGGGAAGGGAACTAGCAGGATAAAGTGCCAAGCCATTACAACTATACAGCACACAGAAGGGGACAGGATAAGGATTTGGGATAGGACAGGGGTGGGGGGAAGGAATGATGCCCAACCACTTGGACAGTCGGGGAGTGAATGCTGACCTACATGAAGCGAGACCGTCGGGTGGACTGGCTGGGTAGTGGGTGGGGGGGGGGGGGTGTTGGATGGATTGGTTCCTGACTGGCAGGCAGGCAGGTTAACCAATCCATCCAACCCAGCTGGAGGGTGGGTAGGTAAGTGGATGGGCAGAGTGGGTAGGCAGGCAGGGTTGATGGCTGGTGGGCAGGTGGGTGGGCTGGCAGGCAGGTAGGCTGGGTGGGCGGGCAGCAAGGTTCAGCGGGGTGGGTGGGTGGGCAGGGTGAATTTGCAGCTGGCTGGAAGATTGTTGGGGTGGATAGGTATCACCCCTCCAGCCGAGTGTAGATGGTTGGTACGGGATTAATACCGTACAGTTCAGATTCTCAGCTTCCTTTCCACCAGCTGGTGGCCTTGGAGGAGACTGACTGCTTGCTTGCATTCATTCATTCATTTATATACTGTACAAGGTACATTAGATTTGTGAGAGTATGTAACATTGGTGTTCTATAAACATCAGACAGTTTGTAAACATTTTTTACAAACTGACTGGTTATGATTGACTTATGACTGTGAATGCTACATAACAAAAGCAGCAAAATCTGTGAAGGGAAAATGTAACCGCTGGCCTAGCAAGAGCAAGGTTGTCACAACAAACAATAGTGGCGTCCAGTTTAATGCGTACCAGACTCTAAATTCAATACCGTATTCCAGATTTAACGGCCAATAACTCGGTAAATAAAGCACCAGTTAAAGATCTAAAAATCGATCGTTAGAATTGGCGGTTCAGTAAATAAGAGGTCCTTAAATCGAGTGGATATGTGCAGTCAGGTCACAGCTGAGAGGTCACCAATTCAATTCCCACAGCAAATGTGTCAGGGGAAGTGTCTTTGTACCTTAGGTGTCTGTTCATCTAGCAGTAACTGGTAGTTAGGCAACTGTGGTGAGATGCATCTTGGGAAAGGTCCTTAACTGAGCTAGGGAAACCTTGATAAGCTAAACAGGCATCTTACCCTTGACTAGGGGAAACTAAGATGAATCATATCTTGTACATCTTTGTTGATGTATAAATTGAACTGTGTAACTAGGTTTTGAAAAAATGTTTAAGATAATTACTGTATCAGGAAAATTTTGGGGTTCAGATTCCGAGCCCATTACGTGCACTTCTAATCTTTTCCAGTACTGGCCCACAGGATTGTTATGGGGGTGCACAACACATTTTGCTACGTAAAGCCTACATATTATTACATTAGGATGTTAGGCTAGTACTGTACACAAATTTCCGATTATGAGCAAGATGGAGAGTGCACAGGACATTTAACTGTATGAAGCTATCTGCAATAGTACTGTTGACATTTTCAGACCAATTTAACTTTAAAAAAATGAGTAGAAGAATTCAGTTACAGTAGCACTCACTAGTCTCAGGGGCTATAGTCAGGCGGGAATACTCCTGCTGGTGTACGAGGCAACAACGCTCACAACTACCTCAGGTGGGGCGTGGAGCAGGCTCTCAGGGCTCACAGGGTTCAAGAGCAGGCTCTCAGGGCTCAAGAGCAGGCTCACAGGGATCAAAGGAGCAGGGTCTCAGGGCTCACAGGATCAGGCTCTCAGGGCTCACAGGCCCAGATCTTCAACGAAGGACGAGCCAGATCCCCTCCACCAACACTACCTCACAATGCGAGCTGCCACACTGACTTCCGAAGTGAGCTCATGGAAGGCAAATAGCTGCGAGGGTGAGTCAACTTCCCAGAAGGTGTGCGAGAGTGGCCATCAGCAGGCAGGCGTTGCCCACCTTCATCAGCATATGAATGTTGGATCACCTCTCCTCGCCTTATTTCCCCGCCCCCCGGGGCACTTTGGCTCACCTGATGCGTTGGCCGGGACGGAAGTGTGCCCTAGTCCATCCACTGGGTGGGCAAGGGCATGGCAAAGGGTGGAAAAGGGGTGGTAATTGAGGCACAGCGGCGAGCAACTCTGCTAAAAATGGACAACAAACAACTGCGTGACGTCATTGCTGTATCCTATCCAATTGGTGTATTCCCTTCAATAATTGCTATAGACTACTTCTCATCCCTAATATGTTTTTTTTTTTAATATTGAAAATTTTGTAGAGACGTTTTCTGTATTTTAATTTATTTAGGATAAAATGTGAAACAGATGCAGATTGTTACGTTTTCTATTATTTCAAATGATTGAAGAAAATGGTTTGTTTTGATAAATAATAAGGGTAACCTAGTCTATATGAACTCCCCTCATAGGTCAGTAATTATAGCTATATGTTCTATTATCCTCATCTCATAATGGTTGGTTATATATGTATATTACTCTAATTCACCATACCCTGTGTCTGCTAACTTTTGGTACACTGATATATATTTATCTATTGTGACGGTAGAGCGTTGGTGTTCGGCTGTTTCAAAAGCTAGGGGCAGGGCCTCGTCACATAATGGAAAAAAAAAGAGAAAAGCTGGAGCTTTCGTCTGTGGTAAGGTAATGGGAAGACACACAAAACACAGGTATATAAACAATGAAATTTTAATTACTCTAGAAAAACAAGACATGAATAAAGTTAATCACATAAAAATATGAACGACAAGTCAACAAACAAAATAATATGAATAATCACTGGCAAATGAAAAGTTACGTTAAGACAAGTGAGTTACAGTGATAGCAAAATAAAATATGAATGCTGGAATACTGGCTTCGAGCTGCCACCTCCCTTAGTACACGAAAGCCGAGGCTTAGTCTACCAGCGAGAGATGTCAACTGCTTGGAGCACTGAGATATTCTGACGATATTGGCGCATTGCAGCCCAGACGTCAACTTGTGGCGGAGGCAGAGGGCAGGTGCGACGGGACACCAGCCAATCAGCGACAGGCAGGCAGAGGATGAGCAGTTTGCTGGTTACGGTGGCTGGTAGCAGGTGTCACTGTGTGCTGGGTACGATTTGCTCTCTGGGCAAAACGTTTGGCGATACTTGGTGGACGTATCTTCTATATTATCTTGTATATTGACGTACTTTGCAGGGAAGAGCAGGCTCAATCTCTCTTGAAAGAGATTATCGTCACACTATTAAAAATAATAATGTATATCATACATATATATGAAATATATATAGATTACACAATGTAGGTAAAAAAACTAGCTATAAATTCATCTAATATTCTCATCTCACAACATGGTTAGTCATACATGGAATCAGGGGAGAACATGAAATGTAATGCTGATCTCCACTAGCAAAAGCTGGGTTACAGTACAAGAATATCTTTCAATATATGTGAGTGTATGAAGTAATTACAGAGCTCAAAGTTGCGACTTTTACAGTAGAGATGGGATTGATAATACGTGGAATAATCTCACACATCCACTAACGCACATGCACACTTTTTTAGACAAGTCTTAATGCTTACATGAGATACATAACATCAAGTGTATATTATAATTATAATGATAATTAAGTCGCTACAACACACTATATCCTCTCGACGTTCTCAACAGCCCATCACAAGATTTAACAATTAATCCATGCATGGCTCGCAAATTATATACTTAAAGCAATTAAAAAGAAGCAAAAATGTAAAAAATAAGCTTGGCATAGATATATAGCTATACAGTCAAAATATAATGTTAAAAAATGCAGATATTTTATGAGTTCCATTGACTGAATTTACTCACTATCTTACAAGCGATTGGAGGTTGCTCGGCCGGAAACCTCCAAAGTGATATGACCCACTTCTGGCAGTAGACTTAATTGCATAGCTTAGTTAAAATCCCCCTAACTCATCTACACTTGGGATGGACGGTAGATTCATGCAGGTCGGCGTTCAATTCCCGACCGTCCAAGTGGTTGAACACCATTCCTTCCCCCCGTCTCATCCCAAATTCTTATCCTGACCCCTTCCAAGTGCTATATAGCCATAATGGTTTGGCGCTTTCCCTTGATAATTCCTTCCTTCATCTACACTTAATCTGAAATGTTGTAAGGCTTTAATGGTTAAAATTCATTCTGCACAATTGAGTTACGGGAAAGCTGTACATGTAGGCACATGCAAGTCAACTGAGCTTATCCGTATTTTGTACTTAGTAACAATTAGGTCCTCCACCTTGTAACGTTCTAAAATATAAATAATAAATGTAACTATATGAATTAATTATCGACAGCTTTTCTTAGGTTAATGAAGAGGTCAGTTGGGAATTTAATTTTGTCAGATAGTGTGTAAATTCAGTCAATGGAACTCATAAAATATCTGCATTTTTTAAATTATATTTTGACTGTATAGCTATATTTTCTGAGTTAAAGGAAACACGGCAGGCATGGGGGACTTTTAATAGTAACAATTCATAATAAAAAACTACAACACAAATATGATAATAATATATATTTTTTTTTAGATATATACAGGAGTTGTTACATTCTTGTACAGCCACTAGTACGCGTAGCGTTTCGGGCAAGTCCTTAATCCTATGGTCCCTGGAATACGATCCCCGCCGCGAAGAATCGTTTTTTCATCCAAGTACACATTTTACTGTTGCATTAAACAGAGGCTACAGTTAAGGAATTGCGCCCTGTAAATCCTCCCCGGCCAGGATACGAACCCATGACATAGCGCTCGCGGAACGCCAGGCGAGTGTCTTACCACTACACCACGAAGACTGTGGTAAGACTAAGGATATAGACATAGACTAAGTAACTTCCCATCTCGGTGCCCGTGTCACCCCCAGTGTCATGTCGGTGCCCGTGTCACCACCAGTGTCATGTCGGTGCCCGTGTCACCCCCAGTGTCAAGTCGGTGCCCGTGTCACCCTTTCCACTACCGCCCACAGGATGGGTATGGGGTGCATAACAAATGAACTAAACTAACTACATTTATGTAAATTATTACATACGTAATAATAATAATAATTATTATTATTAGTATTATTATAAACATTAGAGATGGTGGCTATTACGTAAAAAGAAAATATATACAGAATAAAAATACTGCTGGGATGCATCTGTGTACAAATACAAGTACTGTAATGGAAATCAAAATTTAAATATAATATAAATCTGAATGGGCAGTTATTTGTTCCCCCCTCTGTAACGTTTGCTATATATAAATATATATATTATATATTATATATATTGAGTGCAATAACAGGCAGACTGGACTTGTAACTGCTGCTAGGAGGCAGGCAGTCACGTGACCCGAGGCGCCATATCAAAACAAAACTTGTTAGGACGGGGGGAGTCGACGCAGGTGCAGCGCGCCACCTCCAGTACCTCACAGTACTGCCGGGCGTCTCCCTGCTCCTCCACTACCCCCTCCCCAGTACCTCTACTGCCTTGCCCCACCACCTCCAGGTGTACCCGCGGTACCTCAACAGTACCGCCTCGCCGCACCACCACCGCCACAGTACCTAACGCCTCCGAGGCTTCTCCCCCGCAGGCTTCGACCCACGCCTAAATAATTTCGGCCTAGGCCTGAAATATTTCCGTGAAGGTAACATTGATGAGAGCGGCAGCTGTGGCAGGTGTATGTGCATGTGTAGCTGTATATGATGGCTCGCCGCGAGTGGTGTTCCCCCCATTAGTGTCTACTAACAGCTCCATAAAATACAAATGAAAATTCATTGTAACAGAGTATAACAATACGGTAACATATTTATGAAAGGCGTTTAAAAAGTAGCTTATGATGCCTAATATATCACTTAGGAATGCCTAACCTAAATATATACTGTAGTTTGATAATATTGGGATGTGTGTTTGTGGTGTGTTGATGTTTTAAGGTGTTGAAAATGTGCAGTACTTGTTCAAGATTATTTTGACAGTTGTGAACAATGAACTTTTATGTAACCTAAGGACGGGTATGATGAAATTGTACACATATGTTGACAAAGCTTGTTTTCTGTCAAATTGTGTATATAATCTGTGAATATGAATAGGCCTTCAAAATGGACAGAAGATTGGCATTCAGTTTAGCAGTTGCACATGTATTGCTCCAAGTCTAGGAAATAAGATAATATTAGCTGGACATTGTTTACCTCTGAAGAAGAGTACACAATTTTATGATTACGGTGGTAGGAATATTGAGTCATTGCCTGTGATCAGTGTTAGCTCTTGACACCACATCATTTGTAACCTGATCACGATCATCCAAAGCCATCACCTCAGAGCAGCTACAATCAAAACATAACTAAGTGTATCATATTCTATATATCAATAGGCAAAGAGCTTTTTCAGTGATAATATATTTGATGCTCATGTTGAAAAGGATCTCCATCTATAGGCCTAGGATAAAGCTGCTGGTCCTCGGCCACCTGAGAAAGTTTGTGTTCAAATTAGGTGCATAATCACAACTATGTGGGTACAGTATTGACTTTTTGGAAAGTATATGGTATGATTGGGAAAACCAGTGTTGAATATAAATGAATCCTTCTTTTTTGGAGAGACCTCGGTGGCTCCCTGTTGTTGGCCACACTGATTTAGTTTCACAAAGGACACCTAGAGCACATCAGCCCTAAAAAGAGTAAATTTTCAGTGAACACTGGATTTGTTTCCTTGCTGAAAGTGACAGATAGTTGACCTTGTATTGGTAAGCTTGTCCTATACTGTATTAAATTAATATTTAATTTTTTCTAAAACTTTCAGATGACTGATGAATGGCGTATAGCTAGCTTAAGTCAGACAATTGATGAAGATGATGATGATGACGATGATGAATTGGTGCCCTCAACGCCTGGACAGGAGGAAATTGATATGACAACTCCTTCACAGGACAGCACCTCCTTACTTGGCGTCATGACAGAATCGCATGGCATGGGTATGCTAACTTTTTTTCTTGTTACGTGTACTATAGTGAATACTGTATATTATAGTGAAACTTTGATTTGTCAATTTATTTGTCATAATAATGTTTGTATTGTGAGATATACTGGGTTGTGCCAGGGGATATTTTCCTCAGTTTCCTTAATGCTTTCAAATTATATCTAGTTAATCAACATGTCTTCCAGGCCGAAGAAAGCTCACTCCTGCTTTATCTCTTGGGTTATCGGAAGATCCCGAGAGTGAGAGTCTTCCCTTCCTGGCTCTGGAGTGGGACTCGCAGTTTCCAGTCACACCTGCACAAGAAAATGGACACTCTTCAGATAATAATAATTTTTTGAAGGGAAAGGCAGAGTCTCAAGATTTTAAAGACAATGATGTATCCAGTGAGAACTGTAACGGTCGAAGTGAAGCGGAACCAGGATGTTCAGCTTTGTGGGGCACCAAAAGTATGTCTTTGGCACATCTATTACTCTTTTTGGCTTCTTTCTATTTTTTTAAGGTAGTATTGTGCATCAAATGCCTAAATTGCTGAATCATAAATTTTAATATTTCCTTTGAGTAAACAGTATACTGTACTGTACTTATTATATTTATCTTCCTTCTTCACCTTTACAATTTTGTTTTTAAATTATTTTTTGATTTGGTATCTAAAATAATTTGTTGTATACCATTTTTGGTAAATGAATGTTGCATATCAAGAAAATGGGGATTTGTTAATAAATTTCCACACTGTAAAGTGCACATTTTTAAATTAAATTTTTAGTTTCCCATTGTCACTGAATATTTTTATATAGCCATGCCATATAATTTGTGGAAAGGAAATATAGTAGCATTAAGAAAATAATGGATTGAATTCTAGATTCACCATCAGAGTAACAACTGTCATAAGAAATTGAATTAAGACAAACTGCTCCCCTGCCTCCTTCACGTAATTGGTTACCTGGATAGTCACCTGGATAGTTCTTCAATGTGCTAGTTACAGAGCTACCTGCCAAGCTGACCACCTCAAGATGATAGCACCAGCTACACATCAGTTGAAGTAGTTGGCTGTTTGCTCAGAACATTTACTAGAGTGACCACTGTGATTTTGAGAACTTCAGCTCTGCTGGATTTTGGTTTTGGCCTACGTCAATGACGGTTTGGTTTGAGCTCCCAGTTAAGTCATTCCCGCTCACCAGGAATATGGTGTTAGGGTGATTTGGGTTTTTGGTGAGCCTTCTCTTGACTTGTACAGTGCCTAAAAGGGTTGGTCTGAAAAAGTCGGCATTTATATCTCCTCTGGTAGTTACTTTGGACGATATTCAAAAATACTTGCCACAGTGCACTTGCACACTTGCAGAATAGAACCAGTGAAGAGCCGGGATGCTATAGGCACAATCAGAGAACACTGTATAAAAATCAGAGTTCCATGGCTGTTCAACATCATCCCAGTGAGTATAAGAAATATTGCCAGAACAACCATGGGCATCTTAAAGAGAGAAACTAGATAATTTTCTCCAAGGAGTGCCGGACCAACCAGGCTGTGGTGGATATGTGGGCTGCTCAAAGTATGTAAAAGTGTGTGTTAATCCATACCGCATTGTTCAGCTGGAGTGCACCACCTCTGGTGAGCTCGGTGCCTGTATATTGCCAGACTTTGGCGACATGTTAAATTAAGGAGCAGTGTAGTGGTTAATAAGTCATGGGACCAGAAAATTCCAAGCTCCAACAAGTCCAAGCTCTTAACAAGTCAAGCCTGGCCTTGGGCCGGGCTTAGACCAAAAATATTAATTGGTATTTTTGGTCTAAATGGTCTGGTACATAGAGATAGGTCTTTATAATCTCAGACCCCTGCTCCAGATTGTCAAGATTTTTTTTATGCTTAATTGTTTCTGTATTTTTAAGGTTTTAAAGTTAGTCAAAATTTTTTAGGTTACACTGCATAAATTTTACTGCCAAATGTTTTGTTAACTAGTTACTGATAGTACAAGAACTAGCAGTGACGTGTCTAGAAATCCATTTTCACTTAAACCGTACTTTGGTTTCAGGTGGAAATGGAGTGAGCCGAGGTTCTAGAGGGAATGGTGATGGGGAAAGTTCTGCTGCTGGCAAAGAAAAGAAGACTGAAGGAACAGGAGGAGAGAATGTTGTTGATGATGGAGGGGGAAAATCGGGAGGAGGAAGAACAGGGGAAACGGGAGATGGAGAAGCAGGCGAGGAGGGTGGCGGCGATGGTGATGGTGATGGTAGCGAAGAGGAAAAGGAGGAAAGTAAATGTGAAGAGGAGGAGAGTAGCCATGAGCCATCTAGTGACTCTAGTGATGGGTATGTGAGCCATACAGTTATATATGACATTATTATACGGATTCTGTATTGCTCACAGATGGGTGGTGGGAATTTGGTTCACTACTTTGATTGCCCGGCTGTGTATCGGTGAAGTTTCTTGCACTGTATTAGTCATTGATTTAATTGATATAAGTTGGTTATTCAAGTCGAGTACTGTAAAGTACAATATTGTACTACCAAATGAGACGGCATATATTTATATACATATATATTTTCATCTTAGGTTATTTGGTACAACTTCAAGACAAAAGCAGACTGACACGGACAAGCCATTTCCTGCAGTGAGCTCTGTGGTCCGGTCGGAGTCTCGACGAGAGAAGACTGTCGAAAAGGAAGCTAATCCTGGTCAGTTATTTTCTTTGCCTCATTTGGTTGATATACACAGGCTAAAGTCAAAAGTCGAGGGTCATTGTCTAAAGCAGGGTGGGGGGGGGGAGGCTCTAACTCTTTTACAATTATATTCCATAGATTATCCAATGTCCCTGTTCCCCTTTTGCCAGTGTCAAAATCATAATTGCCACCAGACGTATTTGTTACCAGTATGACCTCTAAAAGGTGTCGATAGCTTGGTTTTACTTTACACCTGCGTGTTGGTCAGCTGTCATGGGCTGCTTCCTGGGGGTGGAGGACCGGACCGCGGGGACACTAAAAGCCCCGAAATCATCTTGAGATAACCTCAAGATTACACATGGATAGCAAAGATTTAGTAGTCCTAGCAGGTAGGACCTACAAAAAATAACAAAGGCATTTATTATATTCATAGTCAAATCAAAAGAACACAAGCTACCTAAGAGTGGTTTTATGCTATTGTTTTTGTGCAGTCAAAACATGGAACTGACAGTTACTGTTATTGGTAATTCTAATGTGACAATGTTTTGAAAAATTGTTCAGATAGTGCTACACCCCCATTATATGTATAGTATTTGGTTCCCATACTACTAAGGGATATGGATACCCCCTAATTAAGAACCCCTGTGCGAAAGCTTGGGACCCATTTATGAGCAGTAATCAATTTATTCACCCCATGCTCTTTTCTTTATTTTTATTTATTTTTTTAATTTTTTTTTATTTAAGTTTTTATTTTTTATTTTTATTGTATTTTTAATATTTTGATTAAATAAATAAAAATATTTAAATTTTTATTTTTATTTTAATTTCTTTTAATTTTATTTATTTCTATTTTTTTTATTTCTATTTAATTTTTAATTTTGTATTTTTACTTAATTTTTATTTATTTGTATAATTTTTATTTTGAGAGGCTCCTCAAAATTCTTGCTTTTTATAGTATTTAATAATTTTTTTTTGCAGCAAGTGATGTTGAAATGGCCAGCTCCCAAGAAGACCTGTTTGAAAGTCAAGATGAGGAAATGACACCCTCCAAGCCACCTCATGGGCAACTTCATATGGGTAAGATAGTGAAGTACCAAAGTTTAATGTAATGAAATTAATGAAATAAAAAAAAATGGCAACACCACTTGCATTGCGTTCACAAACTAGTGTCTCGTATAAAATATTACTTTTGGTTTTAAGTTTTTATTTGTATTCCTTTTTGAAAGTCTATTATTTAAATTTCTAAAGCCATGTATCTGTGGTTCTTTGAGTCCTTATTTACTTTATTGGCAATGATTTCCATTGGGAAAGTGGCTTTATTGTTCAGGTATTGTAAAGTGATAGGCATCTCTTCATCTGTCTTGTTCTGGCGACGAGGGGAACTATTTTAGGTCCTCGATGCTCCACTTTTCTCAGACTATGGCCTGTCCGTTTCCCTCGATGGTCCAGTACAATGGACCTGAGGCATGTGCATGCCTGGCAGATGTGCTAAAACATCTTTACCTGCCTCACATCTTTTCCTCCCTTCTGGAGTCCTTGTGAGCTAGCTGGCAGGATTGTTGCCTATTTTTGTTGAGTAGCGGCTATGGTTTTGCTTTTGGGTATTTGCTCTGATCCTAAAGTTTCTTGGTTGTAGAACTCTTCTTCATTTGTCTTGTCTACAGAGGTTTGGTGGAAATTGCCAGTTCCATGATCTAGTATGTTGATTTCTCTGTTGCTCTCTTCTTTTGAGACTTTTAGGATTTTTAATAATCGGTAAATTTTTTCAGATGGTCAAAGTGGACCAAACTCTCAAAAGTCAAGCCTGGCCTCGGGCCAGGCATGGGGAGTAGAACCCCATCAACCAGGTATCGGGTATCAACTCGTGCATCATGACTAAAGTCTTTTTTTCCACAGAAATATCAGTATTTTTTTTCTCTTGTTACAGATGGCCACATCACATAGTCTACATTTTTTTTTCCAACATATTTACATTCAGCTGCATGTTGTATTTTTGTAGAGATTTTGTGAAATTCCTGACAATATTCTAGATTTTTTTATTTATGGTGTATATATTTTGTTTCCAGCCAGTGATGTTGAAATGATGAGCTCCCAAGAAGACCTTTTTGAAAGTCAAGATGAAAAATTGGAATCGCCAAAGGCACCCCATGGAAAACCGCACCATATAGGTATGATAGTGAAGTGCTGTACTGTACAGTACTTGAAAGTGCTGATAGTAAGATAGTCTCAAAAAGCTTACCAAGCTCCCAAATGCACAACAGCACAATACGTTCAGATTTTTTTGTAAGTGAAGTTGGATCAGTTTAGTGTCTTGCCAGTTTAATGATATAGTATGGCTTTCTCTCTCGCTCTCTTCTCTCCTGAATTTCAGAATTTTTAATGCAAAATATGGCAACTAAGTATACCAGCAGATTGATAATTGTGCATAAATAGACTATTTTTGATATGGTAATTTAAAGTTTTCACTACTAACTGTATGCTTAAAGGGCCCAAGTCAACTTTACTCACGAATGTTTTCATATTTATGTCTTTGAAATTTACCCTTAAAACATAAACATAGTTTTACCAACAGTTAAAAAATTATTATGCATGTACGATTTTTTTAAATAAGACGGTGAAAATGATTTACTATGTGTTATTGTGTGTGTTTTCTCGTGGCTACTAGACTGATAAAATAAGCTGTGTTGTGTAATCTTTGGGTAATGAGAGCACACACATACTGTACTATATGTGCTCATCAAAGGAGAACTAGTGTGCAGTACTGTGTGCTTTCTGGTGAAGATTGGTTTTCAGAGTTGTGGTCTACTGCAACATGGCTGGTGTTTTCCACCATGCTCTCTCTGTGGAGAAATTTACCTTGATAAGCGGTATTACTCATAATGGCAGATAAGAGAGGCAAGTGACATTGCCAAAGAAGCGTATCACACTTGATGGTAAAATGCTAGTGTTATGGCGACTCAAAACGGGTAATTTCCCAAGTGTAATTACCCACGTGTAGTTACAGGATGAGAGCTATGCTCGTGATGACCTGTCTTCCCAGCACTAAAACATTACTGGACCTGGAGACCGTCAGGACTCCTGCGGTCTTCCCCACAACCTGGCCATGACTCTAAACTTAAAAAAAAAAAAAAAAAAATTGATGAATGCGTCTTTGGGGTCGACCGTTGGATAGAATGGACTTGGTCTAAGGACGGGTTGACTTGCCCAGTTGGTTCAGTGATTGCTGCTACGTGCTCTAAGCCAAATGCTGTGTCGTCCTATTCTGGGAGAAGTGTCTTTGGGTTTAAATTTTTTTAATAGGAAATTAATATTTTGGTGCTTTTTGAACATAGTGTACTTACAATTATGAACACTCATGCTCACTCCATTCCTCTAGTATTGCTGCCAAATGGGAATATATTTCCACTTTGCTTTTCCTCCATGCACAACGGGGCTGCTGTTCAGAGACATTGTGTGAAGAAATGGATTCACCCTGTAAATATAGTAATGTAATATTTAGCATGAAACTCTTGATACTTTAATGTGGAAAATTGCCATATTTTAAGTTTTAAGTAAATTTGATTTGATTTAGTGTTGTAGTAAAATGAGGTCGGCTTTTAACCTAGATATATTTTGATACAGGCACAGCAATGGCTTAGATGAATGAATCTTATAAATGTTTACTTTTTTCCTTTTGCCAATAAATTTTTATTGGACTATAATCTGTTTAGCTCTTCTATGAATTTACTTCAGCTAGGTTTGTTTTAGCTGGTTTCCACTGAATGTTTAAATTTTGAAGGTGTTGCTGTTTGTGTTCTCCAGCCAAGCCAACCCATGTCATAATAGGAAAACAAAAATACTGAGGCATAAATACTGTATATAATGAAGCTAAAGTCTGTGCTCAGCAGTACAAAATCATAAGGGGGCCCACCCCTATTAAAGTTATCAGAGCATTGAACTGGCCGAATTTCTTGCCAGGAATTTCCAAAAATTAACATTTGCAATTTTTTGTGCCACAACTTGGTTACTCCCACCATTACCCTTGCATTTTCATCGTTTACTTGCTACTCCTGCCATTTATTCCATGCATGATGAATTGGAGATCAATTGGATTACCCAAAGATTAGTTACAGGAATTCTGATTACAAACCGAGCTCTTACAGTACTTGACACTTTTGCACTTATAACGCCCCTGGCATCCATAATTTTTCTCTTGCGTCCAAATTGGTAACGCGAGCAGCGTCCACATTTTAAAATATTTGTTAAAATTTTAAATTTTATTCGAGCAATCTGGGAGTGGTTTTAAAATGAGTGCCTTTAGAGTGCGCACATAAATATAATTTTGTGATGTGCGTTCAAATTTTAAAATTTGTAAAAGTTCCATTTATTGCTTTATTATGGGACTAGTTTTAAAATACTCGCCTTTATATTGCGAACAATTTAATACCAAAATGAGACGCAACATGAAAATTGATGTTATCAAACTGAACGAGTATACACATTAGGTTGCGGGTGTGCCACTTGTTGCTCGTTCACGGGTAACTCTGGGGTTTGCTAAGGATTCATGCCGGGCTTTTGGACCCGATATGCATATACACCTGTAGGGAATTCTATTGCGAACACAATGATACCAAAACGAATGACATAGCACGAGAATTAAGGTGAGAAAACTGAAACTAGTATACACATTTCGGTGTCACCGCGCGCTTGCCCGCACTGCCGAAGTCATGACGTCAAAGTTTGCGCCGTCCACGCCCGGGGCATAAGTGTTAAAAATGTTTTTGGCACGAGTAAATGAGGAAGAAGTCATTTTGAGATACTGTATTGCAGTGGTGTACGAAAGATGTGGGGTGAGAGAAGTTATAACGATAGTGTATTAAGGCTTCATATATGTCTAATATGTACACAACTTTTAGGTGAGGATACTACTGCTGCTGTGACATTGACGCCTGCTACCACTGTTCCCATTCTTCACCTGACTCGGGAGGATGAGGAGCAATACACACCGTCTTCTCCGAGAAGGTAAATGTACTTTAAATATATAAAATATTTTAAATGCTTGTTGTGATTTGGCAGCAGAAGTAGGCATTTAGTGAATCCCTTTTCTGTTACATAGGATGAAACAAATGTTTTGTATGAAACAAATTGAGAAATATCGTTTAAATGACCCTTGATGATCCCAAGTAAAATTAAACAATAGTAATAGTAGTTAGAGTAAAAATAAAAGGCACAGTTGTGGCTGAATCAGACCTAGTTTCTAATCCCCTCTTGCTGCTCTTCTCTAGTTTACTATCCAGATCTGAATCTCTCCATTTAGAGACCTTTACTGTCACTTGCATAGGACATGTATGTTACCTTAGGGCTTCCTGTCTGGTTCATCTGTCCATCACTTCTTGTCTTGTAGTTGCTGTGTCATTATTAGTGTTGTCTTCATCTTGGATGGCTCTTCCTTAATCAACGAAAACCTGCTCACGCCCCCATAATCTCTACTCGGCCCTCCAAGTCTCTTCTTTATTAGTTGATGGATTGGTTAAATTGATTCGGCCAGATTTTCATCCCACAATCATGATCTGTCAATATTCAACTCTTACTCTCCGCATCGACCAACCCTGGCTTTGTGGCCTTGAGTCCACTCCAGACCGACAACCAGAGTGCAACTCCTGAGACTGATGGATCCCTACTACTACTCCATTCAAGCATGCCCACAGGCTCTGGAGATTGTAAAGCGCTCTCCTCCAGATGCAATACTTGCCAATTATTCCATGATATTTTTGGTTTTACATCACCCTTGGCTGCCTTTTCTGTGTGGTGATGGTTCCTATGTCCATCGGTGCTGTTATCTTTTTCGCGTGGCCTGTTATAACGGTTGCATAAATAGGTTCCCCTGTCCTTTTTTGCATGCTGTAGTGTATGGTTGTGGGTATGTTGTGGCATGCGGGATAGAGGTACCTTAACTCTCAAACTGTGCACCCCTTTTTAGGTAGATTTCCTGGTGTGCATAAACAAAAATGATTTTCTTTCTTGTCTCGGAACATAGCTTTCTGATGTTGGGGAAATTCTAATGCTGTATTGTATTTTAGTTTGGCCATTGCGAGGCGAAGAAAATTTGAAAGTGTCAAATTCTGAAAACAAATTTTTAAGTTAACAATTTGTAATAGATTTCTCATTAATCTTCCAGGTATACAAGTAAATGGATGGTGATGCACCTGACATGGTGCCAATTTTTAATAGTAATTCCTAGGAAGGAAACTAAGACTTTCATGATTATTTTCTATTAAGGCAAACGATTGCGAGAGGTAATGTGTTGAACAATGTTCATGTATAATTTGTAGGAATTTTGATTATTATGAGGCACATTAAATCTTCCATAGGTGATAGGCACAGAGGCCTCTATTGCTTGAGAGCCACTGGAGCAGTTTAGGGGTTAACTTGTAAATGTAGTATAGTATAAATGTATTTAATGCTCTTTACCGAGTTTGCATATCTGAGCTGTTGCTCTTCCCTTTTTTATCACCTCTCTTGTTTAACAATGTGTATTGGGGCTCCCTGGCCCTATTATGGTGCCCAGAATTGATATAATTTTTTTGGCATTGGTAGTTTGTAGATAAATTGTTGGCATTCCTAATTCTCATTCTTTTTAGATTGAGTGGGTGTGGGATGGGTCTTGTATCACCATGCGGCACACTAATATATCGTAATACACTAGACTGTCTTCATGACCTAATTACATGGCAATGCCATTTAAAGTCAACTGTTAAGGTGGGGGGGTCTAAAATTCCATAGAGCACAGTGGTTAATTGTCCTGGGTGGTTCACGCGGGCTATAGCTACGCCAGTGATTTTTGGTCTTGGAAAAGAGCACATCATTCACGCGTTGATTTATTTGTATTGTTTGTTACAGAGAATTGTGTAATTTTACTTGAAAAGATTAGCCGATCGTTTATTCTATCAGAATATCATTGAACTAATAAATGATTAAGAATTTAACTGTATATGCTACATTATAACAATTAATATTACCAAATTAACCTGATGTCTCAGCATATTTGTTTACTTTTCTACATAAAGTGCATTTTATCCATGTTTTTTCATTAAGTTGGGAATTGACTAGGTTTCATAATGAAATTTTCACCTGATTTCAACTATCTATTGTCTACAGGTTTTCCACCTGATTTCAACTACTGTATTGTCTACAGGTTTGTACCGGATACTCCATCAAGTTTGCGAGTTGGTTCTTCTCACTTACACCCATACCCAAGTTACCCCCGTACACATGACCAGCCGAGGTATCCCCAGTCATCACCCACGAAGAGAAAGAGAGGCGAGCGGGATGATCTTACTTCTGATTCAGATACATCACAGATTCCATATAAACAGTGCAGAACTGAAGATACATCTGAAGCTAGTGAATCTGGAGATGACAAGGTTATTGTAGATTACTCGTCACTAACTCACAAGGATGTAGAGATCAGTCCGAAGCAACAGAAGCTACCGCCTAGAACAACAAAGCATGTACATCTAACTGGTATAGCTAAATCCATTACTTTTAAGACTAGTGTTGAGAAAGCTGATGACTCGGTTTGCCATCCTGCTGATGCACAGGAAAGTAGTGAACAGGAAAAGCAGAATAAACCTAAAAGAAAATTTCCAGTAGATACAGAAGATGAAAGTAGTGGACACACACGAACAGACATTCCAAGACGGCTACCGATAGACACTGAGGAGGATAGTAGTAGCCCTCAGGAGAGTAAAGAGTCGCCACACAGCCCAACTCGTACAGAAAACAGTAGTAACAGTGGATTAACTTTTGCAAGAAGATCCATCCCCATGCCTGTAAGAATGCATAGTTCACCAGAAGACGAGTCTCAGATGTCTGATAAGGATGACAGCGATATAGAGATTATTGAAGATAAGGATCGTAGTATTGAGGTTGTTTATGAAAAGCAAAAACGAAGTAGAGTAGACGAGAATGTGGGATCACAAGACTTTAGTTTAATGTTGAGCTGCACAGAACGTGAATCACAGTACACAGAAGAGGAGGCAGGCCAGAGATTCTCCCAGGAACCAATGTTTTCAGAACCTCTAATGGAAAAAGAGTCTCAAAGTCTTTTGCCTTTGTCAGAATCGGAGCATCTTAAATGCCACGACACACTGTCATCGAGTAGTGACGAAGACTGTCAAAAAACTGACCAAGACATTATTGGGAGTATGCCTGCCACTCAGCTTGAGAGAATATGTAAGCCAGCTATCCTCACTCAACCAGATATTGAACCACTGATCACATTACCAATTTCTGTGTCTTCTGAAAGTAAAGAAAAGCTCTTGAATGCTAATAAAAGTATCTCATCAGTCTCTCAGACTGGTGATAGTGAAAAAATGATGGCATGTAGTAAAGAAAAAGTTGAGTGCTCTGAAATGGAAGGGAGTGCAAGTGAAGTACAAAGCAGCATTGGAGAAGTGTTACCTGCTGACAGCTCTCAGCCAGCACAAGCTGCAACAAGGCTGCAGATGCCCGATGTATGCACCCCGTCATCTCAAGATAACCAAGAATCACAAGAAAGCGAGTCTGTGTTTGTTAAAGCCTCCAAGGCAGCCAAAGAAAGAATTAAAATTGAAGAGAAATTGATTGAAGATAAGACAGCTGAAGATAGAGAATCTAAATTTAAAACTTTAGGGGAAAGTTCCTTTGAACATAAAGAAGCTAAGAGTGATACTCCAGATATTAAAATGACTAAAGAATCTGTTACTGGTCGTATTCTTGAAAAAGGAGGTACCTCAACTCCCATATCTGGCGTGGTTCTCTCACACTTGTCACAAAGCATACATAGCCCAAGTCTCTCTCAAGGTTCACCAGTGGTTTTTGCAGACGATACCGACAATGAAGGTGAAGGGCCTCTGCATGTACAAAAAAAAAAGCTTTATTTCCCAGTAAAAGCCACACAACCCTCAGAAAAGTTACCAAAGCCTTTAACATTAACGTTGGATGAAAGAAAAACCTCGACTCCAAACACAAGCCAAGGTATTAGTCCAAACATTTCTGGTGAAGGTGCCAGCTACATTGACAAGGAGGCTCATGGATTATCTGCAACGGAGACTTCCAAGTCTCGGAGCGTATCGCCGGAAGAAGGTGGTGCTGCAAAATCTTCACTAACAGCGAGATCACCAGATAGAGGGGCAAGCACCCCAGATACAGAGCTTCTACCAGACATTAATAACTTGTCCAACATTGATGATGTGCTGAAGGCAGGGTTTATTAAAAAAAGGGATTTATCCAAAGCACCAGAAGAGTACATTCATCCAATAACTGGGGATATAATATATGTAATTGAAGATGCGAAAAAGATGGCCATCACCAAATTAGTTTTTCGGCAAGTTGAGGCTGGAAGTGGGAGTAGTGGAAGTCGTCATAGTAGGATATCTGATATAAGCAGCATATCGCGCACAACATGCTCATCATCGGGATATTTTGGGGATAAGAGTTCCTCCTCGTCAGGTTCTTCTCATCGTATGTCTATAATGTCCATCGCTGAATCTTCAAGGCTATCGATTGAAAGTATCTCGACACTCCCTTCTCCGCCTCGTGGCATTGAGACCAGGGATGCTACATTTGGGAAGAGTTTTTCTGATGATGGCATTTTTGTTATTCCTGCAGCACGACCGAAGAGTGGAAAGGGAATGGACATTCTTTCAAAGTCGCCTGAAAAATTAATTCAAGACTCTTCATCAGAGGTAGAAAGATTAAGCGAGTATAGTAATCTCAAGGGATCTTCAACATTATCTAGTAATGATGAAATAACAGAGCAGAGGGGTAAGGGAAGGGGTCGTGGCCGTCCTCGCAGCCGTGGCAGCAGAAGAGGTGGTAACTATGGGACTCAATCAAGAAGTTCTCCAGTAAGAGGTCGGGGGCGAGGTCGAAGCAAAGTTATGGCCAATAAGCAACTTCCTCAGTTTGATGATATGGACTATGAAGAAGAATCTCTAGAGGGTATTCAACCTATAGCTAGTACTGTTTTAACTGATAACACTAAAGACTCTCCAGTCACAAAGGGTGTAGATCCTGTTGCCGACTTGTTTGATTCCCTCCCGTCTAATGTCTGGAAAATGCTTGAAAACTCTCAGGTTCCACTGTCAGAAGAGGAGGAGGAAGCATTTGTTGGGCAAGGTGGTACTGACGCAGAACGGCAGCTAGCTCAAGTTTTAAAGCGTGTGAGGGAAGTAGAGTTGGAAGTGGGTTTGTTAGTGTTTGCCCGTTTCACAGATAATAACTATTATTCTGCCGTGTTGAAAGAACATGATGGTGCCGATCGTTGGCATGTACAGTTTACACTGGACCAACATACTGCCTCTGTAAGGGAAGTGTATTTGTTGCCCACTGATTTATTACCTCGTGGTCAAACTTGCTATGTTCGTCAACAAACTGAGCATTATTGTGACCCTGGGGTTGTAATAGGCCATGTACGAGTTGGGGCAACAGTGTTACACATAGTGAAAACTGATAGAGGAGTGACTCAGCGTGTACCCCACTCTCACCTGTTACTTACAAGCCCACAAGCACACGTTATTTTACAGGCACGATTGGCCTTCCGTAATCTTGTAGCATCTCCGGGAAGAGATATTTCTTTAGACAATATTGTCGCTGGTAGACGAAGGCGCATACAGCCTGAACAATTTTCATCACCTCACTCCAAAAAGGAAGACGACAATCTTGATACCAGTGATGCTACTGCTGGTGAATCCGAGGAATTTTGTTCTGTGTCTGGTAGATCTCCAAGAAAAGGTGCTGCTTCTGCTAAAGGTTCCAGAGTGGCCAGACAACAGAACTTGCCTGTTCTCTCTGAAGAGAGTGAAAGTGACACTGAAGCTACACCAGTCAAATCCACTCCCAAGGGCCGCAGACGTCAAGGCACTCCCAGAACACCCCGTACTCCCCGTACACCTCGTACTAGTCGTGCTGTCGGAGCAACGTCCAGTGGTACAACTTTGGAGAAGGAACTTCTAACCACCAGGTTACAAGAACAACTTCCCATGCAAGTGGTGGCACTTCAGGCAACTGATACACCCCTAACTCCACCCAAGAAACGTGGTCGGCAGCCAGGTATTTTTCTAATTTAGTTAAGACTTGATCATAATCCTTTATTTAGCATATATTGTACATACATGTATTGTACATTACACAGAGGAAAGTAAGGGCAAAGAGGTAGAAGATTTGTTTGACAGTCTGGGTGCATGGGGAGAATTGTGTAAAACCCCGGTTTGTGCTTCGGAGAAGCTGCAGGAACCTCGTGAGGGAAAGTAGCACTCCAGGTTGCAATTCTTTTAACCATGCCGTTGTGCAGTCAACTAAGGCTCGTCTGGGATCATCCCAGATGTAGGTTCGAACCCTCATCATGGCCCTTGTGGATATGTTAATTTTACTGTATATTATTAGTACAGTACTGTATATATTATTTTCAGCATTTATTATAGAATGGTCAAATCAAAGTCTTCAAGATACACTTGGCATATGCACTTCTCTATCCCTTTGAAATACATCCTTAACAGAGCTTTTGTTTGGAGCTAATTTCAGTGTATAAAAGAAAATTAACCCAGTAATAATTAATATTTTAGCAAAGGTAATCATGATTGCATTTGTATTTGACAAAGAAATACTTTATTAGTAGAGAGCAGAGGGTTATATGACAAACTTGCATTTGTTTTTCCAGTGATCGTAAATAGTTTTGATTAAAATAGTTTAACTGGTCTATAGAACGGTTCATGCATTGGTGGTTCTTGGTAAATAGATACGTAATGATTTCTGAGCAGTGGCCCTTTAGATACCGAGCTAAAACCAGTATTGCACACAAGGGACTCCTGTTTCTCACTACATTTTCACCGACATTGTCCTCCACTGTCACAAGTGTCTTGATAAATGGTCTTGCGATTCTTGTCAAGGAAAAGGAGACAGTGACGAATCCAACTCAAACCACTGCAGAGGGACCAGCTTGCTGGTATACAATGAGGGAGCAGTACCATCAGCACCCCCTGAAAGCTATAATTAACACAAGGTATTCCAATTACTGTACGGCTTTAACTACTGGCAACCTCACCTGGTGCCTAGCATCCACCAACATAACTCCCAAACTCTGCAAAGGAAAATAATGGCTAGTTTTCCTCGAGACCAGGCAATTTACAACTGTCAATAGCTATACATTGTTTCAAGGTTATTTTCCTGGGCACTGTTTGACGATGACCTTCAGCCTCAAAGATATCTTTTCTGAAGCTGTTCGCTGTGGCTTTCAATATTGGTTTTCCTCCTATTGAATTGTTTGTCTTGGTTTCTCAGAGGTATTATCCTGGGCCTGAACCTTGATACTGAGGTTCATTTTAGGACATACTAGGAAGACTGGTCCTGCTCTTTCCTTTGCATGGCTGCAAGGCAGATCTGTTTGTTTGGGTTTTTCTTGAGGGTATAATGTGGCTTTGCTTTTGTTTTTGTTGAGCCCTATGCTGCCTTAACCTTTCCTTGTTGTATGGGGTTAGGTTAATGTAAATAAACTGTTCCTCTTGCAACTCTTTTTTTTGTGTATCCAGGGGATTGGTTATGTTTCCATGCAAGTTTTACTGTTTTGACTCGATTGCTGGGCGTGTTATGCTGTTACATAGATACCTGTCATAGTGAGAGACATCAACAAGAGAATAGTAGGGGATAAGGGTCCTTAGTGGATTGTAATTGCTCTGGGTAATAGATCATTCAAAGGATTGGCTCAAGCATGGGTGTTTTGTTCAACTCAAACCCTATTTTTTCACATGTTGTTTAATTTTATTTTCATAATTTCCTTGCAATATCTTGAAAATGTCTCTGTATTAACTGAAAATGTACAATACTTAAACATGATGGCAAGAGGATGTTTCCAATTGAAATTGGATCTTGTAGTACCTGTGGGTCAGCTTCATTTATGGAATGTGTAAATACATGGTTATTACAAACATTGTGTAAACTAAAGTGAAATGGCAAACATATAAACCCTCTAATACTATCATCACATCTTGCTTCTCCTTCACTTGGCTCATCAGCAAACTTGCGTCGTCACAGCCCACATTCCAAATTACTCCCCTCGTCCGGCTGTCTCCTGGTGAGAAGCTATTTTTTACATTTTACTTTTTGCACAGCCAAAGAGGTACGTTTAATCATGGCTGCACTTAAGCAGTTAATTTAAGTATAATTGTCTGTACATTAATAAATTAAAGAGATTGATTTACCTGTTTCAGCCATTCAGTCTTTGGAGAATACAATAGGTAAGTGTTTCTAGTAAATGTTAAAATATGAATGTAGCTTATGGTTAAGAACTAAATGGTGCTCCACATCATAAGCCAGAATGCAGAGAGAATATAGGAAATATAGAACTAGAAAATCTATTGAAGGACCTTGATGACAATGAAGCAGTAGGCCTCAGTGATGTTATGCTAATGATCCTGAAGAAATGTGTGGAGAAACTTGGCCACTCGGTAGAAAATTATTCAAAGAATCTCTTCAGCAAAGGGTGCCAACAGAAGAATGGGAAAAAAAGTACACTCCCTATCTTGAGGCTACCATGTGGTGGTCCTGAAGGCTAATGTTTATGTGGCCTGGTTTCTTATGTGGGCTCCTGGTTGGTGGTATGATCAATCTGATTGGTATTCAATTAAATTACTGTATAGGCAATTATCTCATCGTTGCAAGAGATGTTGGAGTGAGCACAAAGATAAATTGAGTGGTGTATTTATACTGATGATAAAATGACAGAGTATGAAATGTTTTCTGCAAGAGTATTCTCCATCTGGTATAATCTCAAATAACACTGAAATAAGAGGATTAATGTCAATGTTGATTCATTATTACCCAAATACATTATTACCCACTCACTGGTCAAGAGCACGAGCTTGCATTGGGAAGACCCAGAGAGTTCTGTGATGCCTAATTAAGCAGGCTGGCTCATTTGCGAAGCAAACTAGTAAAGAAAATCCTAGGAGACTTAGAGGATTCCAGGAAATCCCCAGATCAAGCTTGGGGGGAATCCAATCACACAGTACCAAGCAGCAGAAATGGCTAGCAGCATGTAAAAATTACCACACTGTACTGTATGGAGTGGGTCACTAAAGGCAAATTGAAGATTCCAGCCTGCCACACTTAAGAATAAACTAGGGAAGAAAATAACACTACATCACTCTGTGCAACTACATAAAACAAAAGAACACAAATTGGAGTAAATATACTATTCTGCCTCTCATGAGCAAACTAGGAATAAAAAACACTAGTTATGTCAGAGGAACCATGTCATTGTCTTAAGTTGAAAAATCAAATATAATCTTAGGGCTGATAAAAACGTTTGTCACCTGAATACGTGCGAGATCCTTAAGGATTTGTGCACTGCCCAAATGTCTGAGGCTAGGGCTAGATCTTGTGACAATTGTGTAAGAAATTCAAATACCAGAGGAGAAACCCCTTCGAAAAATATAGTCGACCTGACACACAATAGAAATCTTGGCCTATAAGAATGAAAAGCTCAAGAAATGAGTTTGAGTATGTGGTCTAATGAAACATCAAAGAAATCATGGCCACACGATGAGGCAAAATATCTCTGTTCAAAGCTACTCGCACTTACGTGCAAGAGACGTGCCCCTGACTATGCTTAGAGCTTTAGTAGTGATTGCGATAGAGAAGCTACCAATAAACAGTAATATGTAATAATGCCTATTATACTTACAATACGGTGGGTAAATTGTAATATATATAATAATATTTATTACAATAATAACAGAGCAATACTTGGCAGTCTAGTTGATTTCAAATGAAGTGTCTTAAATACAGTATAATGGAATGTATGTTGTTTTGGTCATTCAGGGCTGGATTGATAATTCTACAGTTTCTCCTGCCTTCTGGAAACCAACCACTTGGGTTGGATGGTAGTGATTGCCTCGCTTCATGAAAGTCTGCTTTCAATCCCTGTCAAAGTGGTCTGGCTCCATTTCTTTCCCCCCCGGCCCATCCCTAATCCTTATCCTGGCGGCTCCTTCCCAGTGCTATAATCATGATGGCTTGGCTCTTTCTCCAAATAGTTTCCTTCCCTTCCCGCTTTTTTGATGATTCGGGAGTAGTGGTCTGAGAGAGATTAGTTGCCTTGGTGTTAAATGTCTGTCTCAAGTGTCTCCCGTATTTTTAAGCAATCTAAATTGCTTTAAATTGCATTTACATATATAGTATATATGTGCACACGTATATGTACGTATGTACATAAATAAGTTTTACTGTGGCAGTTTTATTGGTTCCCAAATGATCTAGTTTTTTGGCTTGGAAATTATGTAATGTTATTTACCAAATTGATTGATTACTGTATGTATAAGTAACCTTTAATAATACCTGTAGTCGAATCAAATTGAATAAAAAAACTTCACTCGTTAATGGTTGTAGAGTAACAACCTAGCAAATAGACAATGTCATTATCAGAATCGGAATCTTTATTTGTCGCAACTTGTATCCACAATCCTTACAATGCTGGCTGGACTAAACAGGTGTTCAGCCGTCTAAATCCAACTGACATTTTAGGAATAAAATGGGTGACATTTTGCTTAATTCTGACTAAATGATTTATAATTATAAACATTTATTATAAGTAATCATTATAGTTAACTGTATATAATTATGGGTGAATAAGAACGATGTTACAGAAAAGTAAGTTGTGTGTGAGAGATATTTTATATATATATACTAAAGAAGTTTATTACAGATGTTTGTAGTTGACTATTGATTATGATTACTAGGGTAATTTTAAATATTTAAAAACTACCGGATACTTAAATTTATATACAGTAGTGATTATAGGTACTGGATTATATATAGTACAATATATTGATTATATAGTACAGATATACATAACCTGTTATTATTCATTTAAATTTATCATAATTATAGGTAATGAAGACAATGTATACAAAATTTTATATTAATTGAGAATTAAAATTAAAAATATTAGCAGTGTTCGTACCAAGGTCTCGGGATGTCTAGTCTCGCCTCCTAACCTTGGATAATGTATTAAAAAAAAAAATGACCAGAACAGATTTTGCATTAAATGCAAACATTTGCTGATATGTCATTTTAAATACAGAATATTGATGATTCAAAATGTCAGGTCAAAGCAGTGGTACCCAGACTCCAAAATCGTTACAAACATTAGAGGAGGATATGCCGCTGGATCCTCGCCTGGGTCCACTTCCTGCCGAAAATTCTCGATTATTTGAAGGTACGTTTGTCTGCATATTTTTGTTTGATGTATTATGCATTTCCATTAAGAGGGCAATATGTTGCATGCTATGGTATTGCTGTACTGTACTTTGTATTTTAAGCAGTAGTGTATTTTCATAAATAGCATCATGTTTATTTTCACATCTGTATGGACAAGATTTATACAATGGTGCATTACATATAATACTTGGATTTGAAATTGCAAGGGCAAGCCATTTTTGATGGAAATCTATTAGATGTTCTGGCAAAATTTGCTGTGTGGGTTGAGCAATGCCATTTTATTTTAAACTAAGGAACCTGAAAATATAAGGTTGCCACCATGTTAGGTGTAGAAAACTTAGAATGTTGGATGTAAGTGATGAGGCACGTGTGTTCTGAAGAGCGAGTGTTATGATGGGTGGCAATGAGGAATTATCTTCCGCTGCTTCCCACTCTTGTTCGTTTCAGGTAACTCAAACACGTTCTGTTTTCCCCTGAATAAGCAAATTCTTAAATGTTATACAGTACTGTAAATTTTCGTTAAGGATGAGTGCTATGACTAATAGCAGATTTTACATGAAAAAAACAAGTGATTGTGTTGATGAGTAGTAGGTAGCTTCACAACCTGTGATGGTGGCAAGTGTAGCCAAAACCGTGAAATTTTTTGCCTTGTCATATATATGGAATCGTGCCTTAAAACATGAAATATGAGGGGTTTCCAACTTGCAAGCACACGGTCTTGGTAAAGGCCTTAAATAATGGCTGGTAAGATGAAGCGTCTTGGTTGTGCACCAGTGTCCACACCTCATGATGTTTTATTGCCTTTTTTGTCTAGTATTTATACCTCTTAGAAATAGAAAATAGTAATGGACAAAATATATTTTTGTAAATATGATTGCTCTTAAAAAAATTTTACAATAAATTTTGTTAATTATCATTGTTTGTAAATAATAAAGTAGATAATAATGTTACAGGATATACCGTCCTTTTGACAAGTGGTGACAGCAGCATCAAGAAACGCCAGAGTCCAGATGATGGTAAGTAAAGTACATATTGTTTTTGCTCCTTGTACGGATGGGCAGTAAGTGGTCATTATGCATTGAAGGAAGATGTTGTTGAAGCCAATTCCATCCATACCTTTAAGAAGAATTATGATGAAATTGTAAACGTTGATAGGTAATCAAAATGCCTGCTATAAAGATCTTGCATCGTCTTTGTCATTTGATGTGTAAAGACTGATACTGTAGTATACATAGTGCTTAAGGTAACATTTTTAATTTCTAATGTAGTACAGTCATCTGCATATTGACTAGGGCTATTATTTGTCGAGCATTTACGCCTTCACTTGGCAAACTTGTACATCTTCAGTTAATCATCTCTTGGAGTTCATAAACTGTAAGGTTATCTATAACAATTACCTTGGGTTGTGAAGTTTTGAAGCTCATAAACTGTAATATAAATACAGACTAAGCTATCATGACTGAAGAAAGATGTACAGTACAGGTATCTTAAGTGAACACGTAAATATTTGATGAATCCTGCGCTTGCCATATTTGTATACATTAGCTAAAGTGTTACTTGTCAAAACAGAAATAGATGGGGGTAGTACTATAATGAGCAGGAGATGGTAAATTTTTGTTTATGCATTAAATTTGTTTTTTTTTCTTTACAATATCGTACAGCCCCCACAATTTGGATTACAGTATATAGCTTCAGATCTGATCTGGATTCACAAACAGTATTAATTTTTGATAGACAAAAAAGATATTGAGAATTCCTGGAAGGTTGAATGTTCAACAGGACCCCACAAGAAAAGGCTACCATCACCCCCTCCCCCCCCCTCGCCAAGCCAATATCATTCTTTCAATGTCATAAGTGGCAAACTCTGCACCAACAATCTACCACTGGAACATACCATCCTACTCCCTCAACAAACCCTTGGGTCACAAACTAGGCAAACATGTTGAAGCTATGACAGGGTCTTGTGAATACAGTATAATGGTGTTGAATCAATAGCATACAACCAGCACGAACTGATTTGTCAAAGCGGTTGCTTTCCTGTCGTTGGGGATAGAAAGCCTGTTAGGGTTTTTGAGGTTCGCTTTCGGCCTAGGGCAATGACAGATTCCTCCAGGATGCAGCACATAAAGGTTGCTCAAATCCTAGGTACTCTTATAATGTACTGCTACATAAACAGCAGTATCAGGTGTAAGAAAACATACCCAATCATTTTGTTTTACATGGAAATTGTGCCCAGGACCATTTGGTTGTGAACCGACTATGCTGACACAAGTTTTACACAAGACTTCGATTGAGAGGTGGGTTCATAGAGCTGAAGCCCAACCCCCACAAGCACCATTAGAAGTGTCGAGTAGGAGGACACAAGAGTAGGGGTGGGCTTTTAGCAAGAGTGGATGGGTGTGGGCGTTGTGGGGATAGATTTGTGAGGGTTTACCGAGGGATTGAATGGTGGGGGGAGGGGATGGGTGTTGTGTAGTGCTGGAGTGGGGATGGGATGGGGTTGTGCAGATAACTGGTTAAATGGATAGCAGATCACCATAATTTGCAACTGGCCATATATATACACTCCACAATTATTCAAACTGACAAATGAATATTAATACAAATGTTAATTTGTTGTCTTATGGAGCATAATTAGACATTGTACTACTGTACCTGGTTTTGACTGAATGGGGATGACATAACTCTACCTATGTGACCACCCACTGGATTATTTACCTAAATTTACCCGAGGGCCACCGTCTGTCTAGTGGCCATAATAGGGACAGGAAAGTGACAGCTTGTCAAATGTTCCCAAAATTATATTGTATATTAATATTATGCTTCAGAAAGACTAGTGCATTTGGCAATAGCTGTTAGTTTTATTGCATAATCCATGCACAGTATATCAGTAACGTTGAATAAATCTGAATTCTACTCTTGTCCTATATATATGTTTGGGTTTGTGGAGAGTGGCCACTCTTCACTTGGCAAAACTTTGTCCTTGATAAAGGGTTAACTCATTGAAGTTACAAAGACTTACCAGCAGCTCCTGCATTCAACCATTCAAATTTTTCTGTATTAAATATAATTAAGCTATTTTTCATATACTGTACCCTAATAAAACTTTTTTTTTTTTTTTCAGACGATATTCCATTTGATAAAGGTTATATGACCACCCAAATAACTAGAGGTGGTGGCAAAGTGCTTGACAAATTTTCTGAAGCGGATATAATTCTTGCTGAACAAGGAAAAGCTGCAAGTGGTCGCCAGACACCTTCTAAATCCAAGAAGAAAGCTTCAGCTGCCCTCAGTACAACTCTTCTCCTCATCTCTAACACTCACTGTAGAACTGCCAAATTCATACAGTGCTTGGCAGCTGGTATCCCTATTGTGTCTTTCCATTGGGTTACAAGCTCCTGTCGAGAGGTCTGCTATAGTGCTTCACTTTTCAGTCTGTCCAACCACTTGAACTGAACAGTAGAGCGATAGCCTCTCTTCTTACAGGTTGGCGTTCAATCCCCGACAGTCCAAGTGGTTGGACACCAATCCTTTCCTCCATCCTATCCCAAATCCTTATCCTTGTATCCCTTCCAAGTATTATATAGTTGTAATGGCTTAGTGCGCTCTCCAGATAATTACCTTACCTTTTCAGTGTGCACTGGCTTAATTGTTACAGGAAGAGTTCTATGCTTGTGATATCCAATCTCTAATATTTTTAAATGTAGTTTTAAGACTTAAAATGTTTCTAGACCAGCCCGCCCCCTCAGTAACTTCCCATGTTCGTTATCAGTACATTTAATTGGTCAGTTGCATGACTCCCAGGTACCTATTTACTGCTATGTGAACAGCAGCATTAGGTGAAAGGAAACATGCCCAACCATTTCTGTCCAGCTTGGGAAGGCAACCTAGGGTCTCTGATTGTGAGTTGAGAATGAAACCATCTGTACTGTACTTAGGCATAAATGAATGTACTAGATCTTCAGTAATCATCTTCATCCATCAACAGGGCATAGGGGCATGTGGAAATTGGAGATAAATCCACTACCAAAGTCAACGATTTGCTATGGCACCCACAGATGCCATTCAAAACATCCCTTGGGATAATGTTTTGCAACCTTGAATCACAAAATGAACCATGTAGTTGCCCACTAATGTGAATACCCCCAACTGTCATCAGAGGGGTCAGGGAAGTTGGCCATTTTACTTTTTCTGGGTGCTGTCTTCAGTACTAATCATTTTGGGTCGAGACTTTTTCACCGGGTAAAACTGGCTTTAAGAATATTTAAACCGCGCTATTCCCCCCCCCCCCTCTCCCTTCCATTTGGTTTTCTAGTCGAGGGGGATCCTTGTGACTCGCTTACATTAATGAAAGGTTGCCAGGGTTTCAACCACCAGTTTTTCCACTCGCTAAAAAAGGTTCATCTTGGGGGGGGCTTTGTCAGGGTGGTTCCAGAGGCTTTTCTGTTGACAAGTAATGTTGTAGAGGTTTTCCTGATGGGTGAGTTTTCTGCCAAGAGATAGCTTCCCATTTGGGCGTTGGATTATAGGTATATCTAGAGGTAACTTGGTCCAACAGGCTGTTGCTTGTAGTGGCCTGCAGGCCCACATATCCATTACAACCCGGCTGGTCTGGCACTTCTTGTTAGGAACTTGTCCGTTTTTTTTTTTCTCTTCTTTTGCTCCGACAATTTTTCTTATACCCTGTACTGTACGTGTTGGGAGGGTATTGAATGCTGTCTGCGATTTCCTTGTGTGTTCAAATCACAATGTGATATTGATCTTGCTGCTTTTTACCTTGTAAAGTGTTTATTCATGTGCACCTGGATGTATATTTTTTAAATAGCTCAGCAGTTTAACGGTTAACTAATGTAGTTTCACAACAGAATAGACTATATAAGTAGATAATATACTAATTCTGTCTTTAACTGGAATAAATTTACTTCCAGAATAAAATGTTCCCATGGACAAAATTCTTGCTACCAGCTGGTGAGAATGAATCTGGAGACATAATAGAGCAGAACATAAACAATGAAATGCACGTGGCAGGCCCTCGACAGATATTAGCAGGCGAACGCATTTTCTTAGCAACTTCTGCCAATCCCGAGTTCAGTCCACTCTGGCAACCACTTCTAGCTATGAGTGGTGCTAAAGTTAGAGAGAAGCCAGCTAAATCAGGTTTGTTATCTTCTGTTAAATATTAGGCTTGAAAAATTATTCAAAACTCTTCCCTGTCGATCTCAATTTTGTATGTGATCATATTTCCCCTTGTTCTCCTATATATTTATGAATGTTTGTATGCAATTGGTTGCCTATTTTGTGCACACGTATTGAAATAAAAATAGAACGGTTATCTATTTTCAAATATTAGGTACCAACCCTCATCATAATACTGTTTAGAACATTTATTGTTAGTGTGTCATTTGCAGGTCAGAAATATTCTCCGGTATTATAAGAACCTTGATTTTATTTTTATACAGGCACCTTAAACAGAGTTCTAGACAAAAGCATAACTGTTGTGGTAGGAGATGGAACCATCCCAGATGATGAGCTTCAGCGAGCAGAACAGCTTGCAGTCCCTGTGTTATCAACCGAATGGGCCATTCAATCGCTTATTGCAGGAAGACGGCTTGCATATACAGCCAATCCTAAATTTCGACACGTACGAGACTCGGTGGGTGATAAACTACAAAAGTAGATAAAAAATATTTTACTTACCCATTAAGATTTATACATATGTAAAGAATATTAACAAAAATGGAAACAAGTTTTGACTTTCCTCCAGTTATGCATTAAATAAGGTGTATATAATGTGTAATTATCATAGTGTCTGTGCCACTTGAATTATATCAGTCCATTAAAATGTGGAAAATTTAACTAATTTCATTCTGAATAAAGAGTACTTGATTCCATATTTTTCTATACATATGTAGTTTCCAGTGATATGGCAACTCTTGTCGTTCGATGTGTGTCTTCACCATTTTAAAATGATGTAAATTAAATATTGAGGAGGTATACAGAATTTTGTACATATACAGTATATCAGTTTTTACTACATTGACAAAAGAAAATATTGAATATTTTCGATTTTCACTTTTAACCAACAACCTGAATTTTTTTTATTCGACTCTTACTTTTTGTGGATTTCTCCCAGAACATTTGTAATAAGTGAATATTTGACATAAACCATTTCTCTGCACATAAATGTTGTTTGAAATTAATATGTTTGGGTAATGGATATTAAATATTTAATGTAAACTAACTCCACGTTTGGAGAATGATAATTTGATGTGAATCATATACCAGCTCTCCTTAAAAATTTAGGTTTGTAGAATATGGAGTTTATATGATTATACGAGATCATTTTATACACCCACATACATGTAAATAACATCCCCCAAACTTTCAATTGTATGCAAATCAATAGCTACTATTACTAGAAGCAAATTTTTAAACCTCTGTACCCTGTGCAAGATGATTAATGGTATTTTTTTGTTTAATGTATCTCGCTACCATTTGATTCGAACCTTAATTTGTCATACTTGGTCTGCTTTTCAAATTTACTTAATTTCAACTGGTACCCAAGTTGCATATTAATGCCTGACAACTCTTACCATTGACTTTGGTGTGAAGCAAAGATGATCGTCAGACTTATGTGCCATGTTTGTCAAGTATTGTGCATGCAACTTGGGCGACGTTTATGGTACTGTACATTTAGAAATTGTTTAAACAGTGGGTTATGATGAAATAACTTGTGATGTCTCACTGTTGATTTACTTGTGCAGTGGGTTTCTTTACTTGAAAATACCTATTAAAAAATCCCAATTGTGTAGTAGAGTGGTTTTGATGTTGAGTACTTGACTGTGTTGATACTGGTCTGTGGTAGGTGTTAAAGCACAAACTGTTAAGCATTTATACACAACTTTGTATATTATTTGAGTTTGTGTATCTGCAGACATTTTTAAAAGCTTTCCTCTATCCATTTTTATGCATTTAAATTTTATTTGCGTGCAGTCGCATATCCTAATATTTTTATTTTGAATTGTAAGTTACAAGATAATTTACCAGCCAACTGAGGGGGGGGAGGGGGGTTCATTGTGATAAAAATATAGCATATTCCCCGGTATTTTTTGTCAACTCTGGCTTCAGCCGGGGATCTCTTTACTTTGTGTAAAATTGTAATTTAATTACTAATTATAGTACCAGTATATGCAAATTTTGAAATTTTTTAACTTCACAAAGAAAAAAGGAAAAGTGCAGTGTGTGTTTTTTTACCTGAATAAAATTCATGATATACACCTTGTGAGTAAAGGTCAAAATTGGAAGAGCTTTAATAAGTGGTGAAAATGTAATAGTTTTAGCTAAATCAACATCATTTAAAAAAAGTGATGGTAGTCAACGGTATATTTTACATTTTTCTTTTCTATAAAGTTTTGTAGATTGATATTCTGCTTATTTCTGTACAAGTTTTGTATTTGGGAATACAAATTGTAATATTGTGGTGAGGTGTAAGTAAATGCTAGCCAGCACATTACACATGGAAATGTGATGCTGTTTAGGTACGTCTTGTACCATGTTCAAGTTGAAGCATTAATATGCCTCTAATGTGCAATTTGTGTTTGGTTTTTACAAAGAGGGTTCTATTTAAATCAAAACAAAAGCACAACATGTTAAACGTCATTATGTTTTTCTTGATATTGTAACATTTCCTTGTCATTATTATCATAGGTCATTAGTGTTTCCAAGTACAGTGTGTTACTGATTTGAACTTGAAGCCTGATTTAGAATTACTGATCTTGGTTGGCTTTAGAAGTATTTATTACCATGTGATATTATTGGGTTACTTGACGACACTGTAGCATCAGTTTGTGTTCTCCATTGTCTCGCTTTCACACAACTACTTCAATGACTACCATTTCCTCGTTCATTATTTTCCTTGTGCAGTTAGTCTTTTCTGTTAATCTTGTCCTTATTTTAGTTTGGCTTGTGCAAACTTTGGTCAGTCATATTTTATATTTTTGATGTAAGCAAGTGGCAAATTTTTCTTATAAGATACCTAAAAAAATAAATAATTAGAATCCCTCTGAAACTGTCTTGGTTGTTCCTTCGTAAAATGTTGATGCTTAAAACACCAACACAGTAATAAGTTTCATTAAAAAGCTACAGTATTTACTTGGTGCATCCAAAGAGTTAGCAGTTGACTCACAAAAAGTGGCCCCTAGAATGTGTTGACAAATTCCATGTGCCTAGGAAAACTTTTCTAAATTGTATAATGTTCAACCAGGTGCTCTAATCCTTAAAACAGGCTCCTGGTCCAGGTAAATGCTACTGGTAGGTAGCAAAATCGAATATCAGCGCCAAAAATTGGCACCTATTTCTAAACTCATAATACAGTATTGGAATTTTTTAATATTCTTTAATGTTCAATTTTGCTTTGGCATGGCAAGGTAGTTATTGTACATCCATGGGCTGGTGTGGGTTGCTTCACCCCACTCTCCTGCCTCTCTTGGGACATTGTACGTGCAAAGGAAACTCAATTTGGGGTTGGCACTCTGGTCATTGGACTAGCTGCTGGAAGAGCCACTCTTGGAAGTCCAGAGTGGGGTATGAGGGAGACAAGTTTTTGCTAAAGTGTTGAAGAATGATGTAGGACTTCCCTGCTTAAAAGGGGGGGGGGGGGGGGAGTACCATTTGGAACATTTTCTGTGCTAGCTCACACTTGACCTCCCTCAATGTCCTTCTAGGTGATAACCCATGGTTCTAGAGCCCAACCTTCTTGAGACTAAAAGACTAAGCTCTCGAGTCAGACCAGCATGCAAAATCAGTCCTCCCACCCCTCCTGAGGAAATGCTATGTGGGTGCCAGGCTGCTCTTATGTTGGGTCCTTGCCCAGCTCTGTCTTTGATTCACCTTTCTGATATTCTTCCCCAACACCTGCCTCTTCATTGCCAGGTAAATCTCCCATGTCAGTGGTAGTGACCGACTCATCACCTTCCCTGTTAGTCTTATGGCCTCCTTATTATTTAGGTACATAGCCTTCCTGGTTTGGTGCCTTCTTTTGATAATTACTTGCTTATTATTTAGGTAATGTAGCATTGTCATTCGAACATTCATTATATCCTCACATAATTCAATATTCCATGATTTGTTTGATCCACTTACATGGGCAAAATATTTTGATGTCTTTTGTGATGAAATTTGTTACCCCTGATGTTGCATGCATTGTCACCTTGTTCAGTCAGTTTATTCATGTTACCATTCGTCCCATCCGATCTGGTGCATGCCCCTTCTAAAGATGACCGACTTCTTAGCTGCCCTCTCATGTGTCGGAGGAGTCCTAGTTTCGCTCTCCAGGAGTGTACTTTTGAATGCCAGCATCAGTATTGTCATTCTTCTGCCCCATACTGCAACTGGAAACAGGGACCTTTTGTGATTGCCATGGAGATAGTAAGGCCATTTTCCAAATCCAGGGGCATTCTGTTCTCCAAGTTAAGTCACTTATGACCTTGCAGTCACCATTTTAAACCCTTTTGTGTTCACTTTTGACAGGTGTTCTCTTCCATCCTTGGGAGCTCTTGCTGGTGCTAAGAGTACAGTGCTGGAAAACTTGAAATATGCAGTACAGTGCTGAAAATATGGACGTGGTCCTTTTGACTTGTCTTGGCAATTTTTTTTTCTCTTCCCTTTGAGACAAATTTGTCTATCAGTCAGATTTGCCTCAAGGAGCAAATCTTAAAGGGCTTGATTGTTCTATGCTCTGCTTTATCCCTATATTCCACCAAGCAGGCCTTCCTGAACCTGAAATGAGACCCATATACCCTGAGGCAAGATGCCAAGCCCAACATTAGTGCCTCCAAAGAATTGTAAGCCTCTGGCCCACCTTCCCTGTCCTCGGTTACAGAACCATTTCCAAGCTGTAGATTGTGATACCTCTACCAGGTCATCTTATAATCTGCATAGGCCTGACAAAGCTTTTCTCTCTCCATCCCATGTTCACTTCCTTTCTTCCTAGGTCTGCCCTAATTGCATTGCTTTTCGACTTCTTCACCCTTCTGTAATAGATGCACTCCAGCTCTAGGTTTAACTCTTCATCGCAGCATTTTCCACTTTTTCTTTTCTGAACAATGACCATTCAAGCCGATGTACTCCCTCGACTTGATTGCCATTCATTCTTCTTCTCTACCTCAGTCTGTGGAAGCAATCTCGCAGTACAGTAAATCTACTGTTCCTCTGCTTTCCAACCAGAAATGAAAACCAGAATGTCCCCCCCCCCCTTTCTTCTCAATGAGCAAGATAGCTGCATGCCTTTGGGTATGGAGGGAGTTAATTTAAGAGGGATAGCATTCAGATGAATACCTTTATTAATAACAACTCCAGTTCTCAGAATACCAGGATAACAAAGGACAATTGGTCATAATTTCCTAGAAGACGTCCACTCAGGAACATTGGTAGTAGGGATTGGAGGCAAGAGGGATAAGAGCATCGAATCCTGAGTAGCCACCGTGTTAGTCATTCAAATGTCTCGTCCTAACCATATACGGTACTCAGACCTTGATAATGTGCTCAGGAGAGTGCAAGACTTACTTGGTGCAGTTCAAATATTTACATACAATATACACATACACAAGTACACTGTATAGGTTTTTTATGTTTTTTTTTAGATGAACATTGTGTACAATAATTAATTTTTTGTATATTTGTGTACATAATTATAATAAAATAATTCTTTGAATATACTTATTTCTGTAAGATTCTTGTATGAAATTAAAGGACAATTTTACACGGATTGATGTGGGGAGGGGGGGGTATAAAATTACCTGAATTTGGGAAAAACATGTCTGCCTTGATTAGAGTCCTGTACATGTACTGTATGAGCTCGGTTATTTGGAATCTGCTGAACCGATATTTGGGTTATTCAGCCAAAATCGCATCCAATTTAATTTTCTCGCAAACCTTCGCCATAGATGGACAGAAATCCTGATAACTGGAGATTAGCTTATGCAAGTTTAAAGAACTATACATTTCAAGATCTACAGTATCAGGAACATGAACAACAAGAAGGTAAGGTGAAGTTTCGGTTTTAAATTATAATTTTGATTTATAGTTTTTTTTTTGTGTGTGTGTGTGTGTGTGTGTGTGTGTGTGTGTGTGTGTGTGTGTGTGTGTGTGTGTGTGTGTTCCCGTTCCCGTTCTCTCACACAACCCGTTCTCGCAAATTTAAATATGTGCATAGGTGACATACTTAACATAATAGTTTCCCTTGAAAAGCTTCATAGAAAACACCGACCTTACCTAACCTTCTTAGTATGTTAACATAAGCATCTTATTGCTTCGTAATTACAATTATTACCTAACCTATACCTATAATAGGTTAAGTAACAATTGTAATTACGAAGCTATAAGATGCTTATTTTAACATACTAAGTAGGTTAGGTAAGGTCGGTGTTTTCTATGAAGCGTTTCAAGGGAAACTATTATGTTTAGTATGTCACCTATGCACGCAACTAATAAGTCAATATTGACTTATTAAATTTGCGAGAACGGGTTGGTGTGCACGTGCGTGCGTGCGTGTGTGGAAATTCTAATTATTGGTTATCTTGATTTCGGGTCTTAGCGTTCCCCATGGCTCGGTCCTCGACCAGGCCTCCTTTTTGTTACACATCCCCAGGAAGCAGCCCGTAGCAGCTGTAACTCTCAGGTACAGGTTGAATATTTACTGCTAGGTGAACAGGGGCATCAGGGTGAAAAACTTAGCCCATTTGTCTCCGCCTCCACCGGGGATCAAACACGGAACCTCAGGACTACAAATCCGAAGTGCTGTCCACTCAGCTGTCAGGCGCCCATTGTGGTACAAAAAAATTGCAAACTTGTTCATTTTTGGACTTCCCTAATAAGAATTCTGCTTATCAGGATGTGTGAGGCTCATCCAGTGAGAGGTCCTTCCCATATAGTCTGGATAAGTGAACTTAGTACATATGGTATGTACTGTAAGAGCTCGGTAATCCGATTTCCGGTGATTGAAATCTTCTGGTAATCCAAATAAATTAGTTACTTTTTGACTGATTAACTCCAATTAACATTTTAGGTTACCAAGATGTCTGGTAAACAAAAACCCGAGTAAATTTATATTTTTAATTTTTCGTCTTTCCAGATAAAAATTCAGCCAATTAGAATGGGAGTAGGCCCCATATAATTTGGATTATCGAATGTAGACTGTGTACGTATGTTGAATATAACTGAAAGTGTTAGATCAACGAGTTGAGTATGAATCTACAGTATACTGTATTTCTTATGTTCTTTGAAATGAAGTTGAAAAAAGTTCATTTTATAATTTTATTTGGTCTGATGCATGTCACTGGAGGATGCATTTTGTTTATTATCTCAAAAATCTATGGGGGCAGCACATACATAATAACTGGAATTACATTACACACACCAAGTAGACTGAGGTGAAGTGAGGAGATTCATAGTGTGTCAACTGGGGCAGACACTATTGTGTGGTGTAAGGAGGCAGTTCTCTTGGTCTAGAGGAAGGTAAGGCATACCTGAGTGAGCTGGCTTTTGAGAGGGGTGTTCGAGCATATTTGATATGTAGTGCTTTGGCTGTGTCTAATCTTCTATTGACGTTATTTGTTGATTATTTTGTTGATGTTAGCCATATCATCTCTGGTGATGATCTGGTTGTGCACAGAAACGTGATCTTTGATAGAACCGTGTTGTTTGTGTATGGTCAGACACCATCTGACAATTGGAACGATGGACAAAGTTTGTCGGGATTCAGTTTGCACTTCTCTTGACATGTGATGTCAAGAGAAGTGCAAAAGGTATCTTTTCTGCACTTTGATATTTATTTGTACAAAGTAGATAGTGTCACCATGGGTACTACTGAGGAGAAAGCCCTTGTTGACATGGATCTAAAACCTGATGTCCATTGCAGGTATGTTGATGACATATTGTTAGATATCTGACATAGACAATTGTTATAGCTTAAGGAAGCCTTTGCTACAAAGACCTCTGTTACCATTCTTGTTGGCCTGGAAAAGGCTTATGACACCACCTAGATATAATTTTTTTTTTTATTCCAACATTCTTTTGGCCTTCATGGCAGCCTCCTGCTCTTCCTTCAAAGCTGGTGAGACTTGCTATCACTTTCTCTGACTTCTCAACAATATGAAGGTACTGTATTTCCCAAGGTAGTGTTCGAAGTACTACTATTTTCCTGGTTGGAGAAGCTCTGGCCTGCTTAAGCCATACATGCTTAACAAATGGGCACTTAATGTCCTAATTTTCAGAACGGTCGTATGACGTGCTTCCCTAATGTCCCTTGATATGATCCTTGGTAAATCCATTACTTCTGGTAACGCTTCCCTTATGTCCTTTTGTTTTTGTATTGGCATTCTTTGTGATAATTAGAGCCTTGAATATTCAGTGACACTGAGGTGCTACATAGTCTCCCCAGCTTGGTGCCTTCTTTTGATAATTACACCATACCTACTGCCCCAGTCAACATATACTATCTAATTCCTCATTTCACCTCATGCTACTTAGTGACTGAGAGGACACTATACACAATGTAACCACTGCCTTTAGATGATATATTCAAAGAAACAAGTCCTTCAATGTCATGCGCATCAGGTCAAATAAAACTGTAAAATGAACTTGAGTTAAGTGAAGAAGAACGTAAGATATATAGCAAAGATTCATGCTACATTTATTGATCTAACGTCTGTCATATTCAATAACATATGTATGTCTATTAGAAAAAGTTGACAAAATCTATATATATATATATAATTTTTTGTGTGTGTAAACTATACATAATATATAAAATTGTGTATTATATATACATAGTACTGCATATTTTTTATATTAAACATGAAATATCTGTTAATTTCATGATAAAAGGAATTATTTTTGTTTAGTGTTTTGGCTAACATATTCAATGTTTAGATCTCCATGTACAAAATATATCTTGCCTAATGTTTGCAAAATATGAGTAATGTTGATCTCTTCACTAGAGTAAATGTTTGTGAATGTTTCACCTCGCTCAACCCTTCAGTTTCCCCTCAATATTTTCCATAGTACATACATATAATGGGGAAGACACACTTACTGCACTTTATCTTTTCCAAAATATGCATGCAATCCTCCTGACCAAATGACGTTTATGTAACATTAGAGTCAACATCGATTAAACTTTACCCGAGTGTATTTTGCCCACTGTAGTATTCTCTGTGAGGATAGGTTTAATTGTGAATTACTTCTTCACATTAGAAGATATGAGCTGTTTCATCATACTTGGAGGATCTATAAGTCTCTATGCATTTGTAATTAGCAAACTCCTGTTCTATTTTCTTCAATAGTCTTCATGCCCATTCTATTAATAATACTGTACTATAATGTATGTGAATTTAAACATTAGCAGATGTTCTGTAGAAATTTATAGTGATGTATTACGTGAATTTTTCTATTTGAAAAGCTTTTTTATATATGCATCCCAGAATTTAGATAGAGGGTACTGATGAACAAAATTATGTTCAGAATATGATTGTTAAACAATTTAGCTAAAATTAGGCTTGACTTCAGTTTATGTAAAAATAGACAGTTGTGAGCATAAACTTCTAATTATGAAAGCTATCTTATGGCCCCTACCCCTCCCTCCCACCCCTTAATGACCTGCTTAGCCCATAACAAGTACAGAACATGCTCTGCTGTAATTGCTGTGTAATGAAATCGGAGTAATTTTAGTTTTGTTTTTGTACAGATTGATGCATTGCTAATTTAAATATTTGAAGCATGCTTACCAATAAATCACTTGCCATTCAACTAGACAATCAGATGTGATGTTGCACATAATGTATACTTTGAAAAAACAAAATAGAAATACCCCTAACTTCTTACTGACAGTGATAAACACTGATGGTGACCAAACTTAAATAACTATAGTGCAGTTGCAAACTTTGGTGCATTATAACTGAACATGAACACTGAGGAAGTTTGTTCCTGTAATGAAATCTAAACTAAGTCTGCAGTCAATAATTTTGTTATGGTTGAAATTTGTATAAATATTCAGTGCCCCTATTGGTATTATATTTTAACTGTGTATATTACTTTTATAATTTACATAAAATCTTGACTACATAATGTTAGCTTGTGTATCTGTGATTAAGAGGAACATTTGACGAGCCTTTTGAAACTACTGTTTATATACTATTATACACGTGTGATGCATGTTGTATAAAATAAGTTCAATACAAAGTAGATTGCTCACGTGCACTCTGTAAAGTCTTGTATCGTTTTGTTTTGAACTTTATGGACAAGCTTCTGAGCCAAATGCTTCAGCAAGCTGTGTAGTCTGTGCATCCCAGTATTTGTTGTTTCTTCTTTGGAATTATCACAAGATTTTAGGTATAATGGAACAATGAATATTGTGTAATAAATACTTTGTATCTTGAAAACTGGGGAATGTATGTAAACTGTGCCATATATGTTTTTGGAAACTGTTTGTTTTATTTTCCAATATGTGTACACGGTAAAGAGTTACATAAAGATAGTTATATTACCAAGAGTAAACCGACAGCTTCTTGCATCTTGAGAAAAATTGTATACTGTTGGCTAGATACTTGCCTATCTGTGATTACAGGAAAGTGAGGATCTAGCTAATTATATCCATCTACTCCGTTAAAAAGGAGAGGTGCAGTAGGTACTCCGAGAGAAAGAACTATCGACATTGGAGGCTCGAGACTTATCAACACGCTTCCAATAAACATTGGGGGCATAACTGGCTGACCACTCGGTATTCAAGAGAGAACTCAATAAACCCCATAAAAGGATATCTGATCAACCAGGCTGTGATTCATATGTCAGGCTGCATTCAACAGCCAGGTTGACCAGTCCAGCAACCATGCCGCGGGAATGTTGTGCCCCAAAATCATCGCAAGGTATCTATACAAGCCGTCTTACAGTAACTGCACAACCTTATCTAACCTGTCCTAGGTCCAAAATATGTACTAAATTTGACCTAAGTAATTATCAAAAGAAGGCACCAAACCGGGAAGGCTATGTATGTAGCACCATCGAATGTGTGGAATAATCAGAGGGTTTTTATCACCAAGGATGCCAATACGAGAGCAGAAACACACAAGGCGAATGATATCAAAAGTATCCGATTCACCAAGAATTCTATCGAGAGACAAGCGACAGCGAGGGACGGTCAGAAAGTAAGACACATGTTCGTCCTGGCAGTCAGGACATTCAACAAGGATATGCACAACACAATTTAGACAATAAGGAGCAGGGAGGCGCTCCATTAAGTGACTGAGTTAGGCGTGTATGGCCAATACACAACCTCGCCAGAGCCGTTTCCCATCACCGGTTACGTTGATAGGAGGAAGGCCATGAGGACACGCTACCCTTAAGAGTACGCAATTCGTTACCAGTAACAGAAGACCAACAATCCTGCCAACGGGTAAGGATGGAGGAATGAATAACTAGGTAAAAGTCAGAATAAAGAATACCTTTACGGGAGATGGGACAAGAGCGGACAGCTTCCCTGGCGGCGGCGGCCACACGCTAATTTAAAGAAACGCCAATATGGCTGGGAACCCAGCAAAACTCAATTGACTTAAATTTACTAGAAATAAGAAACAGCCAATATTGAATTTAGACGACCACAGGATGGACCGGATTAAAGGATGATGCCTGTGAAACATGTCCTAGACAGTTTAATTAGTTGTCACAAGTCAGTGTAAAAGTGATGATAAAACTACCAATTTATGGTTTAAGTTTAATTATGGCTATTTACACAACTTTTTTTGGAGGAAGTGCCTTAATACAGCAAGTTACAATTTATGTAAAAATTTTATTTTACATTATTTTTAAAGTATTATCTTTCATATTCTGACGTTATAAATTTGCCCACTTGTAAACCGTTAGTTATTTTGTTACAAAATCCTCAGAAAATGAGGACAAGGAACAATTTCAATCAGGTCATTTGAGAAAGGTGCTATTGTTTGGTTAATTTTTTAATATGAATGAGGATTTATAAGTACAGTACTATACCCTTATTTAGAACGGTTTATGCAAAAGCATAGTGTGTCGTTTTGTGGCAGATTGTTATTGCTTGGTTATTGACTTAGTGATACTGTACTTTGGTACACAACTATAGTGGCAAACCAAGTGTGTCAGGCATCTTTCCATCTCTGGCTACGTGGATGGCACACACAACTTGCCAGTATGCAAATGGGTAGCAACATTTGCTGAGAACATGGACAAGGTGTGGCAGTTTTACAGTGTGTGGTCTTGTAAACATTATTGTACGTGTGCCTTTTACGTAGATTTTCAAGGATTAATCAGCTTCTCTTAAAATATTTTAAGCAAAACTTTAATACATTTGGTTAAATTGCATTTTAAATATGCTTGAAGACACTAAGTATGAAAAAAGAAAAAGTAAATATTCAAATAATTTCAAAATAAAAATTACATTTGCCTTTCATAGCAGATACTCACTGTATTTAGAAATGCCGAGAATAGTAAAGACAAATAAAATATATTAAATAAAATACCCATACAGTACTGTATTTTATATTGTCAGGCCATGCTATCAAAACATCTTTGTGTAGTGGAAACTATTGCTGTTCACTATACAGTACAAATAAGAATTTGTTAGCCAATTCTTTCCAACCCCCTCTGCATTGTAATCCCAAAATATGACTGTACCTTGATAATATTCACACCAAAATGAAGTATCTTACCGTACTTTACAAGTCTGTCCTAATTATGTTACACGATTTGTGCGGGGAATGATTGGTCTAGATGGGCCTTCACTGTCGAGTGTAAATTTCATAATGGTTGGCTCCGGCTTCAGAGGACCATAAAACTTGACTGGAGGTAATGGACGAATCTTTCGGCCATGATAACCAGTCTTCCGTTGCCACAGACCAGATGCAGGTCGCTTTCCAAGCCAACGTCGCCTCTGTGCAGAGCCGACATGCTGCTGGCCATGGAGTATGTTAGACACCCGACCTGAAAGTAATTTGTACAGGGACCAATTATGGTCTATGTTAGACACCTGACCTAAAATCTAATACATTCCCCAGGTTTAGATCCTACACCCACAAGGGAAGGCCACCTTGCACACAGTGGCTGCCACGTCAGGGCAGATGCCCACCAGAGGCCGAGACCCACAACTGTCCGAGTGGTAGCGACTGTTGGCTACCTTTTGCCTTTCTGGGAGCAGAAATGGAAAGAAACATCAAGGGGGAAACAGGACATGGCCCTTACATTACATGGGACACATCCAGAAAAACAATTGACCAAAATGAGAGGGAATATAAACCACAGAGGCACCAAAGAGGACATAGAAATTTATTATGTATGCTAGATTATAAAGTAAAGAAATACAGTGTTTAGTTTACCCTGAATAATTATACACATTGTACCGGCACTTCAGCAATGTTGAGGGAACTCAAGTGACCACAGAAATTATATACTGGTAGGTCCTGAGTAATATGGAAATTAGATGACCCCAAGGGGTATGTTCATCAAATATGTAATTGAAATCATGGTTAATAAAACAGCAGAAATCAAAGTTTTGCAATAAATTAACTATATATATTCATGCACAAAAAATACACACTTACCAACAGTTACCATGCACTCGGGATCGAGAGCCACCTCTCTCTTGGTTGGCAGCTGAACGATAACCTTGTCGCTTATCTTCCTCATAATTATCCCTGCCGTACCTGCTGCTTTTACTAACCTGAAAGAGGAAACTGCAGCAATTAAGATACCTCGGATAAAACCCGAACATGAACATGCAATTGGAGTGCAACCTGTCCTCTCGCCTAATTGGTTACCATAACATAAAAAATGCAACCTACTGTGAAAAGTAACGGCTCGCAAATATCTACATTCCCCATGTTGAACTTAATAGGTTAGGTGGGTTGCTTGTCTTCCTAATGTTTCTGGTTAAGTTAGAAGGTTATATTTTTTATGGCAAAGAGAACAGGCTGTAGAACGACGCCGAACAAATGTCATCAATGTTAACAGACACTGGGTCAACATTGCTCCAGCACTATTTAGAAAGCACAACAGAGGAAACAGCAACAGCCAGGAGAAAATGAAATTCAAAACAAGGGATGCAACACTAGTGATAGTACCAATGTTTTGAAGAGTACAGGTACTATCTCTTATGGAATATTGTTTGACTTCACATACCACTATCAAGACAGGCAAGATAGCAAAGCAGGAAACTATAAAGAAATATTATAGGTAACTTTACCTATAATCAGTGAAAAACAAGATACTGGGACTGCATGAAAAACTCAAATTGTTCTCCTTTTAATAAAGGAGAGAGAGCACTCATTACATACACATGGAAAAATACCTGATAATCAGGTCCTAAACCTGCACAATGAAATTACAACATTGTGCAGTGAGAGAGATGGTTGAAGTCCACGACTTCAAACTCCTGCCAACAAAATAAATGAAATATTACTGGAATTATGAAACTTTCAGGAGAGAACTTTACAAGCTTTTACTATAACTGGATCAGCCAGCCTGTAATGGCTGTGACCCTGTAGGCTACAAAGACAACAAGTTTCAAAGACTAGTCAGTCACCAGGGAAGGCTGGCCCTAGGGCAGGCTGTAATAAAGAAAGGATTATCACAATCATCTACAGGTAAAGTACACAAGGAGGGCCAGCCTAGAAAATATACTATACATAGACTTTACATTTATAATTTTGTACACACTTCCAATTTTGTTAATTATGCAAAGCATTTGGACAAATTTTTTAAAATTCATACAGTATGTGGGATTACAAAATGAAGTGTAGGATGATATTTAATATTAAAAGCTATTTTTAACGTAAGAAATCCATCTTAAAACTTGTTCCAATTCTAATATTAAATATTTCCAACTACTGGTATATAATGTACTCATTACTTACCTAGCTCCATCACCGACCTGGCATTCCACACAGTTAACAAGGGTTGAATTTGGCAAAGCTCCCACAGGATAGGCATCCCCTTCTTTTGGCCGCACTGAAAAAAAAAATTGGATACTGTAAACAAATCCACAAGGGTCGTGACGAGGATTCAAACCTACGTCTGAGCTCATCCCCATCCACATATTTGTTCATTGATGCATCACGCTATTGTGATTTCTGTGTGTAGTGTGTTGGATACTGTAGCTACAAAGTATAACATACACACACATACATACAACTGCACTACATGGCCTAGTATCCACGGTCCAATTTACCCAAGAAAAATGCGTAAAAATAACATGAATGTCTGACGAGAATATAATTTAAAAGCCTAATATAAACTAATCATTCAAAGACTTCATACAAACACACTTCATACCCTCAGCATAATTAACAGATTCTCGGGCCAACCTGGATCAAAATCACTCCAAATACACAGCTCATATAACATAGATTTGGCTTCATTAGGACTCCAAATGGGTGTCAGTAAGTTGTCTGCTTGTGGCAGTAGTTCCTACAACACTCCAGGTATACTGCTGGGGGTCTCCCTGCTTGCTCTGCTGAGTAGTTGTTTGTCATGTCTTGTATACCTGCGACGCTAGTACCCCATATACCTGCTACGCCAGAACTTGAATAAAGTGACTGGCCAGTGGGTACCTGAATAAAGAATTGACTGAGTTTGCTGGATGAGTGAGTCCCTCCAGACAAAAAGGATATCATTCATTTGTGAACAATTTCTTTGATATTGTGCCCACCTGCATAAACTATTACCCTGGTATACCTGAAGCACACCTGAAGAGGGTTCTGGGAGTTCTACTCCCCAAGCCTGGCCCAGGACCTGGCTCAACTTGTGATAACTTGGTTCAACAGGCTGTTGCTTGGAGGTATAAATGCCATGTGGATGTTATGCTTGCAAATATAATATTCAACCTTTTGGTTCTGATTTGCATGGGTTTAGATGAACCGTACACAAATTTTCCTTTATACATATGTAATGCCCTTTATTAATCTCAAGACTTGTGTAATGAGGTTTTGCATGACCTCCTAAGGTAATCCCTATGAGTGAGATTACAGAGAGTATGATTGGGCAATATGACATGCATGTTTAACTTTTGGTGAGTAATGCTGATAAATTTTTAACTGGAAGCTACATGGTCTCTGTGGCACAGTCATCAGTGCAGTTCACTCAGACAAAAGGTCCCAGGGTCAATTCCTAGCAATAAATAGGTTGCTGGGAGTGAGGCAAATATTAGAAACATCCTGGGAAAGGTCAGTAGTTGCCCTAGGGGAAACCTTGATAAGTCTAGCAGGCTTCCTGTCCCCAACTATGGCAACCAAATCATAACATTAGAGACCATCCTTCAAATGAAATACATGATTTTTTAAAAGTTCAAGCCAATACATGAAGGCACTTTCCAGCTATCTCATAGACACAGCAAATTTGTTGAGAAAAATGTATAGTAATCTAGTGAAAGCTATAACATATTCCCTACTGGGGGGATACCTATGTTATTATGCAACAATATTATACATACCAGGAATGCGAGGGATGTAGCTAGAAGTTCTAATAAGGTCACCACTCTTCATGTTTTCAGTGGCAATAATGTACCTGATAAATTAATAGAATAGTAGCAGATTTAATAGTACAAAGCATGAACCCTTTATAGCTAATTTTCCCATAAATTAGCTCTATATGATTGTATTTCATTTCCAATCACCTATATGTAATCTCTCACATCATCAACCATATTATGATAGAATAATACAAGTATGAGCAATGAAGATACATAATGAATCTATGAAAAAAATCAAGGCCATACAATGGAGTCGTACCTGCGACCCTGGACTCCTCAGACACACACACTACTGACTGAAACATCTTGTCAACAGTACCTGACTTGCATAGGATTTGAATGATAGCAGATGGTTCCTTCCAAACTCTACACAAGTCAGTTAGAACTTCTGGTCAAGATACTTTTAGCCCATCATTGTTCAGTCAATAGTGCATGTACCCAGTACAAAGAGTTCAGTGATGCAGGTTTGATCCCATTATATGACTTTGGTACATATTCAATATGGTATGCCCCTCTCGTCCTCGTTTCCCTTGACTTTCGCCTCTCTCTGCTCCTCCTCAGTCACTTTCCTGCTCTCTTCAGCATTGTCACAACCAAAAGGCCAGAAGTGTAGGGTACAGTAATGCAAACTTTAGGGATCACAAACCAGGCTATTCTATCTTACCTCCACATTAGGTATACGGCCTACGAAAAAATTGGGGCATGCAGCCCCCAACCATCAGGCCTACAGCCTGGCAATCAAGACAAAAACCTAGAACTATGGCAAAATAGAGCAGCACCAAGGCTCACCAGCTGACTGACTGATGGCTGAAGCAGGCATTGTTTATATTCAAAGCAGCTGAATGTGTCACCAAGAAATGTAAACACGCACACAGATAATAGTAACCCTCAACCAGGGTAATGAGACAACATGGCACCAAGGGACAGTGAAATCCAAACATGGTTAGTGAAAAATTAAACTTGGAGGGAACATCCCAGATAACACAGCACATTGTGGGAAAGTCTGATGTATGTCTCACACCTGAAGTAGAGACAAAAGAGGGGGAAACCAGCCAACTGAAGTAGGTTGAAGAGCCAAAAAACAACTGACTGGACTGAAACTGAAAAACAACAAATCCAGATCTAAAGAAGACACACATTTTCTCAACAAAAATTGGGGCCAACATATTGCAACAGCTGCTCAACCCACCTGAAACATGAGGGACACATGAGCTAAAGCCTAATGAAGCTAAAACCTGAAGGAAAAGCAGGAAATTTAGAAGAGAATGCACAGAGCACTTAAAAGTGCAGATATCTAAGGCAGCTAGAACCTCAATGGCAATAGTGAGGCAAGGACACACAAGGAAGCTACAGCCTGCCCAGTGCTCAAAAAGTGGGGCCACCAAGGATAGGATGGGGACCCACAGTTGTTGAGGTCAACAGCCACATGGAGGGCACAGACTTAACACAAACTTACAAAGACAAGAGGCCTACTGCATCCCAAAGAGCACCTTTGTATCAACAAACAATGATGGCAGCAATTGCAACGTAAGGTATGGAAGGGGAAGCTATAACAACCAAGCCAAGAACACTTACACAAAACTACACAGGAACAAGAAACATCCGCTACCCAGCCCACCGTGCAAACAGGAAGATAAGGTAATTATCAGAAGAAAGCACTAAGCATATAGCATTTATGTGCAAACAGGAAGGCACACAGGATGCTGGGACTAGGCAAACATTGAACACCAACCTGGAACACTCTTGAGGGCATATGTAGCCAAGGATAAGAAAGGTCACCTACGAGACCCAGCTGCACCCTACTCACAGGAAGCAGGAGCCAGGTGTAATTGCCACACACACACAAAATCAAATGATTCTCTCCTCATTAATGGGACAAATTATCCACTAGAATTCTCTTAAGAAAATTTGCACAAATCATCCTCAAGAAATATGAGTTTTATGGGAAAATAAGATGTGAAAAAGATATGAATCGATAATAAAAATACCAGAGTAACAGCAATAAAGCACTGATATGTTCATTAATTGAAGTCCACAATTAATTAAAAACAAAAAATCTTACCTTAAATTAGTTCCACATCCTACAAGAGCAATACGAGCTGAACGGTTGGGATCATACAAGACACTTATAACCCGTTCTTCCAGAAAGGTACCATCTTTGGGGCCGGTCCTAAACCAGTCAATCCAGCGATAATTTCTTTTTGCTCCACCTCCCAATGTTCCCACAATGATACGACCTGCAGAAAAAAAAGGGCACAAGATATTATTGGGTATAATTCCGCAATGGAATTCATAGCACTAAACTTGATCAAGTTATGTCTATTCCTGATGTGTAGCAGAACAGCTAATTAAAAAATTCCAGAAGTCTTTGACGTATAACTAGTGGGATAATTGTACAAGGGAGAGTAAAATGCATCCCCAGGTTGGTAAGGGATATTTCTAACTATCCAGAGTGGTTTAATGAGTACAGTACTTGCCTATGTCTAGCTTTTGATATGCCTGGCCTCGTATACTATTGTTACAATTGTCTATGCACCAATTTAAGGAGGGGGGTCGGTCCAAATGCCCATTTCCCCTTCATGAAGTCGATGAAGATGAAATTTTTTATGCCAAGTCTATAGAGTTTTATCATATGTTCATGATATTACACAATTCAGATACTGACAAGCAAAATGTTCTGATGGTAGATCTGCATTTTGGGAGCTACCAGCACTTATATGTATAGTGCAACATTTTATGGGTTGGCTGGGCACCACCAGGTACCCTCTACTATCATATGATCACCATCCATTCATTCAACATGTAAAAACCATCTCAGTACAATATCCTCAATGTTGCAGTTGACGGAAATTTGCACTCCATACCTTGTACATTTTCATAATACAATTTGATTTAGAAACATGAAATTAGTAATAAAAATACTGCACTAATGCAATTTGATTAAAAAATATACAAAATAAGTGAAAGAAAAAAGTTAATAAAATACTGTACCTGTTTCAGGATCACGTCCCCCTAGCTTAGTAGTTTTGAGATGCTTAATAGTATATTGTCCATCCTCTGGGAAGTGTACTTTGTAGCGGTAATTTTTACGATCACCAGGTGCAGGCATGTTGACATGGCGGATCTTGAAACCCCTAACCTGCAATTTGGATTAATGTACAGTACTCTGAAATGTAACAGAATGTGAAAAAATCCCCAAGAACAATGTGTGAACCTTGACTAGCTGCTAACTTCCTGTACTTGTTAAAACCACTAAAGATGGTGGCTCTCGGGTCAATTCAGATAAATATGTAGGAGATGCAAGTTAAATTTAGCCACTCCAAGCCTCCTGAAAATACATCCCAACAGTCCAAAAGCTGTGATGTCTATTAAACAGTTATTGAGACTTTCACTTTCTATGACCTTTGGGGATGTTGCTACATTAGTTTTTCTTTGCAATAACCTAAGTTGTTTCATATGCATTCATATCCTGTACAGTACTGAAAATATTTCCTCTTGCTCAGATGCAGCTAATATATCAATGTCTGAAACATCTTATACACTGGAACCTCGAGTCAACAAACCAAGATTCAGCGAATCTCCAATTGGAATGCACTCTTTCCAAGCCAGATTTACTCGCCCGATTTGACATACAGTGTAAGAGTTCGCAGAAGCAGGATATGTTGTGGATTTGCTTAGGATATTCACAGACTGGTAGAAAAGTTGTCCATCATATCACAGGTTAAAATTTAACATTACCTTAGTGAAATCAGCCCAAGGAGCATGGGAAATATGAGGGTATGATCAGTATCTCTCTTAATAGGGCTTCAATCACCTTTTTAATGATTTTCACAGATGGATGTAAGATTAGAAGAAAGAGTTGGGGGCCTTGGGAAAGCCATTGAGCATATTTAAAACAAAATTCAATGGTTTGTTTTTTATTTCCAGTTGCAGAGGTTTTAATTCAGTAAAATATGGGCCTTTCTTATTTTGAATATATGATTTTGAGGCTATAGTGTGAGAAATATACTAGGTGTGGTCAAATCTCTTTAGACAAGTTCTCTAGGCAGTTGTCCTTCATATGACAGGTTGGAATTAAAATTTTGCTTAGTGAAATAATTGTAATCCATCTCAGAATATTGTGATCACATGAAGATGACAATCCCTTATTTTGTTTGCTTATAAAATATCCATCATATATAATATATATATATATATATATATATATATATATATATATATATATATATATATATATATATATATATATATATATATATATATATATATATATATACTGTATATATATATATTATATTTATATTGATAAGAAAATATTTCTTACCTGCTGGAGTGAGTTTGGAGCAAATACTGTAGTTGCCAAAATCATTCTTGAATTTAGAGTGATGGCTCCCATTTCCCGACATAAGGCACTCACAGCCCTCACACTTGCCATCTTGACTCACACGATATTTTATTTTATGTCAGGCAACAGGAATAATGGATAATCTGATTTATTTCTACTACTTCAGTGCTGCATCATAACTACCTTACTAATCTGTAAATAAAAAAATCTTTAAAATTAAGTATACAGGCAAGACAAAAATAAAAAAAAAAATATATGAAGTTGAAGTAACGAAATTATACATTTAGGTATACAATACAATGTGGTATAGCAAACAGCCCATGAATAAAATTATCCTACTTCTAAAACCAATACAAAGTTAAATCACCTATAGAGGATTAGATCACACCTATATAGGATTCAATCACATGAAAACAATCAGAAAAGGAATCCTCAAGGAGGATTAACTAGGGATACAAACAGCACGTTGTAATAAATCAGCCGTTTCTCTTGATTTTCAAAACCTAACCAAGCCTAAACTAATGCATCCTAACCTAACAATACCTATTGTTTTTTAACAAACAGAAAACAAGTTTTGTGGAATTATTTTATATACGATTTTACCAAACTGAAGGTTGCTCACCTTCACTCACCTTTAAAACCTAACCTAGCCCATAATAACTCAACCCGGCATAACCAAATCTAACTACAGTAAATAGTATCTATAATTTTAACTGGAAAGTGATTTTTGTCGAGATGGCTGTAAATAATTGACAGTAACCCCAATTGGCATATTTGGCTTACAGGCCACGTTCGACAAAGTAAGCCACAATTCTTAGCACAAACACAATTTGAACTACACAAGATTAAACATGTACCACTAAAAATTATATGCACTGTGGCTACTAAATATATAATATAAAACCCTGCAATATACATTATAAAATGCTTCCAATATACCATATAAAACTGAACCAATAGAGCGTATAAAAATCTACCAATATACGGTATAAAACCCAACCAATATACTGTATGGTATAAAACCCAACCAATATACTGTATGGTATAAACCCATACCAATAGATGGCATAAACCCCTACCAATAGATGGCATAAACCCCTACCAATAGATTTTTGGTATAAACCCCTACCAATAGATGGCATGAACCCCTACCAATAGATGGCATAAACCCCTACCAATAGGTGGTATAAACCCCTACCAATAGATGGTATAAACCCCTACCAATAGAGATGATGTATAAACCCCTACCAATAGATGGTATAAACCCCTACCAATAGATGGCATGAACCCCTACCAATAGATGGCATAAACCCCTACCAATAGGTGGTATAAACCCCTACCAATAGATGGTATAAACCCCTACCAATAGATGGTATAAACCCCTACCAATAGATGGTATAAACCCCTACCAATAGATGGTATAAACCCCTACCAATAGATGGTATAAACCCCTACCAATAGATGGTATAAACCCCTACCAATAGATGGTATAAACCCCTACCAATACACAGTACTGTATAAATCCGTACTAATACACAGTATAAACCCGTACCAATACACAGTATTAACACGTACCAATACACAGTATAAACCCGTACCAATACACAGTATAAACCCGTACCAATACACAGTATAAACCCGTACAAATACACAGTATTAACCCCACCCAATATACAGTATAAACCCCACCCAATATACAGAATAAACCCCACCCAATATACAGTATAAACCCCACCCAATATACAGTATAAACCCCTAATAATATAGGGTATAAAGCGAGCAACACACCATGTCAACAAAGCCGTGGAGGGAGTCAGCTGGTCGTGGTGGCTCACGCCGATGTTGCCACATTGGGCTACAAGTAGCTGTTGTTGTTGTTAAAGATTCGCTACCTGGAACAAAAAGTTCTAAGTAGCACGGGCTATGGTGAGCCCGTAGTGCCTCTACAAGTAGCGAATTGGGCTACTTTTGAGAGCCCCGCGCTCCCAAATTTTTAATTTCGCTACTTACTACTTTTTGGGCTAATTTAAAAGCAAGATGTGCTAATTTGGGCTATTAATGTTAAGAATGTACGATTGCGAGTTACATGAAAGTAACTAAGCTATAAATAATTGTAATTAATAATAATTGTAAATATTAATTAATACTAAATAATATTATTAAATAAATTAGTCCCAATTCAATGCAGAGTTTTCTTCCAAGCACAGAAACTTGTAAATATAAATACAAGATAATAGATAGATCGATAAATAAATAGACAACTTTCAAATATTGCACCAAGTAATGGCGAAAGGAAAAAACTAGACAGTATACATTACATTTGAAATTAATAATGGATAAATGATAATAAATTGGTGTATGTTTGTATGTATACCAGACAAAGTCCATTTAATGCCAGAATTTAGCCATTTTGTGTAAAAACTTTTATATCTAATATTATTAATTATAACAGTAATCGAAAAAAGTCATAGTTTGTATATACAAGAGATGAAACAGAGAGCCATGAGCTAGAGCGATGTGCTGAGCCCATAAGGAGGCCGAGCTTCCAGAAATACCTTCCTGTGATTGGCTGTTGCGGGGAATACCAACACTCTTTTATGAATAAAATTTAAACTAAGAAATAGGTCCTTGTGCACAACAACAAGGTTGTTGTGAAAAAGACAACAATTTCTGTTTTGCACCTGACAGAAATCTCCATCTAACTAAATAATTTACTCGAATAAGAGGGCAGAGCAGTGTATCATTATTTGTGTCAAGGTAATCCCCAAAAATAACGTCTCAAGTTAGGTAGCCAGCCCATGTTTCTGTAACACCCGTTACATCCTGTTGTATTTAATTATCACTTTATTAATATTTTTAAATACTTAACATTTCACTTTTTAGGTAGATTAAAGTTGAAGCAGAATGTCATAAGCAAGGATGGTGTGCTGAATAAAGATGATTTATTAAGTGGATGGAGCCTTTAGCTGATCGCTTCCTGTGATTGGAAGGACGTGAAATGGAAAGTGAAACAGGACGTGAAATGGAAAGTGAAATAGGACGTGAAGTGGAAAGTGAAACAGGACGTGAAATGTGCGTTGAAGAAAGTAAGGAAGAACATGACGTATTGATGATAGAGGATAGTCAGGAAAATGAACTTTCTAGTAGTGTTAGCGTTCAACCTTCTGTAGTGACAAATGTTGAAACAAAGGTTAAAGTAAAACGGTATAGAGAAATAAGAAAGAAATTAGATATGAATAAGATCACCTTTGATGCTAGTAGCTGTTGTGCAAATGAGGAGAAAGCAGAAATGTTACAGTGTTGGGAGAGTCTGTCTGAGAAAATCTCGTATCTCATGGAATGTGACAGACAGGGCAAAGGTAGTTTTATTAAATCATGGATGAAAGTAGAGTGAGAATATTATCTTGGAGCGTTAATGGGTTAAAATCTAGTGCGGTGGATGTACACTATTATACTCTTAGATAGTACTATATTAACCTGATATGTTACATGGGATTCTTGTATTTGTACTCACTGAATTTGTGCGCCCCTTGAGGGACTTGAAGTATGGGAAGGGGTAGAAATAGCCTAAGCTAATCTTTGATTTTTTTTTTTTTTTTTTTTTTTTTTTTTTTTTTTTTTTTTTTTTTTTTTTTTTTAACTTGTCTCAATAAACCTACTTGAACTTGGAAGACCATTATGTATTAAAGTGTCACATTATGGATAACCATAGAAATAAGGAAATAAGTAGTGTACCACTTCAAATTGTTTGGATGTGTGATAATGATATGATAGACAGAATACTTAGGAACTACAAGAATTTTGCCCCAATGATTGTAACACTTACTATATTAATATGCAATGTTAAATGTTGTATTGTGATTTGTGTATCTGTACTCACTGAATTTGTGCGCCCCTTGAGGGACTTGAAATAGAGGGGGGTAGAAATAGCCTAAGCTACTCTATCCCTTTGAGATGTATTTTTTTCTTGTCTCAATAAACATACTTGAACTTGAACTTGAACTCCTGTGATTGGCTGTTGTGTGAATGTCAACAAAGAATATCTACCAATGATATGCCATTTATTATGCACCCCATACCATCTGTGGGCGGAGCTTGGAACCTCCTATCCGAGTGCAACAACCCACCTTATGGGTTGCTGTTTGGCTATTTATAGTGCGTTGGGAAAAATAGAGATGGCGTTAGTTGTATTTTGTGGGGTAATTTGTTATAAGTGTAATTTGATGTCAACAGATGGCGTAAGCTGTATCTTATGGCTACTATTGACCTGCCAGTTGATAGTGTTCTTATCTGCCACAGATGGCATCAGCTGTATTATTATTATTTTAATAATATTATTACATTAATAATAATGTATTATTACTACTTTAAACACTGATCTATACGTCTAGTAGCTTATAATAAGGTTTTATACCGTGCTGGTATTAGGTAACTAGAATTCTGCAATTACTTTTTTTTATCTACTGTTGAGGATATGTAAGACAAATGTAAGGTTTTGAGGCTAAGTAACGAAGATAGTTACAAGATACGAGCCAGATGGTGTTGAGATTGCAAAAGGGATTATGATAAGAACTTAAGCCAAAAAATCAATGCATAAAGTTCACAAATATGAGACTAGGATTTATTTCTCGAAAAGTTAGCAATAAAATACGCTTTCTAGTTCTTTATTTTTAAAATTAAGACCAGGGATTCTGTCTAATGAAGCTGCAAGCTAAAACACCGTTATCCTATAATGTTCATCTGTAGCTTGACCCTAAATACTCGTTTATTAAACGAATTTATTGTTAAGAGTTCATTAGGAATCATCTTTGTTGAAGGCAGAGTTTCCAACAAATACCTTCCTGTGATTGGCTGTTGCAGGGAATGCCAACGCTTATATGAATAAAATGCGAAATAAGAAATACGTATACGTCCTTTTGCTCAATAACCTTGTTGTTGTACAAAAGAAAAACAATTTTTGTTTTATATAAGACAGAAATTTCCATGTAATTGAATAATGTAGAGCAATAAGAGGGCGAAAGCATTGTATCGCCGATATTATTTGTGTGAGGCAACTCCCACTGATGACGTCACAAGCTAGGTAGCCAGCCCATGTTTCTGTAACACTCGTTACATCCTGCAGTATTTAATTATCACTTTATTAATACTTTTAAATACTTAACATTTCACTTTTTAGGTAGATTAAAGTTGAGACAGAATGTCATAAGCAAGGATGGTGTGCTGAATAAAGATGATTTATTAAGTGGATGGAGCCTTTAGCTGATCCCTTCCTGTGATTGGCTGTTGTGTGAATGTCAACAAAGAATGATCTACCAATGATATGCCATTTATTATGCACCCCATACCATCTGTGGGCGGAACTTGGAACCTCCTACCCGAGCACAACAACCCACCTTATGGGTTGCTGTTTGGCTATTTATAGTGCGTTGGAAAAAATAGAGATGGCGTTAGTTGTATTTTGCAGGGTAATTTGTTATAAGTGTAATTTGATGTCAACAGATGGCGTAAGCTGTATCTTATGGCTACTATTGACCAACCAGTTGATAGTGTTCTCTTCTGCCGACAGATGGCATCAGCTGTGTTATTATTACTTCCGAATTCCCTTTAAACACCGATCTACAAATCCCTTGGCTTATGATAAGGTTTTATACAATTTATGATAATTATTAGATAACTGGAGTTCCGCAATTACTTTTATTTATTAACTGTTCAGGATATCATCATATAATGTCTAGTTAGGACGTACTGCTCTCGATTGATGAAGATTAAGCCACCCAAGAGATGGCACGGGCATGAATAGCCCGTAAATACTGCTCTCGTAATATTATTCAGGGGGGTGGGGGAACTATTAAGTGAAAGCGCCAAGCCATTACGACTATATAGCACTCGGAAGGGATCAGGATACGGATTTGGGATGGAACGGGGAAAAGGAATGGTGCCCAACCTCTTGGGCGGTCGGGGATTGAACGCGGACCTGTAGGAAACGAGACCGTCGCTCTACCGTCCAGCCCAAGTGGTTAAGCGTAATATTATTAAAACAACAATTTATGCATATAATAACAGCATTTCTCATTAAAAATACTTGGATATATCGAAATTTGGTAGTGAATTCCAATCTAGAAATCTCCTAGCTATGACTAAACTGTACTTTGTAATTATTTTTATGTACTTACTACTTATTATTAAATTATTAAGTACTTACTATAATAATTAAATTATTTTATTTAATATTTAAATTAAATGATAAAATAACAGGTAATAATAAATCATTGTGTAGGAGGGACAGGCAGCCAGTGTGTATATATACATGTTAGGCTTATACCAAGGTCCCACAAAGGTGCCACAAAGGTGCCAAATTAAAGACTGGGTGCTGCTGGCGGCCCTGGCCAGGCTGAACTTCCGCGCCCTTATAATCACCATTGTTTAATAATCTTCACAGGGAGAAACAACTGTAAATATAGGAATAGTTTATTACAACATACACGGTAAAGAAAACAGCTCGGAAACTAAGGAAATAAAGCTGCCGAAAGTTAGTTTAGTTCATTTATTATGCACCCCATACCCATCTTGTGGGCGGTAGTGGAAAGGGTTACAGAGGCACATAATGGGCTCAGGGACTGAACCCCACAATTCATTTAGCTAAGCAAGTTACAATCTTGATGAGCTAGTTACAAAATTCAATATAAGTCATCACATCAACAATGGGTTCGAGATCGACCTCAAGTACAGGTTCTAAATTAAGCAACTGACATATGTTGAGAGCTAGTGTCAAAATTTATATGTTTGTCCTGCACACCGCCCCCCATCCAGTGGGAAGCGGTGGATAGGTTACAATCACTTAGTTACTACCTACAGTTAGCAAACTGGGGATATTTGGCTAAAATTTCTGGTAGCAGATCATTTTGAATGCCGAAAAAAACATTGAAGTCCATTTCAAGTTCAAGTATGTTTATTGTCAGTTCGTTCATGCTAGGCTTGCAGTTACACAACTGGTCGGGGTCCGCTTACACAACTGGTCGGGGTCTGCTTACACAACTGGTCGGGGTTCGGGGTGCACAATAAACCACCACTCGCTGGTTGAATAGGGGATGCTTAATGAACTATCCACCTCTGGCGGCAAAAAATCAATGTGTGTGTGTGTATGTGCAGAAATAATATTAATAAAACAATTAACATCGTGTAGTGTACTGTACTCTATATATCAAAATATATTACTTTGAAACCCATATCATTCACTAAAAAAAATTGGGCTACTCTAATTACAAATTCGCTACTTTTAGACCGTCAGCTCGCTACTTTCAGCAATTTAGATCTGGCAACCCTGGCTCACGCTGGGTGCGTTCAGGGCGTTGCTGGTGGCCGCGTTCCACCACGTCTTGGAGACTCAAGAGTCCCTCACCCAGTCAATCCCAAAACCACTCCAGAGATGGTTTTTGTTCTGTTTTTTTTTTTTTTAAGTTTATTTTCCACGACAGATGTGGCCATACATTTACAATGCTAGCCACTATATATATATTTATTTATTCTCTCGTCCATGGACAGGGTTAGATACGATACATACATTTATGGCTAATTCTACATATTCAGGATTCGAGATACGGTCCCTTATATACGGTTCCTTAATGTGCGTTTACAAAGGCGAAGCCAGCTTTCACATATACACATATATACATACATAAATCACATACACATACATGTATTTTTTACGTCTCTCTTACTTTGACAGTGTAAGATAACTGCTATAGAAACCTCAGTGTTTTAGAAGCACTCTACCACAGGTGATTATATTGTTATCACAAGCTCAAGCTATAATTACTTTACAAATGTTATATAACTGCTGCATTACATAGTCAAGCTTGGCTACAGGTCCAGTATATTATCACGTGTTCCAGTATTCTGATAGTATTTATATACGCAAAGTTCAGCATACCTCAACCCAGGGCCCAAGGGTGACGAAAGTCAGTCTGTATATAATTTACGTTTCTCTTACGGTGACAAACCATATAATATAATAATTGTGTCGGGGACAGGAAGCCAGAGTGTATTCATACACGTTAGGCTTTTATCGAGGTGCAATTTTGTTTTTTTCTTGTACTATTTTTTACTTTTCTTTGAAATACTTCTTTTCCGACGTCAGCGTTCATTCCTCAGTGTAGTTGACCCTCACACCCAACCCGTCTCAAATACTTCTGGAGTTATTTAACACTGCATTCTTTGGTGTTTGAAATACTGTACAATAGTGACTTATATCTAGCAGATTTAGGACAAACCACATATATAGATTAATTGCACATATAATGATGTAGGCAATGTGGAACTTGATTAACATATTCCATGTTGATATGATCATACATATTGTTGTTGTGAAAACGCTATGAATTGTGATTTGTTAATGAAGCATTTTAAGCAATCTTTTAGCAAGTAGCAGCCAGTGTTGTGTAGCGTTGCTATGGCAACAGTTCCACTTGTCCGAATACGCTTCTCGACGTTCATTACACGCATGAATAAACACGACTAGGAATGTCTAAATCAAATAAACGTAGGCTATGCAACTACAAAAAGTTTGATAACAAAAAAAATAACATAATGCAAAGTGTATATAAATATTTGTTTAATAATAACTAAAGTGAGTCATTGAGAGTAAAGGGTTTCGGAGAGGACGAGTGCCTGTCATACCAGTATGGACAAGCTTACACTGTGAGGCCAGGTGTCATGAATGGTACCTCATACCCTTTGGCAGTGGCACCTCATACCCTCTAGCAAGACTCATACCCTCTGGCACTCCACTCCACTATTAAACTGGTACGTATCATCACCTATCTTCAAACCATTACATTACCTACTCATATAATAGGTCTGTAAATAATAACAAAACAATACTTCACATAATTTATTTTGAAAATGTAAATAGTTTATTTCCTCTATACAAATCAACAGCTAATTATAAATAGCTTGACAAGCAACAACAACAAACATTCTAAATACTGTATTCCAGTTTATAAAATGCATGTTTCTCTAATTATGTTGTCTCGGCTTCTGGCATATATAGATACTGAAATTCCAGTAAACTTTTGTCTTTAATATGCTGTTGACTGTTTTACAATGCTCTTAGCTAATAATACATGATTTATTGAATAATGGCTAGATAAAATCCAATATAGATTTTGTAACTATTGTACATCAATACTATAGTGCTTATATATGCCCATGTTTATAGGCAACACGTTCCCTTGTTGACCTGTACAGGACACTCCACGGGTTGACCTTCAGCGCCCCCATTTAAACCCCTCCAATATGAGCAACTGGGCTGTTGTTGGAAGGAAAATGTATCGATAAAGTTTTCTTAATTAGAATAGACCAAAATTTGATCACATGTATAAATTTTTGTTCTTATCAACAGAGTTCCTGTTTGGTCTCACTCGGCGAGTCCCCAAGAGTTACCAGGGCACACCACAGCCCACCAGAGCCCACTACAGCCCACCAGAGCCCACTACAGCCCACCAGAGCCCACTACAGCCCACCAGAGCCCACTACAGCCCACCAGAGCCCACTACAGCCCACCAGAGCCTACTACAGCCCACCAGAGCCCACTACAGCCCACCAGAGCCCACCAGAGGTGACCATCAGCAAGCATGAGGGTGCATGAGAGGTGGCCAACACTGAGGTAGTCGTGGCCAGGAACACACAGCGGTAGACTCGTCACCAGACTGCTGCTCCGTCCATCCCGTCAACTCTTTAAAGGAAAACATAGAAGGTCGACAAATAGATTGGTAAACACTGCTTACTGTGGATAAATTAGATATTACGTGTTGCAATATATGTAATACTTATTAAAGTGTTAAGTGCAAGTGTGATATATATATATAGTGTGTAGGGGAGGTTGTTCTAGTGGCTTGTAGAACTGTACATCAAAGACTGAACAGTTGGGGAACGCCTGATGTTATATAGTGAGGCTGGTTGGTACAGGGACAGTCTTGCATCTTGCAGGGTTCGATCCCCAGTGGCCCAAGTGGTTGTGCACTGTTCCGTCCCTCCGTCCTCACAGCCTGCTCCATGTCCTCATATCCCTATCCCATCTATCCTAACCTAACCTAGCAAAAATAAGAGAAAAAGAGTGTTGTTTATACGTGACGTGCAGGAAGTGTTACGTGACTGTGACGACGAGGATGAGGCTGTAACAAGGTGATCGTTCACGTCCTGAGACGAGTAGTAATCTTCAGTGATCTAGTGGCACTATTGGCACACAACCAGTGTGATTATATAGGCGCTCCCAGACACACATCAGCAAGAATATTCCTCTCAAACTGGCAGTTATAATTTATAGATATTTGCGTAACTGAAACACAATGACAAAGAAACGGCGAGATGCGCAGTTGGATGGAACAGAACCCAGGAGAACGAGCCGCAGCAGCAGATGCTTGAGGTCTGCAGGCGCAGGCGCAGACCTCAAGGTGTGATTCCGCAACATTACCTGAACCTGCTTGAGTCCCCGCGGAGCTTCATTGGCAAGAATCCATCATCTAACACAAGTCTACCAAGTTCCACGTCAAAATCTGGATGACTTATTTCAAATACGAAAATCACAATTCGCTCGAAGTAGGACGCTGAGTCTTCAGATCACAAGCGGAGCCTTTAAGATCACTGAGATGATGACCATGCTGTATGTAAGCGACATGATAAAGTGCAGAGCCTCGAGGAATAGGTCATGTCGGGTTTCAACGACCCGCAAGGGCAATATTTCGTCGAACTATCCGACCCAGGACTGGTGGGAAGTGACCCGGGCGGCCGCGACTTCGGGAGGGCTGGAAGGACGTGACCTGACATCCCAGAAGGGGTCTCCGAGGGCTTTTTCCTCGAGGTGGGTGTTGATGAGTGTGTGCGTCGTCTGCCTGGTGACTACAGCAGAAGCCAAGGTTATCCAGGGGTTCCTCAAGACCTCTGAGGTAAGTGTTGGTCAAGAGATGCTTCCTTATTATGTAGCTTATATATAACTCCCAATATTACTATTATTATTTTCATGCAATTCTAACTAAATAGTTTCTGTATATGACTCAGTTGTGATCTGAGTCATATACAGATGTATATGACTCAGATCACATATATGTATATAGTGTCATATACTCTTGACACTACATCTTCAATGTTCCCCTGGTGAATATGGCTACCCCCATCTCACAAAATCTCTCTCACAACACTGACTATTGTGAGTTACTTGCATGAACTCGTACATCAACCTTCCATAACGTTGCAGATATAATGTCATTGCTAATTTCTCATTCTTGTGTTGACCATGAGGCAGAAGTGGGCGTTCCTGACGCGGTTCTGCTTCCTCTCGAACGACGGGGCGTTCACCTTCGAGGTGGAGTACAACATAGAATACGCCATGGAGAAACTGCTTCTCTACTACGACTCTCCGCATCAGTGGCCCGCAGTGTACAAGTCCAGCAAGGTTAGCAACTGTGGCTTGTAGCCTCAGCTAAGTCAGTAGTTCCACCTAAGAAAGACCTCGATGCTAGTTTGAACCCCAGTGGCGTTGGTTCGACGTTGATGACGGAGTCGAATTGGTGTATTGCTCTGTATCCTATCGTATCATATAATCTCACAACTCACTGTCACGGCACAACTAACGCACTGATATCGTAACTGATCTTGCTAAAATTGGAACCAAATATATTGATAATGTCAATGTTAACTTCTCTGTTAATTGACATATTGGTTACACCAGTCACTATCGTCGACTTCCAGTCACTGCGGTCGTCTGTTAATCACTGCCGTCGACTGCCAAATACTGTTGTCGACTACCAGTCACCATAACCCTAATATTGTCGACTACTCCGGAATCACTGTTCATGTAGACCTTACCACTGTTCACGTAGGTTTAACTACTCTTCACTTTGTGAAACTTTCTCCAGAAAGTCCACGCCCTGATCACCTGTGCCTGGCCTGTACCCGCAGACCTGCGAGGAGAAGGAAGCAGTCATGAAGAAGGAGAACAACCAGTTTATCAACCTGACCTTAATCTCTGCGAGCTCTGAGTGCGAAGTGGTGCGCCTCCCGGGCGACAAGGCCTTCTACCACTGCAAGGGCACCAGGTCCTTCAGGAGTGTGAGAGAGCGCTGGTGGTTCATCGCCGTCAGCAACTGTGACACCAACAAGGTGAGTCAGGTATAGGCTGACAACACTAGAGAGAAACGCAACACTATAGAGGCAGGCAAGACAAGAGCATTAAGAGTGGCACTAACACCTTGTGGCACTCTTCACAGGGTCTGGAACTGAGTTATCGCATCACCATGACCAACGGCTACTCCTTCTGGTACAAGCACTTCTCTGCCGACGAGTTCTGTAAGTATCTCCGCCAGCTGTTGTGTGTCTACTTCAGCTGTTCTATATCTTCTTCAACTGTTCTGTGTCTTCTTCAGCTGTTCTGTGTCTTCTTCAGCTGTTCTGTGTCTTCTTCAGCTGTTCTGTGTCTTCTTCAACTGTTCTGTGTCTTCTTCAGCTGTTCTGTGTCTTCTTCAGCTGTTCTGTGTCTTCTTCAGCTGTTCTGTGTCTTCTTCAGCTGTTCTGTGTCTTCTTCAGCTGTTCTGTGTCTACTTCAGCTGTTCTATATCTTCTTCAACTGTTCTGTGTCTTCTTCAGCTGTTCTGTGTCTTCTTCAGCTGTTCTGTGTCTTCTTCAGCTGTTCTGTGTCTTCTTCAACTGTTCTGTGTCTTCTTCAGCTGTTCTGTGTCTTCTTCAACTGTTCTGTGTCTTCTTCAGCTGTTCTGTGTCTTCTTCAACTGTTCTGTGTCTTCTTCAACTGTTCTGTGTCTTCTTCAGCTGTTCTATGTCTTCTTCAACTGTTCTCTAAGTAACTTCTTCAGCTGCTTATAACTATGGGTGAAAAATCTGCTATTTTCCGTCCTGCATTGTGGTTTGTTGAGCCTGAAACAGTTGCTCCAAGTTTGTGTCACATCTGACCTTTTGAACAATTGGTCTTAAATCAATATCCTGCAAATTGCTCAGCGTTTTAAAACGTTTCGACGAGATCAGCCCTGTTATGTCTGGTTAGCAGTGTTGTTAGCTCTGTGGCCCTCTGATACGGAAGTTTATTTAGTTCAGGAATCGGCGTTGAACGTTCTCCAAAGCAGATCTGTCTTTCTGAAAAATGACGTCTCTATGTTTAAATACAATAATCCAAATGGGGGCGCACCAGAGATTTATACAATTGTATAACTACCTTCTTTTCCTTGAAATCGAAATTGTCTTTTAACTACACACGGAAATCACACTAACGTGATTAAGGCAGTGTCTGGGATGCTCCCGGAGGCAGGTTCGAATCCTCGTCACGGCCCTTGTGGATTTGTCTTTTAACTATTTCTAGTATTTGTGTTTTTATTTGGATTCTGACTCCAAGGTCCTTTTCTTCGTTAGTCGGCTGCTAGCTAATGTTCCTGATTTGGCAGTTGCGCTGTGCACTGTTATGCCCCACATGCAAGATCTTGCATTTTTCGGTATTAAAAAGCATTTGTCAATCTTCCGACCAGTTGTGGAGTTAATGTAGCTCTCTTCGTAAGGTCTCAATATCACTCTCACTTCCTATTTTACCATAAATCTTAGTGTGCAAATCTTGTAATGTGATTTGTAATATTCTCATCTATCTCATTGATGTTGTTGTTGTTTTAGATTCAGCTCCTGGGAACAACAAGTTGCCAGGAGCACGGGCTACGTACTCACGTAGCCCGTCGTACGAGCTATGTACGAGCCCGTCGTCCTCACCTGGCACGGGAGTTGTGCGCCGTCATTGATGTCTACGACAAAAAGAGATGGTAACAAAATGGAACCTTGCGGCACCCCACTCATCACATTCATTCAGTCACATTCATTTCCATTTAGCGCGCCTTTTTTTAAACACTAGAATCTCTCTAGACAACTAGAATCTTTCTAGTAGTCTGCCATCTATGTCTCGTGTGTCTAATTTCTTTGTCAGTCTTTCATGTGGTACCTTATCAAAAGTGTAAGCAGGTTTGCAAGGCAGGATTTATTTACCAAAACATTATTGCGTAGATTTTAACTAGTTTGTGAAGTGCGATAGGGTTAATAATTTAGCTAATATATTCTCTATACACACTTTAACTCAAATGTTTATTTTATACAGAGTTTAGCTAAAGTATTTTAAGTTGGTTTATTTTTTATATATAATGAATTATTAATTTATTTCAGATGTTCTAAGGACTGACTTAACGGCTCTTGGTCTACAGCTAAGCATTCTATTCCTCTCACTCCTAGCCTCAGGTCAGTGTTTCTACTTACAGGTCAAGTCCAAGCAACAGCTTGAGTCCTAGCAACAGCTAAGAGTCCTAGTGACGGGTAGAGTTAATTATCATTATTCTTATGGCATTATTCTTAAGAATAATTATTCTTATTATTCTTATGTTAATTGTTCTTATGTCGACTTTTTTGTCTATTTAAATCCTGTTATCATAGTGATTGTTGTATCGCGTCTTGGCCTCCAATCTGACCCAATCTTAATGATCCAGCTCACAAGTTGATCAGTAGGAGACCCAAACTGGATCATAATACCAATTCAACTATTTCCATCAACTGGCCCGTCCCCCAGCTAGTTCGTGTTCCCCCCAGCCGACCCGTGTCCCCCCCAGCCGACCCGTGTCCCCCCCAGCCGACCCGTGTCCCCCCCAGCCGACCCGTGTCTCCCCCAGTTGACCCGTGACCTAACACCGCTTGTATGGATGGTGTCCCCAGCGGAACTGAAGAGTCGCCAGCTGCTGCACACCACCTACCGCCTCTACATGGTGTCCCTGGTGGCCCAGGTGTTCGCCCTCGTCTTCCTCAGTGTCCACTACGCCAGGTACGGCTTCGATGGCGTCGGTCTTCACACCACCAAGCTCTTAGGTGAGGCTCTGCAGGGTGACGGCTACGGGGCATGGGCAGGGAGCAGGGCTGATGATCTGGAAGGGGTGAGGGAAGGTCTAGAGGGGTGAGAGAGGATCTAGAGGGGGTGAGGGAGGGTCTAGAGGGGGTGAGGGAGAGTCGGGAGGGAAGTGAGAGAGGGTCTGGAGGAGGTGAGGAAGGTCCTGGTGCACAGGCAAGTTGATAGAAACAGCCCGTCCGCTCGCGTTGCCACAACGGACTTTAAACGATGTATTAAAACGCGCGAACCTAACCTAACCGCCCCTAACATGCGGACCAACGCATATAAACTGTGGTTGTTCTCGAGCCTCTATGATTTATAGTACCACGTTATTAGTCTGTTGGGGCTTTTGATGTCAATATGTGATATATTCTTTGAGCGGTTTTTCCAGTTGGATCTTTAGGCTGAGAGCGACTATCCGGCGGCGACTTAGCGTCAAGGGTGAAGGGTGTTGACACTATACTATGTGTGGTGGAGGGGTAGTAGACCCTGCAGGTGTTGACACTATACTATGTGTGGTGGAGGGGTAGTAGACCCTGCAGGTGTTGACACTATACTATGTGTGGTGGAGGGGTAGTAGACCCTGCAGGTGTTGACACTATACTATGTGTGGTGGAGGGGTAGTAGACCCTGCAGGTGTTGACACTATACTATGTGTGGTGGAGGGGTAGTAGACCCTGCAGGTGTTGACACTATACTATGTGTGGTGGAGGGGTAGTAGACCCTGCAGGTGTTGACACTATACTATGTGTGGTGGAGGGGTAGTAGACCCTGCAGGTGTTGACACTATACTATGTGTGGTGGAGGGGTAGTAGACCCTGCAGGTGTTGACACTATACTATGTGTGGTGGAGGGGTAGTAGACCCTGCAGGTGTTGACACTATACTATATGGTGCAGGTCGACTGCTACACACACTGAGCACAATAATGATGGTGCTGGTGCTGCTCTTGATGGCGAAGGGCTTCAACATCACCAGGGGCCGCCTCCGCCAGGCCTCCGCCGTGCGCCTCACCGTCTTCATGTGTCTCTACTGCACCACTTACATCTCCCTCTTCATATACGAGCAAGAGGTGCGTGACCCCAAACTTTCCCCAGGACCACCATCTTTACTGGCCTCCAGAAGGATCAGAAGCCGGCGGCTTGTCAAAGATCTCTCCATTATTCTTTACAATTTTTCAGTTTAATTTGGAAGCCCACTGAATTCGGACAAAATTTGTGAAACTTAACCTGTATATTTATGTTTTGCCTTACCCAACCTAGCCCAACGTATTACATTTCAACTTAACGATAATAAAAAGGGCCAGATTCACGAAACAGTTACGCAAGCACTTACGAACCTGTACATCTTTTCTCAATCTTTGGCGGCTTTGATTACAATTATTAAACAGTTAATGAGCTCCGAAGCACCAGGAGGCTGTTTAAAACAATAACAACAGTTGATTGGGAAGTTTTCATGCTTGTAAACTGTTTAATAATTGTAAACAAAGCCGCCAAAGATTGAGAAAAGACGTACAGGTTCGTAAGTGATTGCGTAACTGCTTCGTGAATCTGGCCCCTATGGGCTTGACAAACAGAAAACAAGCTTTATGGAACCTCCGTGGTGTGTACGATATGACCTTACCCCCGTGGCCTGCAGATCTTCGACCCCGGGGAGGTGCTGTACCTGTACGAGTCCCCGGCGGGCTACGGGCTACTGGTGCTACGGTCCCTGGCCTGGTGCATGTTCCTCTACGCCTGCTTCTTCACCATCAAGCACTATCCGGAGAAGGCTGGCTTCTACTGCCCCTTCTTCGCTTTCTACACATTGTGGTGAGTTGCTCCTGCACCTGCCTCCTCCTCCTTATGATGGTACACATCTTTGTAATAATAATAATAATAATGTATTTTTATCTAAATACGGCGCTGTACAGTGTTAGATTGAAATATGCTCAATTGATGCTGAATCAATATTATCAATATTAAATCGACATTCAATCAACGTTAACAACATAGAAATCAGTTTGAAAATACTCTGTGGACAATGAAACCTGTATTTAAGACTTCACGGGACTCGTTAGTTGTTGCAACAGAAACTAATCCATCTTAAAGAGCAAAGAGGTCGACCCCAAACACTGCATAGCACTCACCATGCCATCACTGATCACACTGCAAAGTTTGGTGAGCCTAGCCCCAAGCGTTTGGTCCCAACCTTGAAGAGACATACATTTTATCATAGATATGAGAGAGTGCGTGTGTTGGCAACACTGGCATGTGTACTCCGCTTGTAGGTGAATATACACAGACTTTACTGTAGTCCTGGACTATGCTTAGGACTAAAGAGCACTTGCTGGTTGGTGAGTAGATTGCTGGCCTCCTGGAACAACCTCCAGGAGGTTGGTAGGCCTTAATAACCTTCCTGAGGTTGGTAGGTCTTACTAACCCTCCAAGAGGTTGGTAGGCCTTAGTAACCTTTCACTTAAGGCCTCTTTTCACCTGTTAGTAAATAGGTATCCAGAGAGTTAGGCAAATGTTGTGGGGTTGCAGGCTGGGGTGATTGGGTAGTTCAACCTTGGGGGGGGGGAATATTATACCATTGGTTTTGCCAAACATTACAAAAAATAGGGAAGGTTGTGGAATAGTGAACAAGATGCCATCTTAAAGAATTATGCACAATTCTCCAATTATGTCATAATATCATAATATTAACTATATCAAATACTTAGGAGGTTACGCCTATTGGGCCATGATAGACGGATAATTATGTTTTTGTTTTATTTGTATTTTAATAATCTTGTGCTTTAATCCTGTTTTGTTAGTTTCATTGTTTCTTGTATTTGTAATTGTATTTGTTTGGGAGCTGAGGCGTCCACAACATGTCGTATGGCCCCGTCACAATACTCAAGACATACCAATTATTTTGTTCATCATTACAGGAAACATGCCTGTAACTTTTCATCTAACTTGTAATGTGGTGTAACGAACACCTGTCTCTGTAACTGTGTGTGACATACAGGCTCCTGTAGCCAGGTGTGACCTGTCTCTGTAACTGTGTGTGACATACAGGCTCCTGTAGCCAGGTGTGACCTGTCTCTGTAACTGTGTGTGACATACAGGCTCCTGTAGCCAGGTGTGACCTGTCTCTGTAACTGTGTATGACATACAGGCTCCTGTAGCCAGGTGTGACCTGTCTCTGTAACTGTGTGACATACAGGCTCCTGTAGCCAGGTGTAACCTGTCTCTGTAACTGTGTGACATACAGGCTCCTGTAGCCAGGTGTGACCTGTCTCTGTAACTGTGTGACATACAGGCTCCTGTAGCCAGGTGTGACCTGTCTCTGTAACTGTGTGACATACAGGCTCCTGTAGCCAGGTGTGACCTGTCTCTGTAACTGTGTGACATACAGGTTCCTGTAGCCAGGTGTGACCTGTCTCTGTAACTGTGTGACATACAGGCTCCTGTAGCCAGGTGTGACCTGTCTCTGTAACTGTGTATGACACAGGCGTCTGCAGCCAGGTATGACCTCTCACTGTAACTGTGTACCACTTGGCTCCCCAGGTTCCTGTCAGGTCCGGTGGTGATCGTTATCAGCAATCACGTTATCGACAAGTGGGTCAGAGAGAAGGTGGTGAACGGCGTCGACCTCTCCATAACCCTCCTTGGCCACGTCTTCTTCCTGGTCAGTACTGACGAGCTGCCTCAGGGTGTGGGGAGAGGGGGTAGGGCTTGGGGAGAGAGGTAGGGGCTAGGGGGGCATTACAAAAGAGGCGAGGCTTCAGGACATGGATAAGGGGGCTTGGGGCATAATATGGTAAGTTTTGAGAATGGTATAACCCACCCCCACACACCCTGTATAACCAACCAGCCATAACCAATCCTTCATGCGGTAAAAAACCAATCACTACAGTGCCTTCTCCCCCCACAGTTCCTGACTCGGCCTAGTGCTGCCAACAGGAACTTCCCGTACCACGTGCGGACGACGCAGATCACAGCGCTGGAGACCTCCGGCACGGGCGTGGTAGGCAACAACACCCTCGACGCCTTCTCCGCCCACACCTACGCCCCCGACCTGCCCCAGCCCAAGACCTATGCTGCCCCGGACCTCTTCCTCGTCTCCGGCGCCGTCGAGATGGTCAGTACTCTCTGAGGGAGGGTCCTGGGGCATTAATTGGGAGGGTGGAGGGTCCTGGGGCATTAATTGGGAGGGTGGAGGGTCCTGGGGCATTAATTGGGAGGGTGGAGGGTCCTGGGGCATTAATTGGGAGGGTGGAGGGTCCTGGGGCATTAATTGGGGGAGAGGAGAGTCCTGGGGCATTAATTGGGAGGGTGGAGGGTCCTGGGGCATTAATTGGGAGGGTGGAGAGTCCTGGGGCATTAATTGGGAGGGTATTGGGTCCTGGGGCATTACTGGGGAGAAGAGAGCCTTGGAACATTATTGAAGAGCAGTCAACCAGATCAGTTTAGTTTCTTTGTATTAATATGGCTACGACGTGAATTCAAATTTCGCTATTATATACCTGTCATTACATCTATTTTTTTTTGTATTCAAGATTGACTGTTTCACCTTCTAATATTCAATTCATCGCAAATTCTGTGTTGGTTTTAGGACCTGCCAGAGTCGCTAAGCATGTTAGTGGCTTTGTAAGACTGCATCACGTAATCTAGAACTGATGAGATACATTTTGGCTATTATTAGGCTATTACTATTAGACTCATTAGGCTATTAACAAAACATTTTTGTTAAAGCAATTATCTTGAACTTTCTTGCTCTATGTGTGAGCTCTGAGACACAACACAAAAGATTCTATACGAGGAATTGATAAAATAGAGAGAAGTGATGGAAAACAACTAACTACTGTATATAAAGTAAACACAGTGGAAACTGGAGATAAAATCACATCGATTCTTTAAAGAACTTTTTCAGCGTAAATTTAATTTGTTAGATGAAAAAGTTGTGTATTCCAACTCAATATATAAAGTCTTACTATATATAGTCTTACTATATAGTCTTACTATATATATAAGTATATAAATATACTATATATATATACTATACTATACGACTATACTACGTATACTATACGACCACTACTATACTTACTATATATATATACTATATATATATACTATATATATATACTATAGTCTTAGTATATATATAATCTTGCAATATATAGGTGGGTGACGAGGCTTGACCATTAGGCTAGTCAATATTTCTCCGCTGTTTATATACGATATTTTGTGGAAAATATTGATAATAATCCTTGATAAATTATATAGTTAATAATGGGGAATTCTTTACAATTAATTTAAAAGCCATTAGTATATATATTTCATCATACTTGGGCCATGGGGTGTTTAGAAGGGCAAATTTACCTCATTATACGTGCCTTGAAATGGAATTTTTTCAGTAACCTATTTTTGCTTTAATTTTAAAGTTATAATGACAAAGACGTATGTATCCCCCCCTTTTCCTAAAAAAAAACATCTTAGGAAGTTATAAAACATATAATTACAAAGTAATAATAAACTAAATTCAACTTGCCTTATTCTATATGTATTTATCCAAATTACTTCCTCCATTTGGGGCACTCCTGTTGTCCGTATCTTTTAATATTCAGATAATCAGAAGTGCCGTCCTATCCTAAGTATAATCCTGTGGGGGCCCCAGAGAGACGGAGAGAGCTTCACGTGACAACATACTCTCGTCCTCGCAGTTCTGCGAGCACTGAGTGGGGAATATGTTCACCTCGTGGTCATGGGGGTTATCAGCGCCATCTCTTGACTGGATTCAAAAATAATCCATCAGCTGACTTGTGTTTACATAACCCGGATGTGAAAGTGTCTCGGCTCTGTTTGTCTAATGATAACACACTTTGCCTTACGACAGGAATATATACACCGAGAAGTGTATCCACTTCTCGGAGTATATACTGGGTGTTTACTTTAGTATTGGAATAAAACATTCTTACTGGATGGTCATTAAGCACTTGTGTGCCTTAATAATAACCGCCAGAGGTTAATGGGCCTTAAGCCCCCCAAAAACACTGTACAGTACTTTGCTTTTATATATATGGTGTGAATGGTGCCATACTGATTTACAACCGTCTGATAAGGAATTTTATAAGGAATATGAGTATTTGCAATCAACAATACTTACATTTTTAATACACAAATGTATAAGCAAAAATTTCCCACTTTATGTCCATACGGATAATGAGAATATAGCAGTTGTCTTTTCTCTAAGCTAAAATACTGTAGATTTTGCTTGGTATTGTATATTTGGTGTATTTTTCATGTTTTTTATTCACAAATATAACATTAGACCTACTTCTGCAGTTCTTAATATTACTATGTTGACCAGACCACACACTAGAAGGTGAAGGGACGACATCCTTCGTGGTCCCTGCACCTTCTAGTGTGTGGTCTGGTCAACATACTTCAGCCACGTTATTATGATTCATCGCCTAATATTACTGTGTTTTCCAGATCCCTTTACCCGGGCCGAGAAGCATAGTGAAGGATGACAAGAGTTTTCCTCACCGCTCAAGAGGATCACTCGTGTTTCAAGAATGCTCGACCACTCCTCGCAACCTACCTGTAGGAGGCCCACCACCTGTGTTCCAGGACTGCTCGACGACTCCTCGATACCTGCCAGAAGAACCACCACCCGTGTTCCAGGACTGTTCAACGACTCCTCGATACCTACCAGAAGAACCACCACCCGTGTTCCAGGACTGTTCAACGACTCCTCGATACCTACCAGAAGAACCACCACCCGTGTTCCAGGAATGCTCGACCACTCCTCGCAGCGCTCCAAAGAGTTCGACAGGCGCGTTCCAGGCTTCTAAACCTCAATCTGATCAACCACACCTTTTTAACTAACGTCCTCAACAAATAAGAAGTGTATATAAAGCGAGAACCACATTAATGTGGGTAATAACACTGCATTCACTAGGCTCATCGGAGCCTCGGACAATGGTTGCAAGAGCACGTCGTTCTACTGTCCAGTGGTGCCCCAAGGAAAGCTTAAAGTCTTAGTTGAGTACCAGTTAGGCACCTCTGGGACTAGGTAACCTGTCCTCTTAAAAACAACGTCACTTTTGGCCGTTTTCCCGTATGGCCGAAAGTGGACGTAATTTGAAAATGAAAAAAAAAATGAAAATAAATTTGGGATTTTTTTTTTCAACAAGAGTAAGTTAAGGGTCCTCTGATAGGTTAGGTGGGCAGGAAATTCTCATAGTTTCAAAACGTTATGAAAAACGTTAATTAGGGATCCAGTTTGGGCTGTGGAGCAATAGGCTTGCTCATTTGCTGCCAGCTGTTTGAGGCTCTAATGATCCTTGTGAATGAAGAATATATTTTATGTGTAAGCATGCATGTATTTATGTGTGTCTGTATGTACTCACATATTTGTACTCCATGTGAAGGCTTGAGAACACATGTTGTTGTTGTTGTTAAAGATTTAGCTATTCAGGACGGAGTGTCCATGTAGCACGGGCTATGGTGAGCCCGTAATTGAGTTTGGTTATACATGATAACCTTTTTCCTGTGATATTATTGAGAACACAGCCGCACCATAATAATATAGCAGCTGATGCGACCTCACATCAAGACATATAGCATCATGTTCTGGTCCCTGAAGGATATTTAACTGTAACTTGGCAACTCTATGGGAATGGTCACCCAAGTATAGCCGGAAATGCCACAACTGTTTTAAAATCCAACTGTATAAGATCATCAAGGCAAATGGGGGGACCTTTGACAAGCCGCCGGCTTTCTGTTCTCGTCGAGGCAAATTATGTTAGTGGCCCTCATGTAAAATTTCGGTAAATATTTCCATCTGCTCTAGACCAGGAGGCCTGGTCGGGGACCGGGCCGCGAGGACGTTGACCCCCGAAATCATGGCAGAATAAGGCGGTCAATTAAATCCACATCATCTTTTTCATAATTTGGTTTGCCTGAATTTACCTAAGGGTCACTATCCCTAGTGACGACAGAAGACCGGCGGCTTGTCAAAGGTCCATCCCATTGTTCCTGGTGATTTTTCCAACTGGATTTTGAACTGTAATGTTTTGGCATTTGCGGGTAGGCGGTTCCATGGATTTATACCGCCTCAGTATTCCACATAACAATATAGGAAAATGCAGGCGGCCTATTGGCCCATAAGAGGCCGCTCCTCCTTTTTATATCCATCCAAACTTAATAATATATATGTATAACCTACGATATATATATATATATATATATATATATATATATATATATATATATATATATATATATATATATATATATATATATATATATATATATATATATATATATATGTCGTAGGTTAATATATATGTCGTATATATTAACCTCGATAATCAGAGCACGACTGTATTGTCTCCAGAGACTGCAGGATGCTAACTACTACTAACCTACGCTTGAAACAATCAAACGAGCTCGTGTCTAGTGTGTTTTCCGGTAATTTGTTCCATAAATCAAGCACCTTATTTCCAGCCACTCTTAAGCTGGAGATATTTCTGATAACTCTAAACCTCGTTTAGAGTCTCTAGTTTGCGAATGTGACCCCTGTAATATTTTGATTTCAAATGTTTCTCATTCTGAACATAGTTTTTGAATGTTTCTTATTTTTAAGATAGCTTCTTTGTCTAGTTTACCAGTTATCGTTAATATTTTATCAAATAGGTTCTTCTTCCATGGAATTCCTTCACCTTATAATTGAAAGTCAGGTAGATGGCTTTGGGATTTTGTTCAGGTTCTTTGTCAGGTGAGCATTCTTGGCCGGGCACCTCTTGACAGGTTGGCTGTTGTAAGTTGTATGGCCGTGTTCTCAAGTCCTTGTCAAGGGGTCCTGAACGTGTTCCGGACATATGTTACTGATGTTACGGTGTCCTCACCTAGTTGTACTCACATCATAATTGTTCTTGCAGGGGTTTGAGCTCTGGCTCTTTGGTCCTGCCCCTCTACTGTCAATCAACTGGTGTACAGATTTCTGAGCCTACTGGGCTCAGGAAGCACACATACAGCCTACTGTGTGTGTGTGTTTATGAGTTTGTCTGATATCCATTCATTTCTCAATTATCATTTCTTTAATTTTTCCTTTTTCTGTCAAGTTCTCTCTATTACATGTCCTCTGTATGTACAGCCGTGTTTCTCTTTCAACTTTTGATCGAAATAACAAATTAATTTCTAACATTTCACATGTGCAACAACAAACAATTTTCTTACCAGTTTTAATAATTTACATAAACAATAAGATTATAATAAATGGTGAAGACGAAAGATAAATTGTACAAGAACTATGCCAATAAAAGATGCACACAATTATATGCTTTTATTCTTTTTTATAAAACCTAAAGTAATGCAGCCTGTCCTCAGGCTCGTCCAACAGGCGGTCGACCCCCACACCAAGTCCATTCTATCCAGCGGTCGACCCCAAAGATGCATTCAGCATTTTTAACATGCTGTTCATTCAAAATAGGAATTTTCTCAGATATAAATAGTGTTATATATTAGCATACTGTGCATATTTAGGCATTGGTTAGGTTAGGTGTTTAGGTTCTGTTGGCAATTATTTTTATTTGTAGTACGTGGGTGAAGCATTTACAGCGTTGTGGTTCGAACACAAGTCGTCAGCGATGAACTTGTTCCGGAAGTGTTCGAACGTCATCAGTTGTGAGTCGTGTGTAAACCGTTTTTCATTCATAAACAGGGGGTTTGGCGGGTGCATGGAATGAACTTTGGCCTTTGTTAAAGAGGACGGGCTGTATGAATACATCTTCAGGGACGGCTACAGCTTTAACGAGCCCGGGCTGAGGATGGGTTGTGTGTAAAGTGTTCTTCTTTCATAAACAGGGTGTTTGGCGGGTGCATTAACTCTCCTCATCTTCGTATAGTCAACTATGCTACTAAATACGCCGAAATTTGTAACCCCGCAAACATATATGACAAAATTCATAAGACATTGCCTCTTAATTTAGAGTGTAAATGAGTAAAAAATATATTATAGTTCTTTAATTACAATTTATTAGAAGGTTCAAATCCGGTGCAGGACACCTTAACTATATCAACATACAGAACATTACAAGTATTTAATAATTTACAAAACCAACAAGTAAAATATAAATGTGACCATTGGGTCGGTATTTCGTCAAGGAATCAAAACTATCCTTTTTTTCTTTTTCCCATTACATGAGTGGTCCTTCGGGTGCATCTATATCAGGTCTCCCTTACATCTATATCGAAAGGACACAAATGTACTGTAGCAGACGATAATGTTCTCGTTTCGTACTATTAATTTTGGAGAGGGTACGAAAATAGAAAGCCGAAAACCAGACTTAACCATTCCCAGGCCTAGTACAGTACATATATATACTATATTAGGCCTAAGATATCATATATTAGGCCTAGGAGTGCTTGGATAGGTAAAGGTTCTTTGGTTATCGTTCCATTTTCTAAGTTCCCCTCATGGCTAACTAAATAATGAAAAAACGGGATCTTTTCTGAGACCAACAGTTCATTTTTGAACATTTCAGCAAATAGTTGGTATCAGCACTATCATTTTAAGAGGACGGGTTGTCATATCAGGAACACTACAAACTCCTTTAAATATTCTCGTCATAATAAACATGATTTAAGGATTGAACAATTGCATGAGTATTTTGTCATTTGTGGAACATGAACAAATTTTTAGGCTTTTTTTCATGTAGTGGTACATGGCTATTATTGCTTTTATTGGTGTTCATAAATATTGGTGCCCCTGAACACGAGGCTTTTCCTGTGTTCATTGGTAAAGTTGCGTCACTGTGCAGCTTTGTCACTGGATGTTCACTGGTACGTTGTTCTTCCATGGATCCCTCCGTGTTCACTGGTACGCTGTTCTTCCATGGATCCCTCCGTGTTCACTGGTACGTTGTTCTTCCATGGATCCCTCCGTGTTCACTGGTACGCTGTTCTTCCATGGATCCCTCCGTGTTCACTGGTACGCTGTTCTTCCATGGATCCCTCCGTGTTCACTGGTACGCTGTTCTTCCATGGATCCCTCCGTGTTCACTGGTACGCTGTTCTTCCATGGATCCCTCCGTGTTCACTGGTACGCTGTTCTTCCATGGATCCCTCCGTGTTAACTGGTACGCTGTTCTTCCATGGATCCCTCCGTGTTCACTGGTACGCTGTTCTTCCATGGATCCCTCCGTGTTAACTGGTACGCTGTTCTTCCATGGATCCCTCCGTGTTCACTAGTACATTGTTCTTCCATAGGTAGCCGGATTTGTTCACTGGATGGCCCACTTCCCCAGAGGTTTTGTTTACAGTTACCTCAGCGTGGACAACAACCAAGTAGTGGTGGTTAGACGTCAACCCAACTTTGATACGACGTTGACTTGACGTCGCTCTTGGATGATCTGCCCACTGGCCACCTGTTCTTGCCTTTGGTATTCACTTATTTCGGGTATTTTGGTTTTCAAGGTTTTTGTCGTGTTAGTTTCTTTGGTATTTTGGTTGGTTATGTCTTGTGGTATCTGGTATCTGCTTCCCAGTTGCCAAAAACCACCGAATCAAGTGTATTAACGATGATAATGTTGACTGAACATTGAAGTAACGTTACTATTGGATACCGTGCCCACTGGGAGCATGCTAGAGTAACGTCCAGTAAATGTTTTCGACGTCGACTCAACGTTAAATCAACGTCGTTTTCTCAAATTTAACCAATGGGTTCATTGCGTGCTTGTTCAATGGCGTTCTTGTATTCTGTAACTCGTTGCTCGTGTTCTGGTCGCTGGTGTAGAGTTAGTAGTGTTCTGGTCGCTGGTGTAGAGTTAGTAGTGTTCTGGTCGCTGGTGTAGAGTTAGTAGTGTTCTGGTCGCTGGTGTAGAGTTAGTTGTGTTCTGGTCGCTGGTGTAGAGTTAGTAGTGTTCTGGTCGCTGGTGTAGAGTTAGTTGTGTTCTGGTCGCTGGTGTAGAGTTAGTCGTGTTCTGGTCGCTGGTGTAGAGTTAGTCGTGTTCTGGTCGCTGGTGTAGAGTTAGTAGTGTTCTGGTCGCTGGTGTAGAGGGTCGTCGTGTTCTGGTCGCTGGTGTAGAGTTAGTCGTGTTCTGGTCGCTGGTGTAGAGGGTCGTCGTGTTCTGGTCGCTGGTGTAGAGTTTGTCGTGCTCACTATATTGGTCATGTTAGTAGGTGTACTCAGCATCCTCCTCTTCCTGCTCCTCTTCCTCGTACTCATCAACAGTGGCCTCCTGGTACTGCTGGTACTCAGACACCAGGTCATTCATATTGGACTCAGCTTCCGTGAACTCCATATCGTCCATGCCTTCGCCTGTGTACCAGTGGAGAAAGGCTTTCCGCTTGTACATGGCCGTGAACTGCTCGGAGATGCGCTGTACACAAACCAGTCTCGTTAATGCATAGAGAAATCACATTCACGTGGTGTATCAATGAGTGCATCAGTATGAGCTATGAGATAGGGTTCGAACCTGCATACTGGGTACTCCTAAGCACACGTTATAAGTCTCGTTAATGTTAAATATTAGTTATCAAATACTATAATAATGTTGTAACCAATGTATATAAACATTTGAGTATTAATTTTAAGGCTGAGCTATACTCTTATAGAATTGATTAATGTCAACTAAAAATATTTATTAATTTATTTCAAATTTGTAAGATAAAATTTAAATTAACTTTTCTCTTAAGTAGCCTATAAGATAAATATGCAAAATATTTCAATATCATATTACAGTGCAACATATGTCACATATATACTTAATTATAAGCGAAATAGTGCCTATAAGCAATAAGTCATATATGTGCTGTCTTGTGCGAGAGCAGGTTGCGCAGTGATCAAAGTGAAGGTGTTGTCTTCCTACCTTGAAGAGATCTTGAATGGCTGTGGAGTTGCCAATGAAAGTAGCGGCCATTTTCATGCCTCTGGGCGGTATGTCGCAGACTGCAGTCTTGACGTTGTTAGGGATCCACTCAACGAAGTAGGCAGAGTTTTTCTTCTGGACGCTGAGCATCTGTTCGTCCACCTCCTTCATGGACATGCGGCCACGGAAGACAGTCGCCACTGTCAGGTAGCGACCGTGGCGCGGGTCGCAGGCAGCCATCATGTTTTTAGCGTCAAACATCTGAGCAGTGAGTTCCGGTACCGTCATCTTACTGAACTGTTGAGACCTGCAGTACAACCACGCATATTACATTCTTACAAGAATGTAAGAATTATTACATTCTTACAAGAATGTAAGAACTCTTGTATATATATAAATAAATAAATATACAAGTTCGTACATAAAATGTTTCGCTAATGGATTTTGAAACCTACCTAACCTAGCTTCGTACATAAGGCGGTTCAATAAAATTCGATTTCAGATTGTCAAAATCGTATATATAGTTAAGTTAGGATGTATTAGCTATGACTAGGATATGTCAGGCTCGATTGGCTTAGGTTAGGTTAGGTAAGACTAGGTAGATATTAAATTCGTTGGTGAACCGTCTTGTGTACGATGCGACCTGTGTCTCCTAACCTAATCCAACAGAGCCCAACACAAACACAAACAAATAATAAATAAAGTTTGACTATAAAAAGGCAAGATTCGTCGAACCGTTTTGTTTTCATTTTACATAATTTATAGTGCCTTTATCAACCTCCTAATAGGGTCCCTCAAATTTTGATAAACAGCATGTTTATCTCTCAGAATGTTCGGTAATATGTTTATTGTTTGTAATGTGTCTATATATATGTATGAACACGTTGTACCGAACGGGATGAGAATAGCTTGAGCTACCTCAGAGAACAGCTTGAACTACCTCAGAGAATAGCTTGAGCTACCTCAGAGGTAGCTCAAGGTAGGTACCTAACCTAATAGCTTGAGCTACCTCAGAGAATAGCTTGAGCTACCTCAGAGAATAGCTTGAGCTACCTCAGAGAATAGCTTGAGCTACCTCATCCCTTTGTGTGTATTTTACCTCAATAAACTTATTCCAATATCAACTTCGAGAACCAAAAAGAGGAAGAGCCATAACTGACCCTCTGGCGGTGAGCGGCGTGAAGCCCGGGATGAAGAAGTGTAGCCTAGGGAAGGGCACCATGTTGACCGCCAGCTTCCTGAGGTCGGCGTTCAGCTGGCCTGGGAATCTGAGGCAGGTGGTGACGCCGGACATGGTCAGGGACACCAGGTGGTTGAGGTCGCCGTAGGTCGGGGTGGAAAGCTTGAGGGTCCGGAAGCAGATATCGTAGAGAGCCTCGTTGTCGATGCAGTAAGTTTCGTCGGTGTTTTCGACCAGTTGGTGGACGGAGAGGGTGGCGTTGTAGGGCTCCACAACGGTGTCTGACACCTGCCCGCCACCACCACAAATTCAAATTCAAATTCAAATTTTTATTCCGGTACAAACGTGACTATGTATTCATACATAGATGATGAGCTACAAACATAATGTTGGGTTTGTAGATAGTTTTAGATTTATAACGGAAAGTAACTAAAAAGCCTAACCTATACAAAATAAGCAATCATAGGTTTAATGTATGCAATCTTAAGCCTAATATAGTACATATATGTGCTTACTAGGCCTAGGAATATTTAAGTTTTTTTGTTTTTCTGTGCCCTCTTCAAAATTAAAAGTTCAAAACGTGAATATTGTTGGCTGCAACAATTCATTGTTGTAGGTTGGACCAAATAATTGCATAAGTACTATAATTTTTGGAGATTGAGTTGATATTGGTAGGTGTATGTGTTGTATGATGAATGGTAATGATGTATGCTAATCCTAACGTTCGAATATATTTGAGTTAGTTGAACCACAAAAATGATTTGGAAGATTTTTGAAATGCCTGGAAAATTAACCGATACGTTTTCTTTAGTGATGGAAGTGACAGCGACAACAATGGTATAGGTACCTGAGCACACCTTGTGGCTGGGTATACTGTAGTAGGTTACAGGAGGGAATATTGCGACTGGGCATAGTATAGTAGGTTACAGGAGGATACCTTTAGGCGGGGTATACTGTACAAGGTTACAGGAGAGTATCTTGAAAGTGTGTAGTGTAATAGGCTACTGAAGCCACATTATGGCTGGACATGATGTAATAAGTGCAGGAGGGTACCTTAGGGCTGGGCATAACGGAGAAGGTGTTCATGATGCGGTCAGGGTACTCCTCACGGATCTTAGAGATGAGGAGAGTACCCATACCCGAGCCAGTACCACCACCGAGGGAGTGCGTCAGCTGGAACCCCTGCAGGCAGTCACAATTCTCGCTCTCTTTCCTGATGATGTCGATGACGGAGTCCACCAACTCCGCGCCCTCCGTGTAATGTCCCTTTGCCCAGTTATTGCCCGCGCCACTCTGACCTGCAGAGACAACTCCACACTTAGCTCTCTCTCTTCAAACTGGGGCATGGACAAATCGTTCACAAGATGATTCGACAAAGCTCATTTTCTGTTCGTTAAAACTGTATATATTATTTGGGTAGGATGCACAAGTTTAGGTTAGGCTCGGTTGGGTTAGGTTAGGTTAGGTTGGTTAGGTTAGGTTAGCTTAGCTTAGCTTTCGTTTGGTAAGGTTAGCTTTGGTTTTCAAATCTGTCTTGTGTACGATAACTTGCATTCTTTAAACGTATGTCCAAAACTCCTTGTGTAGCCCATATAAAGGGGTATATATATATGGCCATCATTGAATATGTAACCTGTGCCTACCATTAAACCACTGTAGTATGTTCTTATGTATACTTTATAAATATAGTTATTAATATTATTATTATATTGATATGTATTACAAAGTATCGCATTAAGATATTTCACATTAAAATACAGATAAATGAGAATCTTAATAGCAGTTTCCAGGGGGAATTTTAGATCTCTTAAAAACAAAAAAGTTCTGAATTTCACCGAAGATGAAGTTGTCAGGTTTGAAGAGGTGGCCGAAGGGTCCCGCCCTGACGGAGTCCATGGTCCCTGGCTCCAGGTCCACCAGCACCGCCCGGGGCACATACTTCCCACCTGCGGCCCACAACACCTGCTCACTACATGTGCTTGTGTTCATACAGCACACCTGCGCTACCGTAGCGTGTACACACGCACGCACATGAAAACTACGATAATCTTCAACCCTACAGACTGTAGTGCTGCCAAGGTAATTGGGTCAAGTATAAAATAAAATGATAGGTTGGCTGCATATTCCTAGATTACCAGAAGGCCTTCGACACAATTAAACACTTAGGATTTCTTCACAAACCAAAGGAATATCCTGGAATAACGGTGAGAACCGTGGACATGATGGGGAGAAATACCTGTCAGAAAGAGAAAGTCAATGAGATAATATATCAGAATGTGAGAGTGGTAACTTTGGTGTCACAAGTCGTTCAGTATCGTGAGGAAATGAACCAATGCATGTGAATGTCCACTAATGACACGAAACTAGACTAAATGTGGTAGGAAATCCTAGGAAAATTACAGGACTGGTTCGACAAGTGGCTCCTAGATTTCGCCCCCGTAAATGCAAGGTAATGTGAATTGGAGCAAACGAGGCTTTTAGGGATCTAAACAGGAAGAATTCAGGGTAATATATTAGCTGTATGAGGCCAGTGCTTCAGTGTGTAGCTCCCGACATGTAATACTCACCTAACACGGCACAACACAAGCTTTGAAAGCGTTCATAGTTAGGCAGCTCTAATTATTCTAGAGTAGCAAGGCCTGAGATTAAAGACGGAAAGAGCTGGATTGTACATCATTTAATAAGTCAGCTAAGCAGGGAAATAATTGTTCTGACTCTCTGCACCTATTTTAATTTTCAAATTACGACTTTTTACACCGAAAATATGCCAATTACTGAAAACGGCGATGGGTCATATTTTGCCCAAACCCCACTGCAGTTTTCAAAATATCTGAAATGTCGGAAATTTGACTCCTGAGTGTGATTTTTGAGCCGAATTCTGACTCTGCACCTATTTTCATTTTCAAATTACGACTTTTTATACCGAAAATATGCCAATTACTGAAAACGGCGAAGGGTCATATTTTGCCCAAACTCCCCTGCAGTTTTCAAAATATCTGAAATGTCGGAAATTTGACTCCTGAGCGTGATTTTTGAGGCGAATTCTGACAGTGAGACATACATGATCCACAGGAGGACTCACTGAATAGATAAAGATGAACTGTTGAGTATGTGAACTAGCAGAACGAGGTGTAATGATTAGGAATTATTTCTTAGGAGTGAGAGTAGTCGAGGATAACCCCACAGATAGGGTTATAAGTAGATATGGTTAGGTTAGGTTAGGTTCACTTAGACTATGATTAAAAGAATAGTGATAACATAGCGGAGTATATATTATTCTCAGGTCTTAGACCCTTCTCCGTAAGGGTGACGAGGCACCACAATGGTTGATGAGTATATTACACCGGATAAATCTCGGCAAATGACATTGCTGCAGCATTTAATCAACGCTGAAAACGTTAATTTAACGTTATTTAAACGTTACTAAAGCCCGACGTTTTACCGCCTGGGAAGCAATAGTCCAGCCCCCCCCTCCCCCCCCGTCCGCTCAGACACAGCTGGTCAACCCAGCAAGCACAAACATGCAAAGTGACGTTAAATAAACGTGTGATGAACGTCGATTCAACGTCGCTTGTGCAGATTTCCACGGGCGGGGAAGAGGGAAGGGGGGGGGGGAGAGTGAATGTTGATGTAACAATAGTTCAACGTTAATTTAATATTGACACAACATTATTCGTACACATTATATGGCAGCTCGTACAGCAACCCGTTCTCGCACTTTCTTATAGTCAATATTGACTTATTAAATACGTGCATATGTGACATACTAATTTATTGTGAATATTTTAGTTTACCTTGAAAAGCTTCATAGAAAACACCGACCAATAATTACAATTATTACTTAACCAATTATAGGTATAAGTTAAGTAATAATTGTAATTACGAAGCCATAAGATGCTTATCTTAACATACTAAGAAGGTTAGGTAAGGTCGGTGTTTTCTATGAAGCTTTTCAAGGTAAACTAAAATATTCACAATAAATTAGTATGTCACATATGCACTTATTTAATAAGTCAATATTGACTTAAAGAAAGTGCGAGAATGGGTTGCAACATGATGTGTACATGAACCTCGTCAACGGTGAGTGACAGGCCAGTGTAGCAGTGATGGAGGAAGGTTGAGGGGAGTGAGAGAACGAGTGAGAGAACTAGTGAGAGAACGTACCTGTGGCCTCGGTGTAATAGACATTAATTCTCTCGAGTTGTATCTCGTGTTGGCCCTCGTAGAGCCCCGTGGGGCTGATGCCGTGCTCGTCGCTAATCACCTCCCAGAACTGTAAACAAACATTCACTTTACAATTTCATTCATTTGAGCCCCTGGGACACACACGCACACACACACGCACACACACACACACGGTGGAGAAGGTGAGAAGGTGGTGGAGGCCAAGACCGTCAGTAGTTTCAAAGCGTTATATGACAAAGAGTGGTGGGAAGACGGGACACCACGAGCGTAGCTCTCATCTTGTAACTACACTTAGGTAATTACACACGGTATGTGTGTGTTCTTGAGCTATGATAGAGCTCGAGAAGCTCAGGAACCTGTACACCAGTAGATTGACAGTCGAGAGGCAAGTTCAAAGAGCCAAAGCTCAACCCCCGCAAGCACAACTAGGCGAGTACAGAGGAGAGAGAGAGGCTACGAGTTACGAGCTGAGGCCACAAGGTCTCAGCCTGCTAAGAAGAGCTGAATGTCGTCGTCTCCTGAACGGATCTGCAACAAAAAAAAGATTACAGGAGTCCGTGATTCAATCGCAGAAAACAGAGGATGGCGCCGCTAGCGCGAGAGATGTCGTTGTGTTGTGGCAACGGTCAGTGTTCGATGGTGGTTGCTAGGGTGTGCTTCTGGCCCCCACAAGTACCCACCTCTAGGGTGTGCTTCTGGCCCCCACAAGTACCCACCTCTAGGGTGTGCTTCTGGCCCCCACAAGTACCCACCTCTAGGGTGTGCTTCTGGCCCCCACAAGTACCCACCTCTAGGGTGTGCTTCTGGCCTCCACAAGTACCCACCTCTAGGGTGTGCTTCTGGCCTACACAAGTACCCACCTCTAGGGTGTGCTTCTGGCCCCCACAAGTACCCACCTCTAGGGTGTGCTTCTGGTCTACACAAGTACCCACCTCTAGGGTGTGCTTCTGGTCTACACAAGTACCCACCTCTAGGGTGTGCTTCTGGCCCCCACAAGTACCCACCTCTAGGGTGTGCTTCTGGCCCCCACAAGTACCCACCTCTAGGGTGTGCTTCTGGCCCCCACAAGTACCCACCTCTAGGGTGTGCTTCTGGCCCCCACAAGTACCCACCTCTAGGGTGTGCTTCTGGCCCCCACAAGTACCCACCTCTAGGGTGTGCTTCTGGTCCCCACAAGTACCCACCTCTAGGGTGTGCTTCTGGCCCCCACAAGTACCCACCTCTAGGGTGTGCTTTTGGTCTACACAAGTACCCACCTCTAGGGTGTGCTTCTGGCCCCCACAAGTACCCACCTCTAGGGTGTGCTTCGGGCCCCCACAAGTACCCACCTCTAGGGTGTGCTTCTGGCCCCCACAAGTACCCACCTCTAGGGTGTGCTTCTGGCCCCCACAAGTACCCACCTCTAGGGTGTGCTTCTGGCCCCCACAAGTACCCACCTCTAGGGTGTGCTTCTGGTCTACACAAGTACCCACCTACCTGTAGAGTGCTGGTAGTCTTGGGTATACCACTCCCCAAGTGGTATACTAGGGTGCTATACCACTCCTACTAAACCTGTTGCCTGGGGGGACCCGCGTAGCCTGGTCACACCCTAAAGGTCCAGAGTTTGAGTCTCACAGCAGGACATAAAGCGTAAAATCGGATTCGTTCCAGACATATAATTGGGAATTCCAGGCGCGGGGCAGAAATGGTTGGGCGCGTTTTCTATCACCTAATGCATCTGTTTCCCCTGACTAACCAGGAGTTAGTCAGCTTGTTGTCGAGTTGCATCCTGGGGAGGGTTATTAGTTCAATCTTATGGGGGGGGGGGGCTCGATATAAGACAAAAATATACATATATACACTGACTTCCTGTCCCTGACACAATGAATTATTTATTTATATTAATAAAACACTGACTCATCGATAGCCCAACCACTTTGACTGGATGACAGAGCGACGGTCTCGTTTCTTGCAGGCCGGCGTTCAATTCCCGACTGTCCAAGTGGTTAGGCACTATTCCTTTCCCTCCGTCCTATCCTAAATCCTTATCCTCCTCTCCCTTCCAAGTGCTATATAGTCATAATGGCTTAGTGTTGTCTCTCAAGTTGCAGCCCCGCTCCTGTGCCAGGTAAGTCCACTCCGGGCTCACCATAGCCCGTGCTACTTGCAACTTTCTGTTCCCAGTAGCTGAAGCTAAGACAACAGCAAGAAGTGTTGTCCCATGACCACCTGAGCTGGTCGTCAGCACGTGGGGCGGCGCCCCCGCCCCACCCTCCTAATTATCTCCCCAGGGGGCGAGAGTTATTAAATAATATAATTGTTGTGCACTTTGTTGAAATATACTGAATCGGTAGATCTTTCCCCTGATTATTATAGCTCTTGTAGATGGGTCTTCGTGTAATAAGAGCTATCTCTTGTAGACGGGTCTTCGTGTAATAAGAGCTGTCTCTTGTAGACGGGTCTTCGTGTAATAAGAGCTGTCTCTTTTAGATGGGTCTTCGTGTAATAAGAGCTATCTCTTGTAGACGGGTCTTCGTGTAATAAGAGTTGCAGTAGTAGTTCTAACATGAGCGTGAGTGGTTGCGCCTACTGACGCTGATGTGATACTGGAACAACACTTCCAGTAGGCTATAGATATATAGGATACCTTAACTAAGAGCCAGGCTTTTTTTTCAGGGATATTCCTGCGCGGGCCCTAAGCCTCTGGTTGGCCCACTAAGTGTTGCTTGTTTCTGTTTGACTTGGGCGGAGTATGGGTATTTATGACTCTTAAGGTCGCTTCAGTAAGATTTTGCCATATGTGTTTAACAACTTCAACTGCTCTGTTGAATCTAAGGTGAAATCTTAATGGGTTTGTAACTGTGTACTGTTAGATAATGTTCCAGTGGTCTGTCGGGCATTCCTCCACAGTGCAAGGGCGAGGCTGATCGTGTAGTCACCCAAACAGCTGCTGGCCTGACCCAAGTGTACCTAACTGAGCGATGTGTACATCATGCAGTGTAACAGAGTCTTCAAGGGCTCTGTGTGGGCAACCAATGTGAGACTCCCTATTGAGTATGCAGCGCCAGCATTCAATCTTAACCTGACGAAAAAATTGTAAAAGGTTCAGATGTATACAAGAAGACTCGTTCCTAAGTTGTGGGTTCTGACTTAGGATTAAGACGGAGGGGACGGGGCCTAGCCACACAGGAGGAGGAACTGGGGGGACATGATAGCGATATACAAGATTCTAATGAAAATTAACAGACAAAGAAACATTATTCAAAGCTAGGAACAGCAGAAGAGGAGCCGCTAGACACAAATAAGTCGCGGAAATTTTGGAAAGATTTACTTCGGAGAAAGTCATTAAAAATAATGAAAATAAACCTTAAGATTCTAAACCACAAATTCTGGAATATCAACATAAGAGAACTGGATTAATCGAGGAAGCGGTTGATAGGCAGCTGCAACCCTGCAACCACATCCAGTCCACCACTGCAACAGGTCTGGGAGACTCCCCCCTCCCCCCCATCCCAACCAAACACGCCAGTCTGCACCTCCCCCCCCCCTCAACCCCCCCCCCCCCGCAGACAGTGGCAGACTCGACCAAAAAACCCCGACGGATGTCCTGAAATAGTTACTGAAGACGGCTGCGCGTCATCCACGCTCCTGTGGTTGAAGTGTTGAGACACCTGGAGTGTGTTCCCACCCCAGGCTGAGGCGGGGGTGTTGAGCTACAGCCTGGGGTGACCTGGGGAAGGCCGCACACGCCACATACAACATGATGTGACCTGGATCTACACGCTCTGTGACTTATGGCATGACTAGAATCCGGTATTTAGGGGCAATTTTCTTCGTGGCGAAGATGGTAGTGGAATGTAGGTCAACACGCTGACTAAATGCTTGTTCAGAGACACTGACATGTTAGTGGCGCATGTCTCATGGCAACTACCGAGCGCAGGTGCGAATGTTTGCTCGTAATGTTTGCTCGTAATGTTTGCTCGTAATGTTTGCTCGTAATGTTTGCTCGAATGTTGATGAATGTGTTTGTGGCGTCCTACCGTGGTGACAGAGAACACGTGGAGGTGCAAGCCTCAGCACACTGCACCATATGTGTTGATCAATAGTGGTCTGACCTACTTGTATAAATCGTTAGGTACTGAATATTATAGTACCCGCGGCTACAGCTGCTGCTGCTGTTGCAGCTATACGTCAACATCGTAGTCTCATGCTGGCGTGCAGTTCCTGCAGGGGGAGCTGCTGTCTTTGTTATCATTCATATCTTACAGGGAGCCGGTCGGCCGAGCGGACAGCACGCTGGACTTGTGATCCTGTGGTCCTGGGTTCGATCCCAGGCGCCGGCGAGAAACAATGGGCAGAGTTTCTTTCAACCTATGCCCCCTGTTACCTAGCAGTAAAATAGGTACCTGGGTGTTAGTCCTGGTCAAGGACCGGGCCGCGGGGACACTAAAAAGAAAAAAAAAACCGAAATCATCTCAAGATAACCTCAAGATATTGTCCATGTGAATGACTTGGTCCAGTCTCAACTTTAATGATATGGTTGGAAAATTAAAACAATTCCTTTCCTCGGGGACATGATCGATATATATATATATATATATATATATATATATATATATATATATATATATATATATATATATATATATATATACGAAGCTGCGAACTAAGTACACGAAATAGTGAAGCAAGAACACAAAGTGGGTGTATTGATTGTGTAGCAGCATAAGCAGAGCCAACAATCAACCTTCCTTCCACCTCAACCCTTCCCCCCCCCCCTCACCATCACCCCCACCCTCCCCCCTCTCAACTCCCCACTCCCCCCCTCAATTACTCTCTCCCAACAACATAACAACGCCACATTCATTGCAAAGGCCACACAAAGTTACAATTCTACGAGACAATGATTGTAAACAAATATGAGGTACAAGAGACTTACTAAGCACTACACATATTGTATGGTTGAGTGTGGGATGGTTCAAGGGGGTTAAAATACACCTTCATACGTAAAACCAGATGTATATACGGTGTATAAATACACCGTAACTCAAGTGTATTTACACGGCGTTAACTTAAGTCGTGTTCTCCGGTCCGGCGTGAATTAAAGTCGACGATTCACGGGTAAGCCACTATGGTGGATTTAATAACCCTTCAGAAAAGGGGTTGACAGGCCTTAAGCCACTCTTCCCCCAACCCTCCAAGTATGTTCTGAATATAGTCCAGGATGGAAGCAAACTCGGTGTATACTTGCACTCAGAAGCGAGGGTTCACCCGGTATTTAATGGAGTGAAATACCGCTGGATTGAAGGTCTTTCCGAGTGATGTATCTACGGTAAGGAAGGGTTATTGTGCCCTTTGAACACCGGTAATGTTGATGCGGATTATATATATAACATGTAACTTTTAGCTACACACACACACACACACACACACACACACACACACACAACTTGTTCTCAAGTTCGACTTGAGAATGGTCCAGGACGGACCGAAACGTCGTCGTCCCTTCAACTTCTAGTGTGTGGTCTGGTCAACATACTTCAGCCACGTTATTGTGACTCATCGCCTGCACACACACACACACACACACCAAGCAGCTTCAACCTGGAGTTCATACCTAGTTAAACACAAGACAAAGTTATAGAAGGGTCAGAGGTATGCCACCAAACTTGTCCAAGGAACTGAGAGGTATGAGCTACGAGGAAAGGCTAAGGGAGCTGAACCTCACGTCCCTGAAAGACAGAAGAGTAAGGGGAGACATGATAACCACCTACAAAATTCTCAGGGGAATTGACAGGGTGGACAAAGACAATCACTTTAGTACGGATAGAACACGAACAAGGGGACACAGGTGGAAACTTAGTACTCAAATGAGCCACAGAGACGTTACAAAGAACTTGTTCAGTGTCAGAGTAGTTAATAAATGGAATGCATTAGGCAGTGATGTGGTGGAGGCTGACTCCATACACAGTTTCAAATGTAGATATGATAGAGCCCAATAGGCTCAGGAATCTGTACACCAGTTGATTGACAGTTGAGAGGCGAGACCAAAGAGCCGAAGTTCTACCCCCGCAAGTATAACCAGGTGAGTATAACCAGGTGAGTACACAGGCAAGAGCTTAACGCTGACACAAGTTTACCTGTTGCCTGACAACCCTTACCTGACCACATCAACAAATAATCACAAACCATCACGAAGGCCGGTTTACACCACACAATCACCTGTAAACTAAATACTCAGCTGGCCCTTCGTAACGTGTAAACTTGTAGAGGCCTCAGAACCCTTCACTGTTATTCACAATACACGAAACCAAGAATATATATATATATATATATATATATATATATATATATATATATATATATATATATATATATATATATATACATATATATATATATATATATATATATATACTGAGAATAGCTCCCTAGTTTATGGTGTTAAATCTACTATAACGTAGTACTGTAGTACTGGACAATTTTCAGGACTAAAAGTATGCTTTAATAATCCTTCAGAGGTTGATCGGCCTTAATAACTCTATAGATGTTGAATGGTCTTAATAAGCCTCAAGAAATTGATAGGTCTTAATAACCATCCAGATGTTCGATAACCTTATTAATCCTCCATAGGCTGACAGGCCTTAAGTTCAATACCAAAACAAGCATGAGAAGATTGCGACAACAAATGAACAATATAGGCTTACTAACCTAACACCTAAATCAAATAATTACAATTATCAAACACCCACACACACACCTTGTAATGATCACACACACACACACACCTTGTAATGATCACACACACACACACCTTGTAATGATCACACACACACACACACCTTGTAATGATCACACACACACACACACACACACACCTTGTAATGATCACACACACACACACACACCTTGTAATGATCACACACACACACACACCTTGTAATGATCACACACACACACACACACACACACACACCTTGTAATGATCACACACACACACACACACACACACACCTTGTAATGATCATCACACACACACACACACACACACACACACACACACACACACACACACACACACACACACACACACACACACACACACCTTGTAATGATCACACACACACACACACACACACACACACACACACACACACACACACACACACACACACACACACACACACCTTGTAATGATCACACACACACACACACACACACCTTGTAATGATCACACACACACACACACACCTTGTAATGATCACACACACACACACACACACACACACACACACACCTTGCAATGATCACACACACACAGAGTAATGGTTTGACTTCGCGAGAAACGGACTTTTCGCAGTAACAATTACAGCTCCATACTTAGAGTTAATGACACTAAAACTAATTATGTTTTGCAAACTGTTGCGTGAGAACAGTAAACTTCTATGACAAGAGTGTTTGTGTGTAATGATATTTGAATGCGACGTAGAGTAGGTCTTGTTTGCTAAGATGTATATATCTTGATGTATATATCATATATACAGATGTATATATGTTCATCCATCCACCAATCACAAGCCTCGCACCCAAAAAAGGGAAAAAGACCAAGAATGATGATTCTACACCACCGTGCATCCTGAACCAGTCAAGTCAGTCAAGCAGCTGGGTCAAGCCCCCCCCCTGGCATTTTGTCTCTTACCAGCCAATTCTCCCCTTTAGCCATGCTTAAGCTGTACCCTCTTCCCGCTCAGTCAATGGCTATCTTAGCTATACATACGTTCAAGAGAATGTCTGTCTGACCGCTTGGAGGCCAGCAAATGAGAGTTGGGCTGTCCTTTGTTGCAGGCAGCGTGGGTGCAGGCGGCCCTGGCCTGCACCCTTGGAATCAGGTATGACATACGTAGCTTAAATGACCTGCTCGGGCAGTTAAAGACGAGTCATTACGCCAGTGGAAGCTCTTCAACCACTATACTGCTATTGTAACTACCATCACCACTGTTATTGCTGCCCACTATTATTGTTCTCAACCATTATCTTACCATTGCCACTACCGCGGGGAGGGATTGGTTTGGCTAGTACTATTCCTCATATTCAACTGGTTCTGTTTTGTTTTTTAAAGATTGTCATCACTACTAATTTCACCGACACCTACCACTGTCATATGAACTGAGACTACCACTACCACCACCACTACCACCACTACCTCTCTCTCTCTCTCTCTCTCTCTCTCTCTCTCTCTCTCTCTCTCTCTCTCTCTCTCTCTCTCTCTCTCTCTCTCTCTCTCTCTGAGGTACCTCATACCTTACTGCTGATGGAATGACGGGAACCAGGGACTAGCTCATACCTTGATGGTATGAAAGGAACCAGGGGGCTACCTCATCCATAACCACACTGGATACAGTCTCCGCTACACATCCGTAACCAAACGGCGAGGATACAGCCACAGCAGTACAAAAAAATCCACTGAAATAGTCGGCCTGGGTGGAGATTTCAACAGAGGTCTGCCCCTACCACCAGCGCGCCCGGCACCTCAAACGTGGGAAAAAAAGAACCGGGAAAAAAAGAACCGGAGAAAAAAGAACCGGGGAAAAAAGAACCGGGGAAAAAAAGAACCGGGAAAAAAAGAACCGGAGAAAAAAGAACCGGGGAAAAAAGAACCGGGGAAAAAAAGAACCGGGAAAAAAAGAACCGGGGAAAAAACTGCATTTACCTTGGAGCCAATTTGATTGCCACATTGTCCGGCCTGGATATGGACAATCTCCCGCATGCTGTGTCGTCAGTGTAACTTAAGAGGCACTTAAGTGTATGAAGGAGACCCTCCCAGAGTGGCTTCCCTTGCCTGAGTGGCAGTTCTGCCCACCACCACCCTGACCGTCCCACACACACACACACACACACACACACACACACACACACACACACACACACACACACACACACACACACACAAGGAAATCAATACAGCGCACTGCACTATGGTCAGTCTTTCTTCCTGAAATATACAATTCCTTTTAATGCTGCGCATTGTAATAGTGTTACTGTAATGGTACTTAGAGTGAAAGGTATTCAAATGTTCAGTGTGATTGTTATCAGTTATATCTTAAATAAGGTTTAGATCTTCAGGTGTTTCTTGGTGAGTAAGACATGAGTCAGCTCATGTCTAACATTCCAGCAGGCACGTGACTGAGGACATTACTCGGAGTAATGAGTACTCATTACTCGGAGAAATGAGTACTCATTACTCAGAGAAATCATAATATGAATAAAAATCATTTCTTTTTAAGCAATAAGAAAGTATATATATATATATATATATATATATATATATATATATATATATATATATATATATATATATATATATATATATATATATATATATATATACATATTCATTTCATCTGATACATCTGTTCACCTAACTGTAAATAGGTAATTAGGGATTTGGGCAATTTTTATGAGTTGTATCATGGGTAGTGTCAGTAGTTGCCCCAGGGGGTGGACCTCACACCTGATGCACCTGTTCACCTAGTAGTAAACAGGCACACGTGAGTTAGGGAACTGTTGTGGGTTGCACTGGAGAGAAGGTCAGTGGACGATCTAGAGGGAGAGGGGAGTCTCGATAAGCCTAAGGATAAGGCTTCCTGTCCCAGACAACGAAAATAATAAAAACGCCGTACGACAACATCGACGTCTCCTGTACAGCGCTGCCAGACGATATTTTTTTGCTTTCCATTTCAAGTTCAATTGCCAAAGTTAACCGAATCAAAGTCAGTCTGACCTGCCGTACTCTAATGTATCTTCCATAAAGTTAGCTAACATATCCTAGCCGACCTAACTTATCCTAGCGATCTTAGCTTATCCAAACCTCGCCCAAAAGTATTTTAACGTATCTTAGCCTTTCTAGCCTAATCTATGTTACTCTAACCCATCAGAGCCGGTCTTAACCTATCACACCCAACCGTAGCCTAAACGGGTGTTTTTCTAACGGAACTTATTAACCCTCTAGAGGCTGATAGCAACCCGTTCACGCACTTGCTTATAGTCAATATTGGCTTATTAATAAGTGCATATGTGACATACTAATTTATGCAACTAGGCCTTATAATAACCGCCCAAAAGGTGAATACAACCGCCAGCTCGACACCCACCCCAAATCATTAAAGTCTACGGTTACGTCAAGATCATTTTCACTAACAAATATCTGCTATGCTGTACCGCAGAGTGACGCCTCAACCGAATGGTGTATAGCTAGCTTTTCTGTGTATGTATGTATACACAGAGTGGTGTATAGCTAGCTTCTCGGTGTATATATGTATACACCCAGATATTCTTTGAGTTGTGGACTATGTTAAGGATGAAACTATACATGTTCGTTGCACCGTAAGGAATTATTGTGTATTTGTACGATCTCCAGAGGTTGATAGGTCTTAATAACCCTCCTGGCCAACATAAGAACTATCTTCAGAAATCAGAATACATCAGAAATAGATAACTATATATATGTTGTACCTAATAGCCAAAACGTACTACTTGGACTAGTATGCAAGGATCGATTTGCCTAACAGGCATAGTGATTTTCGGTATTTTCCCCAAAAAAAATTTAATTATTTTTTTAATCATAATAATTTTTAATGTATAATATACATGTGTGTGTGTGTAACTGAACAGATGAACAGACAGACACAACAACAGGTGGCGAAGTAAACCAAAGTTGGTATATTGTTATAATCAATGAATACGGGTGTGGCTACCAACACACACACACACACACACACACACACACACACACACACACACACACACACACACACACACACACACACACACACAGATAGAGCTGTGTAGATATGATAGAGCCCAATAGGCTCAGGAATATGTACACCTGTTGATTGACGGTTGAGAGGCGGGACCAAAGAGCCAGAGCTCAACCCCCGCAAACACAACTAGGTGAGTACAACTAGGTGAGTACACACACACACACACACACACACACACACACACACACACACACACACACACACACACACACACACACACACACTAGTTTACTAGTTAGTAAACAGTTGATTGACAGTTGAGAGGCGGGCCGAAAGAGCAAAGCTAAACCCCCGCAAAAACACAACTAGTAAACACACACACACACACACACACACACACACACACACACACACGAGTGTGTGTGTGGACAGCGCGCTGGACTCGTAATTCTGTGGCCCGGGTTCGATTCCCGGACCAGGCAGAAACAAATGGGCAAAAGTTTCTTTCACCCTGAATGCCCCTGTTACCTAGCAGTAAATAGGTACCTGGGAGTTAGACAGCTGTTACGGAGCTGCTTCCTCACACACACACTTCCACACACTTCCATACACACCCCTTCCTACGGAGGGGTGTGTATGTGTGTGTGTGTGTGTGTGTGTGTGTGTGTGTGTGTGTGTGTGTGTGTGTGTGTGTGTGTGTGTGTGTGTGTGTGTGTGTGAAAAAATTAGTAGTTGGTAACAGTTGATTGACAGTTGAGAGGCGGGCCGAAAGAGCAGAGCTCAACCCTCGCAAGCACATCTAGGTGAGTACACAGTGCAGCTGGGAAGCCGGGTCCAAGAGCTTAAACACTAGAATGTAAATACATTGAGTTATGTTAGTCCTAAACATAGTCCAGAACTACAGTTAAATGTTGGTTGGTCAATATGTTATTGTGGAGGTTTTAATAACCCTCCAGAGGTTGTTAGCCCATAATAACCCTCCAGAGGTTGTTAGCCCATAATAACCCTCCAGAGGTTGTTAGCCCATAATAACCCTCCAGAGGTTGTTAGCCCATAATAACCCTCCAGAGGTTGTTAGCCCATAATAACCCTCCAGAGGTTGTTAGCCCATAATAACCCTCCAGAGGTTGTTAGCCCATAATAACCCTCCAGAGGTTGTTAGCAGATATTAACCAAGCTAAACTGGCTGGCTTCCAACCGCCTGTGATGACCCAGAGAGCAGGAGACCAAGATCAATACCCAACTGTAATGTCCCGTCACCTATATATATATATATATATATATATATATATATATATATATATATATATATATATATATATATATATATATATATATATATACATACATATACATACATACCTACATATATACATACATATATAGACATGTAATTACTAGGCTACAAAAGCGTTCTTAAATTATTAAAACAAAAAAAAAAATATTTTCTCTAGTGTTGTCAGTAATTAAAACAAATCCTTCGGTACTGTCAAGCTGTTCTTCAAATAAAGTCTTAAATATTAGACTATTCTTGAACAGCCTTGTCGCGTTGTTGGGGCAAGACAGGGCAGTGTGTGGTCATACCCACCCGTCATTAAGGCTGATATTCTTGCGCTAAGCAGGGGAGAAATACAGCCATGCGGACGGTATGTGTTGCTCCAGCATGATTGGGCCAATCAGCTGCTGGAGCGTCGGCAGCAAGCATAATAGAGGATTGCTGCAGTGGGCTTATTGATGTAGCTGAAGTAATCGATTGTTAAGACGCTTGTCAACCCCGACGGAGTGGTTATCTTGAGGTTATCTTGAGATGATTTCGGGGCTTTTTAGTGTCCCCGCGGCCCGGTCCTCGACCAGGCCTCCACCCCCAGGAAGCAGCCCGTGACAGCTGACTAACACCCAGGTACCTATTTTACTGCTAGGTAACAGGGGCATAGGGGGAAAGAAACTCTGCCCAGTGTTTCTCGCCGGCGCCCGGGATCGAACCCGGGGCCACAGGATCACAAGTCCAGTGTGCTGTCCGCTCGGCCGACCGGCTCCAAGGTTAATATCATGACCCAGTCACCTGCAACTCACATTAACTCTATATATATTAACTTGTGTTGAATCTGTTGCATTTATCAAACTTATGGTCGGACAACTCACAGGAATATAGCTACATTTTTATCTATTTTTTTTTTTAATAATTGCGAGTCTGTGCATCACAGGGCCTGAACGCTCTCACCACGCCTCGCCAGCGATATGGTCTGGGTTCGAGACCCTAGCCAGGGAGGGTCGAAATGACCACTAATCCTTAACTAATCGCCCCTGTTCATCCAGCAGTAATTGTGGAACCTGGTTGTGAACCGATTGGCGGGTCGTGTTCCAGGGAAAAGTAGTTGGGTAACCTTTTCTTAATCTTTGGCGGCTTTGTTTACAATTATTAAACAGTTAATGAGCTCCGAAGCACCAGGAGGCTGTTTATAACAATAACAACAGTTGATTGGGAAGTTTTCATGCTTGTAAACTGTTTAATAAATGTAACCAAAGCCGTCAAAGATTGAGGAAAGATGTACACGTTCGTAAGTGCTTGCGTAACTGCTTCGTGAATCTGGCCCCATGAACTGTTTTCCATATATAGTACCAACGACAATCTCAAACAACACAAATTCTTAAACTCCAATTTGAATGAACAAATCGCCGAGCCAAAATAAAACAATAATTATAATACTGTCAAATTAGAAAACAAATTAGAGTTCAGTAAGTGTCAGCCACACGCCATAATGTCTCGTGTTATCGGCGACGGCTTCAACGATTACCAGAAATGATAACAAAACATTTTTGTTATCATTCCGGGGACATTTAGTAACCCAGGCTGACGCGTTACCTGTTCCCCCATATTACAAACGTACGAGTAATCCGCTTCCTGATAAGATGACCTTTGATAAACAAAGTCCCATAATCCTCACGGATTACTGAGCATTTGAATTTAAATTTAAATTTGAATTTGAGGATGTCATACGTTAAAGTGTAGCCTAAACCCTCCCCAGAAGAATTAATCGCTAGCGAGGGATTTATAATTCGCTGGGTACAAAAAAATTATACTTTTTTTAGCACATTGACAACGTGTAAATTTCCAATAAAACTTCATTCACTCTAAACCCACTGTTTCTAAGGTAAGGGATAGATTAATTGAGCGGTTAATCAACTCGTTAAACCGTTTCCCGGTTTATATAAAGTGAGAGATTACATTAGTCCAGGATTAAATTATATTTGCTGGTTGGTCAGTATCTATAGTGGTAGCCTTATGTAAGGTAATGTAATTAGGATATTTTAATTATGTGCTAAAATAAAAGGAGATTAGTGGTGAAAGAAGGTAGTGATTATTGGTGGGAGCCGCGCTAAGCCGCTCTTATCGTCTTCAAGACGCTATCGTCTCTACCATATGTGTGGGAAGTTGAGAAGTAGCAGCTGGGTACAGTGTTGGAGTAGCAGCTGGGCACAGTGTTGGAGTAGCAGCTGGGTACAGTGTTGGAGTAGCAGCTGGGTACAGTGTTGGAGTAGCAGCTGGGCACAGTGTTGGAGTAGCAGCTGGGTACAGTGTTGGAGTAGCAGCTGGGTACAGTGTTGGGGTGGCAGATGGGTACAGTGTTGGGGTGGCAGCTGGGTACAGTGTTGGAGTAGCAGCTGGGTACAGTGTTGGAGTAGCAGCTGGGTACAGTGTTGGAGTAGCAGCTGGGTACAGTGTTGGAATAGCAGCTGGGTACAGTGTTGGAGTAGCAGCTGGGTACAGTGTTGGAGTAGCAGCTGGGGTACAGTGTTGGAGTAGCAGCTGGGGTACAGTGTTGGAGTAGCAGCTGGGGTACAGTGTTGGAGTAGCAGCTGGGGTACAGTGTTGGAGTAGCAGCTGGGGTACAGTGTTGGACCTACTGCATATTAGCCACATGAGTTACTAACACCATCATCAGTTGAGTGACGACAAATAAGTATACTGTAGTCATACAGTATACATAAGTATACAAATAAGTATACTGCGGTCAATAAGTATACAAATATGCATACTGCAGAAATGTAATTCCATACAAATCTCTTAATATTTCCACCATTGGAGCCACTTGTCCTTCTACAAAGAACGTCGCATTTCGAACGTATGCGTAACATACGGCCAACAATTGTGATACTGTTAACAATAGCAGAAGTTCTCATTATCAACAGCAGCAAGGAAGACGTCCATTAATAACTAGTCCGTGTGTATACCAGCGGTGCCCTCGAGCGGCAGGAACCCTGGACAGTTGTGAATGATATCATGCGGAAGGCAGTGACGCTGGAGTAACAGTAGCGGTGGCAGGAACAGTAGCAGTGTCAGCAGCAGCCCTCTTGATACTATGTCTGGGAGAACGGTCATATTTATACTGATATTCTGTACGGTAAGTCTCTCTTTCTGTCTGTCTGTCTGTCTGTCTGTCTGTCTGTCTGTCTGTCTGTCTGTCTGTCTGTCTGTCTGTCTGTCTGTCTGTCTGTCTGTCTCTCTCTCTCTCTCTCTCTCTCTCTCTCTCTCTCTCTCTCTCTCTCTCTCTCTCTCTCTCTCTCTCTCTCTCTCTCTCTCTCTCTCTCTCTCTCTCTCTCTCTCTCTCTCTCTCTCTCTCTCTCTCTCTCTCTCAATACTGACTCGGAACATTATATGTTCATTACATTACAGTATTAAGATTAAATTACAACTAGGTGAGTACAACTTACCTAGTTGTGCTTACGGGGGTTGGGCTCTGGCTCACTGGGCCCGCCTCTCAACTGTCAATCAAATTATTTTTTTCCACACACACACACACCCCAGGAAGCAGCCCGTAGCAGCTGTCTTAACTCCAAGGTACCTATTTACTGCTAGGTGAACAGGGGGCATCAGGGTGAAAAATAACTGCCCGTTGAGTATCTTTCACTCTGATGTTCCAGTTCACCTAGCAGTAAATAAGTACCTGGGAGTTAGACAGCTGCTACGGGCTGCTTCCTTGGGGTGTGTAACAAAAAGGAAGCCCGGTCCTGAGGACCGGGCCGCGAGGACGCTAAGACCCGAAATCATCTCATGATAACCTCAAGATAACGTTTCAAGATATATTTGCCAGAGAGTACTTACAAGTCAACTGGTATACGCATTACTATAATTTAGATTTTAGATTTAGAGAGAAAATATAGTTAGAAGGTGGTTAACACAATGATGTATGTTATAGTATGTTATGTATGCAGGAAATACATACACGTGATACATGAAACATTGAATATACATAGGTGACAGCCATATTTTATTGAATATGACTTATATTTATTTTACAGTTTAGTCCCTTGTCGATTAGATAGTTTCTTTGACTAACGAGGACCATAATGTATTCACCTAGTTGTATTCACCTTTTGTCCTTGCGGGGGTTGAGCTCTCGTCTTTCGGCCCGCCTCTCAACTATCAATCAACTGTTACTAACTACTAATTTTTTATTTTTCACACACGTACCCAGGAAGCAGCCCGTAGCAGCTGTCTAACTCCCAGGTACCTATTTACTGCTAGGTAACAGAAGCATCAGGGTGGAAGAAACTCTGCCTATTTTTGTCTCTGCCGGGATCGAACCCCCCCTAGGTCCACTGAGTCTAGAACGCTGTCCACTCAGCCAGCCAGCCCCCTATGTGAGTGAGATTATGTGAGGAAATACTGATACAGCTAAAAAAACAATGGCAGAGCCAGGGTCGGCGTTCGATGCTCTTTGACCCACCTGGAATACGCCTATTGATCGGATATGATCGGAACATTATCACGTTGAATGAACCTTACCTTGAGGTTACCTTGAGGTGCTTCCGGGGCTTAGCGTCCCCGCGGCCCGGTCGTCGACCAGGCCTCCTGGTTGCCGGACTGATCAACCAGGCTGTTGGTTGAAGTAGTGGAGTGACATGTGAATGTTTTGCTAGTGTGTAACCGTACTTGATAATACAGTATGTAATGTGGAAAACATGGCGACTATTTAATCTGGAAAAGCAAAATGATCACCAAACATATATCACCACTAGCATCACACACACACCAGTCACCACTAAGTTCACCATCACAGAGCGCAACGATACATTCCAGGTGTCACGGTGTGCCGGGAGCAGCAGCAGCAGCAGCAGGGACAATGCCTCCACAACTGCCGAATATGACGCCTACTCTCCCACGAAGTCCCTCAAGGAGCTAATCCCGAGAATAGGTCCTCCTGTAGTACCGAAACCCGAAGACGTAGACAATGCCACCGTACACCCCCTGCAGCAGCAACAGCAGCAGCAGCAACAGGAACAACAGGAGCAGCCAGCATGCCGCATGGGATACGGCATCATGGACTACTATCCCACGCAGGATAGGTACTACCAACACCAGACGTGCTACTGGTGCTACCACTTCGTCCCCGCCCACAGGAGGAAGCATCACCTCAGTGTGGTGAGAGATCGCATCATCCTCCACGATGGGAAACAGAGGCTGGACTTCAAGTTTGCTGTTGAGGTCAGTAATGTCTGGTTGTATGTGGTCTCGCGTGAGGGTTACAACCCATCATACGAGAGTGGTAGCGTGGGTGTTGATCCCTACTCACAATCATCCTCGTTGTCTATATGTATTACAATATTGACTATAAGCAATAAGTCATATATGGACTGTCTCGCGTGAGGCTATCAACTTATCATACGAGAGTGGTAGTGTGGTGTGTTGATCCCTACTCACAATTATCCTCGATGTCTATAAGTATTCAAATATTGACTATAAGCCTATAAGCAATAAGTCATATATGGACTGTCTTGTACGAGAGCGGGTTGAAGTATTCCAATAATCCAGTACACGACCAACCTTCCAAACCTGAACTAGACTGGAAGAACTGCATGAGCTGTGTACTCCACAAAATAGGATAAGGGAAATGTCCACTCGAATTTGACAATCAGGATATTTAATAGTAGGCGCATGTTAAATTAAAAGTTATAACGCGTTACAAAGATTGGCATGAATGATAACAATGGCATTGCAACATTAGTGTGGTCATATAACATGGTTATTTCACTGAACGCCTGTAATTTACTGTTGCAGCTAACGTAGACAATATATTAAGGCTCTCCAAGAACTAGTATAATGACATGAAATTCCACCTAAACTATATACTCAATGAACTAACCAGTGTCCCTTTAAACCAACCAGTGTCCCTTTAAACCAACCAGTGTCCCTTTAAACCAACCAGTGTCCCTTTAAAGTACGATAGTTGTCTTAACGACTTTCTCTAATAAGAATTACACAAATCACAACAGAACAGAGTGTAAATTTTACACTCTGGCAAGTGTAGAAGATACACAAAATTGTGTACAATATTTCTAACAACTTCTAATCAGCTAATGACACCAGTATTGGCGGCCCGACTAAACTTAAATACTCTTTTTAACTACTAAATACTTAAATACTTAAACTTATTAGTTGTGACCTCAAACGCTTCCTAGAAGACTGTAATGCCACTCAACACCCGCCTAATACACACACATCTATCACCACTACACCTTGTGAGACACACATCTATCACCACTACACCTTGTGAGACACACATCTATCACCACTACACCTTGTGAGAGACACATCTATCACCACTACACCTTGTGAGACAATGACAACAAGAAGAGTGTACTGGTACAGAACGCGACGTATTACTGGGACCCCGAGGACCAGGAGGCGTGGGCGGTGGTGACGGACTCACTGGTGGACGGACTGGAGGCCGCTAAGTTAAGGGACTGCTGCACGGCGGCTCTCTCCTGCTGCCTCCATGCCCTTACCCTTCCTCGCAGTGAGTACTGCTCTGTCTGTGTGTGTGTGTGTGTGTGTGTGTGTGTGTGTGTGTGTGTGTGTGTGTGTGTGTGTGTGTGTGTGTGTGTGTGTGTGTGTGTGTGTGTTGTGTGTGTGTGTGTGTGTTTGTTTCTCCAGTGAATGTTTTCCCTGAGTAAGAGGGCATCACTAATCCATGTTGTGTTGGTGCAGGCGCGGCAGGCAGCAGGTGCCCTGGGACCTGGGACGGGTGGAGCTGCTTCCCGCCCACCCCGGCCTCCACCACCGTCTCCGTCACCTGTCCGCCCTACGCCTATAAGGGCAAGCCGGAGTGCGCACGTCAGTACTCACTTGTTGATCACCCAATTTGTTATGTTCTCTTGTTCCTCCTGTTATTTAGTAAGCTTTCTCTTGTCAATTTGAAGTCATATATATATATGACGCAAAGAGCAATTTGTAGAAGAATTGCGAGTGATTCAGATAATTCAGATACGATTCTTCGCGGCAGGGGATCGTATTCCAGGGACCATAGGATTAAGGACTTGCCCGAAACGCTTCGCGTACTAGTGGCTGTACAAGAATGTAACAACTCTTGTATATATCTCAAAAAAAAAAAAAAATTAAAGCAGAGATATGGCGCACCAGGAGCCAGATTCACGAAAGCACTTACGCAAGTACTTACGAACCTGTACATCTTTTCTCAATCTTTGGCGGCTTTGTTTCCAATTATTAAACAGTTAATGAGTTCCGAAGCACCAGGCGGCTGTTTTTAACAATAACAACAGTTGAATGGGAAGTTTTCATGCTTGTAAACTGTTTAATAAATGTAACCAAAGCCGTCAAAGATTGAGGAAAGATGTACACGTTCGTAAGTGCTTTCGTGAATCTAGTGCTGGGTTTAAGGTTTATCTTAAGAGTAGGGTTCTAAAATTATTATTATTATTTATTGGATGGGAGGCAGTTGAAGCACGGAAGGAGTGTCTGGGAGACGGAACCTGGGCGCGTAATAGCAGGGATATTGAAGAGACCAACTACGCCTCCTGCAGCCAGAGGCACTATCACCTCTTTATATATTACTGGGAGGCAGCCATGCACACCTTCTCTCTCCTGGCTCTCTGTCCCGCCATCTTCATCATTATCTACTACAGGTGAGGACACCTAGTCTTCTCCCTCATCTTCTACTACACCTGGCAACTTCTAAAACACTTTCTCATAATCTACCACAGGTGGGTATCATTGCCAACCTCCTCATAATCTACCACAAGTTATCTTGGGGTTATCTTGAGATGATTTCGGGGCTTTAGTGTCTCCACGGCCCGGTCCTCGACCAGGCCTCCACCCCAAGGAAGCAGCCCGTGACAGCTGACTAACACCCAGGTACCTATTTTACTGCTAGGTAACAGGGGCATAGGATGAAAGAAACTCTGCCCAATGTTTCTCGCCGGCGCCCGGGATCGAGCCCGGGACCACAGGATCACAAGTCCAGCGTGCTGTCCGCTCGGCCGACCGGCTCCAGGTGGGTACACCAACTGCCTTCCCTCATAATCTGTGAGATAGCGGCATCCCATCATGCTAAAAGCTCTTCAACCAGGGACACTATTGTGCTCCCTAAGAATTTTTGCATTCCCTACTTGTTGCCACAAATAGCTTTTACGAACAGCCTGCATGCGCGCTGGAGTAGGTATGGCGTTCGACCACCACTTCCCTTCGTTTAAAATACACAAGCAAGCCACAACAGCGTGATGAAACAATGAGAAAGGGGGGGGGGGTATGATTATTGATATATCACACTATTGTGGTTTGCTCACGCGTTAGTAGTACAGTATTATAATGATGACCAGACCACACACTAGAATGTGAAGGGGACGACGACGTTTCGGTCCGTCCTGGACTATTCTCAAGTCGATTGTGAATGGTCCACAATCGACTTGAGAATGGTCCAGGACGGACCGAAACGTCATCGTCCCTTCACCTTCTAGTGTGTGGTCTGGTCATCATACTTTAGCCACGTTATTGTGACTCATCGCCTGCATACAGTATTATAAGACTGCTGCAGGAATAATGCTAGTGGTTGCTAAGCTGTACTTATCCTTGACCTCCTAACAGACAGCTTCGGGTTCAAAGGTTTTACCTGCATCTCAATTTCTTCTGCGCCCTCCTCGGGAAGGCTTTCTTCAATCTGCTGGACGTCCTCGTCCTGCGGGTGCCTGAGTACACGGGGGTAAGTGCGTGTTGGGGGCATGCTCGCGTTCACTAGTTTAAGTGCATAACTGAAGCTTTCTCATCAAAATGCCTCAACCGCTCCTCAAAATGCCTCACCCACTCACTGTATATACAAAATCACGTATTAATATAAAAAGTCAGGAATTGTAACGAAATCCGGATATTGTATATGATATGGGACTGACCCCGACCCTACTAATGATCCTCCACGGGCAAAGGGGGGGAGGTTACACATTTCTCTCAGGTTTTAGACCCTTCTCCACAGACCAACACACTGTTGGACGACAACACGGCTGGCTGCCGACTGCTGGTCTTCCTGACCAAGATGTGCAGCCTGGCCGTGTGGACCTGGATGCTGGCGGAGAGTGTTTACCTCCATCGCCTCATCGTCGCCGCCTTCAGGGGCGGTGGAAAGACCTATGTTTACGTTCTCATTGGCTGGGGTAAGTCTACGGGTCGATTAGTCGGAGTCTGTCACTTGATCTATAAAGGAATTAAAACTGGATTATTGCGGGATTACTGTGGGCGTTTTAGGAACACATGAGACGTATATTTATGACCTGCTTTTCTCTCTCTCTCTCTCGTGGTCAGTTCCCGCTGTTGTGTTGGGCATATCATGGGCTGTGAGTCGCGCCATAGTGGAGGACTACCAGTGCTGGCTAGGTGATGATCACAGCCACGGAGCCGACCTCTACCTCATCACTGAGTTACCCAAGATGATCATACTTATAGTGAGTTGACGTTTTGTATCCAACCTATCCTCATGGAGGATATGTCCCCTCATCGTAACCCGTTCGTAACTAGTTCTATTTCAGAACCACTACGTAACTAGTTCTATTATCTTCTCCCTATATATGATTAGGTTATGTGAGAGTTAAATTAGGCTAAAATACTGTATTATTCTCAATAGTGAGAAATATGAAATTCAAAACTGTTTAAGTATCCCCTAGAATTTGTTGGTTCCCATTACCGGAGACAGGAACCTGGTTAACGCTTATCGAGCTCCTCCTATAGACCCAAGGCCAACAACTGACCTGTCCCAAGATGCAACCCCACAACAGCTGCCTAACTCCCGGGTTGCTATTTACTGCTAGGTGAACAGAGACATCAAATGAAAGAAAACGTGCCCACCCCTTTCTACACTTCCCAGTGATGTGAATTAACTTGTACTTAGGACCAGGAAGACAACTTAAGATGTGTTTGTGTGACGCAGGTGGACGCGACGCTACTGGCCAACATGCTGAGAGTGCTCCTCACCAAGCTAAGGAACGTCAACAACGACACCTCCACTGCCACAAGGTATACATGGTGACCAGACCACACACTAGAATGTGAAGGGACAACGACGTTTCGGTCCGTCCTGGACCATTCTAAAGTCGATTGTGACAATCGACTTGAGAATGGTCCAGGACGGACCGAAACGTCGTCGTCCCTTCACATTCTAGTGTGGTCTGGTCATCATACTTTAGCCACGTTATTGTGACTCGTCGCCTGCACAAGGTATACACGTCTTTCTTCTTGTCAACTTACATTTCACATATGCATTTAGTAGGCATCCATCAGTCTCAGGAGACTATGGAGTTGCGCTCTGGTTCTCGGTCTGGAGTGGCCTCACCAGGGCGCAAAGCCAGGGTAGGTTGATTCGGGGGAGAAATTATTATTATCAGCACATAACCATCCCCCCTTCCCCCTTTTAACCCTGTCGTAGCTCAGTCGATTAAGGCAGTGTCTGGGATGCTCCCGGACGCAGTGTTCGAATCCTCGTCACGGCCCTTGTGGATTTGTTCATTTGTTTATCATTATCAGAATTGTAATGTTAGAGGGGAAGAAAGATATATACCGAAAGATATACACCTTTCCGTGTATATCTTCCTTTCAGATTCAGATTCTTTAGTCAGATAAAGGTAGATACATTGCAGATGAGTTATAAACATAATGTTGGATTTAAAGAAAGAGTTAGTACATACAATACCTAAAGCCACTAGTACGCATTGCGTTTCCCTCTAAAGGTATGAACTGGGATGCGAAGGTACCCAGTGTAACTGGGTACATGGCACGATACCCACATGTGTTCAGGTTTAAGATGCGTCTACCGTACAGTGAGGTAGTGGTCTCACTAATTGTTGTGTGGTTGGCTCTCCACCAGGCGTGCAGTGTAACTGGGTACATGGCACGATACCCACATGTGTTGAGGTTTAAGATGCGTCTACCGTACAGTGAGGTAGTGGTCTCACTAATGGTTGTGTGGTTGGCTCTCCACCAGGCGTGCAGTGAAGGCCACATCCTTCCTCCTGCCGATGTTTGGACTCCAGTTCTTCAGCACCATCGCCATTCCTCCAGACACCGTCAGCTGCTCGGCCATGCAGGTCAGCACACTCGTCCTCCACCCTCACTATCGCCCTTTCATTCTCATGTTCCCACATTCTCCTGATCATGCACGGTTCTTCCCTCTCCCTAGATTCTATTAACTTTTTTCTCATTCTATTTGGTTTCTCTTGTGATTCTGTAACCGAAGCCTGTGTCACTCTGGCTCACCTGATCTGCGCAGTCCATAAACCTCACGTTCGTGCTCTGCGCAGGTTCACCACAGTGTTTATAAGCAGTAGTGGTATTGTAGTGTTCGGACGGCACCGCTCCTGTGCCAGGTAAGTCCACTACGGGCTCACTATAGCCGGTGCTATTTACCCCGCTCCTGTGCCAGGTAAGTTACGGGCTCACCATAGCCCGTGCTACTTGGAACTTGTTCCGAGTAGCTGAATCTATAACAACAACAACATGTAGTGTTCGGTGCTGTGTTAGTTGGTAAGAACATGTCTTAAATGGTGCACAAGGTTGGTTATGGTTGTGGCAACTAGGAGGCCGATATTGGTGGTCTGTTCCGGAGGGACCCATGTTGGTGCCCTATTTTAGAAAGCCGGAGTATCATTTTCCTTATAAATGAGACCATCGTGCTGGAAAATATCAATGGCGTTACTTAGAAGCCAGGCTGTTGTATGTGTAAGTTGTTTCTACTTGCGGATGCTGTCCATGTCGATATGACGCCACAATCAACCCAAACATCTAAAAATATAGGAAGTGACGACGTTTCGGTCCGTCGTCAAGTCGTGATAATGGTCCAGGACGGACCGAAACGTTATTTCTTTATTTTTAGAGGCGAGGTCTTAGTGTCTAATTTTCTTTGTGACCTCACTATGATGTCACGTTATCCCGTCTCAGGTCTTGGATTCTATGTCCACAACTCTCTGAAGATCTAGGTATAAATACGTTTAGCTCTCCATATATTCTTTGCCAGTTTAAAACAACATCTGTATCATATTTAAAATAAAGACTCCATTATACCTTATTTAATATGTAATAAATGTAAACTATTCCATTTCTAAAATGCACGTTCTAATGTTCTCCAGATGTATAGCCTTGTGGCGTCAAGTCTGGATGGACTGCAAGGACTATATGTGGCCCTTGTCTACTGCTTTCTCAATAAGGAGGTGCGTAGCTTGCATGGTAGTACATGATTTTTAGTCTGTCCGTTATTCTCTTACTGCGTCTAACACTTCCCCCTCTCCGCTTCCCAGGTGAAATTACAAGTACGCCGCTCAGTCTATCGCCTCAGGGGTCACATTGCCCCGGACCGGTCTTATGGTACGTCTTACGACCCCCGCACGGACGTCAGCCTCCTGAATAGCGTCACCGAGCGGTCGTACGACCCCCGCACGGACGTCAGCCTCCTGAATAGCGTCACTGAGCGGTCGTACAATCCCCGCACGGACGTCAGCCTCCTGAATAGCGTCACCGAGCGGTCGTACGTCGCCTCTTACGATCCCCGCAAGGAGGACAGCCTTAATCACAGCTCCGCTGCCGCTACCACCACCATCATCAATCTCAGTACCCCTGCCGTCGCCACCTCCGTCCACGAAATCCTAACTTCCGTCGACGAAACACCCACTTCCGTCGATGAAACACCCACTTCCGTCGACGAAACACCCACTTCCGTCGACGAAACACCCACTTCCGTCGACGAAACACCCACTTCCGTCGATGAAACACCCACTTCCGTCGACGAAACACCCACCTACGTCGACGAAACACCCACTTCCGTCGACGAAACACCCACTTCCGTCGACGAAACACCCACTTCCGTCGACGAAACACCCACTTCCGTCGACGAAACACTCACTTACGTCGACGAAACACCCACTTCCGTCGACGAAACACCCACTTCCGTCGACGAAACACCCACTTCCGTCGACGAAACACTCACTTACGTCGACGAAACACCCACTTCCGTCGACGAAACACCCACTTCCGTCGACGAAACACCCTCTTCCGTAGACGAAACACCCTCTTCCGTAGACGAAACACCCTCTTCCGTAGACGAAACACCCTCTTCCGTAGACGAAACACCCACTTCCGTAGACGAAACACCCTCTTCTGTAGACGAAACCCTAACCTGCGTCTTCCGCACGAACGCCAATAGTACTAATAATAATTAATAATTTAATGGCAGACCATCATCCTAAAATTTCACTACTTAGAGCAACATATTGGTCAAAGTTACCACAATATGTTGCGAACTTTTTGTTGTGAACTCTAACACATTTTGCATTATTGAATTACCCCAAATGGCGCTCTTGAAAATCGGAAATACAACCAAAGAACCTAACCTAAACTACCCAAGCAATCCTAGGCCTAATAAACGCTATTTTAGGCCTAAAATAGCACATATTTGTGCTATAGGGGGCTTAGGAATGCTTAAGTAACTTTTTTACCCTCTTGTTGTCAAGACTATAAAATAAATACGTGAGGTTTGTTTGGATCCAATAGTATATATATTGGTACGTCTAACTTGAAGTACTGAGAAACTCAGTAACTTGAAGTACTGAGTACAAGTAAAGGCTATCCTAAAGGATAGCCTTTACTTGAGGTAAAGTACCTTAAGATAACCGTAAGAACTAAAATTTTAGGTTATGGCGTCATTATAGGCACTATCATTTTTGATGATAGGCTTCGCAATAAGATAATACTGCTTCATTAATTAATGTCAGCAAGAAGAAATATGTCATCATTCCAAAGGTACTAAAATACAATTCATTAATAAGCAAAACATTGTTGTAAATAAAATAAGTGATAAGAGATGGAACCCTCAGTCAGTGATGTAAAAAATAAAATTATTATTATTATTATTATTTACATAACCTAGCTCTATTATATCATTTGACAAAATACATAGAGCAAAAGAATTAATATATATATATATATATGTATATATATATATATTAGTATATTTTGGTAGCAGTCTTTCCTGTAGACATATATTATTAAATATGACCGAAAAAGTAAGATTAATAATTCTAACACGAATTTTCTCAATCTTTCGTACATTACGCTTCACTGTTGGAGGTAAATCAAAAATCACTTCTCCAAAATTCATTTTTATTTCTAGTCTGACGCGACACGGGCGCGTTTCGTAAAACTTATTACATTTTCAAAGACTTCACAAATACACAACTGATTAGAACGTATCTCTGATTTTATATCTACATTTGAGTGAGGTGGTAAGGGTGATGTGGCATTAACACAAGACAGAACAGGAGGGGATATTAATAGGGTATTAAAAGTATCAACACAAGACAGAACAGAAACAATGGGTATTGAATAGAAGTGTTTGTAGAAAGCCTATTGGTCCATATTTCTTGATGCTTCTATATTGGAGCGGAGTCTTGAGGTGGGTAGAATATAGTTGTGCAATAATTGGCTGTTGATTGCTGGTGTTGACTTCTTGATGTGTAGTGCCTCGCAAACGTCAAGCCGCCTGCTATCGCTGTATCTATCAATGATTTCTGTGTTGTTTACTAGGATTTCTCTGGCGATGGTTTGGTTATGGGAAGAGATTATATGTTCCTTAATGGAGCCCTGTTGCTTATGCATCGTTAAACGCCTAGAAAGAGATGTTGTTGTCTTGCCTATATACTGGGTTTTTTGGAGCTTACAGTCCCCAAGTGGGCATTTGAAGGCATAGACGACATTAGTCTCTTTTAAAGCGTTCTGTTTTGTGTCTGGAGAGTTTCTCATGAGTAGGCTGGCCGTTTTTCTGGTTTTATAGTAAATCGTCAGTTGTATCCTCTGATTTTTGTCTGTAGGGATAACGTTTCTATTAACAATATCTTTCAGGACCCTTTCCTCCGTTTTATGAGCTGTGGAAAAGAAGTTCCTGTAAAATAGTCTAATAGGGGGTATAGGTGTTGTGTTAGTTGAGATTTAAGGAGATTTAAGGAAATTCCTGTTTCATTTTCCTCCGTGGTCTGACATTGTCATATATATATATATATATATATATATATATATATATATATATATATATATATATATATATATATATATATATATATATATATATATATATATGACAATGTCAGACCACGGAGGAAAATGAAACAGGAATTTCCTTAAATCTCCTTTTTGTCACATTCTTAATCACGTGTTTATTTTCGTGAGATATATATATATATATATATATATATATATATATATATATATATATATATATATATATATATATATATATATATATATATATATATATATATATATATATATATATATATATATCTCACGAAAATAAACACGTGATTAAGAATGTGACAAAAAGGAGATTTAAGGAAATTCCTGTTTCATTTTCCTCCGTGGTCTGACATTGTCATATATATATATATATATATATATATATATATATATATATATATATATATATATATATATATATATATATATATATATATATATACTGCTTGTCCTTAATAAAATACGAGTCGAATTTAGGGTAAATTGAGAGATCATTGACAAGCCGCCGGTTTCCTGGCCTCGTCGAGGTCACTAGTGTGTCAGTGAGTCTCAGGTAAAATAAATGATTATTAAACAAAATGAATTCGAACCTAAAACGACCTACGTCACTCACCAAAGAAAACGAAGTTGGTGAACGGGTCGACAACCGATTATCTTCCCGCCATAATAATAGTTATCTCCGTCTCAGCTGAGTTCAGAAGGACCTTCATTATAAACAAACAAAACACAGCCCAACAACAAGAAGAAGAAGCAAGTACAATCCTTTAAACTCAAGCATCTTCATCTGCTGTGAGAATTTTCCAACCTGGATGTACCGTAAAGAAGATATCTAGGACGGGGACCTTCAACCACATTAGTCATTCTAAGACCAATGCCTCGCCTTAGCCTAGGTAGGTTCCTCAACTTAAATTCTTCAATGTACCTTCTTGTATATAAATAAATAAATAAATAAATAAATAATAAATTAGCCCTAGGCAGGCACCTCAGCAACTAGACAGTCCTGTGTAGGTACCTAGGAGAGGGGCTAGTCCTAGGCAGGATACCAAGGCTTATTACATATAATAATATGTACATATACACTATACACTTGTATTGAAGTGCCCTCAAGGGCACTTCAATACAAGTGTATAAGTGTGTACAAGATGTATGGTGTATATGGGCGAACTGGTGACCCTCCCCAGGATGCAACCCCCACAACAGTTGCCTAACTCCCTGGTACCTATTTACTGCTAGGTGAACAAAGGTATTAGGTGAAATAAAACATGCCTAACCATTTCTGTCCCGTCTGGGAAACGATCTTAGGATCTCTGATTGTGAGTCAAGATTGAAGCCATCTGTACTGTGAGACTCTTGCTATCCCATTGTTGTTGCTATCCCAGTACAGTATCAGTATCTTCCTCTTGTTTTATTCTTTTTTATGATTAATTTATAATATCCTATAATTCTAACAAATTAAATTAAGGAATATAATTGAATTTCTTAGTATTGTGGAGACTTGATCATGTAAACAGCTTTCTAAAGGGCCAAAAAAATTTAAAATGTCCTCAAAAATTAGATTGAATTGTCTATGCATAAATGTGTACTAATCTCAAATCCTCCAAACCGTTGTCAAAGTGATGCATCTGGAAATAGTGCCATTTGTCTTTGTATTTCTTGAAGCCAATAGCTAATTGAGGACTATTATGAAATAAACTTCGATCAAAATATAATTACAGTATACTGTACTTGTCAGACAAAGTTAAAATGTTAAAATTATTACCTTAATTGTCAGATGGTACTCTGTTGGCGTTTGCTCTTGTTATTTACTTATCAACTGAGGTGTCGGAATACAGTAAATCAAAGTTTTATTCAACTTGGTTCACTACACATCTGAAATAATACAAAAGCCAATGTGACAATTCAGTGGGAATAACAGTTGTTCCAATAATAAAATGCTGTACATATGTTCTTATATGAAAATACATAGTTTAATATATTTTCAAATACATTAAATTTGTCTAAAAATACAGACAGGATTACTGTACTGTATACATGTAGAAATATCTCATTAACCTTGATTCCTGTTGTTTCAAATACAGTAATTAGTTATTTCATTCCTAAAACAAGACCCTTAGACTCAGTTGTCCTACAATGCAGGTTAGCAGAGATGACGTTGGATAAGACATAACTAAGACTCTTGGAGACCCTCTTATGAACAGTGCCAAGATGTGACAGAGGGCGTTTGATCTGCTCTGATGATGCTATGTTGCTTATGAAACTGTTTTGCACAGGTGAGAAGTGAGAGTAAATGGTTTGTGTTATCTTTAGATGATTCCGAGGATCAACTTTCCTGCGGCTTGGTCTCTGACCAGGCCTTCTGGATGGTGGTCTAGTCAACTAGGCTATTAATATTTAATTGGTTATATTCAATATACATTTTCTGTCCCTACTAATTAACATTATCATGTTCTTAATAATTGTAATAAAAATATACCTATCAAGAATAATGGAAAATTTAGAAGGCCTATTAGTCCACTTTAGGCACATATTGTTGGTTGTATGTGAATAGCAACTTGTACACTTTTACCCTTCTTCTGGAAAGTTGAATATCCATTAGCAGACTGCAACTTCTGGGGTCCAACACTTTTTTGGTGGGGAATAGCAGCAGTGAGACAGGTCTACCAGTATCATTTGGTTGGCCTATTCTAGTTACAGTCACACAGCCTGCTTGTTATCATCATAATGCATTCACAAACTAAACAGTAGTACTACACTAGCCTTGGCATCGGTCCAGTAAGCCAGCTTAGTGCATGGATCAGATTGCATGGTTTCTGAGTCTTCCTGCTGCCTGACCTGGCTCAAGATTACCTCTCTCTCCATCTGGTTTTTGGATAATAGCCTTTCGAAGCCATTTCATGGTTCTTTGACTCACTGTTTCTTAGTGTCACCCATTCCTCTTAGCTGTGCTCAGGTTTTGGTGTTTGGGCGAGGCATTTGCATGGTTTAATGTCAATTTCTTGGGCCAGCACTTTGGAAGTAGTGCTTTATTTACATCCCTAATGCACTGCACTATAAGCTCTGTGGCATGCCTTATTAACCGAATGCTATTTTCCAATCCTTTTTGTGCATTGGGGTGGTTCTTGTGGGATAGGTAGTCCACTCTGCTCATGCCCTTTTCAGTCATTGCTGAGAGGCACATCTTCAGTGCTTGCCTAATTGAGTTGTAAGGCTAAAATACAAAAAGTGATATATGTGTTTAAAGGATTACTGCACATGAAAAATATGTTGCATGGGTACTAATATTGTATACAGAAACACTTGAGCTGTACAAAGCATTGAAGTTTTGTGAAGTCTCTGTACAAATGGGTTAGAGTTTTATGGTAAGGAGAGCATTCCCCTACCGAAATGTGTTTTAAAAGTAGTCCGCCCTAAGTGGTACATCAATAAGGAATTAGACCTATCTTTGCAAAACTCAAGCCAGTAAGAGCCAACATGCCATTGAGAGTAAGAATTTAAGTTGGATTTCTAGATATGGCAGATAATGAACATGGAACTCTAAATGTTCTGCAAATGTGTTGTGCAGTGTAGGTTGGAAGAATTAAATGAGGAAGACTGTTGAAGGAAGAATAAACTTACATGATTGTAAGATGTATATTGATGTACAGTGGAACCTCGAGTGACGAGTGGCTCCAGTTATGAGCATTTTGAGTAACAAGCAAGCCACTCGCAGAAAATATGTCTCGACTGACGAGCTTTTGCTTGAATAACGAGCGTTCCTGCTGGTTCTCAGACACCTCCGACAACAGTTTTGTTATTATTTCGCAAGACGAGTTTTCTATATGACGAGCTCGGTGCCGGAACAGATTAATCTTGTTAATCGAGGTGCCACTGTACGTGGTTGTTTGGTATTGTGAGGTGCATTGATGTGTATGTTTGGATATTATTGTAAGGTATGTATTGTATTTTTAGATATAATTATGAGATGTGTTGTCACCTGAATGTTTGGCTATGACTATGCCTCCTTGAATTACACCTCTGATATTCTTAAAATTACAGGCCTAAAGTAATTTGTTATAAAATGTATTGTCATATCTTTTCTTTCCAGGTGCATGCATCCTGGCCTTGATGTTCCAGTCATATCCCAAAAGAGTATGATGGCAAATGGAGCACAATATTCACTGAGCCTCAGGAGAGTGGCAGGGAGTATTCCAGGATGTAACACTAGTAGTACAGTGTGTGATTGAAAAACATCATGTTATGTGTTCTAGCTTCAGGTGAGAAGAAAAACTGGATATGGCTCTTAAATTAAATAATATGTTTACTGAAGCAGGTGAGGATCCTTTTGTAATACTGAAGTCTACTCTCATATGTTATCTTTTTTTAAAATTTGTTGTAAAGTATTTTGTACAAGAATCATGCTAAGAAAATTCCTAATTTTACATCAGTTTTGAATGCCATTTTGTCTCTCCTGTTAAGGATGATGTATATTATTCACTAGTATACTAGATAACTTGAAAAGGTAAATGACTGCATGTTTAGTAAACATGGCAAACCATGAAAGTGATTGTTACCTGTGTAACTTACCACTTGAAATGGGAGAACACTGTCAATGTGATAAATACAATGAAATACAGACGCACAATCAATCATCACAAATCTGTTCGAATGAATTGAAAGTTCAAGTTCTGCTACCAGATACCATTGAAAAACTGGAAGTCTCCAAGCCCGTACATTGCACTTCAGTGGAACGTACTAATGAACCTCATAAAGAAAACTTGGGGGAACCCACACGCAGGCCTTATAAATGTGATGAGTGTAATGCTAGTTTCAGTCGTTACACACTCTTGACAGCCCATACAAGAAAGCACAGGGAAGGTCCTCCATACATCTGTCATGACTGCAGCCAAAATTTTGAGAATGAAAATGACTGGTTAGATCACAAAGAAAGTGGATGCATAATAGCAGATACAAAATATATACAATCCCAGAAGAAACGGCAGCATTCACATTCTGATGCAATGAAGAAAAAGTTGTGTGACAAAGCCCCTAAGGAAAATCGTTGTAAATGTCGTCATTGTTCAAAATCTTTCAAATCTGTATGGATAAGGAATAATCATGAGAGAAATTTGCATGAAGGGTTACGACCACACAGCTGTGATGAATGTGGAAAGCAGTTTTATAGAAAGTTTAATCTTATTGTTCACAAAAGAAAACACAGTAATGATCGTCCACACGAATGCAAAATATGTCACAAAAGATTCAAGGCCTCTATTGGTGTTAAAGTACATATGGAAATTCACTCAGACAGGAGACCATTTATGTGTGAAAATTGTGGAAAAGTGTTTAAAACGCGCTCTATCTTGGAGTGTCATCGTACAATTCATACCGGAGAAACCAAGTTTAGTTGTACTGTGTGTGGCAAATCATACCGTTACCGAGCTTCACTGTTCATACATATGCGAACACACACAGGACACAGGCCTTATAATTGCAGTCATTGTAATGCCGCATTTATGGTTAAAAGTCATCTCACAGAGCATTTAAGAATACATACAGGTGAACGACCATTTGAGTGTGAGTTCTGCTCTGCGTGCTTTTCAAGATCCATCAGTTTAAAAAAACACTTGAAATCCCACTTACGTACAGTATTTGAAATGAATATAGATAAAGCAATGTACCATGCAAAGATACAGGCACACATTACACCCAGATTCAGTTTTCCAATTGCAAACGACAAACCCCAGCTGATCCCTAAAGTGACGCATTACATGAAAGACAATATATTTTTAGTAGCAAAGGAATGTGACTCGTTGAACCCTTATATGGAGAGCATAGTATTATATACCGATCCTCCAACAAATGAAATGGCATTAGTGGTTGTTGCAGTAACCAGCATTGGAGATGGAAGCACGTGTATCCATGAAATTACCAAATTATTACCTGAGCAGTCAAACAAATCAACAGCAAAATTAACAAAAAGTATAAATCTGGTTGAAATGAATAGCAACACTCAGGATCAGCAAATTTTACTTCTGAAAGATATACAGAACAACGAAACGCTTAATTTTCCAGATTTGCCACAAGTCGGTAATGTGCAAGAAGACATAGATACAATACCAGTCCTCTCCCTTCCTGATGAGACATCTAACGAGAATGTTATTGAAGAATCTGTGGGCCTTAACCATTTGTCAAGTTATGAATGTTATACAGGGAAGGCCAGTATAGATTCTCGGCTATGCAGGGATGATTGGATTGTATCCCAGAATAATATTGATGATACAATACTTAGGTCAGATCGTATTGGAATTATAGGAACAACATCTGTTGGGCAGCACAATGATCTACAAATTTATAGCATGAATTCTGAAAGACAAGAGAGTATTATAAACTTTACCTCCAATATAGATGTTGAATGTGAAAATGGAGTATATTGTGAGAAGATTGCTGGTACAATCCTTAATCACACCTCTGTAAAGAAGGAAGAGGTTCTTATGGACAACAAAATTAAAAGCATTCTGTTGAACCAGGATATTTCTATTGTTAGTAACTTAACAAGGGCTGATATAGAGGAACAGTCTAATACATGTCAGTTAGTTGCACAGTTAGATGGCCCTGAAACTGTGGATACATCGTATGAAAATGCAAAAATCAAATGCTATAAAAATAAAAGAAAACCTCTTAGAAAATGCCGGTATTGTGATGTATCTTACAGATACACAGCTCTGCTGGAAGCTCACGAAGCAAAGCATGAGCAGCAAACCAAAGAGTCTGTAAATACAGATAATGAAAATTCACTGGGTGAATACTACTTATGCATGTCATCCACCCTGGGAGAAGATTTGCCCTTCAGGTGTGAAAAATGTCACTCTTCTTTTTCATTTAGGAGTGAACTTAGAAATCATGTGAAATTGCATTCAAGCAAATACCATTATACATGCAAGAAATGTCATCAGGCTTTTCAACAGGAGGTCTTTTTAGCAAAACATCAGTGTGGGCGATCATTTCCAAACCCCTGTGCCATCTCCCATAACAGTCAGTCAATCCCGATGATTCCCGAAAGATCAAACAAGAACTCCGAAGTAGAATTAAAATATAAGTGTGATAACTGTGGCAAAGAGTTCCATAAAGAGTTTGCACTTAAAGTGCACTATAGAAAACATACAGGTAAAAGGCCATTTAAATGCAAAGATTGCAAAATGAGATTTATTTCTGCCAAACATTGTAGAATTCATAGACGAATTCACAGAGGTGAAGATGCGTATGTGTGCGAAACCTGTAATAAATCATTCAGATACAGAATAAATTTTCACAATCATATGAAAATGTGCCAAGCTATAATTGAAACAAAGACATGCAAGGATAACCCAAATAATAATATACAAAATGCAAAATTGTCTGACTTTAAAGTTAGTGATACAGTTAATCCAGAAAACATAATTTCTCCTTTACATAAACTTCAGGGTGAATTAATGGAGGATTATGCTGTTAAATTGGAACCTCAAGAAGTTGTAGGATGTTTGAAAGAAAAAATTGTAGATCATATCGATAAATTTGAGGTAGGAGTAAATAAAGATGAAATAAGTCTATGTGAAATACAAGAAAACTCTAGTGTTTATCATTTGCTTGGTAAAGATGTACTGGAAAATCTGCAAACAAACAAAGCAATGCCAAATGAATTGCAGGAGGGTCAATCATCAGAAACCATTGGTGGCATACATTTAGAAGCACCTCCAGATTTTCCAAATAACAAAAAAATCCAAGGATTGCTGAGATGTGAGCATTGTCCTAAAGTATTTAAGTTTAAAAGCATTTTGCATATTCATACAAGAAGTCACACAGGTGCAAAGCCATTTTGTTGTTCAGTATGTGGAAAATCTTTTTCTAAGAAGAGTAACATGGCGATACACATGAGAATTCATACCGGTGAACGTCCATTTTTGTGTGATTATTGTGGCAAATGTTTTACTTACAAATATACATTAAGTGCACATAAGCGTCTCCACACACAGGAACGACCATTTATTTGTGGAGTTTGTGGGAAAAGTTTTCGATATGAAGCTAGCAGACATGTGCATCTTAAGAGGCATGCAAATGATAGGGCATTCAAATGTGATCTTTGTCCAAAGGCTTTTGTTGCCAAAGTGGACATGGAAGATCACCGAAGAACACACACTGGTGAAAAACCATACAAATGTGAACATTGTGAGCGGAAATTTACAGTTCGTCACCACTTGACAGAACACCGAAGGCTTCATACTGGTGAGAAACCCTATAAGTGTCAGTACTGTACTATGACATTTGCTCGAGCTGCGACTCGAAAGATACATTTACAAAAGCATTTGAAAATAATTGGTGAATTTTTGTGAAGTATTTTTGATTTAATAGCAATGAAAAGTCCTTTATTGTGTTGATATGCAGGCAGTTTAAATTTCTTCAACGGATTTTTTTCTATACAGTACAATACCATACAGGGAGAGTCCGGTGAAACCTTTCATACTTTTACAGGATCCTGATGAAATCAATGAGGAGATCAGGGAGGCAAAGGTCAGGTGAGGTCAGAGAGGTGAAGGTGGGGTAAGGTCAGGGAGGTGAAGATGTAGGAATGTCAGAAATGCTGAATTTTGTAACTACTCTATATAGTTTTTAAGAAGCAACACCTCATGCACTTCAGTGATGCTGAACTCATCAAAGTAGGAAAATCTGTGGAGAAATTGTATGGGAATTCACAGCCAACAAATATTATGGCACCATTTGCAGAATGAATGAAAAATTAACATTGCTTTAACTCTTGCTGAATTAATACTTAAAAATGTATAAATTGCTACGCAGAGTCCCTCACGTCTCAGACTTCACCGCATTTTTGCATCTACGACATCACAGCCCTCCCCAACCCACTTTTTGCCCTTTATAAATACTTGTCCTGGTCATCTCTGTTAGAAGCCCTGACAAAATGTTAACTACAAATAAATTCTGTTCTGATCTTGGAGTTTCTGTACATGATTGTCAATAACCCCCATGTTGTCTTCAACTCTGATTTAAGTCAGATACACCAGGCTCCTGGGAGTCTTCATATACCACTGGCCGGATACACCAGGCTCCTGGGAGTCTTCATATACCACTGGCCAGATACACCAGGCTCCTGGGAGTCTTCATATACCACTGGCCAGACACCAGGCTCCTGGGAGTCTTCATATACCACTGGCTGGATACACCAGGCTCCTGGGAGTCTTCATATACCACTGGCCAGAGACACCAGGCTCCTGGGAGTCTTCATATACCACTGGCCGGATACACCAGGCTCCTGGGAGTCTTCATATACCACTGGCCAGACACCAGGCTCCTGGGAGTCTTCATATACCACTGGCTGGATACACCAGGCTCCTGGGAGTCTTCATATACCACTGGCCAGAGACACCAGGCTCCTGGGAGTCTTCATATATCACTGGCCAGATACACCAGGCTCTTGGGAGTCTTCATATACCACTAGCCAGATACACCAGGCTCTTGGGAGTCTTCATATACCACTAGCCAGATACACCAAGCTCCTGGGAGTCTTCATATACCACTGGCCAGATACACCAAGCTCCTGGGAGTCTTCATATATCACTGGCCAGATACACCAAGCTCCTGGGAGTCTTTATATACCACTGGCCAAATACACCAAGCTCCTGGGAGTCTTCATATACCACTGGCCAGATACACCAAGCTCCTGGGTCTCTTCATATACCACTGGCCGGATACACCAGGCTCCTGGGAGTCTTCATATACCATTGGCCGAATACACCCGTGGTGATTTTGGTGATGGTAATATCCTGATTATTTCATCTCCTAATTCTCATTATTATCTTTTCAGGATTATATCAGATGAAATAAATTATCACTTTTTGAGTCCGTGATATGTACATAATATCCAACAATGATTGTTTTACTGATCAATAAAACATCATTTAATGCCTCTACTAAATGTTGAGACAACTTCTTCAAGGACATAACTCGTGAATATTAAAAAGCATATCAAATTTTTTATGATGGCATGTATAATTTAAATAACATTGAATAAATAACATGTAAATGTTTTTTTGTGAACACTGTATGTATAGTTGACCAGACCACACACTAGAAGTTGAAGGGACGACGACGTTTCGGTCCGTTTCGGTATTATGTATACCATAATTTGTATTTATTATCCTAAGGTTTACCAACAAATATTATGTTCCAGCATTAACGTACAGTATATTTTGTGGGACGAACCTGACCAAAAACTGATACGCAAAGCAAGGCAAATATGATCAGGGAAGGGTTACAAATCATAAGTTATTGTTCATAGCAAAAGACTCATTTTTGCCTGCATAGCAAAACTGTATTTTTTGCTAGCTAAAGTCCAATTTTGCTCGTGTAAAAAAAACATCTGTCTTAAGTGTGACACAGGATCCTCAATATGGCTTGGGGGGTCCTAAGTATTGTATGTCCCGGGAAACTCACCCCTCGGGGCAAAATTTAATTTTTTTTTTGTCCTGGTATCATCAGCGTGACTCAGGGTTCAGAGTATGAACTGTGGGGGCCGGTGTGACTTGGGGTCCTAAGCATGGGCCCGAAGTCATCTGAAAGGTGCAGTTCTCAGTATTATCCACAGTTCTCAATATGAATAGCATCATTAGGGTGACCCAGATCCACAAAAGTAACCTAGTCTGTATCTACCTTGTTGGGCTTTACGCCCAGTGACCTATGGGAGGTCATTAACCCGAAGCGCTCTCTTTGATTTAGACACGTGGTGATTTCAACCAATAAACCAAAAAGTTAAGGAAAAAGTCCGTGTCTACCGAATTATACGAACAAAACAGAGAAAAGAGCACTACGTGTGAGTGAATATAACACAGATAGGGACCATGAGTCTTGAGTACAAACTGGGGCCCTGGGATGACTGGTCATACTGAGGACCCTGAACCACACTGACTACTATGGTTCACATTAAGGTTCTGGAATAATAGTAATGATCCTGGGTCGCACAAAGGTAATGGCGAGGCCCCGGGTGTTATGCTAAGGATCCTGGGATGTGCTGATGATCCCTGATCATGCTGTGGGCCCCCCGAGTCAAACGGAGAGCCCCCCGGGTCACACTGAGGGCCCCCGGGTCAAACGGAGAGCCCCCGGGTCACACTGAGGGCCCTCGGGTCACACAGAGCCCTCTGGGTCACACTGAGGGCCCGTGGGTCACACTGAGGGGGGGGGGGCCCCGGGTCACACTGAGGACCCTCTGGCCTCCTCAGTGTGTGTGTGGTGGCGGCTGAGCTGCCCTCCTCTCGTGATGAATGACAAACAGCCGCTTGTGATACTGTTACTGTGCCGTGGCCTCATAGTCGGAACTCTCACACTAACTCCGCCTACTCTCGTCTCTCACGTAGTCAAGCTTTATAACTCTGAGGTCATTATTCCCCGAAGATGCGCTGACAAGCGGTACAAACAGTAAACTAATATCTAATGCAGCACATTAGGCTACAGTGTAACCACAAGAATATATACACCGAAAAGTATACAAAACTGTGAATACGCACTGAAGTTCACTTTAGTTGTGAACCATGTTCAAAAATAAGGTGTTTATGCTGACCAGTCAATTAGCATTGTCTGTAGCCATAATAACTCCAGATGTTGATAGGCTTGTAATAAAAGAAATACAGCTATGTATAATTTTGCAGATCATAGTACAGTGTTTTGGGACTGTCTATATAGTGCTTCCCGAGAGCAATTTTACTGTAGCCTGAAGCAACAAGAATTTTAGAATTACATAATAAAATAAAAATATAAGAACAAAGGAAACTGCAAGAGGCCTATTGCCAAGGCAGCTCCAATTTATATCAACCCAAGCTCATCCATCTATATGTCTGGCCTGCCCTTGAAATAATCCAACGATCCCACGGCTATTATGTTACCCGGTAATTTGTTTTATAAATTAACAACCATATTTCCAAACACAGTTTTAAATATATCGATGAATATTAATGTCTCACAATTACGCATGTTAATTAGTACTACAGCAGTAAGACAAATGAATATATGATTGCATGCTGCGCTTCGAGGACTTCTGCTTGATATACAAGGGGGAACTGCCACCATGACAGTTGAAACTCTAGACCTGGAGCCAGATTCACGAAAGCACTTACGCAAACACTTACGAACCTGTACATCTTTTCTCAATCTTTGGCGGCTTTGTTTATTAATGAGCTCCGAAGCACCAGGAGGCTGTTTATAACAATAACAACAGTTGAATGGGAAGTTTTCACGCTTGTAAACTGTTTAATAAATGTAAGCAAAGCCGTCAAAGATTGAGGAAAGATGTACACGATCGTAAGGGCTTGCATAAGTGCTTTCGTGAATCTGACCCCTGGCGAATACGAGAGGCGGGTCCCAGGAGCTGTAGCAAGTAAACCAACGTAATACTATTGGCAGATAACTCTTGGCTCTCAATGGATCTTCATGGAGTCCAGTACTACTCATTGGATGGGTATGGAGTATGGACCCCATACCCAACCCGTGAGTGGTAGTGGACCCCATACCCAACCTGTGAGAGGTAGTGGACCCCATACCCAACCTGTGAGAGGTAGTGAACCCATACCCAACCTGTGAGAGGTAGTGGACCCATACCCAACCTGTGAGAGGTAGTGGACCCATACCCAACCTGTGAGAGGTAGTGGACCCATACCCAACCTGTGAGAGGTAGTGGACCCATACCCAACCTGTGAGAGGTAGTGGACCCATACCCAACCTGAGAGGTAGTGAACCCATACCCAACCCGTGAGAGGTAGTGAACCCATCCTGTGCATGAGTGAGTGTACTAGTCCACAGAAGCACATTTAATGAAACTCAAAAACTGAACCGTAAAGTGCGTTTAGATAAGCAATTTTCAGCATCGATGAGCAAGTTAGTTTAAAATATATACATCCTTAGACTTTTCACAGTTTGTCAAGCTAACGTCAGTGTGGTGGAGATAACTGACGAGAGAGCTACTCAACTTTCAAACCTATTCCATGATACAGAGACTAGATGCCGCAGCAGGGGAAGATAGAGGATAGGATATCTAGAATAGGCTACCCAGGCCATAGGCTACCCACCAGTCTCGTCATCTGTCGCCTCGGCTCAACTTCTCTGTAAAAACTATGTTGGGATGGTCTCAGAGTAGGGTTACACCCATGCCAGTCTCCTCCCTCCTTACATACACACACTACAGGGAGGTATACCCCGCCTCTCTCTCTCTCTGTTGGGATATATATATATATATATATATCCTATATATATATATATATATACATAGGTATATATATATATATATATATATACTGAGAGTGATTTTGTTCTGAACACAATTTAAAACGAAAATGTACTTGCTAGCTGTTCAGTCAATCAATGTGATGACTTTAACCTTCCAGAAGTTGATATGGGCTAAACAATCTTCTAAAGGTTGACAGGTCCTAACAGTCCTCCAGAGGTTGACAGGCCCTAACAGCCCTCCAGAGGTTGACAGACCTTAACAACCCTCCAGAGGTTGACAGGCCTTAACAACCCTCCAGGGGTTGACAGGTCCTAACAACCCTTCAGGGGTTGACAGGCCTTAACAACCCTCCAGAGGTTGACAGGCCTTAACAACCCTCCAGAGGGTGACAACCATTTCTGTCTCGCCCGGGAATTGAATCCAAGATTCCCGATTTTTAATCGAGAACGAAACCAATTGTGCTACAAGTTTCCTATGATGCACTTTGTCCTTCTATTTCGAGAAACCTCCACAAATGCCAAAGTTAATGCGCATCTTGGTTCGAATACCGTATAAAGAAATCCTATCCGACAGAGCCCGACGTCACAGGACAGCGTAGTGCAGCCACATTCCCATTGTCTCATCCCAGACCAGTGAGCAGGCAGACGCCAGTGAGAGAGGTGGGTACATCTGCTCGAAACATATTTTGGTAAGGGCAGGCGAGAATTCCGACTGTTTAATAAGTTTCTCGCGTGAATCGGTCCAAACAACAACTTCCGTCAATCAATTACTAGTGAAAATATTATAGTATAAAAAGCGTGCGTATCATGTATGCAAATGAGACAAATGTATTTATATTGTTCACATATATCCCCATATGGTATATCGTATCGAGTTCATGGCATATAAATATGGACAAACTCGTTCCTAAAAGTAATACTATACGCGTCTGTTGAGTCATTTAGTATGAACTCCATACCCATCCTGTGAGTTAGTGAACCCCATATACCCATCCTGTGTGTAGTAGTGAACCCCACATACCCATCCTGTGAGTTAGTGGACCCCATATACCCATCCTGTGTGTAGTAGTGAACCCCACATACCCATCCTGTGAGTTAGTGAACCCCACATACCCATCCTGTGAGTTAGTGGACCCCATATACCCATTCTGTGAGCGGTAGTGGGAAAAAAAGTTAGTCGCATAATGGGTTCAGAAACTGTACCCTACACGCGTACATCATTGTCTTGTGTAGCCGCTTGTAATCCGAGAAAGTTTCCCTAACATCAGTGCCGTCATATCCAGAGGGTTTGGGGCGTTGGAGTAGGAACACTGGCGGGGCGCCAGTCAAGCTAGCGCGTACACTGTAAGATCATCTTTCCGGTAAGGCCTATTAATCCTATTTCCTCACAGTCTGAATTTATTTCCTATTCACTCTGAGCAGCTTTAAATGTGTTTATGTATTATACAACCGTATATTCCCATCCTGTGAGTTGGGGTGGAAAGGTTACAGAGGCATATATGTATGCATATATATATATATATATATATATATATATATATATATATATATATATATATATATATATATATATATATATATATATATATATATATAATCATAAATTTAACACCAGCATTCATAAGTCAGCCCGTCCTCCTAAGGTTTCACAACGTCAAGAAAACGGTCAATTTAAAGTGTCCTCTCCTAACCAACCAGAGGACCCACAACAGAAAACGAGACAGTACATCACTTTCACGACCCGCTTCCATTTTCAAGTAAGACCATTTTTGGCCTTATGTAACGCATACGATCGAAATGCGACGTTCTTTGTAAGAGAACAGGTTGCATAAGCATAGTTTGGTTTGATATTGGGCTTAAGGCCAACGCAAAACCTAACTAACCAACCAGCGAGTATACTTTAGTTCTGAACAAAGTCCAGGACATAAACACTCGGTGCATATATATCAAGAAGCAAGGTAAACCTCTGCGTGTATATATACACTTTTCAAACGCTGTTATCCAATACAACAGCATCATTCTCATCTAATTAAATGGTACTATATTATAAAAAAATATATATATATACCCACTGTAAAAAATGTAATCAGAGCCTCAATTATTTTGTAATAGTAATATAATATTATGCTGCTCTTCTGATACATAATAAATATTCTTATAATATAAACATCCCGGGTATACTAATTTTTCGTCTAGATCTTTAGTCATAGTCAAATAAGTCTCACGTTTTCCAATAATTGTTTTCAATATAACAGTTACACTTTACTGGTTTTCCTGAGTGTAGGCCTACTAGGGACTATCCATGCAGATAATATATGTTAGTATACAGTAGCAGTATATAGTAGCTGCAAAATACGTGTGGTAGATTTTATTAAACGAAATAGATATAGGCCTCCATGATAGGCTTTCCGCTGACTTCAGCAAATGTTAGCGTTTGAAAAATTTAATCAGATTTTGTGGTGAATTTAATGTTTTTATTTTTTGTTCATAACTAAACATTTATTTTGGTTCATTATCATGTTAAAGTTTAGTTATGTAACTTATAACTTTGTAATAGCCAAGCATTATAGAATATCTGATCAAATCTTAAATTCATTTATTGTTAATAAATCCTCAATATTTACCAGAGCCCCCCCTTCCCCACCCCCCTCTCTCTCTCTCTCCAGCAACAGACAAAAAATACGATACTTCATATAATCAAGATCCAGCTCCTGGGCGATGGCTGCTTTCACGAGGAAAATTGCCTTTTGCATGGTCGTGTGTTGGACCGTGGTTGCCATAGAGCCAACCACGGTCGACACCGCTTCAGACAAGAACCTCTGCGCCATGACAGAGGTGCTGGTCGCCATGAAGGGGCTGTTGGTGATGCTTAGCGGTGAGATTCGTGAGCTGAAGAAGCAGGTGCATGACAGCTGTCAGGCCGGCGGTGGTGGTGTGGTAGTGGTGGCCCCACCCGAGGACCACACCCCGGCCAACGCCACGGTTCCCGAAGACTTGTACCACAAGGACGAAGATATAGGTATTTTATAAGTTCCAGTTTTATGTTGATTTAGCTTTATTGTCCCATAGTTAGTGCCGTGGCCAGTGACCAGTCAGAACCAAAGCCAGTGTCATGGCGAGTACCAGACCCAGAGTTTGGTACTATATACATATATACATACATACATACATACATACATACATACATACATACATACATACATACATACATACATACATACATACATACATACATACATACATACATACCCCCTGTCCGTCTTTTGAACTTTACTTTTGTATGTAAATGACGGTAAGACTGATGACCTTTTCTTGATATGATATTGACAACAAATCGTATAGTAACTGCATTGACTTACATTACAAGCGTTGTAAACGGTGAATAATAAGCTATACCGATAAATGACGACCAATTCATAATCAAACAAAAATTGATCAGTAGAGGAACACAGATAAAAGCCTGACTTACCTTTTTGTATTCACTAATGGTGTTAACCTCCACCCAGCAGTCACATAAATGAACTAGGCTACACTATTCGACTTTGCACATTACCTGTACAAATTAGCAGTGGGATGATTGGTAGCGTGACGTTGATAAGAGACTATAATCCTCTACGCGCACTTCTGAAACCATTTCTATGCGCGGGGTAACACGAAGACAAGTCCTCCCACTATGACAGACAACGCTTGACTGACCGACCTGTCCACGTGTAATACAATACACTCACCTCTACACTCATAACTATCCCAACTGCCTAATTAGCCTATAAATGTGCATTTATTTTGTTTTAAATAAATCTGTGCTCTAAGGCTAACTTGTAGTAAATCAAGTCATTCGATGTACAACTCCTTTCGGCAGACTCGAACGAGTTAGCATTTTTTTTGCGAAAAACCTACATCTACTACTAATCAAAAAAGGCCTCATTAACAAATCAGGCTTCGTTAACTCGTCACCAAGTTGTTAAAAATGACGTAAAACAATCTTTAGTAACATTTAAATCCGTAAATGTATTTTTCATATATTATATTAAAGGCTTGCTACGTCAGCACAGTATATTAAACAAATTCTCAGACCTTGAGGCTCTGAGAATACATGTTTTTATGTACCCATCATCCTGTTTAGATAGTACTTTTGTAACTATGTGAAGCATCGTACATATATTGACGTAATGGACAATTAGATAGTCGTATTTGGTACTATTCCCTTTATAGACCCCGGAAAAATTAAAGGTAAAAACCTGCAAACTTAAATATTGCTAGGCCTAGTATAGCACCATATATGTATTATATTTAACAAAATTAAGATGGCAGTGTAGCCATGCTATTAATTAAATCATACTTAAAACTGAGACTAAAAGGTACATTGGATATTGCAAATATAAATTAACAGTCAACGTAATATAAATAACGTAGCACTTTGGAGCTTGTAAACTGTTTACTAAATACCGACTAAACCACCATAATCAAGGTTAAGAGACATCCTCAGTGGACATGTAAGTACTCTTTGAGTCTCTGATAGTTATGTGTTACAGACCTACAGGAGGAAGAGGAGAACGAGACCCCGAGCATCACCAACATTACATCCACCACCAACACATCCACCACCAACACATCCACCATTGCCACCACTGAACCCATCCTCGACTTGGATTACGAGGACTACGATTCACCTGAAGGTGACTACAACAACCCCGTCAACGACCTGGTGAGCGGCCTCTCCTCATGGTGGCAGAGTGTGTCGATCTTCGCCCCCAAGCCTACTGGCTCGCCCAACACCACTACTGAGCAACCCGACGCTGGCGACCAAGACCTCAGAGCTCCTGACGAGGATCAGCAGCCTACCCGAACTTCTCCAGCGCCTCCTACCACCACTACCACTACCACCACCACTACCACTACCACAGAAACTCCCCTCTCCTTACCACCAGTCCGTAAGTAGACTATGCATTCTCAAACACCTTGTATCCTAAATAATTGAGGTATGAATTCAAATTACCCCCCCACCCATTTTTTTATAAAACTTTACTTAGTATAAATTAATAAATCTATTCACGTATTCGCCATGTTTGTCTCAGACGAATATTTTTGTCACTTAAATTAATTTACATATTAAAATGCTACTCCTCCCGTGTGGATTCAATTATAGCTGTGAAAACAACAATACAATATAAATGGCTTTATGTGTTTAGTGATTAGTCTCTATTTCAACATTTTGTCGGTGATTACCAACGTTTGGGTTATCTGGACTACTTTTTCGTGTGTTACTGTGATGAATGGTTTAGAGGCCTATCTGTACAGCAAGTTGTTTGACAAATCTTGGACTGAATATTTGTTTCCTGTATGGCTGGTTTGGTGTTGGGCTTAAGACCTCTCAAGCCCCCAAGGGTTACTAAGGCTTATCAAGTTATGTAGAGTTATTCAGGCTTATCTACCTCTGGAGAGTTATTAAGGCATATCAACCTCTGGAGAGTTATTAAGGCCTATAAACCTCTGCAGGGTTACTAAGTCTTATCAAGCACCTCTGGAGAGTTATTAAGGCCTATCAACCTGAGTAGAGTTATTAAAGCCTATCAACCTCTGGAGTTACAAAGGCCTATCAACATTTGGAGAGTTACTAAGGCCTATCACCTTCTGGAGGGTTACTAATCCCTATAAACCTTTAGAGGGTTACTAAGGCCTATCAACCTTTGGAGGGTTATTAAAGCCTATCATCCTCGGGAAAGTTACTAAGGCCTATGAAGCTCTGGAGGGTTACTTAGGCCTCCACAACAGCTTACTGTCCAACCAGCAAATATACTTTAGTTTTAAAGATAGTCCAAGCCTATATTTAATTCTTAGTGCATATACACCGAGAAGCTGGATACACTTCTGTATACATAATCCCTTGTGTTTATCCAGTTTCAAGTAAAGTTGACAACTTTGTTTAGCAGGATTTGCATTTCACAAGTCCACGTTGTTATGTGGCGTTCTAACGAGATAAAATAAACAAACTGGTCTCTGTCATTGTAGCGAATACCTGTCCAGAACCGTTCCGTCTTGAAGCTGAGAGTTGCTTCCTGATACTTCACGACCAGAGGGACTGGAAGTCATGGGGCGACGCCCATGCTGTCTGTCAGAACTACGGCGGGGAGCTGGCCGCTCCCTGGAGACTCGCTCCCCTTCAGGAGTATCTCTCTCGCTATTATTGTGAGTATTATATATTTATTACTTAGATCTATTAATAGATCATCTATCAAGAGTATCTCTATTACTGTGTGTATTGCTTCTCACTTTCTCCTTCACTCCAAAATATATATATATATATATATATATATATATATATATATATATATATATATATATATATATATATATATATATATATATATATATATATATATATATATATATATATATATATATATATATATATTGTTGAAAATAACCGAAAGGGTAAGATTAATGATTTTAATACGAATCTTCACGATATTTCTTACATTTTTTTTCACTGTTGGAGGTAATTGAAAAATTAAATCCCCAAAGTTAATTCTTTGATAATTGACGAATTTGAAGATTCGTGTTAGGAATCATTAGTCTTACCCTTTCGGTCATATTCAACAACATATACAAGAAAGACTGCTACCAAAATATACTAATATATATATATATATATATATACTGTATATTGATACTCCACCATAACCAGAGGTAAGGAAATGAAAGAACTGATCACTAAAGACAAATTCTTGATAATTTCAGCCGATGCATTCTGGGTGGGCGGCCGCCAGAACCCCAACAAACGCTCTTCTTGGCAATGGTTATCTGGAAGGGAGGTTCAGAAGAATGAATGGAAACCAGGACAGCCGCAGAAGAACCCGGGCAAGAAGTGTATGTTCCTTGATAAATGGTCGGGTTATCATGCCAAAAACTTTTTCTGTGGTGAAAAGTATCCCTTCATCTGTGAATACCGCGCGGTATAAATCCAGCAAAAGTTATGTGTTGAAAGTCAATAGATAAGACTCTAAAGGTTCCAAGCACAATGGTATTTTGTTCATTTGGCTAATATATTTCTAATAAATGTAATATTGAAAGATTTCATTAAACTTAAATTATTTTCAAATTATGTTTCTCTAATGCAAAGATACATAGATTTGGATTTATTGCTTTGATAAAGGTCAAAAAGTATAACCTGTTAACAAGTCAAAATTTGTACAGTGTTTCGTGAATATGAAATTTATTTTACTGTTGTTGCTAACATTAGAATAAGATCATTTGTTAATTACTTTTAACGTTATATACAGCTATCGTATATTATGATTTTAATGCAGGTTCAATTAAGCTTTCAGTTTTTTTACAGAGATTATCAAAAGTTTGAAGGAAATATGTATGTTTAAATTTATATACCAGGTGCAAGATACATCGAAAATATAATTAGCGTATGAAATCACAGAATGATAATTAATTAGATAGCTTCGTACTATGCAAGTCAAGACAACCTTTAGAGTGTTAACGAACTACCTAGTAGATCCTGTTTACCTAGTAGATCCTCTGTTTACCTAGTAGATCCTGTTTACCTAGTAGATCCTGTTTACCTAGTAGATCCTGTTTACCTAGTAGATCCTCTGTTTACCTAGTAGATCCTGTTTACCTAGTAGATCCTGTTTACCTAGTAGATCCTGTTTACCTAGTAGATCCTCTGTTTACCTAGTAGATCCTGTTTACCTAGTAGATCCTCTGTTCACGCAGTAGGTACCAGCCAACTGTTGTGGAAAGAGTAAGCCTATCGAAAAGAGTAAGCCTGCAAAAAATGTACATGGGTGAATGTAACTAAGAGAGATGGGGATGTCGCCAGAGTATGGTATACTAGGAGAGTAGTGCTGGTATACTAGGAGAGTAGTGCTGGAATACTAGGAGAGTAGTGCTGGTATACTAGGAGAGAGCAGATCTGAGGCTCACCGCGGTGAGTGTGTAATACCTTGTGGTTACCTTGTGATGGTTTCAGGGCTTAGCGTCCCCGCGGCCCGGTCATTGTCCAGCCCTCCTGGTTGCTGGACTGGTCAACCAGGCTGTTGGACGCGATTGCTCGCAGCCTGACATATGAGTCACAGCCTGGTTGATCATGTATCCTTTGGAGGTGTTTATAGAGTTCTCTCTTAAACACTGAGGGGGTCGGCTAGTTATCCCACTTATGTGTAGTGGAAGCGTGTTGAACAGTCTCGGGCCTCTGATGTTGATAGAGTTCTCTCTCAGAGTACCTATTGCACCTCTGCTTTTCAACGGGGGTATTCTGCACATCCTGTCATGCCTCCTGGTCTCATGTGGTGTTATTTCTGTGTGCAGGTTTGGGACCAGCCCCTCGTTCTCAATAGTTTAGATGCTTTACTGAGTGGATTCTATCAGTAAAGAATTTCTGCACGCTCTTCAGGTTAGCAATTTCTCCAGCTTTGAAAGGAGCTGTCATTGTACAACAGTATTCTACTCTAGAGAGCATTAGCGTCTTGAAAAAGTATCATCATCGGTATAGCATCTCTGATTTGAAAGGTTCTTGTTATCCAACCTGTCATTTTTTTTGCAAATGTGACAGCTACTTGATTGTGTTCCTTAAAGGTAAAGTCTTCCGACATTAGTACACCCAAATCCTTTACATTGCCTTTTCAAAGGTAAACTTCAAATTGTAAACTTCTATGTTACGATTTGACTGCGTTTTCTACGTGGTTTCCGGTTTTATATTTTCTTTTTTTGTCCATAGCGCAGGAGCTGGAACTTATCTTCATTAAACACCATATTATTTTCTGTAGCCCATAGAAAGACCTGATTTACATGTTTGCCGTGACCTCTATGTTGTCTACTCATAAAAATCCTAGTGTCATCTGCAAAGGATGATACAGTACTATAGATTGTGTCCTTGTCTATGTTCAATATGAGGATGAGAAAAAGTACTGGAGCAAGCATAGTACCCTGAGGGACTGAGCTCTTCACGGTTGATAGACCCGATTTTATTTTGTTGACTATTATGCATTGGGTTCTGTTAGTCAGGAAATTGAAGATCCATCTGCCTATTTTCCAGGTAATTCCCTTTGAACGCATTTTGTGTGCAATAACACCATGGTCACATTTGTCGAAGGCTTTTGCGAAATCTGTAAGTTACATCAGCGTTTTGTTTGTCTTCCATGGCATCTAATCCCATGTCATAGTGGTTCAGCAACTGTGACAGGCAAGAACGCCCTGTTCTGAACCCATGCTGTCCATGTTTATAGAGATGCTGTGATTCCATGTATTTTGTGATCTTACTTCTTAGCACTCTTTCAAAGATATTTATGATTTGTGATGTTAGTGATATCGGTTTGTAATTGTTCGCCTCTGTCTTATTTCCTCCTTTATGGAGTGGTGTTATCTCTGTTGTTTTTAGTATGTCAGGGATGACGCCAGGAGACGATAACTTAGCGCCTAATCACATACATCACCAAAACCTGTCATCCAAAAATTATATTATACATGAAAGTACAAAACTATGATTTGCTGTATCCCCAAAAAGGGACCACTTTCTGTATCGAAAACACTGTATAATATCCCTATTTTCATATATTTACATGAAGATATTGTTGGGTGAAATAAATTAAATTAGTTTTTATTAATTCATTAAGCATTGTAGCCATTGCTAAAAAAAATAGCCATTGGCTACTTTTTTATTTATCTATTATTTTGTTTATTTATTTATATACATGAAGGTACATTTGGTTGAGAACACCAACCAAGATACACTGAGGGGTTGAGTGCTACATTCTTGCATACATCTAGATACACTGAGGGGTTGAGTGCTACATTCTTGCATACATCTAGATACACTGAGGGGTTGAGTGCTACATTCTTGCATACATCTAGATACACTGAGGGGTTGAGTGCTACATTCTTGCATACATCTAGATACACTGAGGGGTTGAGTGCTACATTCTTGCATACATCTAGATACACTGAGGGGTTGAGTGCTACATTCTTGCATACATCTACACATTTATATATACTACCTAATATATATATATAATGATATTCAAATATATTAACTAGTCAGTAAATAATTATATTATTATGACAAAGTTATTGACATAACTTCGTAAACACTCAAAAATGTATAACAATATACTATTTGTAGACAATACTGCAATGAAAATAAAAAAATATATATACTGTATATACCATATGTAGAATACGCTGCTATGAAAATCAATAAAAATATTTCACATGTAGACTACGCTGCTATGAAAATCAATACAAATATTCTACATGTAAATTACATTCCTGTGAAAATCATACAAAAAATATTTTACATGTAAACCACGCTCCTGTTAAAATCAATAAAAATATACCCTCTGAAGACTACACTTCTGCAGTCATTAATTAAAATGTACCATATATACTGCCTCAGTAAAGACGTGACAATAGTGTAGCTAAAACAAGACAACCCACACGTTTGCAATAAAAACTATTAGCGACGTTTCAGTCGTTCTCAAACCCATTGCCCGAAAACGCTGTGCGTATTAGTGGCTTTAGGCATAGTGTGTAATAGCTCTATCTAGAAGTCCAACATTATGTTTGTAACTCATTTTAAATGCATGTACTTTTACCTAAATAAACATTATCTTATCTATCATTGTTGGTATAACAATTTCATCAAATTGTGTAACGTGGTTATCAAGGTTGTAAACTTGCTTAGCTAAATGAATTTTGAGGTTCAGTTCCTAAGATTGGCGCCCAACCACTTGGGCTGGATGGTGGTAGAGCGACGGTCTCGCTTCATGCAGGTCGGCGTTCAATTCCCGACCGTCCAAGTAGTTGGGCAACATTCCTTTCCCCCGTCCCATCCTAAATCCTTATCTTGGCCCCTTCCAACTGCTATATAGTAGTAATGGCTTGGCGAGTTCCCTTGATAATTTTGGTCGGTCCTGAAGCCTCTCAAGTGGCAGGTTTAGATCACTTTAGTTAATTTATTGTGCACCTCACACCCATCCTGTGGGCGGTAGTGGAACCATACCCATGCTGCAGGCGGCAGTGGACCCCCATGCAGGCGATGAGTCACAACGTGGCTGAAGTATGTTGACCAGACCACACACTAGAAGTCGATTGTGATCGACTTGAGAATGATCCAGGACGGACCGAAACGTCGTCGTCCCTTCATTTTCTAGTGGGTGGACACCCATCCATACCCATCCTGCGAGCGGTAATGGAAAAAGTGAAGTTACAAAGGCCAATTTACCCGTCTTCAGGTCTGGCTCAGGAGGTGCACAATAAATTAACTAAAGTGAACTAAACTTGCGACTTGAGAGGGTTCAGGACCGACCAAAACATCATCACTTGGGTTATAGACAACGCTACTGTGCAAATATTACGCTAATGGCAACTGATTTCACAATAGACAGATTAATAAACGATGTTTTGAAGGAGACTTAAAATCTAGATATCACATACACTGATCGTCAAGAGCTTGGCAGAAATGTCTACCTTCTCTTCTGCGTGGACTTTTTGACGAGATGGCGACAACCTCTCCCTATCGAGGACCCCAAGAGCTGGTGGCCCTCAGGTAAATTATGAATCTAGTCAAATAAAAGCAAGACAATCACACAATTTGAATGGAATAAGTTGATCCATATTTCTGCAACTCCTCCAATCCGACTGCAATTTCATTCAAACTTTTCCCTGCACTTTTCACTTTGTGTTTAACTAACTTATAATAAAAATGTATGGCAAACGCTGTAAAAATAATGAGAAACGGCACCAGTATCGTTGTTGAGCCAACTGCAGCATTTCGCGAGTAATCCAGGAATTTAATCCAACTCAGAAGACCCATAAAGACCATAAATATCAGGAGTCCCAGAATATTTGACATGATCCATGAAGCCTCAATGAACCTGTAGATGAAACAATCGTGTCACTTCAGTAATAAACACAATATGGCTATCATATAAATTCCCATCCACACTTGCGTGGAAATAAATATTCCATTCACCTGTATGTGTCTCGAACCCATACAGTGACTATCAATAACCAAACCCACAGATTTGAAAAGAAAGGAAACCCAGGAGGCTAAAAAAAAAATTGAACAATTTGGATCAAAGTTTTCAATGTTGATTCGCTATTACATTAACGTCGACTTCCCGGATAAATAACGACGTTTCGAGGCCTGTTTGCTCACGTCGACCTGCAAATGGGAATGTACAGCAGTCGCTAAGTAATGATGTACACCGGCCTGTAAATTATGTACATCGGCCTCTATATAACATACACCAGCCTGTAAATGATGATATACACACTGGTCTGTAAATGATTATATACACAGGTCTGTAAATGATGTACACCGGCCTGTAAATTATGACATACACTGATTTGTAAATGATGTACACCGGCCTGTAAATGAAGATTTACTCTGGTTTGTAAATGATAATGACTCAATTGTTCTCCAGAGAATATACACAAGAATTGTACTCTGCTATTTCATATGACGTTACAAATCCTCAGCTGTAACGCTATTAACACTAGGCTTCAAATTGAGGACTGAAGTCATCTTGCTAGCCTAGCAATTACATCTATCATCCTCATACAATCCATTTACAAAAATTACTAATCAATTCTGGAACTAACCCGTGCATTTTAATGTGAGGCGATTCGGAAAAATTGCCCTTGGAGCCGTGCAGGTTTCCGCCGGAGTCTACGATGCCGAGAGAGACGACGATATCGACATACGGCAGGATGCAGATGGAGATCATGAGGGCCAGCAGATGCACGGACACCATCAACACGACACACACGCTGAAGGCAATTACAAGACCGTCTGGCAAGTTGGTGCATTTTCCTTCCGGCCGAGGGCCGTCAGGATCGCATCTGTCTATCAGCTGCAGTTCCACAATGGCTACCTAAGAGAGGGGGAAAGAAATAGCCTAAGCTACGCTATTCCTTTGGGATGTATTTTATTGTCTAAATAAACGTACTTGAACTACCTAAAGAAAAAGAACGAAGCGTCAGTTAATAATAATAATAATAATAATAATAATAATAATAAATTAGAAAATCAGTAAGAGCCAAGGGGAAGGATTCAAACCTATATCTGCATTGGGTTCTCCCAAGCAATGATTTTCTCCTTGATACATCACGGTAATGTGATTTCTTTGTGCAATAATAATGCACTTGTGCTCATCAAAATATGGCAGTGAATGTTCTCACGTTTGCTAAGGCAACCCACAACAGTTACAGAGCTCTCGGGTACCTGTTCAGGCCCATCAGGTGAAAGGAAACGTGGCCAAATATCTCCGCCCTGCCAATTATGAAACCAACAGCAGCTGACCTGACGCTGGATTGTGACACCAGCAACGCCCATGACACCGGATTATGACACCAACAGCACCTATGATATCAACACCAGTTGACACGACTGTTCACTGCTAGGTGAACAGTCATAACTTGACATTGAATTATGACATCAACAGAAAGGGACATGACACTAAATGTTGATCATGACACTAAATAATGACACCAACAGCAGGGGGACTTGACTGAAAAATCACACCAACCATACATTCATGTTGAAAATTAATACAAAACTGTTATCAAAGAAATCAAACACAAATCAGTTCAAAAGTAAAATAATGTACTAAAATCCCATCATCAACTTCAAGTAAGTTTTTTAGACAATAATATACATTCCAAAATTATAAAATATAGAGTAACTTGGGCTAAAATAAGGGGGGAGGGGGTTCTAGGACGGCCGATCCCTAGTAACACGCCTAACCTCACCAACCTATACATAGAATAAGTGGAGTGTTTACATACTAGAGCAAAGCCGCAGATGAGTCCGGACGTTTCTCTGGTAGCTTTTAGCTTCGCACGACTGAGATTAAGCTGTCTCTGGAAGAACTCACCCATGATTCCTCGCGATCACACCAAACAAAATGGAATCTGCGAATACAAAAAAAAATCATTTTAATGTAGAATTTGCAATTAAATGTATCTTGAAATTTCCACTTGCGTGCGTATCTGTGTAATTACCTAAGTGTAGTTACAGGATGAGAGCTATGCACGTGGTGTCCCGTCTTCCCAGTACTCTTTGTCATATAACGCTTTGAAATTATTGACGGTTTTGGCCTCCACCGCCTTCTCACCTAACTTGTTCCAACCGTCTACCACTCTGTTTACAAATTTATTTACTTAATTATATGTGTTTACCTATCAGTGCCTGCGGATGATTGAGATCTAGCTCTTTATGCCCCGCTTCCTATCCGTTTACCTGATGCACTCATTACACCTGTCAACATTAATGTTTTCATTATATTTTTTCTTGAAGTTGTGGATGAAATTTGCTTTGACAACTTCTTCCTTCAATACATTTCACTTGCCGACCACCCATACAGGGAATAAGGACTTCTCTCCTTACATTGTGTGTCCAGCTTTCACTGATGTCCCTTTGTCTTGCCTCTGTTTTAAATTTAATAGGCTTCCTTCATTCACTTTGTCTATTCCGCTCAGGATCTTGTATGTAGTGATTATAACCTCTCTGTCTCTTCTCTCGTCTAAGGTTGAGGGTAAATTCTCTCAACCTGTCTTCATTGGTGAAGCCTTTCAATTCGGGTACGGTACTAATCTAGTTGGAAACCTCTGAACTTTCTCAAGTTTCTATTTTTCATACTCAAGTCATGGTCTCACATAGACAGTGCGTACGGATTCGAAAACCTCTTTTTTTGTACATTCGTAAATTATGTTCTTCTTGAGGTTATCTTGGTTATCTTATGTTTGATTACTTCCCATATGCTGTTGATGTTATCCTGTTCACATGAGCTTCTGGCGTTGGAATTATGCCTACTTCCAGGTCTTTTTCTCTTACTGTTTCTTGTAATTAATTGCCTTTCCCTTGTGGAATAGTTAAATACAGGTCTAATAAAAGTCCTGTTTTTCTGAATCCTCGCCGTGACGAGGATTCGAACCTATGTTCTTAAAGGTCTCCTATCACCCTTACACTTTTCATTAAACACTTATTTGGATTGAATTGCAGCTTTTGGAATTCAGAATTTTGAGAGGCGTCAAAATGTATAAATATACAGAATACAGCAAATACAATACTGGGGCTTATTTATAAAATCAGTAATAAGATATCTATTAATATTCTTCAGCTTTATCTTGCTCCTCTTAAGCCTCATTTGCCGTTGTCAGGGAAAGCAAGCCTGTATATATATGAACTTTAGGTTCGTATTGGGTGCCCAAAAAAATTGGATTACTGGCCTTGCCCAGGATGCAACCCCACAACAGTTGACTAACTCCTGGGGTAGCTATTTACTGCTAAGTGAACAGAGCCATTAGGTGAGAGAAAACGTGCCCAACCATTTGTGTCCGGCCCTGGAATCGAACCTAGGACCTCCGATTGTGAGTTGAGAACGAAGCCAACTGAATTACCGAGTCCAGATAATGTAAATCTCTGAGATGTGTAAGTGAATGCAGATGAGTTTGTGCAATGGTCGAGGAGGGACACCTGCCGGGGCAATAAAAGCCCTGACCAGGAACACCAACATATCAATACACGCTGCTTGAATGATGAATGAATGCTATATATGTATACATATATAAATTTATATCTGTTTATATATAATATATAATATATAATATATAATATATATATAGTCTTTCTGTTAAACATATTTCATTGGAAACGACAGAAAGTTTTAGATTTATGATTCTGGCACGAATCTTCTCGATATTCCTTATGTTTTTCTTCACTGAAGCACGAAGTTGAAAAATTAATTTTCCAAAAGTTCATTTTTACTTTTTATTGGGTCTGACGCCTTGTAATGCGTTTCGTAAGGTCACTCCTCACATTTTCAAAAACAAATTCTACCGTGTTGTTGTTGTTGTTGTTTTAGATTCAGCTACTCAGAACAAAAAGTTTCAGGTAGCACGGGCTATGGTGAGCCCGTAATTCTACCGTGCTTAGCACCTGGTAATATCCTCTTATGGTGAGATGGTTAGGTAACATATGAATGAATGACATTGCAGTGGGGATACTGATATGGTATTAAATGTATCAACATAGTGTGTGACATGTTGGCAGCTTATGTTCTGGCTACTTCCGTTCCTATTGCAGGGTCATTCGGTCCTTCTTAACCTGCCTTGGTCCGGGGTCTTGTAATGGGTAGAGTGTAATTGTGTACTAAGACTAATTTTACCAAATAAAAAGTAAAAATGAACTTTTGGAGAGTTAATTTTTCAACTTCCAGCTTCAGTGAAGAACAACATAAGGAATATCGAGAAGATTTGTCCCAGAATCATAAATCTAAAAATTTGTCGTTTTCAACGAAATAAATAAATAAATAAATAAATAAATACACTCACTGGCCGTTAGGCACTCTAGCAGTTACACAAATTATCCATTTAACAAGATGTTTGGCTGAGGGCTGGGGATAGGCTGGGGGCTGACTGGGGGCTTCCTGGGGGCTGGGAAATAGTCCCAGTCCCTAGTCATGAACCAGGGACAAAACGATGGCCGTAGGCTAGGTGAAGGCTAAGGCATTGGCTGAGAGCGCTAGCTACCACCTCGACCAACCACAACACGCACTATACGACGTATTAGAGATCCAGGTTACGGTGGGAGGCGGACACAGCGGGACTCACCAGCTCGCCAACCCTTGATCAACTGACAGTCTTGGAAGGGTCTCCGAGCTGGCGTTGCAGGTCCCGTCGTCTTCACCAACCACACACTCTCAACCTATAACCTCTTGTGACGTCACAAGACACTTCGCCAATGACAGAGCTCCGTATTATGAGCTACTCGGTGATTGGTCAATCGCGAGAAATGTCGCTGACCAATAGTGACTGCCAAAACATGTCGACTAGAGGATGACGGAAGATGAGAAAAAGAATACAGTATATGGAAAAGAACAAAAGTTAAATAAATTGGGAATAATTCATGGGAAATGATACTTTGAAATAGTTATAGCTCATATACTGATCTCAAACAGAGAGGAGAAGACGCATATGGAAGCTCATATATACTCTCCCCAACTTACACAATACGGCCCCTAGCACAAGGCAAGACTGGGAGGAGAATATTAAAGACCAGCTGTGGATATAATCCACAATGAGTCCTGACTGGTACTGTAAGCATGTTCTATAGCACTTCACTCTGTGAACTGAAGCCTGGTTAGACGAGAATTATACCATATATACGGCTCTGCTTGCAGGTATACTGGATCCGATAAGAAATAATTTTCCCCCCCTCTTCCCTTTCCACAGGCCTGTTTAAGACTTGACTCACGTTTTGGAATGATTCGTTACTCCTCTATTCTGAACTGTCTCCAAAATACATATGTCTCTTTAAAGATGTCTCCAAGCTTGGATACGTAGTCCTGATGGGGGGGGGGGGCATACCAGAGACTTGTACAGTTGAATAACTACTTTATTTTCCTTGAAATCAAATGTTCTTTTGACTTCCTAAGGTTTATAGTTGGCTATTTTACTGCATCTTCCACTAGTTGTGCAACTTTCAGTGACTGGTGGATCCTGTCCTAGGTCCTTCTCTTCAGCAGTGTGCTACATGATAATGTTGTTGATGTAATGGTTGTAATGTTCATTGTTATGCCTTACATTGCAAGGTCTTGAATTGTTCAATATTGAAAAGTATTAATTTGTCAGAATATTTGTGTGGAGTTCATGTTGATTCTTTTCGCTTTCTACTTTACCACAGCTCTTAGTGTCATCTGTAAATTTGATGTCGTGGTTTGTTATACTTTCATCTATGTCACTGATGTATATGACAAAAAAAGGTTGGCACCAAGATGGAATTTTGCATTACCCCTACTAATCAAATTTTTCCAGTCAAAATCCTTTCCAGTTAGAAAATAGTCATGCATGGTTCTAGACCCCAATGATCTTTAAACTAAGCAATTTACGTTTGTGGTGAGCCAGTTAAATTTGCACAGGGTTGTTATCCTCGGCAATAGGAATTAATATAATTTTAATTTGCCTATCATGCACTCTATATATAAACAGTATATAAACAAACACCCCCATACTCATCCTGTGAGTGGTAGTTTATTGTACACCCCATATTCATCCTGAGTGGTAGTTTATTGTACACCCCATACTCATCCTGTGAGTGGTAGTTTATTGTGCACCCCATACTCAGCCTGTGAGTGGTAGTTTATTGTACACCCCCATACTCATCCTGTGAGTGGTAGTTTATTGTGCACCCCATACTCAGCCTGTGAGTGGTAGTTTATTGTGCACCCCATACTCAGCCTGAGTGGTAGTTTATTATACACCCCATACTCATCCTGTGAGTGGTAGTTTATTGTGCACCCCATACTCAGCCTGTGAGTGGTAGTTTATTATACACCCCCATACTCAGCCTGTGAGTGGTAGTTTATTGTACACCCCATACTCATCCTGTGAGTGGTAGTTTATTGTGCACCCCATACTCAGCCTGTGAGTGGTAGTTTATTGTGCACCCCCATACTCAGCCTGTGAGCGGTAGTTTATTGTGCACCCCATACTCAGCCTGTGAGCGGTAGCTTATTGTACACCCCATACTCAGCCTGTGAGCGGTAGTTTATTGTACACCCCATACTCAGCCTGTGAGTGGTAGTTTATTGTACACCCCATACTCAGCCTGTGAGCGGTAGTTTATTGTGCACCCCCATACTCAGCCTGTGAGCGGTAGTTTATTGTGCACCCCATACTCAGCCTGTGAGCGGTAGTTTATTGTACACCCCATACTCAGCCTGTGAGCAATAGTTTATTGTACACCCCATTGTTAGTAGTAGTTTATTGTACAATTATTTATAATCTACAAATATATTTTATCCTGCACCTTTGCAACATTCAATAATTCAAAATTAGATTATGTAATCTGGCAAACATTTTATCAACATAAATAGCAACCATACTAAAAAAAAATTATATATTTATCGAGGAGTTCAAAAAGATATTATAAAGACATCTGATTTTTATTTGTATAAAACAAGTCAATGTTTGCTTAAATATTTAAGTATTAACATACAATTGTTATCATATACATACAAAAATAATAAACAAAATATTAAGGCATTTGATAATCTTGTTTACAGTAAAATAAAAAAACATGTATAACAAAACTCTGATCATATAAATTTTATGTACTGCCAACACATAGGTAAGCACTACTGTTATCACACAGGGAGCTGTGTGATAGTATTTTAATACAGCTTCCTGTGTGATGAAGCCAGTCTCTGGAGCTGCCCTTGGCCAGTCTCTGGAGCTGCTCTAGAGCCAGTCTCTGGAGCTGCCCTCGACCAGTCTCTGGAGTTGGCCTCGACCAGTCTCTGGAACTGCCCTCGGCCAGTCTCTGGAGCTGCCCTTGGCCAGTCTCTGGAGCTGCCCTCGGCCAGTCTCTGGAGCTGCCCTAGGCCAGTCTCTGAACATGGCTCAATAAATGCTACAGTATATTAGGCAGAGATTCAGCAGTTATATATAAAATATATAATACTAGGGGTACCTTTCATTACCCAGAACTGTCTCCTATTTGTCCCTCCATCCATCCATCCACTACGCAAATATTCATCCATCTGTACATTCATCTATCCATCAACTGTCAGTTTCTGTCCCTCATAAAAAATATAGTTGTCTAATGTGTGGATGGTCACTAGTGAGAGAATGATGTGTTTTTATGCATACGGACAAATTATGGACAGCAGGAAATTTTTTAATTTTCCTGATATTAAGATTACTGTGAAACAAAATACTGTATTGTTTGATGATGCTTATTTTTTAAATATTTAGTTGTGTAGCCAGGAGGCAATGCCAAAAATCGTCATGGGGTCTGAGTGTGACCCCTCAGTGTGACAGTGTGAACAGTGTGACCCTGGCACACTGTTCCCTTTTGAATTTTGGCGACCCCGATCAGTCTATGTTCATCCCGGACCCCTGACCATTTCCTCTGCCAATTTGGGTGAGGCTAGCTCCAAGCATCTGGCCTCCATCTTTGAACACTCTTATAGTGTCTGTGTTTAATTACCTAGATCTTGAGATGATTTCGGGGGCTTTAGTGTCCCCGCGGCCCGGTCCTCGACCAGGCCTCCACCCCTAGGAAGCAGCTCGTGACAGCTGACTAACACCCAGGTACCTATTTTACAGCTAGGTAACAGGGGCATAGGGTGAAAGAAACATTGCCCATTGTTTCTCGCCGGCGCCCGGGATCGAACCGGGGACCACAGGATCACAAGTCCAGCGTGCTGTCCGCTCGGCCGACCGGCTCCCTAAGTGTAATACCAGAACTAACCAATCCATATAGGTAATTGTTAGTGAAGTGATTATGGTACAGTGTACACCAAGGGGGGGTAAGCCCTGCAAATGCAGATTTGAACCCTGGTCTATGTGTAAATATATATATATATATATATATATATATATATATATATATGTCGTACCTAGTAGCCAGAACGCACTTCTCGGCCTACTATGCAAGGCCCGATTTGCCTAATAAGCCATGTTTTCCCGAATTAATATATTTTCTCTAATTTTTTTCTTATGAAATGGTAAAGCTACCCATTTTATATTGTATGAGGTCAATTTTTGTTTATTTAAGTTAAAATTAACGTAGATATATGACCGAACCTAACCAACCCTACCTAACCTAACCTAACCTATCTTTATAGGTTAGGTTAGGTAGCCGAAAAAGTTAGGTTAGGTAGGTTAGGTAGTTGAAAAACAATTAATTCATGAAAACTTGGCTTATTAGGCAAATCGGGCCTTGCATAGTAGGCTAAGAAGTGCTTTCTGGCTACTAGGTACGACATATATATATATATATATATATATATATATATATATATATATATACATACAATTAACAATCACGAAACACTGATCATTTGTATGCAGAAAATCCACAGAGAAATGGGAAAGGGAGATGAACGTTTCGGCCGATCAAAGCCGTTGTCAACACTAGAAACTCCAACGACTCTCCAGTTGGCGAGTCTCACCAGTCTGGTGTTGACAACGGCTTTGATCGGCAAAATGTTCATCTCCCTTTCCCATTTCTCTGGATTTTTTGCATATTTTATATATATTTTATATATATATATATATATATATATATATATATATATATATATATATATATATATATATATATATATATATATAAGCTAAGTATAAGGGAAGCCACACCTGCATATATTAACAGCCTTACCTTTGGGATATACACAAATATAAATGCATCATGTCATGAAGTTTTGTTATACTAATTCAATACATTAAAATCTACTTACATCAATGTAATATATATACAAATTTATATTATATAATATATATTGCAGTACCAAAAATCCCATATATAAAATCTTCGCAGAATTTTTTTTTCCATTAATTCTCACTAAAACTTGAGAATGTATAGCTCTTCACTTCAACTCTTTATAGCTCTTTAATGTATAGCTCTTTACATATTATATATGACTAATTTACTCCAGTTTTATGAACAGTTTAACATTCAAACTAGAAATAAAAATCAACTCTTAAGTACTGTACAATAAAGTGACTAATAAAAGAATTGCCTCCCACATCTATTCAATGATGCATCTTCCTTGCATGTAATGCTGAAGTTGCAAATCTATTCAATGATAAATTTTCCTTACATTTTGCATTTATTCACTGAAAAATCTTCCTTACACAAACCTGAAGTTATGCTTTGCAGTTATTCATTCATAAAGCTGAAATTCCTCATATATTCAATGATAAATATTCCTTACGTGTAAAGCTGAAATTCGACATCTATTCAATGATAAATCTTTCTTACATATAAAGCTATGTTTTTACTCTTGCATCCATAACGTGCAGCTTTCAGTATGTGCAACAATACTGACCGATTATTCAAGAAGTCAAATATCACACAACAATTTGCGAATAATCATAATATTAAGGTTAAATAATAGTGTATTCTGTAGCACACACTCTAACAGGGTAATGAAGGAAAATGGGCACAAAACATCAAAATGCAAATGATTGTTGAATTTCACAGGTCTTTATGTCATCCATTATATAATAACTTAAAATGCATCATTGTACTCTACTACAAACATCAACTGATGAAAATGTTATGACCGCATCCAATTTAACAACAATGTATGAAGGAGACTTAAAATCTAGATATCACATATACAGATTACCAAGAAACCAGTAGTGTTTACTTTCTCTCCTGGAAGCATTACAAGTTCAACCACTTGAAAGTAAGACAATCACACAATTTGAATAGAAGAATTTGCCCCATTATGTCGATTCTCATTTGTTCTCTGCTGCAATACCTCCAGTCCTGCTGCAATTTCCTGTAGATTCTTATCAGCACTTTCCACTTTGTGGGCAACTAACTTCCAGTAAAAATGGAGGGCAAACATCGTGAACAGGAGAACAGTCGGCACCAGCAACATCGTTGAGGCAACTGCAGCATTTCGCGAGTAATCCAGGAACTTAACCCAACTCAAAAGACCAATCTCGACAAGAAAGAGCAATATTCCCAAAACAGTTGAAAATGTCCAAGCTGCTTCAATGTACCTGTGGATATAACAAACTCATTTCAGCAATAAACACAATGACCCCATTTACATGGAATCATGTATTATAATGATCTACATACTCACACACTAGCATTCCGGGTACAATCTACAGGCAGTACAGAAACAGTTCAAAATTATTATGAAATAAAAAATCTGTATGAAAAATTAGGGCGATATTTGAATGACTCACTGGCATAACCACTAAAACCCGTTAAAACAAAACACAAAACACACCATATTCACGTGATGTAATAAAACTCTGCAAAACTAAAAAGACTAATCTACCTTTGTATTGGCCCAAAAAGGTGCACTATTTATCAGTATCTACCTAAAGCAAGCTTGAGCTGAAAGACATCTCCAACTGCGGCTGAAGGGACACCGACTATGTGCTGCCGCCTCTTTGATTCCTGACCAATCCATTAACATCTAGAGATGGCTATTAAAACCATGTGGCACAAAATGGTATTCAAACAGGAATAAAGAAAATACATATTGACCTAACTTACTAGTGCCACAATTTCCCTTTAAATCTTAATAGATACACCCCCAATGATTTATTGGTTAATGATGTTTATACTGTATGTTAGGCTATAGTCACATACCAGTAAACACAATCAACAAACAAAACTTGCAATCCATTCTGCAAGAATGAAAATAAGCAGTCACTAAATGGAAATTTTGCAATAGCTTGACAAAAAGTCAAAACATTAATGTCCCGTATCCCAATCAACTGTGAAATTGTTAAAATACAATAGTTCTGACAACTGACCTGTGCATTGTAATGTGCGGAGACTCGGATATATTGGTAGTGGAGCCATGCAGGCTGGCCATGGAATCGACGTGAGCCATATTGGCGACGGCCTCCACGTGGGGCAGTACACAGGTGGAGATCATGAGAGCCAGCAGGTGTACCGCCACCAGCAACGTTGTGCACACACTAAAGGCAATCAAAAGCCCATCAGGTACAGAACTACATCTACCAGAACTTGGCTTGGCAGAACCTTCACATTTAGTTGTCAGCTGAAGTTCCACCATGGCAACCTACACAAGACCAATATGAAAAGTCAGTAATTAGTACAGTATTAAACTTGTAAACATCAGAACATGTGTGGAATGTCTATTACCTATATGATGTAACCAATTTGTAGTTACAGAAAGAGACCTATACTTAAAATAAGTACCGACTGTATTTGTTTGATATTGTTTTTTTACTCAATTATTTCAGAAGTTTTAAGTTGTGGGTTTGTGACCTATAATATAAATGATTTAACCCATTACCTATATGTTCACATTTCAAGCATGGGTCCTCAAGATAAAAATTAAATATATCCTGTTTAAAGAAAAAATCATGATTTTTTAAATCAATCACTTTCCTTTCTTACAGCTAATTATGTGTTGGGCTGTAAGTGTAGTGCAGTAGTTAAAGTGCGGTTGGCTCGCAACCGATTGGACCAAAGTTCGGTTAGCATAGCTGGACACGCACATTTGGCCGTATTTCCTTGCATCTGATGTCTCTTCACCTAGCATTAATTAGGAATGCAGGACTTGGGCAACTGTTGAGAGTTACATCCTAGGGAAGGTCAGTAGCCTAGAACCTGAATAAGCATAGCGAGCTTCCTGTCACCAACAATGGGAAATAAAGAGCATTTACCAACCTGTTTTATCCTGCATAAAACAATCATGTGATAAGACAAACCTTAACTACTGTATTTAATTAACTAATTACCATTGCAAATCCAGAGAGAAGAGCAGATGTTCGACTTGAAGCCTTAAGTTTTGCACGGCTCAAGTGCAGCTGTCGTAGAGAGTACAACCCCATAGCATTGGTTGTCGATGGCACCAGGCGCATAGAAATCTAAGGAGTATTTAAACAACTTTTAAACCTTTATGTATTCAATAAAAAAAAACATTAACTATTATGAAACGCCTTTTTCTGGTCGGCCCCTCGGTGGCTTCCTGTTGCAAGTCGCCTGAACAGCTCCATACACGTCACATCAAGCCTTTATGAGTTATTAAAATCCTACTAGAGACCACTCAAAGAGGCAGAAAGTAGGGGATTCCAAATCACAAACAAAATAAGCGTGAGTTAGAGCGAAACAAAACCACCAACAGCAACATAAATGTGAACAACTCTGAAAAATAGGCACACAATAGCCATGTCGTTACCCCACTGATTAATCGCCCCTCCACTGCCAGGTGCCAGCCCCAGCAGCTCCCAATATGCTAGGGGTTATCCCATCCATCATTTGCCAACCAGCAACAACCAACTCGCCTGAAAAGGGGAGGGAGGGTCCAGGTAGCCATCGAGGAGACCCATCGGAAACAGGCATTTTATCTCCCCCCAGAGAAAAAAAGTGGTACTCGCCAGGGGAAAGGATCAAGGCACAAGCCAATGAATTCTAAAGAGGGAATCAGCATTGGGTAACCCTACCTAGCGCCATGCAAGCCTGGCACGGCCCCAGAACATTAATAAGATATCATGCTGCCAACACCCTGTTGGAACACCAAAACCCCAGAGCCTGAATATCAGCCCAAGGTATGTTAGAAAATACAGCGGATACTGGCATGAACTTCCAAATACCTTGGGCCCGAAGGGTAAACGAAATGCTGACCAATGACATTATGAATGACCTGAAACAAATGAGCCTTGGAATAAGGAGCCAAGGGCAACGGGTAAACAAACAATACGTCACCTGGAGCATACAGAGTGGTGGATAGATAATGGCAGACTGCTGCAACTGGGCACAACAATGAACCAAAACACCAGATGCACCAGGATTTACTTTTGATTCTCGACAGGACCCAGAATCCTACGAACCCTTACAACAGGGAACCACCGAGGAAGTCTTCCCAGAAAAATGTTGTTTCAATATTAAGGAATTTCCACTTATTTTAAATGTTAATGATCATTTGGAAACGATCTAAAGTACTTTTTTACAGGGTTAACTTACCACCACCTTGTGTTTAAAATTTTAAATCATTAATAAAAATTAGAAGCCTTACTATATAAGAAAACTTACCACAATAAAGAGAATGCAAAGCATGTACATTTACAGCAACAAATGTACAACATTAACAGTAAAAAGCTTTAAACATTTTATAAATAAAAAATTTTAAAAACAAATAAAAGACCATAAATGCAGCCAGAGAAAGTCATACTCCAGACAGAACAATATGCACTTGCAGAACAAGATGATAAAAATATGGTATATCTACAGTATGAGCAAAAATTGAAGCCGTACAATGGAATCAAACCCACATCCCTGAACTTCTCCGGTATGTACTTGTGAATGCAATCTTACTCAAGCATACAAGATAACATGGTAACTCAAACTGATCAGTATACCACATACACAAAACAAACTGTTGTCAACTGGACCCAAAGTAACTACAGTAACTACTTTTTAACCCACTTAAAAAAGCCAAAAATTCTAAACATCAATATGCACTTCTGAAAGCTATAAAATAGCCCTTTTAAGAAAACATTATTCTTTGAAAATTTATCTCAAAACTTTGAGTTAAAAGTACAAGGCCTGGCATATAGCTATGTGGTGATGTGCAAAGCTAATAGATCCTCAACATTCCTACAATGGAGAGCTGAACCATTTTTGGATTTTTTCTAACCTGCAGAACTTTTATCTTACTTGGAAAAATACACATCCTTCAACATGCATATCCCGTTTAACCCAACATCATCAGTATTGAAGCTGCTAGCTTCTATGATCACCGGCTCATCAAGGCACCTGACCACGGCTTGGGTCAACACTCGCCAGAGATCCAAACATTACAAAGCTGACAGCATTCTATAAAATGAAAAAGCCAACCAAAGGTACACGTCTTTAGTACACAAAGCACACCATTGCACTTTGTATTATCTTGGAACAGCACAAATTTAAAGAAAGTGAATTTGTTCCTATAAATGTATTGGGCAATAAAAGCATAATTCAAAGAGCACGAGGATGGAGTCACACATTTTGCACATAGTTTACCGAGTGCGTGTAAACACTTTGGTGCACGACATGTGTTGCAGCTCATGTTTTGTTAACACCACTTAAGCTCTTACCTTCTGTGTCTTGGTCTAGTTTAGCTTCATGCCAAAACACCAGTGTGTGATAAGGACTTGATACAAGCTTATTATTTTAAGAACACTTTTTTGAACATTTTTTTCCTCCCCCATCAAGAAATTACTCAAAACATTCTGCAACACTATGGGCTCACCATAGCCCATGCTACTTGGAACTTGTTCTGAGTAGCTGAATCTACAACAACAACAACTTTACTATGTTTTTAACTTGAATTATTTTTGCATTAGCCAATAATGCAAATGATGCAGAGAATGTAAAGCTTTCAAATGGTTGCTGGACTTCCTACAAGGAGATCTAGAAGGCAAAAGATGAATAGGATAGAACAATTAACTATACCGGCGATCTTAACAACTGCAATAACCATCTTTGCGGCTGAGGTCTCGCCACGTAATGTGACATTGCCAAGTGCATGCCAGTGATAAGTTGGCGGTGACTATGATGCTACTTCCAATTAACATTACTGTACCACCACAAAACAAAATCCGGACTTGACATACATGTCAACTCTAACACTGCTAATTAATTATACAGTAATTTTTATAGACCACAATGCATAATTGTCAGATGAAGAGGCAACTATAAATTTATCAGTACATAACGGGAAGAAAAACCTGGCATTAGTTCTTTACATAATTTTAGCCACTTTTGTTGCTCCTTGTATGCATTACAATGGACCTTTTAAAGAAATGGTCTGGATTAATGTCTCCCAATTTGCCGAATCTTTTGGGGGGTTCTCAACGAGATCAGCCATGTCATAGACGTGTTCCACACCCTAAACAATACTAGGGTCACAAAATGTCACAAATCACTGCAATCTCCTGCTATTAAGCCTATCATTTACTTTTAGTTGTGGCAATTACTTTGTTGTGTTCTTTAAGGGGACCAAGGTGAACATTTTCTTTAGAAATATATTTTCAGATTTGCCTTTCTTTGAAATGTAGCCTTAAACTATAAGCATGGTTATGGGTTTAAAACAAAAATATATAATATAGACTATTATATGTGTTACAATAGTGTTTAATTCAATATTTAAAAAGTTCTAAATGTAATCCAGAACTAAAAAATAATACTATAAAATACACTAACAAAACAATGAATTAAACAATGAAGTAAATAGTTCTAGCATTCGGTTAAAACTTAATATTTCTAATACAGTTGCTACAAAAGATAAACAAAACATGAGCACATACAAGACAATGAAGCTAATAAGGCAGTGTGCTGCAGTCAGTGGTATACATGGTTGTAATTACAGGACTGTACTGACTAGACCATTCTCCTACTAACCGCAGGCCCGTGCACCGCAGCAAGGCTTCCTATATCGGGGTAGTGTTGTGATGCCAAGGACCCACGGAAGGCCCTTGGGCGACCGTGGCCTTGAGGGGGAGGAGGAGATGGAGGGACCAATAGAGAAGATGGTCCAGCATCTGACCCATACATAGGCCCAACAACAAGGAGGAACTGATGGTGCTATTAACAAACAACACTGCAAGAGGACCTTGACCCCCTTCTCCTGTAAATGGGTTAGTAGCAAAATCAGGTTAATTACATGCAAGTTACACATCACCAACTAACATAACTTGCCTCAAAATAAGCTATATTTATTCCTCTAAATCAGTGGTTCCCAAACCAGGGGCCTTTTTCGATATGTTGGGGGCCGAAAGTTAAGGCAGTGTACATGGTATGATCCCAGAGGGGAGGGAGAAAATAACCAGCTAGTGGATACGTGGCTAAAAAAAAAAAATGGAAAACTGAGTGGGGGGGGGGGAGGGCCATTAATAAGGACGCTATGTGAAAAAGGGATAATGACTGCAGAGTTTGGGAACCACTGTTCTAAATGCATAACACAGTAAAATAAATTGCCTGGTAAGTAAAATAACATTAGGTACTGTACACGCTTAAAACATTGTTCATAGTGACACCTCTAAAATACAAACCTTTATGTAATGGATTACTCTAAACAGCGAACCAAATTATTCCCCAAACCAAACTTTTGGGGAGGGAAAACCATTCAGGTATGGGGAGAAGGGAACAATGAAATCTAGCTCAACTGTTCATAACATGGGATAATTTCCATCAAATATTTCTCTTATTTGCTACTCTTGCTATTCAGTTTGTAAACATTGAAAAATATATATTTTAGGTGACATTTATTCAAAGGAATCTAGACCTACTGTATTTACATTGTGTGAGCGAAATCAAACCTTTCGTTACTTGTGCATTTTCACTGGCTTTTCTTCAGATATATCATTTATTGTCTACATACTGGACGTGTTGTTGGCTCCGAGGATCAACATTCCTGTGGCCTGGTCTCAAACCTGGCTTCCTGGTCAACCAGTCTATCTTTACAATTTAAAGCCATAATGTATGGCAACAGTAGTATCGGTACATCAGAAAAGGTTAAGAAGAGTTTCCTTACCATGTATAAAAAGTAGAGCTTTTAAATGCAATTGTGACTGGGAAGAAAAGCAGCTGGGAAAGAGACTGCATTAGTACTAATGCCATTTCTGAAGAAAAATATCAAAAGGTAGCATATATAATGTGAACAAAATGGAAAGCAGTACTGATGGAGAGAAGAGCCATTAACCATGGGCATTGAGGAGTTCAAGACCAGTTCAGGGAGACTTCAAAAATTGAATATACTGTATCATATTTAAACAGACATGACATTTAACATACTTAACATACAGTAGTACTACAGTAACTGCATTTTTCTGCCTCCGAGTTATCAAATCCAGACCATGATAGAAAAAAATAATTTTTTTCCACTTTTTCTGTATAATTATTGATAATTGACATACAAAATTACTGATACAGTATATCTATTTTATGCAAGATTATACTGAAAGCACGTACCGTGTCCTTCGCTACAGATCTTGAAAATTTGGCGATAACAAGTGCAAACATGAAAACATTGTAGGCCTCTAGATCAGGTCTGGAACAACACGATTCAAGATTTTGGATGTGCCACCACTAGCAAGATATGCAAGAGCTTAAAAGATAGCTTATACCTACTGATCTCAAGCCTTTAGGGGTGGTCAATCATGAAATACAACATCCCCATACTTATCACTTTTTAATCCATTTACACTGAATGAAGTACAGTATTTTACTTGCTCCCCCGGCTTGTCAATTGCTCACCTAAGCATTTGGCAAACCATACAAGGTTTCAGTCAAGGTTACAACATATGCCAGCACATATTGGGATATGAACAATGTGGTGTACAGTACAATTAATAATATGAACTATCACTCTGGACTATTTATTGTTTAAGTTTTTTAATTTCCCAAAATTGCTATTTAAAATTTAATGAGTGTGGCGAGACAACTCTAAGACACTCATTGAAATTTTAAATAGCCACAGACAGCATGTTCATGCAAGAAACTGTTACAGTTGAACAGAAAATAATAGGCTGGAAAACAATTAGTCAAATAAGATATTAACACACAGTAAGAGTTATGTACTATTTGATTAATATTAACTGCTCCATTTCAAGTTGTAAAAGTTGCTAACCTGGGGTGTGTTCAAAGGAAATTTACTCCCAAAGTCCACACAATGCCTAAATTATGGGGACTACTTAAAAGCACTGTATTTCAAAATTTCACCGAGTGCACACAAGAAATGTGTAGTACGTCACAATCTACCTCTAATATTTAAAATAAATATTATTAAATATAATAAATTTTATTAATATTTAATAAAAATATTTGAGGGATTTGTTCCAAATCGACACACCAAATTATTTCCCTAGCAAAACCCAAGAAGAATGGAATGAATGTCTTAAATACAGTAATCCCAATGAAAAGAAGTGGTCCTATAAGTATAATTCTCTAAACATTATGGGCCCATGGCTTTTCAACATCCCATTTCAAGAAAGCATTATTAAAAAGATTAACCTTGTTCATGAAACTGGGCAAAGAAAACCACAGTAGGCCTACTGGCCCATATGAGGCAACTGCTGTATATATCACCCAAACTCATGTTGTCGATCATATTCTCCACTGGAAGGCCTGGTCATTATATCTTACAAAAACCAATACAAGATAAATTATGAAGGACTTGCAGATACCAAGTACAGTATAGCAATAACATAGCATTCAGTTCAAATTATATATTTTCACACGAGTAATAAACCTCTTCAGTAATTTGTGCCTTAAACAGCAATGATTAAGACTATATGATAATGCAAGACCAAACAGAAAAGTGGACAATATATACAGACAGCACTGCCCTATAAACTGGCTACTTAGGCTACCAATTGCAAAAATTATAATTATGTTGACCAAGACAATTATTAATTATATTAATTTTTAGTTTCAAACTTTATGTTCCTTGTACATAATCAGTCTTGTCAATATTGTTTGCCATACCATATAAGCAGTCATTAGAGTTGTTCTGAAATTACTTGTTGCCATATGTAGAATACATTAAATACTGGAATTATTCATTAACAAATCCTGTTATATCCATTATTAATCATTTAAAGTATGCTGGATTGATGTAGCTTTCAGGTTTTGGTGCACATCCTAATTTACCAGCATGACATACCACCCAAACAATAGTTAGGCAACATTCAACTGCTGGTTAGGCACAAGCATCTGCTACAAATTTCCATAAAACACTCCACCAGACCACTTTTTGTTAAGGAGAGAAAATTACAAACTCATGACTAAGCTTTATTACAAGTACTTTGAAAAGAACAGAAGAAAAAAAATCCATTTTACCTTTACATCCATTTTTTTTCATAGAATTTTTTTTATATTGATATATATAATGTTTGTATTGTACTGTGGTGAACTTAGGACCACTTCACTGGTCTTCCAAGCATATTATGTAAAGAGGAGAGAGTGTGAAGACTCGGCTGCTCTTCACCAAACAAGACAACCCAACAGCAGAATGCACTGGACTTAAAAATTATATAAGAAGTTATGTCATTGGTCAATCTATCATCTTAATATTGTCTATACAGTACATTTACAGTATCTGTAGATTCTCAGTACACTTATCCTACAAATCTGCTACAATCATACTTTTTCCTCGATAAACAGCACTAGCTTTATAAATAAATTGCAGATTAGCTTGGATGCAAAATGGTTTACAAAATTTAAGAAAAAGTACAGGTATGCCTAGTTACATTGGTTAAAGTGAGTTTTGGTGATAAATGGTGCCTCTACTAAGACCCATACACCTTTACTACATTATAAACAAGGCAGGAGCAAGAAGCTTATTCACTATGCTGCCAAATCAGTATACAGAATATTAGTTGCATTTGCTGGTCAACTCATTGAACATTTAGGACTTAATATATGAATAATTATTTTAGAATAAGATGATATTGCAACTGAGCTCCAAACTTTAATATTTAGTAAGAAAAAAAAAATACATAGGTATTATACTTAATCAGATTAGATAGTTATTTATCATTCACTTTGTCTACCTCTTTGGATAATCTACATACATACCATCAAATATATGTACATGCAATAAGTTGACTAGTAATTACTACAATACTGTGCACTAACTTGTCAATGATGAGCTGGCTGTATTCTGTAACCCTAATACAGACTAACCTAACAACACGCATGGCTTTGCCAAATTAGAAAATAAGCTGTCAAAATGCCTGTGTACAATTTGACCACGACTTTCAATGCGGCCTGATTTAGGTCTCGGCGACAGCCAAGACTGGGGTCTGGACGAGGGCTGGAGAGGACGGATCCCACGTTCCATCTGGATGTGGAGGGTGCCTGTGGCTCTTGCTCCACCCGGGCAGCTACCTTGTGCAGTGTGGGCGGCTGGTGTCTGTTAGGGGTCACCAAGTGTCGCCCAGTGTTCCACAACACTGGGCAATTTCGTTTGTGCCAATTTGCTTTTTATAGATTTCGGGACAGCTGTCGGTTTCCATACCAAGAACTGGATCAGCAAGGTACAAATGACTGTTTCTATCATTGCCCTTAACAAGATGGTTCAACAAAGCTTATTTTGTTGAACCAGGATGATACAAACCACATCATACACAACATGGTATACTAATGGATTTTAAACCCCACATAACTTTACCGTACCTAACACAAACTTGGAAAAAAAAACAAGACTAGCCTAAGGATATACAATATACAGTTTTTACACTCTTGGAACGAACGTAGCGGTAACGCCTCTGAACAATGGGGATATGTGTGTGTGTGAAAATTAGGATTAAGGACTTGCCCGATACATGCTAGTGGCTGTACAAGAATGCAAGAACTCTTGTGTATAAAAATAAATAAATAAATAAAATACGACAGCTAGGCCGCTGGGGGCCAGGCGACAGGAACTCACTACCACCTGTCACCAGCCATCACCAACCACCTCCTCAAACACCTCAGCGTTACGGCCGTCGTGTCCTGCCAAAGCTCACAAGATGACACTCCAACTCACCAACCTGGCCCGGCCCGAAGTGACCTTCCTCGAAGGTCTTTTTATCTGCCGCCGCTGTCACGGTCGACGACATGAACCAAAACAGACCAACCTAACCTGCTGTGACGTCAGGCACCAGCTGGCCAATCACTGAGCTTCAGGATGTAAGAGCTGCTCAGTCATTGGCTGAGCCTGCGAGAGGTTGGCCAATGGCGCCTCACCGTAGCAACAACCCTCGACAGATACCACTTATATTGACAGTGAAAATAACATCTGTACATTACCATAGACCTATGTTATTTTGAATAAAAAAAAAATATATTTATATATATGACTATAAAAACTATATTTCTTAGATTTATAATGAACTCTAATATTCATCATTTATGCTGTGAATTGTGGTGTAAACGACTTTCATATGTAGTGGCCTTGACAAAATAAATATACAATCACTGATATGTTCTCAAAGCTGTAATAAATGGATTGTAAACTACTTTATTCAAATCTATTTAATTTATTTGTGTTAGCAGTGCATACATACATAGATGATTAATAGTATATTCTTGCAGAGGTTGATATAAAGGCCTATATTTTTATTTATTTATTTATTTATATATACAAGAAGGTACATTGGGTTTCTGAGAGTACATAGCATTGATATTTTTACATATTTGCAAAGCCAATAACACGCATAGCGTTTCGGGCCGATATTATATATTAAATTATATAATTTAGATATAATATTATATAATATATATAATATATATTATTAATATGCTTAGGCACATAGCATTGTCCTAATTTTATATGTGCTACACTATTCTATATTAGGGATTACAGAGTATAGATCAAGAGTTAGCTATAAGTTCATCTGATCCTATCTCGCATGATGGTTAATAATGTAATATGTACATGGAATATGAGGCTAGCCTACTGTACCCTGCACTAGCAAACTTTAGATAGAGTATGAGAATGTTTTCTAATATCCACGAATAATGAAATCCTTACACTGCTGAAATCAGTATCTCAGCATGCCATGTGGTTCAGTCATTGAGAGCAAGGTACTCACAAACGTAGGAAAGAGATGTATCAAGAGAAAGCGCCAAGCCATTACGACTATATAGCACTTGGAAGAATGAGGATTTGGGAGTTGGGACGGAGGGAAAGGAATGGTGCCCAACCTGTACTACCGAGACCTTGATGAAAAACTGTGTAAGAGAGAGACAAAGCATTTTTGTCTCAAACCCTTCCTCGAATTAGTTTCATTTGTTAACATATAATGATTTGAAAAGCATCGACAAAAATAAAATGTCATGTTGATGGCATCCAGTCGTACCAGATAAAATTTGAAACGACGAAGACTTATGATCTAGATATCACATATATAGATTGATTAAGTAGTTGAATGACAGCACTGTGTTATTTCTTCACACACTTAAAAGCAGGATACCTACACAACATGAATGGTAGAAATTGATCCATTTTTTATATTCTCATTTGTTTTCTGTTGCAAGACCTCCAATCCCACAGCAATCTCCTGCAGATTTTTATCAACAGTTTCCACTTTGTCGACGACTAATGCCCAGTAAAAGTGGAGTGCAAATACCGTAAACAATAGGACGGTCGGTACCAGCAATACTGTTGATGCAATTGCAGCATTTCTTGACAACACCAGAAATTTAACCCAACACAAAATACCAACTTCCAGGAGAAATAGCAAGAGGCCCAAAACATTAGAAAAGATCCACGCTGCCTCAATGTACCTGGGGAGAAAATAATCAATTGTTACTTTACTATTAAACCCAATGGCCATTTACATGACTAGTTATTTCAAATGTGTTTATCTGCATCTACAGGTTGGCGTTAGTTGATCAGCATCGTCAACAGTACCATGCTCTCTCATTAGGCTTTATAACTAGAAAGCTCTGAAGCCTATTTCCTATATAAGTTACCTAGCTTAGAGACCGTATTTGTGATCGTTCTCGAGCACATTGTTGATATAATACTAATAAACATTCTGTCTGGCTGCCTCTTCACCCAGTCTGTCTCTTCACCCAGTCTCTATCTATTTACCCAGTCTTCACGTCAGCCCGTCAATTTTGGGAGCCGCTGTGACGAACAGTACATCATATTTTGACGCCGAAATGCGATGTATTATTCGAGAGAACACGTTGTTTGGGAAACCATTGTCCGGGGAAGGAATCCTGCTTGGCTCATTAAAGTCACCTTAGAGGCTTAGACCAATTACTGATGACCTTGCCTAGGATGCCACCCATCTACAACCTGCATCCATAGGTTGCAGCTGTGCAACTACAGCTACTTAACGCCTGGCTTCCTATTTACAAGTAGGTGAACAGGAACATCAGGTGAGAGCCGAGATACTTTAGGCCTGTGACACCCCCCCCCCTGTGTGCACACTGCCGTCTGGGGCCTTAATTAGGCCTGGGAGGGCACCTGGTAGAGTAGTGAGCGCCCTGCCAGTCCCTCTGCTCAATAAATCACTGAACTATATGTTTAACAGATCTCTAACCCTGTCCATGGAGGCCAGAAGAAAGTGTATACATACTGGTTAGCACTGTAAATGTGTGGCCACGTCTGTGATAGAGAAAATAATGTCCCTCTGATGCTACCTACCACTTGAAAGAGCTTTGAATGTATTTTAATGTTTATTTTTAGTGGTCATTCACAACTGTATCCAATATTTTTCCCAGTGGCCACAATATCCAAGACTAACGTTGAATCAATGTTATCAACGTTAGTTCAACGTTGCACCATCACTAATTCAGCGCTTTTAACGTCGATTCGACGTCGAGAGCGTTGAAATTAACGTTACTGGACCCACTGATCTCATTCTTCAGAAGACAAGTTATTAAACGAGATTTCTAATCAGTCCAATTAACATAGACTCAAGTAGACTCTCACCGGTGCATGGTAATGTGCGGTGCTTCGGATATGGTGGCGTCAGGGGTGTCGAGGCTGGTCATGGAGTCGACGGGGGCGGCGCTGGCCACCACCTCGATGTGGGGCAGCACACAGGTGGAGATCATGAGGGCCAGCAGGTGTACCGCCACCAGCAACACGGTACACATAGCAAAGGCGGTCAGAAGACCATCAGGAAGCGTGCTACAGGAACCAGATTTAGGCGGGGTGTTATCCTCACATTTGTCGTCTAGTTGAAGTTCCACCATGGCCACCTGGACGAGATAAGAACATTATAAGGTTCTTAATTTCCACGTGTATAAACGTACAACCATTTATGAATAAAATCTTTGATGTGTGAGAGTTGGTATCACTTATTTTAAGGGGATACCAACCTATATTAGGATGTCTCTCTATTTTAAGGGGATACCAACTTATATTAGGATGTCCCCCCCTATATTAGGATGTCCGTAATTACCATTGCGAAGCCTGCGAGAAGAGCTGATGTTTTGCTGGCAGCTTTGAGTTTAGCTTTGCTCAAGTGCAAGCTTCGGAGAGAAGACATTTCCACAACCGTTTCTCACTGCTAATATAAAGGACAGTCTCCACAGTGCTCTGGAAAATACAAAACAATAATCTTTATTTAGACATTTCAATCAAAATGACGTTTTTCATTGTTTAAAGTTGGAGGCCAGACACTTGAGGCCAACCTCCACTAATTGTCAAGGGAGAATGGTGTTGGGTATGGGACGGACATAGGCTGGTCGGGCTAGGCTTAAATTAAATCCTTTAAGAAATATAACCTGTAATCCAACACCCTCGAGCGATTTTCATGATGCCTAACAGGAATCCTGGATGAAATCGGGAATGTGATGTCCGTAGAGTATTGTCGTGTCACTGCCATTTACCCGTGCAATTTTCTGAAAGTTTCTTTTCAGAAACTTTTCATTTCTTTTCTTTTTTCTTTATATTTTCTGAAAGGGGACGGGGAGGAGGAAGGGGAAGAAGGAAAGGGGACGGGGAGGAGGAAGGGGAAGAAGGAAAGGGGACGGGGAGGAGGACGGGGCAGAAGGAAAGTGGACGGGGAGGAGGAAGGGGAAGAAGGAAAGGGGACGGGGAGGAGGAAGGGGAAGAAGGAAAGGGGACGGGGAGGAGGAAGGGGAAGAAGGAAAGGGGACGGGGAGGAGGAAGGGGAAGAAGGAAAGGGGACGGGGAGGAGGAAGGGGAAGAAGGAAAGGGGACGGGGAGGAGGAAGGGGAAGAAGGAAAGGGGACGGGGAGGAGGAAGGGGAAGAAGGAAAGGGGACGGGGAGGAGGAAGAGGAAGAAGGAAAGGGGACGGGGAGGAGGAAGGGGAAGAAGGAAAGGGGACGGGGAGGAGGAAGGGGAAGAAGGAAAGGGGACGGGGAGGAGGAAGGGGAAGAAGGAAAGGGGACGGGGAGGAGGAAGGGGAAGAAGGAAAGGGGAGTGGTAAAATATCCGTACAGTTGTTTCAGTTCTTCTTAATAATACATTTTCCCAGAGAAGGGGCAGAGAGGGGGAGGACGATGGAGATGGGGGGGGGAGGATGAAGATGGGGATCAAGGGGATGGAGACTAGGGGTCAATGGGAAGATGGGAGAAGACAGGTGGAGTGGGGGGAAGGAACTATCAGGAGAAACTGCCAAGCCATTACGACTATATAGCACTGGGAAGAGGTCAGGATAGGGATTTGGGATGGGACGGGGGGAAGGAATGGTGCCCAACCACTTGGAAGAGAAACAGACTATCCCAGACACAGGCTGGTACCCCTCCCTAGTATGTGGGTGTATTGGGCATCTTGTCTAAAGGGTGACCTTAGACAAGTCGCTGGCTTCCTGCCCCTGTCGAAGCCACTAGACAGATGGTGTCCCTCCGGTAAATTCAAGTTATTTTGTATTTGTTGTATTTGTAAGTAAATATACACAGGCTTCTTGTCCCCGACAACACGAATGAATTATTAAAGAGCCCGTAATACACCAGTACCAGGGTACACCAACTTACACTATAATATTCAAATATTCAGTTCTGCAATATTTAAATTAGGATATGTGCAATCGAGCAATATGCGAGGCTTCAGTACCAAGGCTGAATATAGAAGTTGATCTGCTGTTATAGAGTGCCTCGGAGAGACTGCATAGTCTGCTTGTTAGCCAAACTACACAGGTAGTTTGAGCTGATACAGCCAGTCAGTCACACTAATTAGTCGTGGTGGTTAGTGTTAAGAGCCGACTACATTCACCAGCATTTAGTCCGCTCTCTTGATCTGCCACTCCGTCAAAAATCCAACCTCCTAACGTAACCAGAAACGGTCGAACCCAAGCAACCCACCTAACCTATCGAGCCCGGCGCATAGAAAACGTAAGACACATTCACTGCCCGGCACTGAAGACATTTCCCGTCACGCAGGGTGCAGTCGCACCTCCACAGATCTCCAGTATCAGCTCTTGGTACTGTTAATGGCTCAAAAGGGCCACCACTTACGGGCTATTCACGCCCGTGCCACCTTTTGGATGGTTTAATCTTCACTGCCCGGGGCACTGTCCTGGCGACACTGTTCAGAGAGTGACTGGTGCACTTTCACTGTATTGTCCTCGCCCGAGCACGGCATTGCACACCCTGCTCTGTATTCACTCACACATCACACATATTTACATGACCCAACACCTGCCACGAGGTTCCCAGGCACTATGTCCTCACACATATTCATAATTCATTCTCCATAACCTAACCTAACCCAAAACGCTATGCGTATTAGTGACTTTAGGTATTGTATGTACTAGCTCTATCTATAAATTCCAACATTATGTTTGTAACTCGTCATCTATGTATGTACTTTTACCTGAATAAATTTTGAATTTGAATAATTCTTTATTTTGACTAAGGGCTGTGTGATTATCTTCTGTTGTAGCGGCTTCTGCTAGTACACTAAATTTGATATCATTAATTTATTCCTATTATACACTAAGTTCAGATTTGATATTCCTATCTTGACCTTGAATGTGATCTAGAGAATATACACATTGAACAGTTTGAACACTGTAGGGTTTTATGGGTCGTTCTATAACCCTTGATTTCTATATTTACCACTAATATATATATATATATTGCCGTGGCTCTCCGCCTCGCTGCCCCAATCCACACCGAATACAGGTGTATTTGCGGCGAGGCAGAGGCCGACAGGTACGGACGGCATGGCCTTCTCTGCCAAAGGACAGGATGGAATGCAAGACACGGCGAAGTTAACATTATTAAGAGAAGCCTTACCACAGCCGGTTGTCCAGCAGAGAGAGACCCCCGTTACCTAATGCCCCGCAACTCTGATGAGCCTGTTGGTCGCCCAGACGGAATCACGGTGAACCCCTGGAAGAATGGTAGACAGTTGGTGTGGGACTACACTTGCGTTTCAACTTTAGCCAACACCTATGTTGACTTCAGTGCTACACAAGCAGGAGGTGCTGCCAATCACCGGGAACCAGCCAAGTCACGTAAATACAGAGACCTTGAGCACCACTACAATTTTGTCCCCATTGCCTCAGAGACACTTGGTGCCTGGGATAAAAGTGCTGCTAGTTTTTTGAAGGAGTTGGGGTCCAAGCTAATTGAAACAACTAGAGCTGCCAATTTTTTTCCTTCGGCGCCTTAGTGTGGCAATCCAGAGAGGAAATGTTCGCTGCATCCATGGTTCCTGCCCGCCATCTGAGGAGCTGGAGGAGCTCTACAACTTGTGACAAGCAGCCTTGTACTCTGCATGTAACCAATGTTGTAACCCTTTTTGTGTAATGACATTTTCAAATAAAGTCAGATAAATATACACACATACCAAAAGAATAAGGAGTGGTAGGAGAAGAAAATATCAAAGTGTTCAGTGAGGATCCACAAGGTCTTCTCTGAGTACTCTTTATTTTCTTCTCCGAGGCTATGGGTCCCTACACTTGCACCAGAGGTGGTACCCTTTCTAGGTTAAATATATATGTTATGTCCATGGTAAACCTGTCCATGGTAGACTTATCTATGGTAGACCTACGTTGGATAGGGATTTTCGTCTTAAGGATAGGAAAAATAGGATTAAGAATGTCTCCCCCGGAGGAGGGGTTAGAAACACAGTTGACTGATTGATTGATGAAGATTAAGCCACCCAAAAGGTGGCACGGGCATGAATAGCCCGTAAGTGGTGGCCCTTTTGAGCCATTACCAGTATCAAGAGCTGATACTGGAGACCTGTGGAGGCGCGACTGCACCCTGCGTGACGGGAGATGTCTCCCGTGAAAAAAAAAAATACAGTTGATAGAAGGGATACTATTTTGTTATGGTGAGGGCTGGAGACCGGGTAAGGGCATTAGGTAAGTACTAGGTGCTAGTTAAGGGGTGTGCACTAGGTGCTAGTTAAGGGCTGGATTCGTTCTTCCATTCACTAATCACCCCCACGACTCCAAACACAAGATATTTTAGTCAACACAGGGAGATGCACTCACCAGCCAGACTCAGGGAGAACTGACACCTCTTCCTTCACCACCCTGGCCCTCACCATCCAAACTAACCCGTTCTGACGCTATAAACCTCATGACCAATGGCAGAGTCCCAATGTATGAGAGCTGCTCAGCCATTGGTTGAGAGCGGACCAATGATGCATCGCCGAAGTAATAACGCGACTAATATTATCTGGTGATAAACAGTACAAGAACTGTTCAATTTAAGACCATTAAATACATAAAAGTATAATCATTACGCATTACAAAATCTAATGATATTGTTAGTGTTATTGAGAGTGAAATATATTGAATACACTATACTGTTTACTAATTACGGCCTTGGATGTGATCCAAATTCTAACTCTCACTAGGATGTCTTCCTCTACCCAGTGACACAATAACCAAGAGTGGCGTTGGTCCCACGTTGATGAGCTTGATTTGGCGTTGAACTGACGTTGTTCCTGGATATTGTGCTCACTGGGTACACTAACAGAACCCATGGGCATCACCCATGGTTCGTATCCTGGCCGGGGAGGATTTACTTGGCGTCAATCCTTAACTGTAGCCTCTGTTTACCCAACAGTAAAATGGGTACCTGGTTCAAAAATCAAAATGTTTATTCAGGTAAAGGTACAGACATTGAAGATGAGTTACAAACATAATGTTGAATTTATATATAGATCTAGTACATACAATATGTAAAGGCACTAATACGCTCTGCGTTTCGGGCAAGGTGTGGGGAAAGAAACCGCTTAGACAAAAGTTTAATACTAATTGAGATTAAAGTATAAATTGTGCAGAAAGATGAAAACAAGTGGGGGGGGGGGGAACGTGGCAGAAATCAGCAGTTGTACAAGTTGGTCAACAAACAGTATTGTTTGAAAATAGCAAGACATGGGTTGACAATCTGGGGGTAAGGTAGGTTACATGGAGTTAATTAGGTAGTACTTAGTTTTTCTCTTAAACTGGTTGAGAGAGGTACAGTCTTTGACATGATTGGGAAGGTCATTCCACATTCTGGGTCCCTTGATTTATAGAGCATTTCTGGTTTGGTTAAGGCGCACTCTTGGAATGTCAAATAGGTATTTGTTTCTGGTGTGGTGCCCATGGGTTCTGCTACAACCTTCTAGGAAGCGTTTAAGGTCAGGATTGACATTACTGTTCAGTTTTAAATATATAGAGTACACATGAGAGGATGTGCAGTGACTTAATATCTAATATATTTAAAGATTTAAGTAAGGGTACCGTGTGCTGTCTAGGGCCAGAGATTGATATTGTTCTAATAGCAGCTTTGTGTTGAGTAATTAGAGGGCGTAGATGATTTTGGGTAGTAGAACCCCAAGTACAAATACCATAATTGAAATAGGGATAGATGAGAGAGTAATAGAGCGTCACCAGGGCAGGGCGAGGTACATAATATCTGATCTTAGAAAGAATGCCAACAGTTTTAGAAACTTTTTTGCTATATGTATTTAGAATGTGACCCTGGAAATTCAGCTTGTTATCGATGAGGACACCAAGGAATTTACCATCTACTTTGTTACTAATTTGGATATTGTTTATTCTGAGATTAATTTGCTCTGAGGATTTATTACCAAATAGAATATAGAAAGTCTTGTCAATGTTAAGGGTGAGCTTGTTATCAGTTAGCCAAAGATGGAAAGGATTGCCAAAGATGGTTGAGTTGGGGGGGGGGAGGGTCGTATTCCGGGGACTATTAGGCTTAAGGACCTGCCCGAAACGCTATTCGTGCTGGTGGCTGTACAAAAAAAAATCAAATTCAAATGTTTATTTAGGTACATATTTAGCTACTACTTACAAGAATGTAAGAACTCTTTTATATAAAAATAAAAATAAATAAATGGACCCAAAATATATAACTGAGTTCTAATGTGTCGTAGAATTATTTCCACCTATACTTTAATCAATACTAAAACAACAATTTACCTAATTTCATCACCATAGTACTTTCCTCACTAGAAATTTGCATGAATTTACCTGAAGCCTCCATCTACGTAGTGGCCTCCACAAGGGACAGGAAGCTGGTGGCTTGTCACATGTGGCAGGAAGCTGGTGGCTTGTCACATGTGGTAGGAAGCTGGTGGCTCGATAACAACCAAAAGTACACTCTGGCTTCCTGTCCCTCGACACAGGGAATTATTATACACAAGTGAGTCCCTGAGTTACGCATTCTATGTATAAGAACTGTGAGATCTCTTATTGCAACTGTCATTTCGTGTGTTGGTAAAGGTAGACTAAACAAGTTGAAGGTACAAAAGGAAGCTATGCGAATAATTTTAGGATGTCCAAGAAAGATTATAATATATTGAGGATGGAATTGAACTTACCGAGTAATGGGGATAGAGTTTCTGAGATAAACGTAGCTCCAACAATTAGAGAGAGAGGATATATGAGAACGTTATATTGTCTAATATCACGGGAGACATCTCCCGTCACGCAGGGTGCAGTCGCACCTCCACAGATCTCCAGTATCAGCTCTTGATACTGGTAATGGCTCAAAAGGGCCACCACTTACGGGCTATTCATGCCCGTGCCACCTTTTGGGTGGCTTAATCTTCATCAATCAATCTAATATAACAAAATGGACTCCATTATTAATAATTTTGTTGTATTTGTGTCTATCTTCAGACACGAGTATGTTTCAATGATGTCTTAAAGAGTTGAGCGCATTTAAGGACTATGAAGAATCACTTACAATTAATGTATCAAGTTTGGAGACTTTGTACACATTTAAATGCAAGAAGCAAGGCAAATAGTTCGGTCTGAAGGGTAGAGGCCTAGTTAAGAACATAAGAACAAAGGCAACTGCAGAAGGCCTATTGGCCCATACGAGGCAGCTCCTATCTATAACCACCCAATCCCACTCATATACATGTTCAACCTGCGCTTGAAACAATCGAGGGACCCCACCTCCACCACGTTATGCGGTAATTGGTTCCACAAATCAACAACCCTGTTACCGAACCAGTATTTACCCAAGTCTTTCCTAAATCGAAATTTCGCGTTCTGTCTTGTGTTGATACTTTTAATACCCTATTAATATCCCCTTTGTTGTGTCCATTCATCCACTTATAAACCTCTATCATGTCACCCCTAGCTCTTCGCCTTTCCAGTGAATGCAATTTAAGCTTGGTTAATCTTTCTCCATATGAAAGATTTCTAATTTGGGGAATTAACTTAGTCATCCTACGCTGGACACGTTCAAGTGAATTTATATCCATTCTATAGTACGGCGACCAAAACTGAACTGTATAATCTAAATGGGGCCTAACCAGAGCAAGATATAGCTGAAGAACCACACCAGGTGTCTTAATGTTACTAACGCTTCGATTAATAAATCCCAGTGTCCTATGTCCCTTTTTACGAACATTCATGCATTGATTCTTTGGTTTTAAATTCTTACTAATCATAACTCCCAGATCCCTTTCGCAATCCGACTTCGCAGTTTCAACACCATCCAGCTCATATCTTGTAACTCTATCATCATTACCTAGCCTCAAAACTTTACATTTATCAGTATTAAACTGCACCTGCCAATACTTTGACCATTTCAAAACCCTATTTAGATGACTTGAAGTGATAGTGAGACTTCTTCCGTGTTAATTTCCCTACCGATTTTTGTATCATCGGCAAATTTGCAAATGAATCTACTCAAACCTAAATCTAAATCATTTATATATATTATAATCAACAGAGGTCCCAGGACAGAGCCCTAGGCACTCCACTTACAACATACTACCATTTTAAGCTGTCATTGCAATCAATCATAGCTACCTATGTGCTTTAATATACTGTACCTATAATTTTCTCTCTTCTTTTTTTTTCATTCCATGTAATCTGTTATCATTTTTTTGTCTATAAATTTTGCAAGTATTTACCTCCTTAAAATTTTCTTAGATTAAGGACCTGCCCGAAACGCTGCACGTGCTAGTGGCTTTACAAGACTGTAATTACCATATTTGTATCCTCACATTCCTTATGTACATTCTTGTATATGCATAAATAAATAAATAAATAAATAAATAAATAAATAAATAAATAAATAAATAAATAAATATTATCCCACTCTGACTTAACCCTATTTATACTAACTCTCTGTTTCCTTTGGAATAGCCATGCTCTAATCCAACTTAATATAGCACCCCCAATACCATGAGCCTCTATCTTTTTAATCAGCCTTTCATGTGGCACTGTATCTAAAGCTTTGCTAAAGTCAAGGTATACAACATCACAATCCTTACCACTATCAACTGCCATACTGGTTCGGTAACAGGGTTGTTGATTTGTGGAACCAATTACTGCGAAACGTAGTGGAAGTGGGGTCCCTCGATTGTTTCAAACGTGGGTTCTACATGTATATGAGTAGAATTGGGTGGTTATATAAACAGGAGCTGCTCGTATGGGCCAATAGGCCTTCTGCAGTTACCTTTGTTCTTATGTTCTTATTCCTATTACTATCCCCGTTTATTACACCTCACCTTTTGTACCTTTTGCCCTGCTTTTTCTTTCTCTAAGATTTTCTTCTCCTTACCTCTCCCTTGCCTATTTATTGTCCTTCTCCTCGTCCCCTCATCACAATCGACTTGAGAATAGTCCAGGACGTTCCTTCACTTTCTAGTGTGCGTGTGGTTCTTCAACATATTTCAGCCACGTGATTGTGACTCCTCGTCTGCTTAACAAGCTAATGATAATGACCTAAGATGATGGTCACAATCCAGTAGGCCTGTAATAGCAGAGCGGCGGGCACGCGCGGGGTCGTGAGCGCAGCCAGGCTGGTGGATGTGAAGCAGCGTGGCAGCGGCAGCGGAGTGTGGCGTGTTGTTGAAGACTCTCCCAGTGTTGACCAGCTCTCCTCTCACCCTCCTGCACCCTCAGCCATGGTAAGATCACACCTTCACCGTCTGCACGAGGCCCCCAGGGCCGCCTGGGGTCCAGGGGCAGGGTCCCAGGGCTGGGGTATGGCTCGCTGGGGACTCGCGTGCCTTCTGAGCATCACAACCTGGGAGTGTTTGTGTTTACGGGAGACCATTTTTATACATGGGAGGGGTTTACCGTGGGGGGTTGATGGGTACCAGCAGCCTGGTTTGTATGGGGGGTGCGAGGGTTGGCGTGGGTGGTGCAAGCATTGCTGTACATGTGGTAAATTCAGGTAGATCTACTCTTGCATGTGGTGCAACGATTATCTTGGATTAGTACAAGCAGTGCTGCTTTGTGTATTTTATTTTTTATTTATATATACAAGAGTTCATACATTCTTGTAAAGCTACTATTTCAACCAAAATGCCAGAGCTCAACCCCTGCAGGCACAACTAGATAAATACAACTGTTACTAGTACACAGTTTCGGGTAGATCCTTAATCGAACTTTTTTCCCCGGAATACGACCTGCCAGATCGTTTAACAACCAGGTACCCACCCACTGCTGGGTGAACAATCCTACAGTTAAGGATTGGCGTCCAGTCGATCCTCCGCAGCCAGGATACGAACCCAGGCCAAAGCATTTATGAAGTGACGGGCGAGTGTGTTACCACTACTCTACGTTGACTGATTACATTATGGTATGAGGGGTAACCTACTTGTATAACTACCCTCATGTGTTGCAGGAGTAGTTATGCAAGCAACACTCTTGCATGGGGTATAAAGAATACGAATGTAATTAATATAAGCAGCTCTGCACTGCAGTAGAGGGGAGGTTAAGAGGTGATAATTCATTTTGTTGGGGACAAGCAGCCTGTGTATGTTGTGAATTAAGAGGCGGCGATAATCGTGGGATCGGATAGGCCAGGTGTACCCGTAAAGGGTTAATCGCAAATCCTAATGGCGAAATGAATGACGCGTATCACAAGACACTTAAGATGCCTCGCGTCAAAGAAGCACACAGACAGGCAGATGATTGGGGAGCCGCAAGAGTTCCTCAGAGTGACAAGCACCGGCCCCGCCCCAAGAACACCGGGTAGTAAAACCAAAAACTTGGCCCCCAACTAAAACGCAAAAGTCATTTGTTTCCTTCCGGCGGAGCAGATGCCAGCCGCTCACCACGGCTGAGGGCACACCAGGAGCCCCACCAAGACCCTCCAACTCCCGATACCTCTTCGCCGCTGGACACTGTCACCTGGCCAACCAACCAAATCAAATCTAAAATCAAATCGAGCCAGTATCAAATCTAAAATCTCAAAATAACCAGAATGCATCTGGCGTCTCCCAGACGGAGGTGGTGTCCAGATATCCACTCGTCGCCAAGGTTGAACCAGGAGTCTGTGTATATACATATTATTATTGTTATTATATACCTTGATACAAGCCTAAAGTATTTTTGTGTATACTGTATATGTACAATATACATTAGGTGAAAAGAGAAATGGCCATTTCTGTCTGGCCCAGGATTTGAACCTAGTACAGTATTCTAAATTGTGAGTGAACAAACCCAAGCAGTCATGCAGCACAATGTATAGGGTAGAGGATTACCATAAGTGATGGACACAGGCAGCTCTGCAATACAGTACAATGATGAATACTCTGAACAATAAATAATTGTTGCTGCACATCAAAGAGCCTCGCACTGCTATGCGAGGCTCTTTGATGGTGCTACATATTCTCCTTGGCTTGGTACTACCTTTTGATAATTAAATTAAATAACTAGCATCCTCAAATTTAATGCTGTGTAATACTTGCCTATTTACTAGGCAATTATTTCTTGTTTAATAATTCTATATTTAAATTTGTATAAAGACAGTTGTAAGCTCGGGTTATTTAGTATGTGATCAAATGTTATTATTTTAGAGGCTCTGCATAATGACTTACTGATTATTAAATTAAATTTTGCCAAATTACATGTAAAGGGTTATTTAAATTGGAATCTTAGTTTTACATTGGGAAGGATTTGTCTTAGTATACTGTTTTTTACATTTTTGCTATTTAGTAAATGACTGGAAAACTGACATTCTGAAAGTACACTATTGAAATTTTTATTTATTGCAGTTTCATTTACTGTACTGTATACAGTGAGGTTTGTTTTTTAATGGATCAGTTGGTTCTGGGGCTTTTTGTTATTGTGAATCATTGCCAATTTTGCTTATTTTATGCCAGTTTTTTTATTATTAATTTGAAAAATATTATGCTGTAACTGGATAGCAAATCCTGATTTTTGTTGGTTTCTTTCATATCTAGATATTGTCTAAACATTAGAGTTACAGTACGATCAGATTTTAATTCTTCCAATGAACTGACTTCCATTGGAGTTAGACCATTTCAATTTTGTTAGAATATCATATTAACTACAGCATAATTTTTGCCCTGTTTGATTGTAAGTTGTAACAAAATTAAATTTTTCAGGCTCATACAATTTTATTAGTGCAGCCGGGACCAAAACCAGAAACTAGAACGTTTTCTGATTACGAGAGCGTGAATGAATGCATGGAAGGTAGGTTGATCATCCTGGGCTGTATATTTGTGCTAAGAGTCCAGACATTATTAATTAGTCTTTAATAAACATGATTTTGCTTGCAAACTGAACCACCTTACTATTGTCTCTGGTGTATGACTAGCTTATGGAATTCACAATTGATTATACAGTATATTGCTGGCTTCCTGTCTCTGTTAAGGCCACTAGAGATGGTGTTTCCCTGGGTAAACTCAAGATCAATAGACTACACTGTTCATGCCATCTGACATGTTTGGCATTTTGTCCACCACCACATGCCTGTATCTCAACATGCCTACAGTTACTCTATCAGTACAATATCTTTTTTTTCTGATTCATAGCTTCTCTAATTCCCTATCCTGTACACCATATTCTTTGCTACCTGAATTTTTTTTTTTATTTGTGTAGTTTAGTGCAGTATTTTGTTCTAAATTTGATTTCTAAAACATAAATTTGGCTGGGCTGGAGGTTTACTGTGGGCACTACCGTAATTGCTCGATAATTCTAATCTATGCTCAATCACTCTAGGTAATGGAACCTAAAACGTTTCTGCACATTCAATGCATACGTAAGATCAAATAGTGTGTGCACTTTGTACAGTATGATAGGTACAAAAGGACATTTGGCATAATGTGTTTTTGTCTCTTCTAGGTGCATACAGTATTAAAAAAAAAGTTTCTGAAAATTAATGTTCAAGTCAACTACTTTGTAATAGATTTCCCCGTATCACAAATATCTTCCTTGTCCATGAAAGTCCTTGAAATTTTGCATAACGTCAGTAAATGGATGGTATTGCATCTGAAATGATGCCAGTTTATTATTAATAATGCCTAGGAAGGTACACAGATTTTCAGGATTTTTACCCAATAGGACAAACAGTTGCCAGAGGTCTCTGGTGTAGACAATGACATTCATATAGAATATTGAGGAACTTTTAATATTAAGGGGTACATTAAATCATTCATAAACAACAGGGCACCATTATCCCATAATTTTGAGAATGACTGGAGCAGTTTAAGGATTAAGATTTGTCCTGCCTTGTTTAGTCATTAATTATTTAGTTCCCTCTTAAATATTCTTTAAATCGTCATTTTTTTTATCTGTAGCTTTTTATACCTACACGTGTGTTATTGCCTTCCCCCAGTGTATTTGTAAGGTTCTTGCATAACAAATCCAAATTATATTCTGCATCAATCTCTAAGGTCTTCAAGATATTAGATGGTCATTTGTTAACGGGTTATTCATAGTCTTTCATAACAAGAGCATATAATAAAGTGAACTTCAAACTTTACCTGATAAAATAATGATTACATAAATATGTAAATGTATGTAGTAAATGTCTGGAACTTGGCTGTATTTATGATATAGGGTGTAGATGGGTGTTCAGTGGTTATAGATACAAATTTGCATTATAGTTGACATTGGTTAATATTGGCAGTTTTTTTTTTAATGAAAGGTTGTTCTCTTGCCATATTAACAATTTATTATATTCCCCAACTCCTAAGCAGGTGTGTGTAAGATCTATGAGGAGCACCTCAAGCGGATGAACCCCAATACTCCAAGCATCACCTACGACATATCTCAGCTCTTTGATTTTATTGATCAATTGGCCGACCTCTCCTGTCTTGTGTTAGTATCTTCACCTTTTTTTGTATGCTGAATGTCATATACTGTAATATTATATATATATATATATGAAAGGAAAGGGACAATGATTAGGTCTGTCCTGGGCCATTATCAAGTAGTGACCTGATAATGGTTCAGCATGAACCAAAATGTTGTCGCTTATTTCATTTCACATGTAAACTGGTCTTATTTGTTTCAACCACATTATTATGACTTATTCTGTGCTTGTATCATTTTGTCAAACAATCCTTTGAATTGTTTGGAGTGTACTGTACTATATTACGATGTAATTATTATTAGTGTAAGGAAATCAAAATACGTACTGTATTGTGATATTTGAGAAGATCTTTTGAAGCAATGCACTGGAATAGAATTTACGTTCGAGGTCATACCTGATGTATGATAACTACAGAATCAAGACTTTACTGTAGTAAAATGTGACCAGATGATTTTGTAATTTAGCCAGTTTAAATTTTATTGTTATGACAGGCTCTAGGTGATCATATTTTCTTGAATGCATAAGTGGGCGCCTGACAGCTGGGTGGACAGTGCTACGGATTCGTAGTCTTGAGGTTCTGGGTTCGATCCCCGGTGGAGGCGGAGACAATTGGGCAAAATGTTTCTTTCACCTTGATGCCCCTGTTACCTAGCAGTAAATAGGTTCCTGGAAGTTAGACAGCTGCTACGGGCTGCTTCCTGGGAGTGGGGGGACACTAAGGCCCGAAATCGTCTCAAAATAACCTCAAGTGGTAGTTGTAATGTGTGCATTACCCTCTAGACTCTAGAGCATGATGTGCTTAAAAACAATACAACCTGAAGTTCTACTGACCTTACAAGGAGTTTGGAAGGCACCAAGCTTTTAAGCTCATTGTGGTTTAGTGGGAAATGTGTGCATCTGGGTTTGAAGACCCGTGGCTGCGAATTTTCACTGCATTGCTTCAAAATATACTCACAATATTATTTAATTAATTATCTTCATCAGAGAAGATATTTTGTTGACTGGTTATTTTCAATTCAACTGCTTCCTTTCCAGGTATCTTGATACTGCATCTTTACATTGACTTAACACTTAAAAGGCATATGCATTGTAATAAAAAAAATAATTACAATTTGTAATGGAGCCATTTTTTCCACTGTTGCAACAATGTGTATATTGGATTGCAATAAATCTCTGTTTTGCCTCTTTTTTTTTTTTTCATTTTGTCTTGCTCTCACACAAATGTAGTTTGCTGCTCTAGAAAACTATAACATTTAAGTTGCTAATAATTTCTTTCTCTGTCTTTCCCACCAGATTTTTTTTTTTTTAAGGCAAACATGATTGTGTTTTGGTTCTGAGTACACTCTTGGTTGCCAATACAGTATGTTACTATAGTCTGTTTCATCCTTAAAAGTAGAACTTTAATACACATTAAACTATATTGTTTTTTGCCTTTGCCTACTGCTTCCAAATGAAAGGCATTTTCCACAAATCTATACATGTCTGGTATATGTTTTCAGGTTTCTAAAAAAACAAAAAACTGGTAAATATATAGCTTATATTTTGCATTGAGTAGAATAAGGGCTGCAAAATATTAGCAGTGCATCACTTTATTGTGTAAGGGTATTTATAATTGTTTCTCAATACAGGTACCAAAAAAGCACCAACACATATGCACCCTACAATAAAGATTGGATAAAGGAGAAGATATATATCCTTTTGCGACGTCAAGCTGCCAAGGCAAACTAAATCAAGAAAATGGCAGAAAATTTTGTTGGTTTTGAAATTGGAAACTTATATTGTGGATGACTGGCAGGTTTCTTGATGATGATGATGATGGGTGTATAACCACGAAGAGATTGGGAGAACAAAAAGAGGGACGGAATCGCAACATTAAACAAATACAGTAGTTAGTAAGGATAGAATAAAACCAGTATATCATTCATTTATATACTGTATATCATGACAAATTTGAAGTTCAAATTTTGAAGTGATAATCGTTCTGCAGTGCTCATTAAAAGTAGTTTGGATGATAATATAGCTAAGATGGTTATAAGGAAACTAATTTTTGAATAAAGATGTAAGTGAACAAGGTCAATTTTTTTTATATAAATATATATAATGTAAAATTTGTGTCAATTTGGTATATGGTATTTTATAATATGTAATTATTTTCTGTAAAAATTAGAACATGAAGTTACAGTAGATGGTTTCCAGTGTCCCTGGGATCAAGAGTACAAACCCAGCGTGAGAATGTGTTTTGATCCCTTGTTTTGGATATGTTTACATCCACGTATAGTAATCAGTTTAATAACAATGTAATTCTCCATTACTGAATGGAACAAGAAGCATGCCTATGTGCATCTCTTTTGAGTGTAATTTCTTTTTTAGGGGATTTCACTTTGCAATTAACTACAGAATCAAGGCTTTACTGTAGTAAAATATGACCAGGTAATTTTATTGTAATTTAGCCAGTTTAAATTTTATTTTTATGGCAGGGTCAATTTTTATGACTGGCTCTAGTTGATTATATTTTCTTGAAATGCATAAGTGGTAATTGTAAGATACATTTTACACCAGCTTTATATAATTTTTGCTGCATAATTTGTTAAACCATCTCATTTCATGTGAAATATATATATATCGGTGTTTTGCTTGCTACAATATTTGACACGCCTCACTCTGAACGGTTACTCTCAAAAGTTACACATAACACACACACAATGTAGAAAAACGACTCTAGCTTTGTAACTAAATTTAGTTCAGGCAGTAGCGTACTATAATTTCTTGAGCGAGTTCTTCATCGTTTATTAATTATAGCTATTTTATCATAATGTGAGTAGCAAAGCAATGATAGATACACAATGGCACATGGATGAGACTGAAAAGTTAAGGTACATGTTATATAAAGGTATTTTGTTTATATGGAAAGTATGTTTTCCAAATTTTGTTTAGCTCTTCAGTAGCTTTTAAATTTGAGAATGCACCACAAATGTCATCCATACTGTACAAGTGAATATTTTGACAAAAATCTTCAGGTATCTCTTGCATTGAGCAAAATATTTAATGTAGTCTATATGATTTTCTTTGTTTGCATTATGTACCGTATTTAGACTTCATAATAAAAACTATTGAAAGTAAAATTGGATGTTTTACCTTTTTAAGGATTTTCTCTATTAGCAAGTATAATTTTATGGATATTTAATTTGCATAATTTGTATTTTTATGATGTACCAATTGTTATAAAAATTACACATTTTTAAAATACTATTACAATATTAATACCGATACATTAATGCAGACGATAAGTCAAACTAATGTTGCTGAAGATATGAGGGCCAAACACGTCAGAAAATGGAGGAACAGTGACGTTTCAGTCCATCCTGGACCATTATCAAGCCGAGTAATAGAAAGAGAAAGGGAGAGAGAAATAAAATAAAAGGACAAAGCTTGCCAGAGCACATTTGTCAAGAAATTTAAAGATCCATGACAGATCGAAACAACAATTCTCCATTTTCAGATGTATGGTTTGGTCGTCATATCTGGTACATTAAGGATTTGAGGAATTCTGTGAAATTTGTTATGACATTCCCTTGGTTTTGATTGTTGTTGCCAGCATCAAGTAGTTTACTACCCCTTTCCCTGTTCTTCCTTGGTCAATAGAGAGCTTTGGCCTCATACACTTAGGGTCCACAGCTCGAGTCTCCTAGAGTCCAGGTGGGTGGAATTCCCTTATTTGCCTTTTTATAGTACAAGGAGGAATTACAAAGGACACAATTGGTCTTTAATAAGACCCCAATGAATGTAGTTTGACATTATAATTTAAATATAGCATACATACAAATTTTAATGTTAAACTGTTAGATATACTCTTGTCACATTTTCTATATTTACTGCAGGCTATGCAAGGGCATAAACTTTTATCAAGTAACAGGATCCACAACAATTTGACTTAATTCCTTTATGTATGCACATGTGTACATGCTTCAGATACATGCATGTCGATTTGTAGTTTAATTTATAAGTAGCAAGAGGTCAGATGGTTTAGATATAGCAGTGCTTTTAATCATCTGAGTGTTGCAAGAATAGCTAACCATGAAGCACACAACAGCGTACACCCTCGATTCGATAATGTATATGGGGCCAACCCCATTTCGTTGCAGTGAGGGATTCGTTGCAACCAGAGATTTCTCCAGAGTGCATTTCCCATGCCCTACGAGCTAATTTCATTTGGCACAATTTTCATTTCAACCAATAATGTAATACAATCACCAAATGAACCTGTCTGCAAAAAAAAAAAAAAAACACATCTAACATATTTCTCACATTCCCAGTCTCAAAACTCAATTCAAAAGGTAGCAGAGGCCATGCCCGAGTGATGAAAACCTTGCAAACTCGAAATTAAAACAAACCATAGAATTTGATTTTAAATATCCTCAATAGTTGTCCCTAGGCTCTGCTTCTTATAATGTAATTGGAGTCTTATTAGGTGTTACCATTCATTTCTTAATATTTCCTACACCCTACAGGTTGATTTCATCAAGCAAAAAATATAATTTCAACCTGTCATGAAGGGCAACAACCAAGAGAATCTGCCTGTAAATTTTTTTAATCATATTTCCCATGCCCAAGCCTCAAAATTTCCTTTTCAAAGACAGAAGGGCCCATATTTTACTTAACAAAACCTCTGCAACTGGGAATAACAAAGAACTATAGAATTGGTTTAAATATGCACAGTGGCTTTCCCATGGCCTCCCAACTAGCTTTTCCTGTAACATTGCCTCCCTCTGTGAACTTGATCCCAACATTAAAAGCAAATCTACATCCCCTGCTTCAGTAAACTCTGGCATGGAATTTGTGTTCCAACTTGGAACACGGCACGGTAAATGTGTTTCAATTGGTGATTTTCCGAATCCAGGTTCCACTGTACTTCCCATCATTCCGGTAACAATTGAAATGTCTGTATGTGGTTTACCTTGAGCTGGTTCCAGTGTGTGTGTGTAATGTTGCTTCAGTTTGTTGATTGTAGCAAGCCACCTATGGTTCACTTTATGGTTTCCCAGTCTGGGAGACTTAACAATATTCCTCAGCCATTGATTTTGATTGTTGCCACCGAAGGCGGCTAGTTTATTGTGCACCCCATACTCATCCTGTGAGCGGTAGTGCAAAAGCATTACAGTGGGCACAAAAGGTCTTTATCAGACCTCATCTTAGATTATTACATAAACAATTTCATCTATCCTTCACACCTCACAGCCATTTAATGACCTTTCCTGGGATGGAATCCACAACCAACTCCTGGCATACCTGTTTATTGCTAGGTGAAAAAATGGTATTAAAGTGAAAAAAAACTTTTTCCCAAATGTTTCTGCCCTGCTGCAAGGATCTAACCTAGGTTCCTCAGTTATAACCTAATTATGCAAATCCACAAAGGCTGTGACGAGGGTTCGAACCTACGTCCAAGAGGATCCCAGACGTGCCTTAATCAACTGTGCCACGACATGGTAAAAGAATTGCAACCGAGAGTGCTACTGCCCTCACACGGATCCTGCAGTCTCTCCGAGACACAAACCAGGGTTTTAAACAATTCCCCCCATGCACCCGGGCTCTGTCAACAATCTGTTCTACCTTTTCGCCTTTACAGTACTTCATTAATCCCTTGTGGATTTGTTCATTTGATGCATCACGCTATTGTGATTTGTGTGTGTAACCTAATGATACAGTCTGCTGTGCTACAAGACACTATACAGGGGTTGTGTATGACTAGTACTCTACTGTTGTGGGGCTATGTAGGAATCATAACAATACTCAATTGTTAATAATCATTAGGAATCGTAAAACTAAATTGCAATAAATTATTAGTAAGGATCTTACTGTAGTAATAGTGCTGTTTCACAGAGAAAAATGCAACTGCTTTATATATGCTGACTGCAATTGGAGCAGTCAGCATGTAGAATTTTTCAGCCAATACTTCAAGTAAGTACAGTAATCATCAAAAGAAGGCACCAAGACGGGAAGACTATGTAGCACCATCAAATGTGAGGGATATTCAAAAGGCACTAAATAAGGATGCCAATACGAGAACAAAAGCACACAAGGTGAACGATATCAAAGGTATCCGCTTCCCCAAGGATTCTATCAAGGAACAGTCTGGAAACGACTCGTGCACATCCTGGAAGTCGGGACATTCAACAAGGATATGCATGACCGTAAGGAGGACAATGCAACTTGGACAATAAGAAGCAGGGCAGCGCTCCATTAAATGCCCGCGAGTTAAACGTGTAAGGGCCAATACGTAACCTTGCCAGAGCCGTTTCCCAATGGAGGTTATGGTGGTAGGAGGAAGGCCATGGGAACATACTACCCTTAAAAGCATGTAGTTTGTTACTACTAACAGAAGCCCAACAACCCTCCCAATGGGCACGGATTGAGGAATGGATAACTGGGTAGAAGTTGAAATAAGGAACACCTTTGCAGAAAACCGGTATACAGGAAAATAGCTTTTCTTGTATTCCTAGGTAAGGCACCTAAATCTGGAAAATAATTCTGCATATATTTGTAATAATGAACGGGTTTCAAAACCAGACAAATTAATACATTTCTAAACCTTTAATAGTGCCTGACAAAATATCCCTATAGATCTCTAAGTGCAGTGATGGCCTTGCAGGATTCTGTGATGAGTTCAGCAAGATTTTGAGCTTCATGTACACTTGTTGTGGCTTGTAGTTGGCCTGTTGCCCAAGCTAATTTCCCACGCAGAACACTCACAGCTGAAGCCACATCTTCAGAAAGATTGACACCATGGACTAATAAACTGGAATTAAACAAAAATTATATTATTAACGATTGAAATTTAACAACGGTAATCGTTATTACCCCTTATACTTGGAGTGGGAAGGCATCAGCTAAGAAGAAATAAAAGTAATACAGTACTGTATTTAAATGTATTACATCAAGGTGTGCCTGACTAAAAATAATTAACATATCAATAGGTGAAAAGGTTGTAAATGGTGACTGTAGCACAGAAGGAAATTACAGAAAGTGATTGGAATAGTGTAAGAGTTAAAGATATGGTAGTAAGGGCACCTCATTCTTTCACTATATCTTGAAACACTACATACTGTAGTAATATAATTGGCCAACAGTCAGCAATGTAAAGCACCACAGCACCACTTCATAATTCAAAAGGTGTAGCTAGAAACTTGGAAGTATTCGTGTGAAGACAAGATAGGTGTGTTTGGGGGTGGGGCTGATTGGGTAGGGACTTGGAGACCTGGGAGGGTGCATGGCAAAGGAGACCTGGGAGGGTGCATAAGGGAAGAGACCTGGGAGGGGGCATGGGGAAGGAAGCCTTTCCCCCTCTGGGGGGGGGGGGAGCCCGGTTAGTGCATCGTGGAAAGAGACCTGGGCACCACTGGATACTCTAATATATACTGGTTTCATCTAACCTTGTACCTTACTGCTTCTCTTTAATAGTACTGTACACAACTCCACTTCCCACACAAACAAAAACTGGACAACCACAGAATCAATCTACAATCCCAAGATACAGGAGGCCTGGTCGACGACCGGGCCGCGGGGACACTAAGCCCCGGAAGCACCTCAAGGTAACCTCAAGGTACACTACTGTACTCCTACATTAATCAACCCACTCACTTGCCATACCATTATCTCAAATGCTCTACTTCCACCATAAAATCTTCAACATAAATACCATTCCACCAGCTCCAAACATGCTCAATACTCTGAGATATGCTTTCTATTCACTTGTTCACATGCATCACACAAGCAACCCATCCTT